CCCACCTCCTCTGTTCCTCGTTACTATGTATATTCTGTTCTAGTATAGCTGGATTATCCCATCACAGGAAATTCCTCCCGCTCGACTGCGTCCCCTCAACATGGGCATGGCCTCCGCATCTCAATGGCTCTTCAACTTCGTCGTAGCTGAAGCCACGCCGAACATGTTGGCCACTCTCGGCTCCAACGGCTACGGGACATTCTTTCTCTACGGCGGTTTTTGCTTCACCATGGTCGTCTATGCGTGGTACTTTGTTCCCGAGACCAAAGGTATGACCGTCTCGTACGCTAGATATAATTAAGACAACCGCTCAGTCATCCATTACAGGCCTCTCCCTCGAGTTCATGGATGAGCTCTTTGAAAGAGAGACGGTTCGGGGCAAGTTTAAATCGCGTCGAGTGGTTGATGCTGGCGATATGGAATCTGGGAAACTCGACGATGAAGCCAAACGCTCGGTGCAGCACATTGAGACGAAGAACCAGTGTTTGGCGAGTCTGAAGTTGCCTCTTGGGTAGGTTTATAACAGTTTTTTTTATTCTTTTTTTATGCTTATCTAATTAGGCAAGAGTACTATTTTAAATAGACCCTAGTGAATATTAAGATTACTACTTACGAGGTATGTATATACTACTTAGGTAGTATAAAAAACCACGTCTATCCCATTTAGGGTGGTACCTATCTAAGATATTAACCAATATCCTAGTTATTATTTATTTAGTAATAAACACACCATGCTTATAAGCTTAGTTATACAAGGGCAATGTAACTCCTAGGACAGTTCTTAAATTTAACAGTTCTAAAACTCTTATTCCCCTACATAGTTCTTTAGTAGCTTCCACAGACTACACGGGCTAATTTATATAGTGGTGTGTTTTGCGTTGGTCTATGTTGATACCGATCGTACCTAGATACTATGCGCTTACAGCTGAACAGTTACCATCCGAATGAGCCGCAGCTGCCTTGGATCGCGTGTAGAGAAGCAGCCATACCTCCCCACCCTCACAGCCGCCGGGTGTCGTATGGATGTTCGACCTCGATGCCAGGGACTCATGTTGGAGACGCTGGTGGGGAGTTTTCTTGAGTGCCGCGCGCCCAAGCGACTGACGGCGAGTCGTCCTCAGGCCCTTTTTACCGCCACAGCAACACGCGATCAAGTCACCTCATTTATTGGCACTCGCTCCTCCTGGTCGAATGATGGTCACCACAGCTAGTGCGAGGACTTGGTCTGAACGCTTGCGCTCTAAATGTGGGGCCTAAGACAGTCATCGTGACATCTTCCTAGTATCCATATATGGGCTGTTATTTGCATTCAAGGACCCTTGGTGGCCAGGACAGAGCGCTATCACTTTAGGCCGGGTTAAGAAAAAGCAGGCGACTCTTTGTGTTACGCGAACTACACAATTATTGGCTATAGTTCTAACCATGGTTTTCTGCTGAATCACCAAGCTCTAGTGCAACACAAAACTGCCACCCTGATTTAGGTTTATTATCAAACAAAGAAAACCAGTTATGAATTTGAAGAACACTAAAAAGTTTGTCCACTTCGAGTATTTTTATTTTATTTTTTTTTTTTTTTTTTGGTTTTTTTTTCTAGTTTCCTTTCTTTTTCTAAGAGCTGCACTGCGGCTATTGAATCATCTGCTCTAACCCTCCAACCCGACCCTATATAGGCCGTCTCGCCCTTTGAAGAATAAGGCCAGAATTGAGTGAGAAATCAGCATAGTTACGAACACCATGAGAGACCAGCTTCCATACTGGAAGGAAAATGGCAGGATGATTTTTTTTACAGATTTTGATGGGACCATCACATTACAAGACAGTCTGTACAAATTCTTCCCTGAAGTTATATGTCAACACTGTCTCACATGAACCTGCAGGCAATGACTACCTGGTACTTAGCGCATACACCTTGATTTCGGTAGCTGTTTGTTAGCTGCTTGTTCACGATTCTATCCTTTATAGGTTGATAATTATGGTTTTGGAAGACAAAAACGAGAGGTTCTCGAGCTGCAGCTGCTTCAAGGCAAGATAACATTCAGGTAAAGTTAGCGCTGTTCTTGGACGGCCGTTGCCCTGTTTGGAGATCTCAAGTCTGATATTAATGTTACTATACTAGAGAGGCTTTTAAGACCATGCTTGATAGCGTGCAACTGCCGTTTGATATGTGTCTTGAAGCGCTCAAAGAGAACATTGAATTCGATTCTCACTTTACCGCTTTCTATCATTGGGCCAAAGAGCATGAAGTTCCCATAGTTGTGCTGTCCTCCGGCATGGCACCTATTATACAGGCATTGTTGGAGAAGTTACTTGGCGGCAAACCAGAGAATATTTATGTGGTGGCCAATGACATTGAGCCTCGTCGAGGGGAGGAGAAAGGGTGTGATCATATCATGAAGCGGGACTGGGAGATCTCTTTCCGGGATAACAGGTAACCAGTGCATCCCTATCTTAAATGCCACCGATGATACGAAATTAACTCATTGTATCAGTCATTTCGGTCATGATAAATCCCTGGCAATCAGACCATACAGTGAATTGCCAAGCCGAATTCGTCCCATCTTACTTTACGCCGGGGATGGAGTGTCAGATCTGTCCGCTGCGTCCGAAACGGACATTCTCTTCGCGAAAAGCGGGATGGGTATGTCGGTTTTGGCTGGACCAAATCTTCCCTTGGATTTTACTGGATGCTTACCTTTGCCCCAGGTCTTGTCGAGTATTGCGAGCGGGAAGGGATTCCATTCGCTCCGTTTGATACTTGGGCTTCGGTTCTAAATGCTGTGCAGGCCATCTATGAACATGGAAGCACTGAAGACCTATACAATGTCACCGCGACAGGGGCAGGGTGAGGAAAACGAGGGAAAGGGCAGCAGGAAGTTGCAATCTCAGAATCTCTGTTATAAATCATAGTCAACCAATATTGAGCTATATATCAAGACAATGGCGTGTGTCCAGAGTGATGGGACTATGGAAGAGCTCTAGGCTGACAGCAGGTGGCGCTTGAAGCACGCGAACGAGAGTTTGGTGGCTTGCTGCGTCTGGGAAATACCTCAATCTTCTACGTTTCTTAAAAACTACAATTAATTACGGTAGAACGTCCCCTCATCAATATTTACGCTAAAACATGACAAGCCCTTGTTATCCGTAAGACAGTAGAAAACATGAAACAGTAGAGGTTCATTATATGCTCACTTTGAGGAGATACTACTAAGATAATAGGTAGCATTAAGCACGAAGCTCTCATGGTTGGGGAATTTCTACGCCGTGCTAGGTACAGAGGTAGCTCCGTGCGACAATTGGGGGCGTGGGGGGTTCCTGCAAGTCCGAACATCCTTGCAGGCAATGAAGGACCCATGATCAGCAATGACATACATCAAGAAGTATCATATCATATGTTGGATAACAAGCCTTGGAATCAAAGGTTTTTGTCCTACACTGTCTAGATCCGCTGTCAGAATGGAAACCGGTCGTGTGATGCGCGGGAACCAAAGAGTCAGAGTAATATATTACATCATATACCGTTTTCGACCTCCTCAGTGTCCAAATCATAAAGCAAGGAGATCTAAAACTTTTATTGTAGAACATACATGAGTGAAAACTGAGACATTTCTGTAGGCTCTCCAAGCAACGTGTTCAACCAACTGAGCCTAAAATCAAATTGTTTCCCCTATATCCCGATTTCGAACGTTAATTACAATGTCGTCCATGGACAAGATCTTTTCAGAATACCGTGCACGCCAGGCGCAGCATGAGATGAATCATGGCGTTTTCTCCAAGGGGATCGCCTTTGTGGAAGGCGAGTTCGTTGAGCCCAACGATGCCCGTATACCCTTGCTTGACGAAGGCTTCATGCACAGTGACCTCACTTATGACGTCCCCTCGGTCTGGAACGGTCGCTTCTTCCGCCTCGACGATCATATCCAACGACTTGTTACTAGCTGTGAAAAAATGCGGCTGAGATTCCCTCTGTCGACAGATAGGGTCAAAGAGATCTTGACCGAGATGATGGTCAGGAGCGGCATTCAAGACGCTTTCGTGGAGCTTATCGTGACACGGGGCATGACAAGTGTGCGTGGAGCCAAGGCTGAGGATCTTCTTGATTCAAATCTATATCTGCTTGTTCTGCCATATGTTTGGGTGATGGATCCTGAGAAACAATACACTGGTGGTAGCGCCATTATTGCACGAACAGTGCGGCGGACTCCCCCTGGGGCGATGGATCCAACCATCAAGAATCTTCAATGGGGCGACTTGACAAGGGGCCTGTTTGAGGCCATGGACCGCGGCTCTACGTATCCCTTCCTGACTGACGGGGATACCCATCTTACCGAGGGATCTGGTTTCAACATTTTCCTTATAAAGGACGGTGTTCTCTACAGCCCTAACCGGGGGGTGCTTGAGGGCATCACGCGTAAGAGCGTTATTGACGTGGCCAGGAACAACAAGATTGAAGTTCGTCTTGAGACTATCCCAGTTGAGCTTGCATACCATTGTGATGAGATCTTCATGTGTACGACGGCAGGCGGCATTATGCCTATCACGACTCTTGACGACAAGCCAGTTAACGATGGCCAGGTTGGGCCAATCACAAAAGTTATCTGGGATGGGTATTGGGCGATGCACTATGATCCAGCGTATAGTCTTCCGATCAAGTATAACTAGTGTTGGTGTAAAATGCACAAGTTGTTGATCTGTAAGTTGCTGCTTCCTGTAACGTCATGAGTCAAAAGAATATAATTGAGTAGCTGGTATTAATAAGATGTTCCTGCAGGCGGGCAGTTACAATGAATATTATATGATCAGGGTCGATCGGGGTGTTCTTCCCTTCCTTTACCCTCCGCACCTGTCGATAGACGTAGATTTTACTTCCCAACCATACTCAGTACGACCGGTAATATCTTCCAGTTTCTTCTGTCTTGCCAAGGGTCTGTCACCGATAGCAAGTTTTGTAGTTATTTATAGTGGCAGAAGTAATAGATCGGAGTCAAGGGAAATGGATTGATCAAGTAACTAAACAATCAACGATAGTTTACCCCCAAAACAAGCCAAGAGCATTCAATCCTTGAGATCAAACTTTTCGTCAGCTGAAAACACAGAATGACTAGCCGCTGAGAGCCGTTTGGATATCGTTCCATACGCTCTCCATAACCTTCGCTACACGTCTCACGATTTCATCCACATCACCTTTCTGCACTGTAAATGGTGGAGCGATGAGGAATTGGTCCCCTTTCCAACCATCAGCAGCACCGGTAGCGCTAAATATACAAACCTCATAATCCTTTTCTAGCCCTCGAGCCCTAATTCGCTTGGCCAAACCCAGCTTTGGATCCAATGGAGCCTTGGACCGTTTATCTTGGACAAGCTCCACCCCCCAAAACAACCCTCGACCCCTAATATCTCCCACAAGAGGGTGATTCTCCAAGTGTTTTTTCAATTGCTCTCCAAGATAACCCCCCATGCACCGTGCATTCTCGACCAAGTTGTTATCCTTGATATACCGCTGGGTCGCAAGGGCAGCGACGCACCCAAGTGGCTGGGCTTGGTAAGTATGTCCATGGGAGAAGGAGCCGCTACCCCTTTTCAGTGCGTTAATGACCCGCTCACTGACCAGAACAGCAGAGACGGGGCCGTATCCTCCACCAAGTACCTTTCCCACGGTCTGAATGTCCGGGGCCACGTCGTCGTGTTGCCAGGCGTGCTGCGCTCCGGTCCGGCCAAGTCCGCACATAATCTCGTCGAATATCAAAAGGGCTCCATGTCGGTCACAGACTTCCCTTACTGCACGTAAATACCCTGGGGCCGCAGTAACACAACCTAAGGCCTAATAGACCAAACAAGAGATAAGGTAAACGAGTTATTAGCCTGTTGTTTTGTCCTGAGCACGTGTCTAAACAGGTGAACATATCCCCTACACGGATATGAAAAGAAAGCCAGGGGAGAAATATGTAAGACGAAACTTACAGTCCCAACCATGGGTTCCAAAATAAATGCAGCGACAGTGTCAGGGCCGAGTCTCTGGAATTCATCTTCCAGTTCGTCCTTCAGGCGAGCCACATATTGTTCGACTGATTCATCCTGGCGCATTTCTCTCCATGGGTGACAGGGCGACACCTTGGACACGTTTTTTAGCAGCAGAGGCTCGAAAATTGTCCTCCGGGCTTTGATGTCGCCGACAGAAAGTGCTGCTATAGTGCAACCGTGCCACGACCCTCTTCGAGATATGAAATTGATCCGTTGCGTCGTTCCGTGCGTCTGTTCCGCAAAATATTGATAGGCTAGTTTCATCGCGGCCTCGACAGCTTCAGAGCCTGGCACATTTTGTGAGATTAGCGGGAAAAGAAAACATCAAAAAAAAAAAAAAAGATGAAACAACGGCGACATAATTGATGATGAATACGGAGGAAGGGAAGACTAAACCAGATCCAAGGATGCATGCACGGGACAGCCGCCCGCCGGTAGAGTCGATAAGCAAGTCCGCCAGTTCAAGGGCAGGACTATTCTGGAAATATCCTGGATGGCAGTATGCCACCGTATTTAATTGGCGGATAACTGCATCTTTGACCTGCTCGTTGCCGTGGCCAAGAGCTGACACGGCAGCTCCGCATGTTGCGTCTAGTATCTTGAGGCCATTTTCCAGGGTGAAGTACATCCCTTGAGCGGATGTGACCATCGGAGGAGAGTGGCTGTCAGTCACACTTTGATAGAGGTATGTAGGCTCCGTGTTAGATCCCATAATGGCTAGCAAAATGTAGTATAGTTAATATAAACTCTTGGGACCTTAGGCGAGAAATAAATGCTCAAGTTCTTATTACGGCTCTGGGTAGGAGTTATGGAAAGCATTTAAGTATTCTCAGGAGGATTAGTTCGAATATCCAAATATAAATTCCATCTCGCAATGTATGCCAAATATCTAGACAGAGCTTGCCAGCTGTGTTTGCTAGCCAATTGCATCCTACTTTTGTCAAGACCAGCTCACCAAGTACACCCACGGCTCATGAGTGGCACTCGTCTTCACATCATTCACCCAGGCCTGTGGTGCAGATATTGCAGGTTGAATGACACATTACACAAAATCATGATAGTATTCAAGAGACCAACAGAGCGCCGTTTGCAATAGATCAGGCCACAACCACGAATCCGCTGGTGCTGCGAATCTAGATCTAATCTATCTCGGGAAGTCTACTCCGAAGTAATACAAAGCTACTGCAATATGCCAATGGAAGGTGCGTCCACTTCGGACCGCAGCAGACCCGAAGCCGGACCCAAATCCAGATCTTTCCTTCGTGTCGGAACCTCCTTTAGACTCACGTCAGAATTTGAGTTATACCTACAGCTTCAGTGGCGTGATAGACCCCCAATTCGCACGGTTACATTCAGATGTAAGCCACAATCCTTTGTACAACACTACACCCGAATTCCAGATCCTTATACGCGGGCTTGAAATCAGTAATAACCCCGAAAGGCTGTGCATTTTCCCTAAAGGGCAGCAACCTTCCAGGTTCTTTGAATGTATTTTCGAATCAGGGAATCTGGCGCTCGGTGAGAAGATCTGGATGTCATAGCACAAGGAATGTGGCTTCGCCGGTCCTCCGAAAGTAGCACCTAAATGCGGAGTCGGAGCCCCAATTCCGATTTAATGATCCTTTCTAGATTTATGGACGATCTGTGAGGTGGTTATTGGCTATGGCCCATTGAATGAATGAAGTTGATACTGAGAAAAGATAAGAAGTCCCAAAGAATTAAATCTGGCATTTTCCACCTTGAGCCTCATAAAATGATGATCATTGAACGTTTGTAATAGAAATGCAACCACAATGCTCGACCTTCGGATTAGGCGGCTCCAGAAAATGGAAAATGCAGATACCCAATCAACTACACCAATTAGGCACCCTCTTTGTTGTTGGACCAATACGCCTGACGTATTTGACTTTTCCAATGCTTTAGTACAATGGCCTGTTGCGCTTCAAAAAAAATCCGCTTCTCATACGTTGACTTGCCCCGGCTATACTTGATCATTGCGCATGATACAGTGCATCTTTGTACAATCACCCCGCAGGAGTTTGTTCCTTCGAATACACTTCTTGAGCCTTCTTGACTCCTAGTGGGCGAAGATTGCTAGAAGAGCGCTGATATGTCTCGGATTCTTCCTTCAGACGACGCCACAAGCCCCTTGCTACGGAGAGCGAGAGTAGGGCCTGTAGCACCTGCGGACGAGAGAACTGACATCCCGACACAAGCACACATTGAAGGGCATGCTGGAGCGTCGCTTGCCAAGTGGAATGAGCCTCGCATAAACATATGGAGGGTTTTCGCTACCTTCTTCAGCTTTATTATAGTCGGAGCAAATGATGGAACATATGGCGTACGTGGATAATATCAACCCAAACTGTCAATTAACAAACTCACTAACTTTTTGGACATGAAGGCAGTGGTTCATTATGTAGGTTTTTGCCGATCGGACCTGATGTGTATACCTGCCCTAATGTCTGACGAAGAAACCATCTCCTTTTGATCTAGCTCGGGGAATATTATTCTGTCGACTACGGCGTTCTCTCCCTGGTATTTCTTTCGCCTTGCATTGGGTATACTGTGGCTGCTATTGGGAACAGCTGGATTCATGCGCACTTTGGACAGCGCGGCGTTGCGTTTCTGGGATCGGGATTCCATTTGATTGCCTACGGTTGCTCTTCACTCCATCCGCCCTACCCCGTCCTAGTCCTCAGTTATGTTCTGGCTGGGCTGGGGAATGGTCTTTTGGATGCGGCTTGGAATGTTTGGATCGGCGGGATGGCCGACAGCAGCAGACTCATGGGGTTCCTTCACGGCTTTTATGGCCTTGGTGCAGCCTTGGCTCCACTGACTGCAACTTCGCTAATAAGTCGGCATGGTCAGCCCTGGTATAAGTATTACTACGTCATGGCCGCGGGCGCATTTTTGGAGCTCCTGATCCTTACTGCAGCATTCTGGTCAGCGCGAGGGACTGTGGTCAACACCCAAACTCATGCGCACGCGGAGCATGGAGACGGAGATGGCATCGAACCCAGACAGCTCTGGCGTGAAAGGCTCCAGAATAGTGCCCTAATTCAGTCACTACACAATTCCGCTACTTGGATAATATGTGTCTTCATCTTCATTTACGCTGGAGTGGAAATTGCCATGGCGGGGTGGATTTTCTCATTCCTTGTCGATCAACGAGACACATCATCCTTTAGGGCAGGCGTGGTGAACTTCCTTTACTGGGCTGGTCTCACCCTTGGCCGCGTGATTCTCGGATTCGTGACAAACTGTCTCCATGCGGAGAAATCGACGGTGATGGCCTACCTGTTGGCATGTGTGGCATGTCACTCGGTCTTTACTCTTGTCCATGGTTCCTTTGCGACTTCAGTGACTACAGTGACCCTGCTGGGGTTCTTCCTCGGGCCATTGTTTCCAGAATCCGTGATTGCTCTGGTTCAGCTGTTGCCCAAGGAGCTTCACATTGCCGGTGTCGGCATGGCAGTGACTTTGGGAAGTGCCGGTGGATGCGTGTTTCCGTTTATAATCGGGACACTCGCAAACGTTGCGGGTATCAAAGTCTTACCGTTGGTAATCCTTGTGATGCTTGTTAGTTGCTCCTTACTATGGCTCTTTTTTGTTTTTGTCTCGAAAAGAAGATTATGAATGTTATGGCAGGCTAGTATTTCTACCATTCAAGGTCTCCAAGGACCTGGATATTATCTTTCTCCACAGCCTGGACAAGGTCTCACGATCCATCCTGCATGGGATAAAGGCCACAACCTTATAATAACTTCCGGCCAGATGGTCTGTAGAATGTGCAAGGTACTCTGCTCATATTAGGAGTTGTCCCTGTGGTTTCAAATATCCTTAATATTGCCAAATGCATCTTGGTTATGGCACTGATAGGTTTTTACGGTAGATTCCTAGGTAGTTTTGCACAGGGAATTCATATTCCATTCGGAAAAAAAAAAAAAAAAGAAAATAAACAAAAACAAAGTCTAATAGAACCACCTGAAACTAGGACTCGCAGGCCCAGCCTTCAAATGTTCCGTGGGGATATCCCTCGCGCGCAAGTACATGCCCTGCGCGGTATTCCTCCGCTTATTGTCGTAGACCATCCATGTACCCAGCAAGACGGTCAAAAGCATCCCCGTCCCGCCAAATGCCGCGGTGGTGATTAGCGCGGGGATGTATTTCGGCGCGTCCTGCGCGCGGAAGATATTCGAGCTCACCAGGCCCATGAGATTCGCCAGCGGGACGGCGATGCTCGTCAGGACGACGCGCTTGCCCTCGCTGGCGATGTTGTTGTTGTACCAGACGTCGAGGAGCACAGAGGGTGCGGATGTCCCCCATGTCATCATGAAGGATGCAAAGTAGGCGACGTTGATGTCGCGCTCCACGTCGATGGCGACGTAGATGACCATTCCGATGAAGGTGAAGAGGAATCCCAGGGCGACGAAGGGGAACCGCCACCGCGTCCAGTCGCTGCAGAAGGCGAGGATGAGCAGCACCGCGGCGCCGGAGACATTGGGCGCGACGGTGTAGAGGTTTGTCTTGACGGTGTCGTAGCCGAGGCGGGAGATGATGACGGGGAGGAAGAGCTGCACGGACTGCAGGGGCACGCCGAGACAGATCTGGATTGCGAGGACGGCCCAGCTCGTGCCGTGCTTGAAGATGGCGAGCGATTCGCGGATGTTGATTTTCTCGTCGACAACCGCCGAGCTATCGAGCTGCATGCGTGTGTACGCGAGCGATTTCTCCTCGTCGTTGAGGAAGGACGCCTGGGTGCTCGATCGCGGAAGATACCAGAGAGCAAAGAGAGCAAAGAGCATGGTTCCAGCGCCCTCGATGAGGAAGAGATACCGCCAGGAAGCTAACGGTCCGGATTTGATACGGAACACGCCGAAGGAAAGCAGGCCCGAGAACGCAGACGCGATACTTTGGGCGGCGTAGAAGATTGCGAGACGTCTGGCTAGCTCGCCACGGCGGTAAAATCTGTTTTGACAAAATCAGCACACAAATGGGAGAAATAAATCTGGGGCGGATGCCGTACGTTGTGAGGTAATAGATCACGATAGGAAAAAAAGCACTTTCGGCCATACCAAGAAACCACCGAATGGCCAAAAGGCCGCCAAAGTCAAAGACAGCGACGACGAGCAGCGTGCAGAGGCCAAAGGTGAGCATCATGCAGGGCAGGACACGATTAGGACCGTAGATTTTACCCGCAATTCCGAGGAATGGGGCAGTCAGCACGTAGGGTATGAAGAATATGCTGAGAATCAAATTGTACTGATTCCCTTTGAGATTTAGGGTTTCTGCGATGAAACGAGTCAGAGCAGCCCAGGTTCTGGTGTGGGGATTTACCTGCCTTCTAGTCCTGCTGTTTTGGCGTTTCCAAGGTTCGACTTGTCCAGGCTGTTGAAGAGGTACATGACGGCGAGTACGGGGAGGATGCGCAGGTCAAACTTCCATACAAGAGACCGCTCGGCCGCGGGGTCGACGGACTGGCCCAAGTCAGGCAGCTGCCCGGACTCGTCTACCTCGAGCGGCGGCTTCTCGATGATAGAATCGGTTGCAAAGTTAGGGTCTGCCATCTTGTCTGAACCTGATAATTGTCTTAGATGGAAACCGTTGAAATTCAACAGGAACTGGACCTAGGGAAATGATGTACCTGATAGATAGATATATACCCTGTTCGTACGCCAAGTGCTGAGACGGAGTATATCTACACTTGGTTATCGATAATGACACACCACGTCGAGAAATGCGATGCCGGAGATGCGCCGAGAGTCCCCACCGCTCCCGTAGATTCAGCCACACATCCAATGCGAAGGCGTCCCGCGTTGTCACTGCTTGGCAAAACTGGAGCTTTTCGCGGGCAATTGGTCATTGTTCCTTATCATCTGCTTATCATCACTATGGAACCATGGGTCCGGAAATACTCCGGAGTACAATTCCAATCCATCCCGAAGATAAGAACAACCGTTGAAGCACCCCTGACAGTCCACCCTCGGTTGATATAGGCGATGGCTTTGCCTGTCGCATCAGATAAAACATAATCACCCATATAATTACCGAGTGGCGCATCCTTGGCGAGACATTCCAAAAGATGGATCCCGGAATTCGATCGCCAGTGCAATCTTGGAGATAACTCCCGAATCATGTACGTTGCCCTTGCTCCATCGCGCCTTGGCTATTCCATTCGGAGCCAATACATACAAAAGATAGTCAGTCACTAAACGCCATCGGCCCGGCTGTGCCCGGTGGCCGCACGCCCAGCGCGCCGACCCCGGTCTGCCTTATTATTTCTCCGCTCGTAAACGAGCTGAAGCCTAACTGTCCCTTAAAGAATCGCTCATGCCCACGGATACCCCGAGCGGAAACTTAGCATGTTGAGATAAAGTACAATAGAAGAGTTTCTGCCCTACTACTTTCAGCAACGAGTACGGAGTATAGGGGTGGTAGCATTTCCAGCACAAACACAACCAAAGCTATATATTGTTCCATCGAAATGTTTGCATATGAGATTTTGCGTCTGACCTCGCCATTCAGCCTGCAAAATGGGGTGGTTCACCATGACACGCCATCGCAGGGCGTCTGTCAAACGATCCATGAGCTGAGCAGGAACATCGCTCAACGTGTGTTACCCGTCCATATGGGCAAGATCAAGATGACGGCTTTGCGCTTTCCACGGTAGAAAACACGGCCGTCCGGATCCCTTCGCGGGGTCTAGGTACGTTTCAAGTTGATCCAACCCTCTACCCGGACACATCTGTGAAAGACTGTGCTGCAAGCATGACGGCTTGGGTACCGCCATATAGATGCCGCCTTTGGCTACGGCTGGGGCACGGTCGAGAGGGAAATAGGGGCGGCGATCCGCGAAAGCGGTATTTCAAGGGATGATGTGTTTATTGTGACGAAGCTGTAGGGTAATCTCTCTTCTTGACTGAGTCGCTGGCACGCAGCCTAGTCGACCTGTATTTGATGCATTTCCCGTATGCGTACGCAACTACAGCGGGATATGGCAAAATATACCAAGGTGAAATGTATAGAATAATAATTATAATAACTTAATTAAAGGACGGGTTATACTAGTACCAAAGTTCAACAGTTTCAAGTTCCGCTTGTCCTTGGGAACTTTCTGTTTTCGAGTGCGAACCATCCCTCCCTTTACAATATCCCCCGGAAGGGATTTCGCCCTCACTGTTTGCACCAGGTAGTTTTCTCCGCCTGCCTGCATTAAGCCAAAAGGGCAACACAATATGGAACCAGTATTTGGACGTGTCTGACCCGGGCAGGTCGCCAAAACTTGCATATAAACCGGCTGCAGTGAGTGGCTCTATTTCCCGCTCACGCAAGTAGATCTCTAGGTACTGTGGAAGACTTGACATCTGATGAATTACTACTATAGTCATATACATGCAGGTAAGGGATACTCGCCTCGAGGAAGAGGCCCAGGGAGAGAGATGAGGTCCTCCGTTCCTTCCTAGCAGTATGTGTAACCCTATGCTACATCCCGAGGTGCTTTGTAATAAGCTACGAATGGGCGATGCTTAGTCGGATCTCGGAGACTTAACTCTAAACTCGTTGGGCGTATCGGCCAGGCCGAGTCCGCATCCTCCTAGTAGTCCCGGAGTGGTGTTTATAAATGTTGCTAAGGATATGGAGAGAGAAAGAGCTGTACTCCGCATCTCCGAGAGGACTTGACCTAGTACTCCGTAACTCCGGCCATCCGGCGCCAGCTACTGGGACTGACTCCGGCGCGGGAAAGGCGTCATCCTCGTGTCCAATCGGAGGCTCCCGTTGCTGCAAGTATGTTCTGTGATCGACAGGCATATGGTGCTCGTTTCGTGCCATGGCTATAAAGATCTCTCGGCACCCGGGCAATGGGCAGGTTGTATCATCATCATCAAGCTACACATAACCAAGTGAGCGTCCTCTTGAGATTCTGCACCCGCAATCGAATTCAGAGCCCCAGTTTTCTCAGTTTTCCACTATTTACATCCTCAATCTCGTCTCAAGACCCCTATCAGGGAGATTCAAGTCCACCTTTTTGCATCGAAAAAGACAAAACAAAAATGACCACAGTAACCACAACGACGACGTCAACGTCAACCAACGGCCCCGCTCCCCCAAGAACCACAACGCTACCCCCAATCGATCCTGCCGCGAGCAGACTGTTCAAGCCCCTGACGGTGGGAAACATGCAACTTCACCACCGCATCGTATTCCCCCCACTGACGCGGAACCGCAACGATGACGACCACACCCCGCTCCCGTTTATGGCCATGTACTACGCAGACCGCGCCTCAACCCCCGGAACACTCGTGATATCAGAAGCAACGGCCGTATCCCACTTGGAAGAGGGCCAAGACAACACCCCCGGATTCGTCAGCGAGCGCCAGGTCGCGGCGTGGAGGGAGATTATAGACGCGGTGCATGCGCGCGGGTCGTTCTACTTCCAGCAGATCTGGGGCATGGGCCGGGCGTCGTACCCCGAGTTCATGGCGAAGAAGGGGCTGAAGTATCGGTCTAGCAGCGCCGTGGGTATGAAAGGGGTTGATGCGATCCCCGAGGAGATGACCGAGGACGAGATTCAGGACATTATCCAGAGCTTCGTGGATACCGCTCGGCGGGTCATTGAAGCGGGCGGCGATGGCGTGGAGATTCACTGTGCACATGGCTACCTGCTCGATCAATTCCTGTCTGACGCAGTCAACAAGCGTACCGATAAATGGGGCGGCTCGACGGAGAACCGTGCACGGCTCGTACTCGAGGTCGTCAAGGCGGTTACAGACGCAATCGGCGCCGACCGAGTCGCGCTGCGGCTGTCGCCCTATGCAGCGTTCCAGGATGCCGAAAAGGGGGACATCCACGGACAGTATCTCTACATCATCCAGGAACTGAAGAAGATGGCAGCGCCGCTGGCGTATCTGTCTCTGGTGGAAGCAACCGGAGACCCCGGGGCAATGATCTTTGGAGGGAAAGCCGTCAACCAGGGCAAGACGCTGGATTTCATTCTCGAGGCCTGGGATAACTGGTCTCCGGTCATTGTCGCAGGCGGGTACATTCCCGAGACGGCGGCGTGGGCGCTGGAAGAGCACTACAGCAAGTGGGACACATTGGTCGCATTCGGTCGGCATTTCCTGGCGAATCCCGATTTGGTCTTTCGGATTCAGCATGGGATTGCGCTGAATAAGTATAATCGGCCGACATTCTACCTGGCGAAGAGTGAGGTCGGCTATAATGATTATCCTTTCAGCAAGGAGTATCTAGCGGCCCATACGGAACAATAGAGTGTGATTTTCCGAGAGGGTTTACGAGATGATAGATATTAGACTGTTACATTATGCATATAATCCATTTTTTACAAGAATGATATCATGAGAGTCCAATGGCTATTCCATCCCAGAACTACACATCCAAGTATAGCTCATGCTTATCTAGTCTAGGTAGTGAATACATGTATAGCCAGTATCAATATTCCTCTGATACAGATCAACGTGGGCCTTATTGAGGCCGCTATTTACCGCCATGTTTAGCTTCTAATAAGAAAGAGGTTGGAACTCTAGGGACACAGACACACTCCGCAGAGTAGAGCTATGGTAAGAGGACAAGGGGCGCAGTCCTGACTGTTTTACAAGTCAAGGGCATGGAGGTAAAACTATGCGAAGATGGCGAATGAGATTGCTTTGACCAGCTTTGGAGGCCTCTAAACGTCCCAGCGCGGAGTGCAAAAGTTGTAGGCTACACTGGACAACATGATCTCGATGCGACGGCCTCGACATGAGCGATTAACATAAAGAAATATCTAATGCTGACCAATTGCTCTATGCGGGATCCTGGCAGGTGCCGGAAGCGGGAATCCATGCATCCATGGATATTGGAGTTTGTACGACTGAAGGAATATGACACCGAGCGGCTGCGACAGGAGGATGGTTACGTGGCGCGGCCTATGGGCTGGCATAGTATAGACATCTCGACGTCACAGCAGGTTTGATCGTCCACCCGGCTGGGATCTGGGCCTCCTTAGGGATACCCTGCCACGGTTCTGCAGTCATCCAGCTGATAAACCCATAGTCTCTTCTAGTTTACCTCTGGTGGTTACAAATCAGCCCGCAATAGTTACAAATGCTGCACAAGCGCGAGAAAAACTAAAGATAGTGGATGGATCCACGGATATTACTAATGTCGTACTCAATCTTCGGAGCATTGGAAGCCTCTGGATGCCTTCTAGCCTTACAAATGTGTCGCTGACCATCTGCAGGTTCACCCACGTCCCTGCAAGTGACTCCGCAAACTCCGCAACTCCGCACCGCAACTCCGCAACTGCGCAGCGGGCCAGCGGCGCAGCGGCGCAGCTCCGGGACGGTGGAGACAAGCGGCGATCCAAACAATAAGGTATAATTATACTGCTCTCGCCCTGCGAGGGTAGATGGAACCTCATCAAGGACAACCCCCAAATCCTCCCCAGAGCTGAATAAGACTCAGACTAAACACCATGGCAGCAACAACAACATCATCATCTTCTGCCTCGGAAACGACGAAACCAAATTCATATTTCCCCCTGGCTGGCGCCAGCCACGACGGATGGACTCGTGAGGGCAGGGCAACAGCCACATGCTTCTGCGGAGCGGTCCAGCTCAGCTTTGTACGTACAAGCCAGTAACAGATACCCAAATCCGCAGTCAGTACCTCTCCATCTAACAAACTGAATTCGACAATATCAGCCCACCAAAGCCCCTGGCCTAGTCGACACATTCATCTGCCACTGCGCGGACTGCCGCAAAATCACCGCGTCAATGTTCGCCTCTAACTTTGTAATCGATGACAAGTACCTGACGCACGAGCGCGGCCACGACAATCTCACATCATATAGCCAGTCCAAGACCATTGCCACGGGCAACACCATGACGAATTATTTCTGCTCGACGTGCGGCTCGCTCATGTACCGGGTCGGGACCGGGTTCCCAGGAATGAGCATCCTGCGCATTGGGACTGTGGATGATTTCGCTTTGCATGAGCGCGAGCTGAAGCCGCGGATTGAGCAGTTTGTCAAGGATCGCGTGTGCTGGCTGTGGGATGCTGAGGGGGTCGAGAGGGTCGAGGGGTATGCGTATGCGTGATGATTCTGTATATTACATGGGTTTTCGGGTTGTACAGGGGATGAGATTCGGACTTTGTCTACTTTGTATTTAGTTGATATGCCAAGTCAATCATCACCTTGGCTCATCAGGTATACCAGCCGAGGCGATGATCTTTTGTTAGGTTCTTGTACACCGTACATTTTGTGGAATAGATACAGCACTGGACACAGCCAGGGGCCAGAGTATGCTCGGCGTCGCGTGGCGCAGATCTACAAACCAATCTGGACCTTCAAAGACAGACACACGAGATCACTCAGGAACAGAGCCAATATCTAACCAGCGGCGCTGCGAGCAACCAATCAGCTATTCTCGTTAACAACGATGAATAAAGTTCAATCACAAGACTTCTGGACGACTCAGGGATACCCCTTTTCGCAACTTTGGGAAATATGGCATTCTGCGTAGCAGCTGGAGGCCGGGCTAGATGGCTGCCCGACCATCGATGCGCTGCGTCTACTACCATTTCTTTCTGTCAATTTTTTTTTTTTTTTTCAAACGACGATGGTGAACAATGAGGGCGGCGGACATGGACGCTTTCATCATCGTCGGTCTCCCTTCTGCTGAACGACGGAGCCTGTATCGCTCGTTTCGCACTATTCTAGGTGGTTTGCGCCACTTGGTCTCTCTCTCTCTGCAGCGTTTTACCTCTCCTGTTCGTGTCTCTTTGCGGCGCTCTGGGACTGACGTAGGACCTGACCTGCAACAGCCCTGGGCCTTTTCTGCCAGCTTCCAGCTTTAACCCTGATCCCCGTCTCGCGTCTTTTGAGGCAGAGCTCCTACGCGAGATCGGAGAATGCCACCGACCTTGATGCTCCGCGGGATAAAATCGTACAGAGGATGCACCCAACTCGTCATGAACCGGCAATTAGCAGGCATGGCATCGCCTTCATGCCCTGCCCACTACGCACAGAGACATTTTGGAGCAGCCCGTTTCAGTGATCAATGGATATCAGAGACATAATGTCACGGAGGGGAGTACCGCAGTTCTTTGTCTAGTTCTCGATATAAGCGATCGATCCATTCTCTGTTCTCTCATCCTCTTCAATCTCTTCTCCCCTCGCAGCGAGCACGAAGGCTCGTTACTGAGCCTGTCCCTCCTCCCAAAGTTTCCATCGGGTGGAGTCACCGACAAGCCTACAAGCCTCGAACAAATCCCAAACCGTTTCCCACCTACCGAAACCGACGCAATGGACGGGCTATGTACACGCTCATCTTCCCATGCCCAACCGCACACGTTCCACCCAGACAGGTCGCAGCAGCCTGCTCCGGTCCTACCACGGAAGCGACCGATCTTCCAGGCCGGCACCAGTGCAGGAAGCGATGCGATCTATAAACTACTCGCAAAGAACCCATGCGACCAGGACAAGATTTACTCGAACCGCGATACCAATGCGCCATCCGCCGCCGATCACCCTGCCACTGCTGGAACGGACGAAGACCCTTTGGTAGTTTTGGAAGATTTGATTGCGAACGGCGGGCAGCCTGGAACGGAGTGTCAATTGGACAACCGCCACAAGGACGCACTGAGGACTGCCGTGGATGGGATACGCCGGTTACGACTCCTCCTCTGTATCGGCGACTACACGCAAAAGGTGTCCCACTGTATCCGAGATGTGTACAATCCCGGAATGCGAGAACCAAGTGTCGACTGGTTGTGCGAGCATCTCTCATCAGAGAGTCTCGCCCATTGTCTCAAATACGTCAATGATATTTATCCTGGCATGAACATATCGCCCAATGTTGTCAGTCTTTCGCTTCAGCTATATCGGGAAAGGAACGCCATGGTCCACTCGGGTATGGGAGCTGCTCGGGGGAAACACAACAATTGGGCGCTCGAAGAGATCATCGCAAAGGACAGAGACCGCCTGAAGGAGTTTGTGAGGGATGAAACTCCTGAGATGCAGGAGGTATTGGACAGGATCATGCGTGTTGCGTCGCGACTCACGACGGGGCCGGGTCACACCGGGGCAAACTCTGGAAAGATACCGCGCATATAGAGATTTACGATGAAGTTTCAACCCACTCGTGTGAGATAGACTATAGAGTTTGAATCATCTGGACTAATTTAACTCACGCTCCCGTTCTCCACATCCTCCCTCTGCCACTGCATGTTATGTCCCATCCGAGTGAGTAGTCCACCCTCTTCGCCCAGTCGATACTCAATGGCCAACTTAGCAATCCTCCTCGTCGGTTAAAGACCAGAAATCTCTGTCCGAGTCATCCCAGTACTCCGTTGGTGGCTCAATCTTGAACAGCTCGAATGCGTCCTTGAAGCCTGGAGCGATCTCGCTCAGGCCCCTTGCGAAAAAGGTCCGCCACGGCCATCTCATGGATGGTGTTATGGGCGGCACAAAGGTTGGCATGTACTCTCCGGTGACAGGGTGGAAGAAGTCATAGTCCCCACCTGTTTTGCCAGAAATTGGCACGACCAGGACATATCCGTGGCAGCTGTCCCTCCTCCTCCCAGTCGCTATTACCCTGCCAACCCCAACATACCACCTGCCGTCGGGGGCGGCAAATGCGCCCCAGCCCTCGGACCCAAGCGGTGGAAAGTAATCATCATTAGAAACGAGGTGGCTGTGGCTGCACCGTTTATAGTCGGGCATCTTTGGCTTTTCCCGACTATCGTTGATGGGATCCAGACCGGCGATAGAAACAGGCTGATCCATGTAGTGCAGCTCGGGGTCCCATCCGTACCGGTGCATTTGGCCCAATATGGGTTCAACGTTCGCAACAAGTTTTCTGTCGACTCCATCCACGCGTACAGGAACCCCTTCACCTTCAGTGTTGATAACTCGACCAACCCCGATACGACGACGGCCATCGAAGTATCCGTAGACGCCGAGAGCCTCATCCCCCGGCTTGACGTCTTCCCTGGGGAATTCCTCAAGCTTCGGACGGTCCCCGTCCGGCCTCCTGCACAACATGGCGTCTGAGTCGGTCCCAGCCGATCTTTTCAGATTGACAATGTCGCGGGGAAGATACATGTCCGGCATACGATATCCCGCAGGATCCCAGAACTCAGCAGTCGATAACCCCAGAGGTTTCTTCCGACGGTCCCGAGGTTTCCTTACAACAGGCTCAACCCAGACGTAGAAACGTCCCTGCGGGGTGATTCCGGTCTCGACGACGATCCCGCGTCCAATGAAGAATGTCCCCGGTGGTGCGTTTGCGGGAATATAAATCCCGGCGTGCACCCTGCCGGGCTTGGGGTAATGGAACGCGAGGCTGTTCCAGTAGTTTCGTAGCTGTGTTCTTGGGTCGCGACCCCGAGTTCTCGAGTTTGGCGCTGCACTCATGTCTTTCGGTCGTGGAACTGGTTTGAGGGAGTTAATGGGTTCTTTTGTAAGGGTTGTAATGTAATGAGATGGTAAGGTTGATGGTGATGCTATGGGATTGAGATTGTATGATGGGAGAACCATGGATTGGAGGGTAATCAGAGGATCATTTATAGACCGAGTCCATGGGCGTATTCTCTTTGTTATACATGTCGTGCAATCCTCTTTCTAAAAAGCGCGCTAAAGGTTTTTTTTTTTTTTTCCTTCTTCCTTCTGAGAGATATCCCATTATGTGGCCGCTGCCATTATAGCATTCAAGGGACCTTTTGTCAAAGAATCGGTTCATCGTGCTTGATTATTCGATTGAACCTGCAGGTTGTCTTACGACTTCTTTGAAAGTACTCCCGTTTCAGATGCTCTTGAATAGACAACCACCGGGGTAGTTTGAGACCTCCAGTGCGTCGTGGTTTCCCAATCTGGGATCAAATCCGGTGCACTCTGGAGCAAACCAACCATACCTGCTCCCAAGGCGGGAGGAACTACCCCACTGTTCTCAAGTCTCATAATTTCACTGGTGCATCCGGACCCTCGTCTTTGCTGACGGCCAAGACGCCAGGATCCGCTCCCTTGTCCATCTCAAACCCCATTTCTTTCCCCGTGACAGAAAACCATGCGAGTCCCCCACCTCATTGGCTCAACACGCTGGAAGCCAAGAACGCACGCACATGGAGTTGCGGGGCTTCCCCGCTTGATGCAGCTGTTCCTGGCGCCCCCGCGTGGCCAAGTTTAAATGCCGACGGCCGCCTGCCTGAATCGCCCAACCCCGATTCTCGACCGGAATCTCGAGATTCTGCTTGTTATCTTCGAGTTCGCTTCCAGGGAAGGAACATTGTACTCTCCCGCACGCCATGCAATCACTGCAACAGAGGGATCCAGCGACTAGGCCTTGATTCTTCAAGACATCCCACGATGAAAGCTCCTCCCTCCGAGATTATCGCTTCGTGGCCGGAACCGAATTATGTCAACCCTGATTATCAAGGGCCTCAACTGCTGATTGTTGGTGTGATTCTTCTGGTCGTCAGCTGTACTGTTGTCGGCCTGCGACTCTGGGTTCGACTACATATGAAGAATTCCGCTAGCTGGGATGACTGGATTATGCTTTCCGTCATTGTGAGTTGTGCTTTTTTTAGCCATGCAATGAGGACTAATGCATCCGATGTAGCCATTCATGGTCTGCTCTACCGCGGTTGCGATCCTGGGGACGAGATATGGATGGGGTAGGGCTCAACTTGATTGACAAAGAGATACACGACAACTGACATGCGTTTAGGGTATCATATATGGGATAGTAAACCAGGATGGCGCAAACCTGCCTTGATGGTATATACGACTTTCTTCAGAGCAGCAGAATGCTAATACGCCCGTACAGACCTCCTATTTCAGCCAAATCTGCCTCACGATTATCATGACGCTCGTCAAACTTTCTCTTCTTGCTTCCTACCTCCGATTCCTAACCCTCCCCTTGTATCGACATCTCAATTGGGGCATGATCACACTCGTAACTTGCTGGGGCATCGGTAGCCATCCTTGCATGCTTCACATTGAGGGTTTCGGTGCTGACAAAGTCTTTCATCGTAGCCTTTTTAGTAGCATCGCTCACAGCCTGCCGCCCACTCCGCGCGTACTGGGACACCGGGCTCGCCCTACAGGCCCAGTGCATCGACGACCAGGCGCGTACCCTTGCATTCACGATATCCAACCTTGTTACCGACGTCATGATCTTGATCCTCCCCATACCCACCTTTTGGAGACTCAAGTTGCCGATCCGCGAAAGACTAGCCCTCACTGGCCTTATGAGTCTGGGATTGCTGTACGAAAATTACTCGAATCCCCAGCGGTATTATGTACTGACTATGACAAGGGCGTGCGCTGCTTCGGCCGTTCGCTTATACTACGCTCACCGAATATACCACGTAACCTACGATTCATCGTGTAAGCCTCCCCACTCCAATACTAATATCATCAACTTCTCACGCTGATTCGTCGCCTCGTACAATCCAACAGGGGAAGGATACAACCTCTCCCTCTGGATCCTCGTCGAAACCAACCTCGCCGTAATCTGCGCCTCCATCCCCACGCTGCGCCCGCTGGTGCGCGGCTACTTCTCCGAATCACGGCTCAACAGTCGCAGCTGCGGAAATAGCTCGTCGTCGACGCATAGGCATTTGGCTCAGGGCGTTTCTCTTTCTGCCTCTACTCACCCTCCGCCGTCGCCTGGGTCTCCAAGGATATACAAGCAGACGACGATTAAGCAGACATTTTATATGACGGAGTCGACTGAGGCCCTGAATGATGAGGCGTATCAGGTCGAGATGAGTTCTCTTGGGAAGATTTAGTTCAGATAGCTGGTCAGGGAAGTACATATCGTCTATGGGAAATATATCGCGTGCACCAAATCAGAGGCAATAACGAATCGCGAGCCGGGCAGATGTACTCCGTAACCTCTCAGAGGGACTAGAACAATACCATCATAGAGATCCAAAGTAAAGAACAAATTTACTAAAAGAAACCGGCGCTGAAGAGGAGCGACACGGAAAAGATAGGAAGAAAGGTTAACAGTTGAGATTCATGCCCAGGCAGCGGATATATTGTCCACTATTTTCCACCATCAAGGTACCATGCCACGAAGCGATTCAAATGACATCACTCGGTGGCCCAACTAGGGCCCAAGGCCATCCAGACCATGCCCACGGACGAATAACAGCCTTCGGACGCGTTAGTTAATATATTTAAGCCTCCCGGAGCCCTCGGGCAATGCCGGCGGGCCGAGACGGGGGACTGCGGCGCGGCGATTGGCCCGGAGGCGGGGCCCAGTAAAGTGCCCTGCGCCCCTGGATCCCTCCGCGCACGCGCTAAACGGACTCGTGACGCCCGGGCGCGGGCTGTCCCCAGCCTGTACCTGGGCCGACTTCCGGGAAGATGGGCTCTGGAGACTCTTATAAAAAGAGAGGTCCCGGTCACTTTTCGTTCGACCCCTTCTCTGCCCTGCCAAGTCTCTCAACTGTTCCAAGGGCTCTCTCCAATGGCCCCAATCTGCACCACGGCTCAATCGCGAAGCACAATGCACCATGTCCACCTACTACCCACATTACGCCGAGCAAAGACATGAGCCTTCCCTAGCAATAACGCTCGACGTCCCCGTTTCCACTTCGCACTCGCACTCCCATTCCAAGCCCACCTACAAGCCCGGCGACACAATCAGCGGCCATGTCCACCGCGTCGATCCCAGCTTCATCCCCGAGGCAACCGTCATGGTCACGCTGCTTGGACACAGCAAGACGACGATCCGAGCGCGCGGACCGGGGTCCTCGGAGCTGCGGTACGAGAGCTCGTTCAATATCTTTGCGGGCTGCTTCGATACGCTTGTGCTGCATTCGCGGGCACCGCTATCTGGGCCCGAGATGTCCTGGCCGTTTGCGCTGACGATTCCGTTTTCTGTCCTTGACGTGCGTGATTCCCAGCATTGCGAGGGTGAACGCGCCAGCTTTTACGCGTCCCCTGATGGCTCCTCCGGACCATCGTTCATCCCACCTGCGACATTCGCGGTAGCCGAGGAGTTCAGCTACGAGGACGGCAGCCGCGCTAGCGCATCGATCGAGTACATGGTCCAAGCAAAGATCGAGATTGCCCAGGGCTACTACGACGAGACCGGAAAACCGTTTGTGCAAAAGGTCGACCCAGTCACCAGTCCATTTACACTCACAAGCGTATCATATAGCCCCCCGATGACGGACTTTGGCAACAAAGTCGAGACCTTCCAGCGCGGTGTCTCGACCTTCCGGCTGATCCCCGGTGTAGAGGGGAAACTGAGTCTGGCGCAGAAGACGCGCCAGGCACTCTTGTCCTCGAGGGTCCCCTCATTCGTGATGCGCGCGTCCGTCTCGCTGCCGCGCTTCCTACAGGTGGGGAATCCAGAAGCCATTCCCGTGATTGTATACTTCGAAGGCGTGTCTGCCTCCTGCGAGGTAATCGAGGATGCACCACAGGTGATAACAGTCAAATCCCTGACATTGAACCTGCGACCAAGGACAGTCTTCCTGGCGGAGTTCAAGCCTAGTTACGGCGGTCCTCCACGGCAAAAGACAAGCAAGAAGATTGGAACCGCAATTCCCATGCTCCCACCCACAGCAATATCCGATCTGAAACGCGCATACGACCAGGAAATCTCCTTTACCGTCACATCCGGCTCTACTGGTTCTGGAGCAGGCTCTGAGATACAGGAATGCGAGCCGCTGGATCTCGGCGCGATTCTGGATCTGCGGATGGTCAACCACGTGCATCCGACGTTTCGTACGTATAATGTTGCACGGACGTGGGAGCTCGCTTGGGAGATGGATCTTGAGGTTGCGGGGGAGAAGGTCCGGGTGGGATCGGCGCATGAGGTTGTTATTCTACCGAGGGCTTGGGAGGGGCCTCCGCCAGATGTAACAGGAGAGAGTCTTCATCTTCATGAGCAGGTTCGAGGAGGCGATTTACTTCCGGGGTATGCGAGGCGGGATGAGGAGTTACCAGCTTATAGTGCATGATTGTCAAGGGTCGCTGGATGGTTTTTTTCCCTCTCCTTTCACAATAGCATATAGTATCTAATGGGACTCTCGTGGAAACTTTTACATCTTTCTCCAGCCTGAACGACTACCTGTAGAAGTGGGGTTGTGCTTCTTTCGTGTACTTGACCGATAGGATCTACCAAGCATCTGTCTGTCAGATACCTAGACTTCCTCCAACATACACACATCTATCATGGCTAAATTCTGGTGCAAGAGCGCCACGCGCTGTCACCGAGTCTCCACCCTCTCCGCGCAGACTGAAGAAAGCTGCAGTTGCAAAATATCGTACTCTACTGTTCTTGGCTTGTGATGCATCACGATTTTGCATCAAGTTGTAGCTTGACAACGCCCCTCCCAGCGAAGCGTTCTTTGGAGGAGCTGAGCAGTAATAGGAGAAGTTTAGGGCTAGAGTCTCTAATATAGGCAGTATGGGTAGTACCAAGATGCTAGGCTAATACTTAATATAGGAGAGTAATAGACTATAAAAAGACTAGAAGGATATTAGGACTATTCATGTCCTTAGTAATATATATTTTATATTTATTATATACAAGGATAGCATGGTAGCTAACTATATAAGGAGTATCTAGAAGGTTATAGTATCTAGAGAATAGCTTATACTATAGCTATCTATAACGAGTTTTAGTTAGTCTTAGGTGTAGAGTTACACATTCTAGATAAAAAGAATAAAGCTAAATATAATAAGGTTCTTAAGAAGTTACGATAGGGGAGTAGGTTAAAAAGTTCCTATTAAATTAACTTTTTATTGCCCTAAATATTTATCATATAAACATGGACACCCTATTCCACAAGAATTTAAAGCAGATAATTCTAAGGGAGAGGAAATAGCTAGGGATTTAGTAGCAAATTAGATTTATATGGTATAAAAGAGGTACGGGGCACAATAGCTTCGCAGCACGTGGCATGTGTTGTAGAGGCTCCACAGTTGGGATGTTTTCCTTGGCGACTTGGTCGCCCCTAGGCTGGTGCTGGGCTTAATGAGAATCACCGCTTTGCCGGGGTCGCACAAATGTGGCGAGCTTCCACTGGCCAATCGGGGAAAGTGCGCATCGTATGCTTCGATATGCATTTGTGGCAGGTCCCGCCTCAACCAAATTACATAGTCCGACCCCGTGACCCTCCCTGAGGTGCAGCGATGTGGTGGAAACCTCGGAATAATTGCCTCCTATGTACAGTTCTAAGACAATTCAACATGACAGCTCAGTAAGAAAATAGCAGTAGACTCAGCTACATCAGATATCTGGGGCTCTTCTCGAACCGCTCAAAGTAACTTCTCTCATGACCAAGACACACCTTTGCGTTGGTCTGACGCACCAGTCGTTTTACATAGTCCCTGCTCCGATGCCACGTATTATAGTCCCTCATAAGAAAACCCTGCGGCCTGCCATCCTCATAGTTTTCTATCACATGAAACATGTCTCCAGTCAGGACCACAGTGCCAGACACCTGGAGAGTCAGCTCGATCACCAGAGACCCTTCTGTGTGCCCGGGACACAAGTGCAGCGTCACTCCCCGCCAGAGTTCCACGACCTCCTCGGAGACAGTCTTCCAATTCAGTAGGTCAGCTCGCAAGTAATCTGGTCGAAACAGCCCGAGGTCATGCCCTGTAGCAGAGGCCCAGAATGCATTCTTGAGCTCTTTCTCGTGGCACCAGATTTCGACGTCTACGAGGATCACGAACGTTAGTCCAAGCTGTCCTCGTGGAGGGTTCGATCACCGCCGCATACAGACGCAAATCGGAGGGGGAAGAATGAAGGCAAGAAAGAGAGAAAAATCAATGGATGAGTGCGACTAACCCGTTCCAAAGAAATGCTCCAGCCCGCCAGCGTGGTCCAAATGCAAATGGCTCATGACCACCGCCTTGATGTCGGTGATTTCCCCGGCGCCGCTAGCCTTCACTGCCGATGGGAGAGAGTGGATATCCCTAAGCCATATGCGCGGCGCACATTCAAGGAACTCCTTGTCCCAGGAGTTGATGATATCCTCGCAGGCGCCCGTGTCGAACAATATGAGGCCGACATCAGGGTGATAGAGCAGGCCGGCTATCATGAGGCATGGGCGGGTTTCATGGATCTGAGGCGGCTGCCCCGTCAACGGCACGTTGGCGCCGGAGAGAACGTACGAGGCGTCGATGTCAAGTTCGCCTAGGTCAAGGAGCTGGGTCGGATCAGTTGCTGGTGGTACCTTCGTCGGATTAGGGAAAATAAACAAACCCAGAGTTTGGAACCCACGGGGAGGGGTGAGCGGGGAGGCATCGTTTCTAACAGTCACAGTCATACGAAGGATAAAATTTGACAAACTACGTGGAGCAGCTTGAACGCGTCCTGAAGTACATTATAGGCTCTGATAAGGGCGGTGCGGGGACATGGCTTGCGGGTATACATTCCGGAGATCTGCGAAGTTACTAGTCCAGTAGCATCGAAAGTTTCAGACGCTATCTGTAGCCTTTGTGCAAGATCGTCAATCATTAAAGATATTCTGTTCAGTTTTGACAATCGGGGATCTCGCGCCGGGTTTTCCGCCCGCGGATCGCCGGATACACGTCGGGAGCCAACCCACGCCCCAAATACCTTGACCTAAACCCCCGGTTGGAATTGGTCAAGGTAGCAAGTTCAGGACGCCATTCAATAAGAAAGATAGCAACGTAAAGCCACATCTTGAAGCAGGCCTGGCCAAGCTTCTCTGATGTCCGGTACCGCCGTGGGCGTTTTTGCCGCGGGATTTTGCGCGGAGACTTCTCTTGCGATCGTCGTTAGACAGGACCATAAAGTCCCTTTGTTGCGCAGCTTTGCAGATAAAGGCGAAGATGGCGCCCGGTTCTGCTTCGCTTCTCCTAAAAATAGGATACTTCCTGATGTTACCTAGCCTTAATCATGGAATGATTATATTTCCTTAGAATATAGGTTAATGTCCTTCAAACCCTAGTTAAGAGTACTCTGTACCAAATGAATTGACTTCCAGCAAGCCAAACAGTTAAGAGAGAAATTAACATCGCAGCTGGCGACCAGGTATGGGTGGAACTCGCCGCATCCGACGTGTCAGTAAAAGATGGAGTGTCCGAGGTAGAGCTAGATGTGGAATTCCCAGTGTAGGAAACATTGACGGCCTTTTCAGTATATGCTATCATGGCAAATGTCAAGGAGGCGTCATTGGTAGCGACATCCCAGGCGAGATGGACCGGTCCCTCAGGGGGAGGAGGGTCAATACTAAGCTCAACATACTTTGGTTGGTGACATCTACATGAGAAGTAACTAGGGAAAGCAAAGTTATTTACTTACCAAGCGTATGTCTCTCCGTCAGCTTCAAGCACTGTTACGTTGATCACCGGCCCTTGGAGGACCTGGACGACCTGGCGCTAGAAGCTCGTGACGACTCAACCCGGCACCACGCCGCGCTCCTTAGGAGGCATGTTGCGCGGGGCGATAAACATCACCAGATGGTGCTCCAGACCTGCAATGTCCGCACATGCGAGCAAAATAAGCGCAAACAGCCAGCTTTCGAGAGGTCCAGTGTGCCAACCTTATGAAGGTAAAGAGCTCGGCTTGCTTCGCTTGGGGCGCATCTAGCCGACGACAAGCCCGCTGAGTAATCGGCGCCCCACAAGTCCCTATAGATCAGGTAGGCAGCGTCCTAGATTTACTGCGAAGAACGACAGAGTTCTCCCTTCCCTCTTCAACTCTCCTCGTCGCCTATCGCAATCTAGCATAATGCGGCGAGGTATCGCAACGGTGTTCAAATTCTCAGCTGCCTCATTGTTCGCGGGTGCGGGGGGCTGGCACCTCTGGACGGGACGATGCTACTTCGAACCCTTCGGCCCCAGCAACGATCCTTTATTCGAGAGCGAGTACTTCAAGCAGTTCAACCCAGGAAACCATCCGTCAATCAACGACTCGTGTGTGCGGAAAGTACCTCTCTCTCAAATACCCGCAGAGCTGGTCGCCGATGCCCTCGCGGGCGGCTCCAAGTTGCTCGAGAGGTTCTGTGCCGGCGTCTGGGGAGGATATGGTGAGTCAACCGATTATCCTTATCTTAAACAGTTTAGACCACTTGAATGTCGTTCGAATTAATATTTCTTGCGATGTGTAGGGTATTCCATCCAGCGAAACATCCTAGCTCGAGTTGCCAGAAACGAGTCAAATGCGGAGTCTATCTTATGGGATAAAGAGCAGCTCCTGCAAAGTACATACGAGAAAGGTACCTAAGAAGCTTCCTACCTTCTAAAAGTACCATCCGCTTTTTCCCACTGAATGAGAATCGATCGAAAAGGCACCATCGTCACCGACCACTTCATCGTCGTTTCCAAAACCCCGCAATCGATCATCCTGTGGGGGGCCGAGTCACCGTCCACAAACCCAAACGTTCGCCGCGAGATGGAGAATCTATCTGAACTCTCCGTCGACGTGGTCAGCGACACGGATAAAGGAGAGGGCGTGGTAGAATTCCGTATGAAGAATATTTTCTATAACGGCGCGGAGCGGATGCCGAAGCCCTTGTTCCCGGCGCCCATCGTGTGGCTGCATCTTCAGTACTGCAAGTTGTTAGTTGAGGGAGGGGTGAGCCATTGCGTTGTTTAGATGGTTGCTTGTGAATGTATGTTTGTATGTATTATGGAGATATCTGCCAAACACTCTAGGTACTATATGAATAAACAAACGCCAAGGGCTCATTGTTGGACCAAGAAAGTGGGGAGTGCGGTCTCAAGCATTTGATAATATCTCCTCACAGACCATACCTACGTTCCTAATCGCTCTTACGGTAGGCACTGGTGACAGAGAAGACGGGAGTTCAAATTATTGCCCAACAGTCGCTGACTGGTCTGGGCCGGCCGTCTCCGCTTAATAATCGGCGGCTAAAGGTTCGTTCCGCGGCTAATTGTCGAGCTAAATTAGCGTCCGGTTGAGTATGTATCGTAACAGGGATGCGCGCTCGCCGCTCTACGTAGCCTCCGGCCCCCTGGGGAGCCCAGAGTCGAAGGTAGCGAACTTTAACATTCCCAGTGGAAGGCTGAATTGCTTCATTGCTTCTCTGAAGACTTACTGGAAAGTGCGATGTGGAATTTCCAGCCGTACTGCTGTGAAGTAGCGCAATGATCATGGCGAGGTAATCCCTTTGGTTTCTGTGGCGCCGGGGACCCCGCGTATAAATCGGATGGACCGCGGGGAGACGTGAATTCCTATCATCTTCTCCCGAGCGAACAACAATGAAGTAGGTGCGTAGAAGCTAAGCACAAAGATAAGCGCCGATCGAGTAGGTGGGTTTCGGCGGCAGCTTCCGAACAAGGGAGGGTTTATCCGGGTTTCGTGCAGAACATTAGCACTGGAATAAAGATCATCTGGAGCCCAAGCTTTCGAAATTCCATGCCTACCCCTGTGACAAGTGGCCAGTGATTTCCTCGCAAACGCCAGCAAGAAGAGAAAAATGGTCAAAACACTCCCCTTCGGAGACCTTCAGGTCCCCACACCGGGTTTCGGTGCCATGGGCCTCAACTTTGCCTTTGGCACAAACCTTAGCCTTGAAGAGGCTGAACCGGTTCTGTTGAAGGCTATTGAGCTGGGATGTACTTTTTGGGATACTGCTGTAGGTTTCTCACGCTAAAGGCCGAAATGAAATAGAAGATAACACCAGAAAAGGTTTCTTACCGGGCTGGATTGAACGAAAAGCTGCTAGGAGACTTTATCAGAAAGCACAATGTCCGCGACAAGGTCTTTAGTAAGGATTAACCAATAAACTTACCTATGTCCCTTCTCGGTCTGACCTGACATTATCATATAGTTGCCTCCAAGTGCGGCTTTGATGTCTTTGGCGACGGCTCAGTCACCAACTCTGCCTCTCACATCAAGAGCTATATTGAGGGGACGATTGAAAGACTCGGCTTCGCCCCTGACCTGTATTATTTGCATCGCATGGATCCCAGTATGATTCTATTGGGCACTGCATACTCACCTGGTCAGGGCTAACCTTCGCAGATACACCGCTTGGGGAATCGATAGCCGCACTTGACGAGATACGCAAGGCAGGGAAGACCAAGTATATTGGCCTGTCTGAATGCGCAGCTGAGACCCTTCGCACTGCCAATTCGAGTACGTTTCCTTCCCTATTTACCCAACACTGGTTTAATCAAGAATATAGTTGCCAAGATCGATGCCGTTCAGGCCGAGTACTCACCGTTCGAGACCCTCCATGAGAGGGACGGCCTCATCCAAACGTGCAAGGAGCTAGGTGTAGCCTTTGTTGCATATGGTCCCCTTGGACATGGGTGGCTAGTCGACAACTTCCCTTATAAGGCCCCCGAAGATTTCGCTGAGGATGATTTCCGCCGAAACAACTGTCAGTACTGTGCTTCCAGTCCTTGCTTCCGCCCGTCAGCCACAGGCTAACGAACAGGCGAATATAGGCCCCAAATACCAAGGCGACAACTTCTACAAAAATAAAGAGATCGTCGAGAAGATGAAGACAATCTCCTCTCGACGAGGCTGCAAACTCAGTCAGATTGCGCTTGCCTGGGTTGCTGCGCAGGGCCTGATTGCGATCCCGGGAACCACCAAGGAGCATCGCCTAGAGGAGAATTGGGCATCCCGCGATATAGAATTAACCGATGAGGAGAAGCAGGCGATCCGGGATATTATTGACTCGACGAAGCCGCATGGGAACCGGTATAATGAGACCTGGCAGGCGATGGTGGGACACTAGGTGGTTGAAGAATAGGGGTCATTGCGATCCACAGTTATCTTCGATCTTTATACTTTATCAGAAAATAGAGCCAGTATGCAGGACCTTGGTGAATGTACTGGAAGTTGACTTGAATAGTTTTTAACTGCTGAAACAGCCCCAGGATGCTGAGCTGCTTAGAAGGGGAATTGCGATTGCTCGGGGTGTTGTTATGTTGGAAATCAAACTGAGCCAGTCGACTGCCGAAACATTTTTATGCGTTTCGAGTCACAATGTCGCAGTGAGACACAAAATACGACAGCGAACAATATTATAGGTGAAACAATTTGGCAAGCAATTTGGAGAGGCGGGTCGGCCCGAGGGCTCGAAACCGAAAGTTGTCATTGCAAGAAGGCAATTCTCTCATAAGGTCCTTGTGTTAGCGTGCCGGCGACCCTGAGGCCTACTTGAATATCAAAATAATTCCTACAGATTTTGGGACCGGGCAGGACAACTGCATAATTGGCCTCCCTTAAGGGTCGGCTTCAGACTCCAGCACCGATTGCTGATTGTGGAATTGCCAAGTTTACTCCAGGTGGATGGATCTCTCTGGATCGCTTACCCGAAGTTTCCCCGGAGGTTGCCCCGCAAGTTTACGGCAATGCGTGCGTTCAATGATTGCCAATTGCTCGTCGGATCGGGTCGGAAAGACAGGGCAGGGATTGCCACCGGAGGAGAATTCGGTCGAGGACCGTGGATGGACCGCATGCTAACTAGCTCTTGCTTACCCCTACAGGATCCCCGTCCAAGATTTGGCATACCACGTACATACAATGGGCGTCCAATCCACCAGGAACATTCCGAAGGAGACGATATCGTCGCTAGACCATGCCCCGTGGCCTGAACCCGGGATCTTGTTACAAGTTCGAGCAGGGAAGGTCAAAAAAGCCGCCTTGGGAGGGGAAATAACATCCGCGATTTACAAACAGGAACACGACGGGCCAATTTTTTGCACGCCGACTGGCTTCACGGGCGATGAACATGCTTCCTCTCGGCACGGTGGCACGGAGCGCGCAGTGCACCAGTACAACCCAGACCACTACGCGGATTGGCAAGCAGAGAGCGCCCCAGACCCGTCACTTTACGATATCGGAGCGTACGGGGAGAATATGGTCACGACCAGCTTCAACGAGGAGAACGTGTGCATTGGCGACATATTCCAGCTCGGCAACGAGGTCCTCCTTGAAGTCAGCGAACCCAGACATCCGTGCCACAAGCTCAACTCGCGCTTCCAGTGGCAGAGAGCGCTAAACCGCACGATACGCACAGGACGCTCGGGCTGGAACATGCGCGTGCTGCGTACCGGAACGGTCTGCAAGGGGGATCGTATGTCGTTGTTGAAGCGACCTTTCCCGCAGTGGTCTGTCCTGAACGTCCAGCGCGTGATCAGGGCGAGACATGTCCCGCTTGCTTTATTATCGGAATGCGCACAGCTGCTGCCGCTTACGGACCTATTCCTGGGCCTGGCTAAAGCCCGATTGAGGGAGACACCGAAGGTATATACGCTCATTGACGCGAAGCTCGTCACCGGGCGCGTTCGGAAGCTCACGTTCGCGTTGAAAGACGATCTGACGCTCGCGAATCCTGAATTCGATCCTTACGGTTTCGCGCAAATCACCTTCGGGTCATCGGCGTCGCGGTTCTTGCGGTCGTATTCCATCGTCGACGGTAACCTATACAAGTTTAGCCTAGGCGTCTCCCTAGATCACCAAACCCGCGGCGGCTCAGCATACCTCCACAACGAACTCAAACTGGGCGACGAGATCGAGATGGCTCCAGGGATGAATCCCGGCGCGCAAGAGAACGACGCGAGATGCGAGAAAGATGGCCTGACAAAGACGACGCGCATCGTGATTGTGGGCGGTATCGGCGTCACTGCATTCCTCCCGTCAATCCAAGACTGGGAGAGGCAGGGTTTGCCATACAGCATACACTACGCGGTGCGAAGTCCCGAGGATGCTGCGTTTCTCGACCAGCTTCCTGCACACAAAACTACACTGTATGCTTCTTCTAGGGGCGAAAGACTGGACGTTGGAAGCATTATACCAAAGCCTGATGACCTTAATAATGGCCATAAAGCCCGGATCTTTTCCTGTGGGCCAGCACGTATGATGAAGGAATGTGCGCGGATTACCGGGCAGCTCGGATACCCAGAACATATGGTTCATTTCGAAGACTTTGGGAGCGGCGAGGGCGGGATCCTGGGTGAGGCTTTCAACGTTGAAGTTGATGAGCCGGATACGAATAGGCACGAGACGCTGACGGTGCCTGCGAACAAGACTCTGCTGGATGTGCTGAACGATGCGGGCTTTGACATTCTATACTCGTGCAAGTCTGGTGCTTGTGGGGCTTGTAAGGTCAAGGTCTGCGAAGGGGATATTGACTATAAGAGCACGGCGCTCCTGGCCAAGGAGAAGGGGATCGCGCTGCAAAGCTGCGTAGATCGCGGTATTGGGAAGCTTAAGATAGAGGTTGACTGATTGTGTATACAATGATTTACGTCGTGCTAGAAAGACTGTCACGATTTACCTGGGATCTCTGTCCCTCGCTATTGGGCGATTTACTTAGAAATCGAAGGACTCAAAAGATTAGGAACCAATATGAGCAATATATAAGGGCGCATCCAGGTGATACTCTATATCGGGGCACAGTGCATTGGATTCTTGATTCTATTGGTTGGGATTCTCGATGCTACGACATCAGGCCTTCCTTTGATGTTGCCACGGACAATTCATGCTCTAAGCTTCGTCGCATTGTTAGCCCCCGCCTTCACTCGCGTTCCCCCTTGCCAGTGGAGTTGGGGGGGGGGGGGGTGGCGCGCTATTCACCTTACTCCCCGGCGACGGGTTCCAAGCTACCTAGTATGCAGCATTGAAGGGTCGGGCCAGGTTGATTCCCGGTTGGCGGCCCCGACCCGCGGCAAGGTCTGCCGTTGCTTCCCGGGTCCCCGCGACCAAAGTCGCCAAGTTCATACTATAAGATAAGCGCTTTCGATATGTCTGTTTGTTATCAGCGTTTTCGGAGCGGATGGAAAGGAACACGTCGGGTAAACACACCCTATCTTAATCAAGGATTTTTTGACAATACTGGCTTACATTTCGTTGATACAGAATAAGACCATAGTTAGGTTAATCGATCGGTACTAGGTCAGCAGGTTTATCCGATAGTTAACTGGCATGGCAAGGCTTTTATACAAACAACCTCATCGGGCCTGCAAAGCTGTTCACAGAAGGGTGCTCTAAATGCCCGAGCAGGAGGAATTGATTTACGATTACCCTCCTGGGAGAAGGCGCACTGTTTTGTGCTTCCTTGCTCTGCGACGTGTCAGTACAAAAGAACAAGGGCCCTGTGGGCGAGTCGGCCAGGGATTGTTTTGGTTTGTCTATCTAGACTTATCCATGAGAAAAACAGTACTGTACCGGTTCCAGCAGCGTCAAGCCACAAGGACTACCCCACAAGCAGAGAGTGGGTTAGATGTCAAGGTAATCTATAGCGAGCAAATAGGGTCCATTGCGCGGGCATCCCGGGGTCCTCGCGGCCCGTCCGGACTTAACGCTATACTTGAGTCTGTATCTATGGGGCCAGGGTAGCTGAGCTTATCTGTTTCCTGAATAATAGATTCTGAAGTCGGCCGAGAGGTCGCCTTGGCATCATCCTTGATTGTGTACCAAGATAGTGCATGACTGCGGGGCTAAGGTAAAACAAACTGGTGTAGCTCTCGCAGGATCACGCTAGAAACAGGCTGATCGTTCACCACCGCATGCCAGAGATTTGCTGGAGTACTGGAGGGCAAATCAGGTTTACTGCCAGATATCCCGAATAGTTCCCCGGCCCTCTTGCCTTATCTGTCCTGGTGAGCTTGTCTCCAACGTCTAATTTTCGCATCCCCCGCTTTATGGGGAAAAGATATGCCTAGCCCCGCAGCCCTGGTCGGGAACCCTCTGCTGGGTATATCTATAGCTACGTGACACTATCATCCAGGCCATCAAACTCTTTCGATCACCCCAACCATGGCATTACAGTCGATTTCATCCGTCCGAGAGAACAGATCGCCCTCCAACACAGAGGACAAGATCGCACTTGATGCATCTCAATATGGCGAGGCTCCAGTCAAGGATGAAGAAACTGGGGAGTCGCGCGAGATCTTCCAGCTGGGGGTGGACGGCGTTGAATTCAGGACCGTCAGCTGGCAGCGAGCGACTATCGTGTTCAGCAAGATCAACTTTGCCATGAGCATTCTCGCCATTCCGGGAGCTTTGGCGGAATTAGGTTCAGTTGGAGGGTCCTTGTCAATCATTGGGTTCACTGCCTTGAACACATGTATGTAGAAGGCACCGCAAAACCACGAATCTCCTACTGACGGGGTGTACGACGTGTAGATACTGGCTGTATCCTCGGCGATTTTCGCAACAAGCATCCTGAGTGCCACAGTAAGGCCGCCCTCCACAATCCTCCGCAAGTCATCATGGCTAACAATACATCCCGTCCGCAGTGCTGGCAGACATGATGGGTTTTCTCTGGGGACGCATCGGCCGCGAACTTGTTGGCGTGCAGATTGTCATTGCTCAGATCCTGGTTTCCGCGTCTGGAATCGTCACCACAGCAATAGCGTTCAATGCTTTGTCGGATCACGGAACATGCATGGTGGTATTTGCCCTTGTTTCAGCAATCCTGATTACAATCTGCTCATCGATCCGCACTTTCTCGCGCCTCGGCTGGCTGACCTGGTTTGGCTTTGTGACCTTCTTCCTTGCCGTCTTTATCTTTACCGTCGCCGTGACGCAACAAGGCCGACCCGTAGCTGCACCTTCAACTGGTGATTTCGATCTTGGCTGGGCACCGATCGCGTACCCAACCTTCCTCGTGGGCATGGTCAACGCTGTAAACATCTTCGTCAGCACCAGCGGCTCGTCAATGTTTCTCCCGGTCATATCCGAGATGCGCCGCCCACAAGACTATCGTAAGGCCTGCATCCTGTCTGGCTTTGTCGTCGGCGCCATGTACCTCACATTCAGTCTGGTCATATACCGCTGGTGTGGCACCTGGCTGTCCGTGCCTGCCTTTGGCAGCGCCGGGCCGCTAATCAAGAAGATCTCGTACGGGATCGCAATGCCGGGCCTCATCATCGGCGTTGGGATCTACCAGCATGTGGCCGCAAAGTATGTCTTCGTCCGCTTCCTGCGTGGTTCGAAACATCTGCAGGCGAATACCTTGGTGCACTGGTCCACGTGGCTTGGGATCAACTTTGGTCTCGGCTCAGCAGCATTCATCGTCGCGGAGGCGGTCCCAATCCTGAACTATTTGCTTGGCCTCGCTGGTGCCCTGTGTTTTGCGCCGCTCAGTTTGGTCTTCCCGGCGCTTCTCTGGATGTATGATTATAGAAGCTGTAGGTCTGGAACAGCCGTGCAGAGGCTACGCTACGTATTACACGCGGTTATTGTGGCGATTGGGCTCTTCATAATTGTTGGTGGGACGTACGTATCTTCTTCTCCCCTTCCTTTTCTCAAAGAAAATATATCCACATCACACATGGTATGTAGCTAATGCACAACTTCTAATGTCTAGTTATGCGGCTGCCATATCAATACGAGACGCGTTCGCCAGCGGAGATATTGCGCGAGTCTTCGACTGCGGCGACAACTCTGGCTCCATTGCCTAAATACAATCTCAACTGCCGTCGGATACTGTCTAGGCAGCTGTGTCGCGATGTTGGCATAAGACGCGATCCGCATCTCGCTGCAGCTGAGCAGAATAATGGGCAGTAACTGCGTGGAAACAACGGTAGTTTGTTGCAATATATCCACATCTGGGCTAGAAATGAAGAGGAGTTTAGCGTGTAGACAAAGATGGCGCATGCGACATAATCAGCGAAAATTCAAGCAAGGCCACTGCTCAAATAATCACGATCCCTATCCAGAAAGCTTTATTCTATCTAACTCTAGTCCGACTAAACCTTGTGTTGTTCCTGGTTTATCACCAAGGCTACTTCGATGTGTAGGGTAAGGAAGTAAGCGGCTTATTACGAGTCCGAATCGATACACCTTGAACTGGAGTTTAGAACTAATTCATTCGTCCATATCACACCGGAGTTCTAAAGTACAGACTGCTCGGTCGGCCTATATAGGCAAAGTGAGAACGGTCTCCTCCCAGAAGGTGGGGTCTTGTCGCGCATGTTCAAACCCTGTCTCCAATTCCAATAGGCAGCCCAACAAGGCCTTCGAGACGTATTGCCCGCCAAACCCGAAGCGCGTTGATGGAAGGGAATCCGAGACCTCTGTTGAGTGGCCGATATCATGTTGCGCATTACCGTCAGCGACGGGCTTTATCCTCACCACGGGCACTGATGGCTGTAACAGATTGACCTCACGGTGGATCTTACCACCGCTGACACCGGATAGGTATTGTTCAACTTGTTCCGGGGCATATGCACCTAGCCCTAATGCCCGGAATCGATGAATTGATGATAGGATTATTATCACTTATATATGCATATGCTCAAGCCAACTTTTGTAGGATATGAATGCAGAATCCATTCGACCAAATATCGATGCAGCTAATCTGAAGGCAGCATATCTTATTCCAGGAGCGTTGGTTATAGGTTGGGAACACTCGACTTTGCTAGCAAGCGGTCATAGCTCAGATTCGAATACAATATTTCAAGTCTGAGTTCCGAACCAGCGCTGTTATTGATCAACTAAGTATAAAATGATCTAGTCCATTCAGCCTCTCCGGTGCTAGGACAGTGTCCGCGGTGTCCGTCAGTACCAGATTAGCCAAATCAGCGAGCGACATGCCTCCAACCCCGCCAGTCAGACAAAGTCACTCTCCGATCCAGCCTGGAGTTCCGGACGTAAGCCTTGAGCTTATCGGTGCTTGGTATGATATCAAGCCACAGTTGCTGGTTCAACCTCATCACGGCGTCTGCTCTTTGCTAGTGTCCTAGACTATGTACATCGAGGCTGTGACGCCGAGGGTTAACTTGCATTGCATAAGCTTACACACGCCGAGTTATCTTTGTTGACGTATTAGGCGCTACAGCCTCCACTGTCCTTTTCTGGCATCTTGGTTCGATTGGGAGGGCCAAGTACCGTAGGGTGTGTACGACGTGGCCTATCCGATACATGACGAGAAGGTGGGTTCATGGCGAATTATATCGTGCCGTTATAAGGCTTGTCTATACAAGTACCTCCTATAGCCAATTCTATCTTTCGTGATAACAATCTTCCGTATGTGGTCTTCGATGTATAGTTCCTCGTAGATGTTCCTAATATATAGCAGCCAAAACGCCGGAGATGCCAGGTATTAGCCAGAGCCCTGATGCCAAGCAAGAACTATCAAAGTCACCCGCTAGTATCGTCAGAGATAGGAGATGATAGCTCCTGCAGCAGAAATAGAGCGACTCTGACCTCGCGGGAGGCATTGAATGATTGATGCTAATTGGCTAACGGGATACCCCCAATAAAACCAGCCGCACTGCCATTGGACAGACGGTGGACAGTGTGGGGCGAGGCTGAGCCTGGAGTTCCGGGTTGAGCTTCAATTACGTGTACGCAGTGTGTGACCGACAAGACACGCTGTAGGTAGTCTCAAACGACCTAGTTGATCTCGCTGCTCGTTGCGCCAGGTTCCCTGCGAGTATCCATATCCTGGCCCGGATTCATCGACTACTAGCACATCCCCTCCGCCGGAGAGCGAGGAGACGGTTTCGGATCCGCTGCTTCAGGGTGAGCCTTCTGTCCTTCAGCCAGAGGTAGTGGTAGCACAGACAGCTGTTCTACCGGAGTCATCTGCATCCGCGGCTTCTGCCAGCTTCTTTGATACCTTGTTCCCTTCGGACTCCTGTCTATCTGGAGAGATCAACTCACTTCTAGCGCCTCGCCGCGACTCACTAGCCTTGGTCCTCAATGACTCTGACCATATAGTCACCTCTGACATTTTAGGCGACATCTCAACCGCGCTTGTCCCTGCCCCGAAACGAACCCTAGAGTCGGTGCCAGGGGTCAGATGAGATGGTTCACAGGCTTATCGCGAATGAAGTGAATACGCTTCTTACAAAGGTGCCCTCGCTCACGACCCCTATCGCATTTGGCCCACCCCTCTAACAAGACAATAGTTCAAAGACCTCGACGAACCCGCCCTCCTCACCTCCTGCAAGCCGTCATAATCTACACCATAATCCTCCTCTTCCCCAGCGAAGGCTCACCCCCCACAATCCCAGAGGCAGACCTCTTCCGCAAAATCCAAAGCCTCGTCCACCACGCCTCGAGCACCGGCCTCCTCCTGCAAGAAGAACGCGAGCAGATGCGACCAACCTGGTCCACCTGGGTGCACGTCACTCGAAACGCCGCGCCCTCCTCGCACTCTACCAGCTGCAGTGGGCATACTCGGTCTTCCATGACATTCCCTCGTACGAGTGTCGCGATTTGGGCTTCATGCCTGCGCCTGCGGCGAAGATCCTGTGGCTTGCGCAGACCGAGCACGAGTGGAACGCGCATTATATTAGGTGGTTGGCGCGGTGGAGTGGGGAGGGGTATTTGCAGTGGGAGTTTGATCGGATCAGGCCTGGGATTAAAATGGAAGAGCGCGCGGAGAAGTGGCTGGAGGAGACGGATGAGTTTGGGATGAACATGATGTTGATTGGTGAGTGAAATCTGTTTGAGGATTGGTCTCGAATCCCTAGTGCTGACAGTTGTAGTGGATGCTGCTGAGCATCGGTCTGTGGCGTTTGTGGCGGCCGTTCACTGATTTTCGTGTCTCGATGTACCCATGCGGTGCGAAGATACATAGGTGTTCGGAGACTTTCCGCCTCCCTCGTGGATATGGCAACTCTCTCCATTGGGGCTCCCGAGCGTCCTCTAGAGAGCGAAGAACAAGGCCAGCGATGTCGCACACAGCGGCAATACACTCTCCTTTGACGCTGCCTATTCGAGGGGTTGTGGGCATCGCCGGTACGGTGTCGCCCAGTACCACGCGACGTGGTCTCAATTCGCCCATCAGAAGAGAGTCGTCGGGTACACATGTCTCGGTGAAGGTATCTTCCAGGTCGCCAGGTGCGGCCGATATCATGAGTGAAGCAGATGATGCTATATGGCGATACCGTACCTCCTTCGGCAGGCCATTGAAGTGGAATGACCACCGAAGCAATCAGCAGGTGCGATCAGGCACTGTGCCCTGTGATCGAAGTCGCTGCAGTCTGTGTACATAGAAACTGAGACTCCCAACCTGGCCCATACCTCTCTGGCATGAGACCTTCTTCGACAATAAGTGATTCTGTGGCTGTCAGACCGTGTTGTAGATAGGAAACATCCACCGACTATAAAATAACCAACAGGGGTATACTAGATCGACGCTAAATAACAGACCAAATAGCCAGTAAACCAACGGCCATGATATCAAGGAATGGATCAATGATCACCTCCTCCCCTTAGATCCCGCGATGAACCTCGCCAGCGCCTCCCTCTCCCTTCTCATCCCCAACAGCCTCGCATCCTCAATAATCCTTCCCTCCAAAAGCCCCCCTCCCTCACCCTTATCACCACTACCACCACCAGTAGCCGCATTGTCACCATTCAGGCTCTGCACAATCGGATTCACTTTCGCTCCTTGGACCCTCACCCTCCTGCGCAGGCCAACCCCCTTCCCAGCACCCCAAACAACAGTCCACTCGCGGATCCTCGCCCCAGCCGAGACCTCAGCCCGCGCACAGATCTTCGAATGCGCACCAATATCCACACCGGCATTGAGAACCGCCGCCGTCTCAACAACAACCCCCGAATGAATCGTCACACCCGCCGCAATGCTCGCCATGGGTCCGATCGTAACGCTCGATGAGATCTGGATCGCGCCGTCTTCTCCTCCTCCTCCTCCTCCTCCTGTCTGCCCCACTCGTTGGTTCTCTTTATTCCTATCCCCCGTCGTCATCGTCGAAACAACCGTCCCCATCCCCGGAATAGTCCCAATAACACACTTCTCACTAATAATACACTCATTCCCGATAACGACTGGCCCAGCAAAGCTGTAGATTCGCGCGCGCGGGTGGATGATTGTGCCGCGGCCGATTGTGACCGGGTATGTGCCCTGGAAGAGAGCAGATTCTGCGATTGTTGCGCTGGAGCTGGCTGTTATGGGTGGTAAGGCGGGTTTGGGTGTGGAGGATCCGGACGAAGGTTGTGAGTGTGATTGTGTTGCAGGGCGGTGGTGTGGGGGCGGGCGGAGGAGGTTTGGCTGGGACATTGTTTATTTTCGGGTTTTTTTTTTTCGTGGAGGAGGGGGAAAGGGGAGGTAGGTGGCTAGGTGGTTTGATTGAATTGGTGTCGGAGAGTTTGCGGAGGGAAAGTTCGGTGTGGACGATCGGAGAATGTCTGTTGACGTTAAGTTGGTAAGCGGTGTGTCGTGGGTTGGCAATCATGTCTCCGTGCCCCGAGAGCCGGCGTTAGGCGGAGATATTTAGCGTGTGGTTAGCGCGGGTCACGGGGCTTGGGGGCCTAAACAGTGGACCTCGGGGGGCTGAAGTCGATCAGCCTTATTTCTAAGCCTCGTCTTCAGAACAGAGTTTCATTTCTGGCTATCTGTCCGTCCTTCAGATTTCCTGTTCAGTAACAACAATGAGACGGCCTCAGGCAGAACCCGCAAGAAAACGCGCTGGCACCAAGAAGTCGAGGACAGGCTGTCGCACTTGCAGGTGAGCATGCACACCTCGATTGCGGAGTGCAATTCTGACTCCAATCTAGAGCTCGGCACGTCAAATGCGACGAGGCGCCTGGATCATGCAAAAATTGCACGAGTACCGGTCGGTCCTGCGAATATGACCTCCAGCGACTTCCCCGCCTGAGTCGAGCCAGCACCGAAAAGGAGGCCGCAACCCAACAGCTTATGCTTCGGGCAATCGAAAACGGTTTGCGCTGGGCAGTCACCACCGATGAGCGACGATGCTACGCGTACTTCAAATCCCAGACCATCTCCACACTCTCCGGCTTCTTCGATTCGCCCCTCTGGCAGGAGATCCTGCCCCAGCGAAGCCTCTCAGACCCCGCAGTTTACCACGCTGTTGTAGCGTTGAGTGCCGTGCACCAGGATCTTGAGATACACGGCTTACCGTTACCGGGGGAGGACCTGCAGAATGATTGGAATCGCTTCGCGCTCGATCAGTGTGCACGTTCGTTTTCTCTGCTCAGTCGACGTCATGCTTCGCTTGATCCGCGGTTTCGCGAGGTTATGCTTTTGTGCTGTCTGCTGTTTGTTCTTACGCAGCTACTGCGGAGCCAGTATGATGAGGCTTTTCGGCATTTACAGTGTGGGTTGAGGATTCTGAATGAGATGAAAGAGGATTCGCTTGAGACGCACGTTGAGCAGTGTATCGTCGCGGCGTTCACCAACCTGGAAATTCAATCTCTTCAGTATGGGGCTTGCGAGGTTGTGCTGGAGAATAACAGGATCGAGACGCAAATATGCTCTTTTGAGGCTCCGCCAGTCTTTTCCAATTTCCAAGAGGCTCGCAGGTCACTCGACTCCATCTTGGGCGCGGTGTTTCGGTTCCTTACACGGTGCGGCGGCCTATCAGAAGAGGAAATCCTCTCAGACTACGCGGCATTGCACCAGAAGCAACTCGAGCTTCTGTCTCAATACAGTCAATTCGAGACCAGCTTTGACTCGTTTTGCGCATCGAGAACTTTCAACGCAAAGGAGCAAAGAGGCGCTGATATGATGCGGCTCGTGCAACGCAGTCTCGCGCTGACTGTCAAGACATGCCTCCTCCGCGATGAGACTGCACTAAACTACTATACGTCAGAGCATGAATTGCACATTTCAATGGTGGAGGAGATCATGAGCAGGTTTCCCGACCGCCCAAGCGTGACCCTCGACATCGGCATCATTCCACCTCTGTACTCGGCCGCCATGTGGTGTCGGGATCACAGTGTGCGACGCCGCGCGATTGCCGTCCTGAAATCCTGGCCCCACCGCGAGGGCTCTTTCGAGTCCGAGTGGGCTGCTTGGGTAGCCTCGGAGCAGATCAAGGCCGAGACGATGTCTAATAATCTTCCAGAATGCGGAACAACGACTGATTCCTATAGCCGCCATTCCAAGGCGGACAAGGGAAGGTGGACAGGCGTCGAGATTAGTGGCTTTTCGCTTGAACATGCTTTGAACTCTACGAAATGCATGGAAAGGTGGCCTTGCGTCCGGGCAATCCATCAAGCTAGGGCCGGCATGCTCAACTTTTCTCCCAATGCGCCGTGTCTGCCTCCGTTGCCAGAAAGCGCTTTTGCTACTTATGCGCACGAGAAACCAGCTGAAGTGGTGGTTCGCATCTAAGTTACCACATACAAACAGTCACATTGCGATATCAACTGGATATGAGATCCGCCGCCTTGTACGCAATCGCATACACCAGCGCCTGGTAATGCGCAGTGACCGGGTGCGGCAATACACTCGCATCCACGACCCTCAAGCCCTCTACCCCTCTCACCCGAAGATGGGTGTCAACGACCTTGCCCATTGCAGCCGAGCCAGCAGGATGGTAGAACGTGTTCCCGCCTGCCTTTACTTGGGCATCAATCTCCTCGTCTGTAGGCTGCGTGCCGAGAGCTTTGAAGCCAGGACGTGGCGATTCAGATTCAACAATCTCTTGACCCTCCGGCGTCTCCAGGAGAAGGCTCGCAACCTGTCTGATACCAGCTCGGAGGACAGTGCGGTCGAATTCTGTCGCATAATAGTTCGGATCAATCTGAGGCGGTGTTCTCGGGTCAGCGGACGCAAGAGTGATACGGCCTCGCGACGTTGATGACATGCATAGGACTGAAGATGCAATGTGCGTGCCGTCCATAGGAACATTGACGCGCGAGACCGCTGCACCAGCGGGCGCATAGACAACGAGCGTTTCCACATGGCCAGCACCGGGCACGAGGTACGCGTGATTTTCGATATCGGTTTCTCCGTCTCGATGCAATGCACGAATCAGCTCATCGCGGGGAACCTGAGTAGTAGCGATCCAGTCGCAGGGAAGGCCCAGGGCATATGCGGGACTGGTCCACAATGGTGTACCAATAGACAATCCTTTCTCCGGATTGCGCAGCTTCCACCACTGCACAAAGGCAAAGTGATCGTGAAAGTTTCGTCCGACCTCTTCTGCATCAACGATAGTCTCGATTCCATGTTTTGTGAGCTCATCGCGCGGCCCGATCCCTGAGAGCATCAGAACCTGCGGAGTGCGATATGCTCCTGTGGATATGATGACTTCCTTCTCCGCATGGTAAACCTCGCCTCCAACCAGCTGCACTCCCTTGGCAACTTTCCTTCCTCCCTCCTCCTCCTCAACAAGGACCCTCTGCACCATCGTCTCCGTCAAGATCGTCACATTCGCCCGATCCCGAATCCCAAACACCTCACTGGCAATCTGCCGCTTTCCCTCCCGCCAATTCTCAACCAACTCGCCCAACCCAACCGGTGATCCCGAATTCATATCAGTAATACTCGTGACCCCAACCCTCTCCCACGCCCTCCTCAACGGCTCGCGGAGGGGATACTTCCTCTCCACATGACTCCCCGAAACAGACCCGTTATGAATCGGCCCGTCGATCCCATGTACATCATCCACCCCCTCTCCCCTCGCATCAACGCACGTCTCCACCCTCCGAAAATACGGCAAGAGTCCTGCATAACTCCAGCCCTGATCCCCAACGGTCTCTGCCCACCGATCATAATCCTTGGCATCACCCCTCGTCCACGTCCCGTAGTTGATCGCCGACGCGCCGCCGAGCGCCTTTGCCGCTGCGTTGTAGCATTCCCTGTTACTGAGGTGGACTTGTTGGACGGTCGTGTATGCCCAGTCGAGGGGCGAGTTGTGCGCGCCGAAGCAGGCGAGTGGGGAGGATGTCAACGGGTGTGTTGACACGTCGGGGCCCGCTTCTATGAGGAGAATGGTTGAGCTGGGGTGGCTGGTTGAGAGGAGGGAGGCGAGCGTGCTGCCTGCGAGGCCGCCGCCGGCTATTATGTATGTGTAGGTGTTTGTGGTGGTGGGAGTAGACATGTTTTGGGATCGATGGTGTACTTTGTGGTTCTGGGGATCGATCTTTCTTGCCTGTGTCCTCTGATTTAGATGAATTGATGCTGAGAATGAATCTCTATTTATCTCTTGAGCTCTTTGTATAAAACACCCTCCTCTACTTCTACGAGCCTTCTAGTCCCCCTGACCAGTCGCAGCACCTACTGGATCAGAATGACCTTTGTCATCAGTCCCTCTCTCAAACACGAACGAGCAAACTGGATTCCCTCTTCCGGGGCCACTATCCACCAAGCAGACCCCTCCCAACCCATCATCGTGGTACCCCAGAACCGCTCTATACAAATCCCGACTAAAACAGGCCCTTGATCCAACCATAAGCAACGACCTTGGCGAGTCCAAACACGCGCCGCCCAATTAGCGCGAGCGATGGGCACTAGATTAGCCGCCTATAACTGGTACCAAGTATGCAATAGTAGATGTCCACTGCCATGTGTCAACCTGGTAGCATCCACGGTCCATACCGCATATACTACTTGATATTAGCATAGCTGTGGGCCCAACGAGAGCAAGCCCTAACTGACCAACTGGTCCTGGTGAAGTCGAACACGCACCAACCTATCAGAATAGCGTACAGCGGCTTCAAAGTGGGCAGCAGGAGCTCGTAGACTGCCGTTCAGACCCCGAGAACCGATCTTCTGGCTACGTCACGGCTGGGCAGCTCAGCCTCAATTGGCCTTCAAAGTTCAAAGTTGGGAGACGAGGAGGGCTCCACAGCGGATCAGGCTCGAACACGGGCGGACCAATCATACGCAGGTACCAGTGCTGTGCGAAATGGGGCGGATTCTGAACACGGGGTGACCAATCATCTCAAGATCTATGAAGCTACTCTAGAGTCTCAGGTTAGGCATCTGTTATGCGACCATCTCCAGGTACTCGCACTCCCACTGATCGTTCTTTCTGCATACATACCCTTGGTTGAGAAGACTGAATAGTATTTTGCAGCAATAAAAGCTACATCGTAGCTCTAGCTATAGCCACAACCTGCATCCCGGTCGAGAGAGAAGACACTTTTTGTTTTGACATGATTCGTCGGGAATATATCTTGACGCAGGTGGTGCTCGAGAGATGGATTTCAGGGTAACCATGGGTTATCAGTTCCTAGAGTCGATCACGCTGGTTAATGATGTACAATTGATTGAGATCAATATACATGGCCGAGCCAAACCCATACAGCTTAACAAGGGTTACGCCGTTTCGCCACACCCAGTTCTCTCAAATACGTCGCGACTTGGTGGGTTGTTTCTGACCAAAGTTCCAGCTTGTGGTGCACACACACCAGGGTATTGGTATTTGTAAACAAGTCTATAATCTGTCCTCATATTGCACTGTGCTTTCTCTGGAACTGTTGAGCCCGCACTCTTGATTCTATCATGGGCTACTAAGCACGTGGAGGAGTATCTAATTAGGGCTAATCAAGTGTACGCTGCAGTCTGCCATCCATCGGGTCAATGTAGCCTCAACTTTAAAGGGCGTACTATAGCCGAGATAACTCCAAATGAATGCTTTCGCGCATATTGTACACCTCGATCAGTTCCGCTGAAGCGTAATGTTTCTTTGCAGAGTCGATTAAACGTGCTTCTCAACAACGACATGGTAATACCCTCGAGGAAGATGATTCAACACGAGCACTAGAGAACACCATTAGTCAAGCCCCGAAACAAGATTTGGAATATAACAAGGTGAAGGGCAACATACAGGCCAGCAGAATGAGCATCAATCCCGCAATCGCCCACGGCGACTCGCCCAAGTTCTCCCCGGCACCAGTCCTGGTCGTCAGACTGAGCAGCGCAATACCCAAGCCCACAGCCATAGTGGTACCCGTACAGATATACCGCAGCCGATTCTCACTGCTGTGGTGCGAGCCCGGCTGGAGAGAGAGGAGCGAGAAGACGGCGATGAAGATTAGGATCAGGCCCGTGCAGATGGTAAAGTACCCGAATGTGATCTTGAAGACCGAGGTAAACGCGGTAAATGCAGCCTCGAGTCCCTCGATGCCCTCGCCTTCGATTTCCGTCGGAGCCTCCCACCCGAAACCCTCGATGACAGTCTTCATAGCCTCGGTGACTGCATCCAATCCGGTAACCAGAAGCTCCGAGGGGTCCGCGGTCGCCGGGAGGGCAAGAGTCTCATTAAGCGAATGCTGGACCTCGTTGAAGACAACATCCGTCGTGTCAAAGCGGCTAAAGACGTCGTTGAGCATCTCGGTGAAAATGGTCTGGAGCTCCGGCGTCGTGGTTGTTCCGTCGAGGAGGGCGTTGAGGAAGGGGTCGAAGATCTTGCCGATGTCGCCGCTGATGTGCACCCAGAGGAGGACTTGGTTCGTGCCCTCCATTGCGAGGCAGAGGGCGAGGTGGAAGGGGAAGTGCAGGATTGCGCTGAGGTGCTGCCGGCGGCCGCTGATGGGTTCGAGGCGGATGCTGTCAAAGTAGAGTTGGTAGATGAGGTACTGTCGTTATCATTTAGATGAGTATGTCACGTATGTTGAGAGTGAGGGTGAGGGTGAGAGTGATTTTGACTTACGATGATAAGGACGGCGGAGATGAGGGTTCCAATGTCTGTTGCTGTGAACTCGCCGTCGAGCTTCTGGATTTTGCCGATTGTACCGGTCAGGCCGATGATGCCTTCGCCGAGCTGTTTTGGTCAGCCCGGTGTCATCGAAACAAGAGCCATACTTACGATAATCAAAGTCAAACACGTCATCCTCTCGACCAGATGAGTCTTCCACAGCGATACAGCAGGCCACAAGGCCGCCACAGCAACAGCCAGGACGACCTCGGCGACAGCAAGAACATACCACGCGATATACGCATCATACGCCGTCCTGTTATAGAACGCAAACGAGATCCCAAGGTATACAAAGACAGCCACGACCAGCGACATCATGACGACAATCAGCGGCACGCGCGTCTTGCGATACCGCCAGGTGAAAAACAGCGTGCTCCCGTACTGGCACAGAAGAATCACCCGGCTGACCATGAGAATCAGCGAGAGCTGCTGCAGCGGACCCCAGCCGTCGGGCGTGAGGAAGTTGGGCCCGATGACGGCGAGCCCGACCATGACGCCAAAGTGGCAGGCGTGCGCGATGCGCTCGAAGATGCTGTCTGTTGCGAAGCGCACATCGTAGAGGGTTACCTGGCACCAGGTGAACCAGAGGACGCAGATGAAGCCGATGTAGGAGGCGAGGGCTGGAGGGGTTAGAAGTCGATTCTAGTGTTTTGCTGTCGGGCTAGAGGGCTTACTGTCTCGGCTGTTGATTTCGTGGACGGAGGTGAATGATGAGAGGTTGGCGACGAAGAAGAGATCGAAGAAGAGCTGGATGTTGGAGGTCGCTTCATAGTGCTCGAACTGGGGATTCTCGAAGAGGCTCTCGTCTTGCGTGTTGAGTTCGGCTGGTTCATTGACATGGTCACCGCGATGGGAGTGTGCCTTGGTCTATCGAGTCAGGCTATGGTTTGCTATACAGAGCGGGGATAATGTTACCAGAGGACTTTTGAGGATAGGAAGCCGACCCATCTTGAGATCTTGAAAAGGTTGCGAAGCGATTCGGTCTTGATGTTTGCTGTTGATGCAGCTGAATGTTCAACGATTTATACAAACCAATATCCCAACCAAATTTACACACTCCAGCCGCTAGACCGCAAGGTCCGCAGGAAATACGATAGACCACTGGCTAATCTCGCTGATCGACCTTGCATTATAACCTTATCCCAAGGCTTAGACTCAACACACCAATGCTGAAACCCAGCGCGGAGGGCTCTGCGCCGCTGCAGCAGCGGCCAGAAAGCACTGGGCTATTTCAGGGACCCTGATCTCCTAGATCTAATTGGATGAACGGCCGCTTCAGCTTTCAGCTGCTAAATATGGCGGGCTGAGCCAGCTTCAGGCACCGCTAGCCTCCGCATTACCGCCTACACAGTGGCTCGTTGGGGGTTCTCTGCCGCTAGCGGCCGCAAAGGCTGCGGATGGGGAAATGATGAGACGACGAGCGGAGCAAATCTTCATAATTAAGCGAGAAGTTGCCAATCAGAAATGGGCGCAAAGAGGAGAACGTTATAATATGAAACTGAGCATCCCTTTATCAGCACCCGATGAGCTGGTGAGACGGTTGATTTGAAAAAGTGGCGCACCCTGAACCCTAAGTACAGTAATGTTTCTAGCAGATCATCCCAGGAATACAGGCCGTAAGCATGAAGCTCTCGCTTGAACATTCCAATTTAATAGACAAATCGAGCTGAGTAGAGTCCTAAGACAACATTCACAATCTCCCTTGTCCACAAAATCACGACGCAAACATTTCCCCCTCATCCTCTACCCCAGTGAGAGTAACGTATTCCTCGGATCCAGCCTCCTCCAACTCCGCATTCGCATCGCGCGCAGCACGCTGCCCAAGCCAGCCTCGTCCTTCTGACGGGGGAGATGTATCAAGGTCCAAGGGATGAGTCAAGTCCTCCTCGGCATGTGTATCTACATCTTCATCGTCATCGAGATCCGTAGCGAAAGGCTTCTGGTAGTTGGACTTGGGGCCGCCTTCCCGTTGTCTGGTATCAGGAAAGTTCCTCTGGGACATCTTTTACGCCAGCTGATCGTTTTTGATAGTTTTTTATTGTTTGTGGTTGGCAGGGGCGCTCAGCTGGTTTTCGCGTTCGTTGTGCGGGCTCGGTTCGATCGAGGTTGGATTGTGGTCAGATGAGTAGAGAAAGGTATCTGCAAGTATTTGTATAGGAGTTGCCAGGGTAGATAAATCTGACTTATGTATAATACATAAGTCGCGGGTGGCGATTGACCTAACGCTGATGTCAAGACTTTCCATGTGGGCAGACCCAGTGGATCGTGAGGGGACCAAGCCTCATGTACCGGCAGTATACCCCGGTGCAACCACTGCAGTTATTTACTACCCTCAACTTTGGATGCGCTCTCCATGCATAGCCAATAAAATCATCAAATGTATTCTCTGGCAACCCTCCCTCTTCTAAGCCAGACGTGGCAGAGAACATTCGACCGTTTACGGCAGAGCAAGCGCGTAGTCGCTAGTTAAAGAAGCAGAGAAGGGATGCAAACAGTAGGTTGTAAGGAGCGTGCGATCGGGGAAAGTAATAAACAGAAATAAGCCGACCTCTGAGTCCGCTCGAAGCTGTATTAGCAGGTATCTAGGGCAGATTTTCAAGTATTTCTTATGAGCCCAGGGCCTTCGCCCCCCGGACCCCAGTGTCACTACTCTCAGTCTCGACAACGAAAGGTAGACCCAGAACTTGGCTCTAGCTAAGATATGTATAGAGAACTCGTTTTTAAGTCCCGCAACTACAGCCGCGTACCCTGAGACATGCAATTGGTCTTACAATCAAAGCTACGGGTGAAGTATACCCGAGTATTCACAATAGCTCCATAATGCACGTCTTTGAGGATAGGAACAATAATACCAGCCTCTGGGCCCTAGTCACTACGTTGATTGTCCAGGTGTTCTCTCTAGGGAGGTTCCCAAGTTGAAGTCCTCACCATCTACTTTCCTGTGAGCAGTTGGTAACCAGACAACTGTGTGTTTTATCCTAGCTGACAACTACAGATTTCAAGTTCGGATATTGGTAATGGCATTCAAATCATCGAAGAACAGGACTAAGGTCTGCTAGTACAATTTTACAACCCCCTCCTCTCCATAGCATATTATCCCTTTATCACTCGGTGTCGCATTTACGACCAACCCTCAAGATCTCGCCACAATAACATGCTTAATTTTTTCCCTGTAGTACCTCTCCCCCTTCATCATCAAAGATCCCCGCAGACCAATCCGTCATACTCTTAACCCAGTTCTCATGCGGCACATCTCCAAGCTCCGCATACCTTCTGGCACTCGGTCTGGTCAAAAAGTCCTTGTAAAAGCTCTCCAGCCGCGGATAACTTTCCAGCACCTCGCGACCATAAACATCGGTCACCTTCTTCCCCGACGACCGCGTCATGTCGATCCCATAGCAATCGTGCGTGAAGTCGAAGAACTGGAAGAGGACGATTTCTGCAATGGTTGCTTGTCTTTTTCCTGCATGTCGTTCGTTGCCGTTGCTGTTCTCTCTCTCGTCCCATCTCAGGCCCGCGGACGAGTACCCATTCTCCTCGAACCAATTCTCGATTGCGAGCAGACTCCGCCGCGTCCATCCGAGCATCTCTTTCGCGGCGGCCGGGATCCGCATCGTCCCCGTCCCGGATCCAAATGTGCGGATCGGGTTCCAGCTATCCGTGAGACCGCTCGCGAGACTGAGCAGCTCGCCGTGTCTTGCTGCAAGAAGGGGGGAAACTCCTTGCTTATCGCCACCATCCAAATTAGCGTCGGAAATGCCGTCATTGAGCGATGGCGTGGTGATTGACAGCGCCAAAATCGGCGGTTGGGGAAGCTTCGGAAATCCCCATCGGCCCGTATTACAGGCGTCCTCGAGGAATTCCATGATGGCGATGGACTGCTTGATGTAGATGAAATCATCGTTGGTCTCTCCTCCAGTGGATGCTCTTGGAATGGCCAGGATTGGGAGACTCCCCGGGGGCTTCGGAGGGAACCCTTCGGGCGTCTCACCACCGAACTGGACGTCTGACACATGGACGACTGTGACGAGCGACGATGGGATATTTCGTTCCCGGAGGTAGATAATCACTCGGCGTGGAAAGGGCTGCCAGGGGTAAGCGTAGAGGAACCAAGGCGTAGCAGTACTAGTAGACATGTGGAAGAATATAGTATGAAATGACTTGAACGATAGAAGGTGAAATCGTAAAAAGACAACCGTGTCTGATCTCCGAAAGCCTTAAGATGCCTATATTTATAGATCTGGTCGGAAACTTTTTGCATCTTGGCGCGGGGACATTCGACGTAGCCAACAGTGATACACGCACCCGAGTGGTGAAACCCCCTGGCCCCATGCGTCACTGTACATTTAGCAGCTAATCATATGACGCACGCTATATGAGTCGTCCATTATCGCTCAACTTGGTTAAATTGAGGACTGTTTGTTACTATAAGAATTAAGCTAAGACCTTCCTGGTTATGCCGTATCCACATACTACGCCAAGGACCACGTTTTCAACTGCGAGGAGATGGTTACTGCATACATGAACCATTAGGAGGAGCATCCTTGTTTCCAAGTAGCCTAGTCATGACAAGCGTAATCATGCCGCGGTCATATGAAATGGGCGCCGTCGCATAAGAAACTAGAGCCAAGCTGGATGCTTAAAAACTTCCCACCAGACGTGTAGCCTGTGGTGTTAGCTTTCTATCAAGAGGATTGTACCTCGTATGTAGGATCAGTATAACGGGCCCTGCCCATCTGCGTGTAGTACCTAGACCTCAAGCAGTTATAACTGGAGCCACCAAGCTCTAATATCTCAGAACCCGCCGAACGAACATCTCGGATGAACAAAAGCCATCCAGTATACAAATCCTCGATAATCTCGGAGACAAACCTCGGAAGCACAACTTGGAGATCTCGGAGACGACCCAAAGTGGGTCCCGGAGAGTTTGCACGGCATCTCGGAGACATTTTCCCCTCCAGCCCCAACCCTAGTTCAACCCTAGAGCCAAGTGATCCTCCGCGTTATCGTAAGCCTCAATTCGATGTTCGGAACTATTCAGCCGGTGTAAACACTCTATTGTCGATGATTAGTCAATGTACCTATTAATGTGGCCGACGAGAACACGATGGGGGATCTATATAAGGCTTCCAAGGAGAATTGGTGATGGATTCTCTCATCAACATACTATCGTGCTTCGAGGCAGACTTGTTCCTTATTCTATAGATACAGAGTCTCTTTGGTCTACATTCACACCTCAACATGACGTCTCCAATCCCCCGTCCACCTCTAAACCCGGACCTCGCATCAGCCCACAAAACAACACCCTTCCTCGACATCGACACCACCGAAAAGCTGCACTCCTATCGCGAAACTGTCCACCCAATGTTTACTCTTGAAAACGCAATCCGGGGCAAAGAGGACACGATTTCCACGACCGAACTCGACATCCCCGGCCCAGCAGGCCCCATGCGCGCCACAATCCTCCGCCACAAGAACCCCATACTTACCGCTGCCCAAACCCCGGGTGTCCTCCACATCCACGGCGGCGGCCTAGCGACAGGAACCCGGTTCCTCGGGTATACATTCAACGACTGGATCGAGGAGCTCGGCGCCGTGATTGTCACGGCCGAGTACCGGCTCGCCCCGGACCATCCGGCGCCCGCGGGGCTGGAGGATAGTTATGCGGCGCTGCAGTGGATGGCAGAGCATGCAGAGGACCTCGGCTTCAATGCACAGAAACTCATCGTCGGCGGCGGGTCCGCAGGCGGAAATATCGCGGCGGGCCTCGCGCTCCTCGCGCGCGACCGAGATGGACCGAAACTCGCCGGCCAGGTCCTCATGTACCCCTGGGTCTCAGACAGCATGGAGTGGCCATCCATCGAGCAATACGGAGACATAGCCCCCGTCTCAAAAGCGAACCTGGTTACCATAAATGACTACGCCTTTGGTGCGAACCGTGAACACGCGGATATGTATACTGCGCCCCTGCGTGCAGAGAGCCTTGCGGGGCTCCCGCCGACGTACCTGGACGTGGGCGAGGCGGATGTTTTCCGGGACCAGGCTGTGGCGTATGCGGTCAAGTTGTGGGCCGGTGGGGTGTCCACAGAGTTCCATGTTTGGCCGGGGAGTTGGCATGGGTTTGATGTTTTTGTTCCGGGGGCAGAGGTTAGTCGGAGGGCTGTGAGGGCGAGGTTGGAGTGGTTGAAAAAAGTGGTTGGTGAGTAGATGCTGGATTGAGAATGGGGATATGGGTTGTGATGGGTTGTCCCGTATCAATAGACTAGATATAGACTTGGTTTGTTGCTCATGTATTGTTGATATCTTTTGAATGATAAACGTATAAAAGTATCTCTGCCCAGAGCAAAGGCAGAAGGCCTTTCGTGCTGGGGCACCTTTGACTTCTCCGCGACCTCGTCCATCTCCTTGATATCCCTAATCGTGCTCCGTATCAGGTCAGCATCCCGATCATGCTGGCACGCCAGCACCGCAAGCGCCGAGGTTTTCCATGGAACGCCGCGGCTCTCCCGGCTCCGAAACATCGTCCAAACAGCAAAAAGAACAGCCACAGCCTCCATCGCCACAGGCCCGATAAGATACTCCCACTGGATTCGAACATACTGCACGCTATCGATCCTCTCCCCACGCGCAAGCTGTGCCTTCGGCCCGTTGCGCACACGGTCCGTCATGGCCTTGCCATCCTCTCGAACCGCTCCGCGACGTCGACGTCGCCCCCGTTGAAGGGGGCCAGTCCGCGATTGACGTGCTCCGGGGGATCCCCGGTAATGAACTCGGAGACGACAATATCGGACGTAAGCTCAATGTAGGGCTAGCTAAATAGTCTTTGGTCAATGCCTTACGGGAAAAAAAAAAAAAAAACAGCAGCGCTGCATAAACACTGCAAATACCCATCTAAGCCTTTATTACTCCCTCTTCTCCAACCTCCTAATCTCCAGATACTGCTCAACAAGCCCCCTTATCGTCTCCTCAAACCCCACATGCTCCCAACCAAACACCCTCTCCGTCTCACCCGTATCAACCTTCCACCGAATCGTCTCCAGACTCCCCTCCATCGGAAACAAACCACTCTCAACCTCGCCAGGAATATACCTCCTCGCAACCGCCCTAGCATCCCTCTCCCAAACAACCCCACTCCGCGCCGCATCACTCGCAAGAACAAACTCCGAGTTCCCCGGCACGAGCCCCGCATCCAAAGTGTCGACATGCGCCTTCGCGACGTCCGCGACGTGCACGGGGACGTCGACGGAGGGCAATGGCGCGCTGGACTCTTTTCCTAGGAGCGGTGCGAAGACGCACGCGCGTGTTCCGACGAGGAGGTCCGCCGTGGTGGGTTTGTTTGTCGGCGAGGGGATGAGGCGGTCGTTGGGGCCATCATTTGGTTGGAGGACGAAGGTGTGGGGGGCTTTTGGGATGGCTGGGAATTAGGCACTGCAGAGATTAATTGTGCTTAAGAAATTGAATGCTGATGTATCATCATCTTGTACGGCAAAGCGAGCTTATAGATCTTGGTTGAGTTTAGGAACCCGGAGTTCCTGGTTGAGTGGAGCAGATCCCAACCGCTTCATCCTCGATTTAGAATGCTGACCCAGCTTTTTTTCATTAAACGCGGCGGTATGGCCGTATTTGGTTTTATCTATCTGGGGACATCTAGACGGAGATAATAAAGGCAGTCAATGGGTGGTGGAGTTGGCTGTGACAGAGCTCGCTTGGTTGATCAGTGAAGTTTTTGACAGCGACACTTCGCCCACACTTGGGTTCCGGTGGATGTTTTTGCTCGTGAGGGCTATGGAACCCAGGTATTGTTGGAACTCTCACCACTGCAGGCAGTGCACGGTGCTGGGACAGGATATTATTCTGTCCATCAGAAAGCCTCGCGGCTGATGGCCAGCGTGCCTCTCTATACCCAATTCAATATGTAGAGTAGGACCATTATTTGCGAGTCAAAGTAGTAGAGAAGTTGCAGCATCCATCCTTCAAGGTCCTTTAGTATGCATCTAATAATAAACTCGCTCGCAATAATTGCAGTGCCGGAAAATCAATCCAATGGGCCTCTATGTGCGCTACTATAGTTCGTCGCTTCATAATTCCTCGTCATGTTTTAAGGACCGTAAGGAGTATTACATGTGGCTATTCAGGATCATAATCTATAGATGGCAGCCCCAAGAACAGATAAGGAGGGTTCTGCAAATGACCGCAATGGATCGGCGGCGCGATGCTGATCCCCAACCCCAAGTCCAAGGATTCCATCAAGGCGACGGAAACCCAGACCTTTCGAAGCAATGTTCGCTGAGGTCGAGAAGCAAGTCGGGTGCCCTGACTGTCCCAAGGCCAGGGCCGCAGACCGCAAAGCCCTATTCATGTATGGGCACTGCCAGGAACACATTCCGCAAATCCCTTGGAATCACTCTCGCATATCCAACCGGTACCGTCTCACGACTTGGACACATCACTCTGCCTCTGCGAGCTAGCACTCATAGTCGGCCGCGAAACCGGAAGAACCTGCTTCGCCTGCTCCCTCTGCCTCATCTTCCCATACCCATACGCAAGCCCACTAAAGAATCCCAAGAGAATAGCCAGAATGCTACCAAACGTAACGGGGGCACCAAAAAATACAATCCCGCAGATCGCAAGCGGGAGCTTGTTCAGGTACCCGACAAACGAGTACGTCGTCGACGACGTCTTGCGGATGCACCAGGCGGACGAGTACGAGATGAAGATGGCGCCCATGCCGGAGTACAGCATGCCGATCATGAGGTTGTTGCGGGATTCCAGGGGGAAGTTTCGGGATAGGTTTGCCGCGGACCAGTCTTCTGTTACTAGGGAGCAGAGGATCATGATGGGGAGGGAGAGGACGTTGTTGTAGAACATGGCTGGGTGAGAGTGGTTAGTTTGGGTTGCAATGCGATGCGTGGTAGTTGCTGAAAGACTTACTGTCCCAGTCCTTGAAATTCAGCGAGGTGATGAACTTGCGCGTGCCCAGGACGTACGAGGCGGTGCATATGACGTTGAGCCCCATCCACGCGTATCCAGCGTTCAGAGTTGAAATAGAGGCGGCAGTCTCTCCGGTGTGCCCTACACCGTTGAGAGCAGCCTGGATATCAGCCCATGCAGCAACGACGGAGCTGAGCACCATCAAGCCAAATGATAGCAGAAGCAGCGAGGTGACTTTGCCGCCGAACCACCGGACCTCGCCCAGGGCGATGACGATGATAGTAAGGTTCTTGAAGATGGTGTATACCGGGACAGAAAGAAATTGAAGAGACTTGGTGCCGGTGTAGATCATGCCGACGAAAAAGACAGACACGGGGAGCCCTGGTCGGCGTTAGTACGGACAGAAATCGCACGAGCGTCGCAGACATACATCGCTTGGCCTTGCCGCTTTCCAGGGCAGCGAGGCTCGGAATGAACCCCATCTGCTTCAGGGCCAGTATTGCAGCCATGCAAATAACGGACTACCGAATAGGTCAGCTTCGCGGTCTTGATGTGCGATCGCGGCGCATACCTGGATGGCTAGGTACAGGAAATTCAAGTTCCAGGATGAGCCAGAAACAACATATTTGTTCACGACCGTCATGCTGATTGACGAGAAGCAGTAGGCCAGAACAGCAGCAGCAGGATTATTCTCCAGTTGGGTGAGAATGCTCCCCCGGTGATGGAAGCTCTCCCGCTCTCCAAGCTCTTCCCCGCCGTTCATCTCGAGATCCTCGTCCTTTTTGTGCGACATTTTGATTTTTCCGTGTGATCAAAAGTCCAAGACGAAGGCTCGATGTTGGGTATCCAACAAGTTGAAGAATAAATCGAGCCGCGCGTCGAGTTCAAGATGAGAGACGCTCCGCCACCAGGGGCGCAAGGGGCGCAAGGGGCTCCATCACCGGGTCTAACCACATTTGTTGATTCCCAGCGCCGCCAGGGCCCGAAATTGCGCTGGGCTTTAAAGCAGCACGCGGACCTCCAGAGTTAGGGCTACGACGGAACAGCTGGGCTTGCTTGAGATTGAGAGCTGGCTCTCCGAGTTTTCGACAAGAGCGAGGGAGAACAGAAATTAGTCTTTGATTTTCCAGAGCCCATTCGTCAAGCAAAGTGTAGTAACCATAAACAAAGGAGATTTCGAAATATTGACACATGATCCTGTCTGACCCTCTTATCTTCCTTCCAGCAAAATAGCAGTAGCAATAACCTGGAAATGCTCAACACTCGCACAGAGTACAGAGAAAGTAAAAACAAAACACAAATAGATTCATTCCCAATGCAATATGCAACACTAAGCTCCCCCCCTAGTATGCCCACCGCCCCTGGGCCTCTTGCCCCCGGCGCCTCCTTCACTTCCGCCATCTGCTCCGTCTTCCCGAGCTCTCTTGTTTCCTTGAGGCACAAACTGGCGTGCACCGGCATTCAGTGCACCTCGTCCGGGACTAGCTTGTCCTTGGGGTTGTCCCTGTCCTGCCTGTTGTGCATTCTGGTGGCCGCCTCGACCCTGATGGCCTCCTCGTCCGCCGCGGCCGCCCCGAGGAAGGCCAGACCCACGCTGGGCCTGTCCCTGTTGTTGCTGCTGCTGTTGGCCTTGCACCTGAGGCTGCTGCTGGCCACTCCCACGGCCACCGCCTCGTCCGCCTCTAGCAATCGGAAGTCCAGACTGCAGAGCCCGCATTACGTTGCCGCCTGCGGTATGAGCTCCCGGTGGTGGTTTGTTCGGCAGGGCTGAGGGCTGTTGACCCGGTTGAGCTTGTTCGACTTGCAGGGGCTGTTTATTCTGACTCTGTCCGAATGGATTCTGAGCCGCGCTTGCTGCTGGAGCAGCAGAAGCTGCTTGCGCTTGTGGCGCCTGCTGGTCTGCTTGCGCATTCGTCTGGGGTTCGGCTTGAGCAGCCGGAGTAGCCGCTACCTCAGAAACAGCCTCTGGGGTTGCGGTCGAGGCGGGTGCATGTTGCTGATCCGCAGGTGCAGAAGCCGGTGCTGGCGTAGGCGTCGGCTGCGTGACCTGGGGAGCGGGAGATGCAGCTTGATTAGGAGTTGGGGCCTGAGCAGGCTTTGGTGTCTGTGGTTGCACTGGCGGGGCTTTTGCGGTCTTTGCAATCTCCCATACTTCGCCCACGGGCTTCTCGGGTGTTTCAGTGGCCGCTTTTTGGACCACATCGAGCTTGGCCTGAGCGTTGCGATACCTTGACTCAAGCATGCTGTTTCTGGCCGCAAACTTCTTTCCAGTGAGCTCTTCAGCAGCCTTGACCTTCTCCTGCGTTGCCTCGTCGTTGGCCTTCTTCAGCGCCTCTCGCTCCTCGTTGAATTTTTGCTCCGCAGCCGCTTTCTCCTTCGTAACTTGTGATCTGATGTTGTTGCGAACGATGGTCCGGATGGTCTCGTTCTTCACCACAAGTTCTCTGGCTTGCTGCTCGGTGAGCTCGAGGAGGCCACCCTGCGTCTGGCTAGGTGTAGAGGGAGGCTGTTCGTTAGGTTGAGCAACTGGAGCCGCCGCATTTTCTCCTTGGGGTGCCGCTTGCTCTCCTTGCTTGCCGGCTGTCAATCGTTCCACCTCCTGTCGATGTCCGGCTTTGACCTCCGCCATCTTGGTGTTGAAAATCTCCTTCATCCTGTCGACCCGTTCCTTTATCTTCTGTTCAAGTTCAGCATCCTTGGCAGCCAATGCCGCGTCCTTTTCTGCAAGAGCAGCTTCAAGACGCTGAACCTTCTCCTCCAGAGCCTTGACTCTTTCGTCGTCAGTCTGGGCGGAGACCTGGGTGGTCGGAACAGGGAATTGAGATGCTGGTGTTGAGTTGACGGGAGCTGTGTCTTGGACTACCGCTGTAGGAGGCTTCTCGGCAATCTTGGTCTTAAGCTCGCCGAGCTCCTCTTTGGTGGTCTTGAGCTCCTCCTGAATAACTTCCTTCTCCTGCAATACAGCCTCCAACTCCGTCTGCTTAGCCTGGATGCGACCGAGGAGGAGCCTGTTGCGTTCTTTGAATTGTTCGGTGAGCGTCGCGCGCAGCTCATCTGTTCTATCCTTGGCGGCCTTCAGCTGTTCGGGAAACGAATCTTTCTCTGCTTGGAGAGCGTCACGAGCGGCAACCGCTTCATCTCGTTCCTTCTCAAGCGTCTCAAGCTTCTCCTTCAGTCCTTCCATTTCGGCCGGGTCGACACGGTCATACTTTTGCAGAATGTTTTGCGTTCGTTGCTGCCATCGATCCCTGTCGGCTTGCAATAGCTTCATCTCTCCGTCCTTCGTCTCAACGACATTCTCAAGTTCCCGGATACGGGTCTCAAGAGGTTCGATCTGTTGCGTCAATTCGTCGACACGAGCTGACTTCTCGGCAAGAGTGGTCTCGGCTTGCTTGACTTGACTGCGCAAGGTAACACTGCTCTCACGGAAGAGGTTGAGCTCGTTCAGCGTTTCCATGAGCTTGTTGTGGCTCAGAGCCGTGTGCTCACTATCAGCAGCAGCACGTCGTTGCTGCTCGAGTTTCAGGCGTGCCTCGTCGAGCTGAGACTGGGTGTACTCAAGTTGTTGACGTAGACGCTTGCCTTCCTGAGTAGATAAGTGGTACTGCACGTCAACAATCTCCTTTTCACGACGCAAAAAGATGATAACTTCTTGGAGACCCTCCAGATTTGGTGCCGTGGCCTCGCCGTCTTCCTGCTCGTTTTCAGCGATATTGGCACGGTCGCGTTGCAGGGCCGAGATTTGTTTCGTAATGTTCTCAACCTGTGTGTGAAGCAGGTTGTTTTGGTTGAGGACTTCCTCTCGGCGTTTCTGCAGCTCCAAGAGCTCACTCTCGTAGCGGTCCTTGCGCTCGTTCCAGCTTTCCTCCTTCTGAGCAAGGTCTTTCTTATACGTATCGGCCTGAGTACGCAGTTCAACAGCTTCCAGCTTCAGCTGATTTGCTTCGGCACGAACCAACTGCAAATTCTTCGCTGCTTCGGCGTGCTTGACCAGTTCGTTCTCGTAGTTTTGCTGTGCGTGTTGCGCAATTTCTGCCTGCGCCTTCAAATCCTCCTGGTGATACTGAGCAGCGGCAATCTGACGCTCGTTCTCCTCCGTCAACCTCGTAATCTCAGCCTCCAATGCCGTCTTTTGCTCTTCCAAGTGTCGCGTTGCTTCGCCTTGATCATCCCGAAGCTTACTGAGTTCATTGTTTGTCGTGGAAAGCTCAGACGAGATCTCTTCGATTCGTTTCTCAAGATCTTGAATCTTGTTGTCCTTCTCCTCGATGAGGCGCTCGGTCTCTTCCCGATATTGGTCGTTGGTCTCGGTAACCGACTGCAGTCGCTCCTCGGTAGCTTGGCTAATAGCCTTGTAGTCTTCGACTTGCTCCTTGGCATGCTCCAGTTCGCTCTTGGCTAGGTCGAGGTCGCGTTTCAGCTCCGACACCTGAATACTCAATTCCTGCTCTTGTGTCAAACCATTCTCCTGCGATCCTTCGGTCGAAACAGCATTTGCGTCAGCGGGGGCGGCAGAGACACTGGGTCGCGATTGAAGAACTTGAAGACGCTCCTCGGCGCTACGAAGCTCGACAGTAAGTTCGTCAACACGAGATTGCAAGTGATCTCTGGTCGTCTTGGTGGCAACCAATTCTTCCTTCACCGAACTCAAGCTCGTCACCAAGTCGTCAATGCGCTTCTGGTTTTGCTCATGTTCGTACTCTCGTCGCAAAGAGGCCTTCTTCGATTCTTCGATTTCGTCGTTCAGCTTGCGTTTCGTAGTTTGTAACTCTGACTCAAGAGATTCAACATTGAGCTGCAGGCGTCTCCGGCTCTCGTTGTCAGCGTGTTCTCGCTCATTGAGGATGTTCTGCAGGTTTGCGTTGAGGGAGTCGAGACGGCTTCGTTCATTCCTCAAGGTTTCATTGTCCTCGATCAGTCGCTTTTCGATGTTCTTCCAGAGTGTCTTCTCTGCCTTGAGGTTGGCGCTTTCGCGCTGAAGGCTATCGACGAGACCCTTGGTTTCGACTAGATCCTCTGCGGCTTGCTGTGTCTTGAGGTCTTGTCGGTTTGCATTTTCCAAAAGTGTGGCGTAGCGTTTCTGGAGTTCGGAGTTTTCATTCTTAATCATGGTCGAGTTGCTCTGCAGAATTTCTGCTCGCTGAGTGGCGGCAATGAGTTGACTGTTGGAACGGCTGACTTCACTCAACAATTCGCTGTTCTTGCGGGAAAGCTCATTGACTTGCTGTTTCAGAGCGGCATGATCGGTGGCCGTCTCCTCTCTGAAGCTGTCAAAGTGCGCCTGGACCTTCCGCAGCAATTCCGCGTAATCAGGCACGCCTTTTGCCTCTTCTGAGGCAACAGGAGCGGCGCCCAACGGAAGAGACTGCGAGAACACAGCGTCCCCTCCGACGGTCTGACGGCGGCGAGTCAGCATGCTGCGGAAAGTGTCGCGTTCTTTGACGTAGCTCTTGGTCTGAGCGACGAGGTTCGCAATTTCATCCCGGTATGTCTGCACCCGGATCCGGAGCTCCTTCAGCTCCTCCTGTTCTTGCTGTCGGGCAGCATCCTTCTCTCGCGCTTCGGCACCTTCCATCTTGTCCCCTAGCTCTCTAAGCATGCGACGAAGCGTGACATTCTGCTCCTGAAGCTCGTGCAGATCCTTGAATGTCATCAGGTTGTGGCTGATGAAGCGACCTGTGGGGGTAAGGTCGGCAGAAGAATCCTCAATTTCCTTGCGAGCAATCTTTTCAAGTTCCTCTCTATCGTACTCCACCCCACCTTCCTTCAAGAGAGCTGCCTCCAGCACCAGAACCTTGACTTGGGAACTGAGGTCTCTCAGCTGCTGACGCAGAATATCACCCTCACGTGCCAATCCCTCCACCTGGCCTTGCCATTTGCGTGCCTCTTTCGTTGCGTCATCTCGCTCTTTGCCAGCTGTCTCCAAAATATTCGACATCTCAACGACAGCAATTTCCAACCTGGAGTGGTCAGCACGGAGTTCATCGATCTCTGGCTTGCTGGCTTCGAGGTCTTGGACCATTTCATCAAGCGTTGACCGGAGCTCCTGGTTTGTTTTCTGTTCGGCAACAAGCATTGTCCGCATTTTGTCGTACTCTGAATACATTTGCGTGAGAGTCAACCCGCCCTTGGATCGAGATGCTCTGGGTGAAAACGCGCCAAGAGGGGTACTAGCTCGAACGGGGGTGCTTGGGGTGCCGTTCAATCCACGTGCTGGGCTCATAGATCTTCTTCCAGCGATACCTTCCGTCTCAAGTTGATTGATGGTAAGTTCGAGCTCAGCAACACGACGCTCAGCGGCCTCCTTGTCGCTGTGTTCCGTCTCAACCTCGACACGCAGGCGTGAAATCTCCTCCGCTGCGTCATCTCGTACTTTCTCCAGAGCCAGCTGGCATTCTTGTACGCGTTTCTTGGCGGTTTCCGCGGAGTTGCCCTGTAGTTCAGCAAGACGGTTTGCGCTATCCAGCTCAATCCTAAACGACTCGGCCGCTTGAATCGCTTCTTCCTTGAGTTGCTGGATGCTGGAGAGCGATTCCTCGTAGCGCTGTTCAACTTCGTCAAGCCGGCTCTTGAGGGCATTCTCGCTACGCCTAAGAGACTCGATGTTTGCAATAGCCTCCTCATTCTCTCGTTGGAGCTCCGCGATCCGAGCACTCTTTTCCTTGCGGAATTTGAGGTGCTCAGCGGACTTTGTCTTCAGTTCCGTCTCAAACCACTCGTTGTTCTTCTTTGTCAATTCCAGGTCCTGCTGGAGGCTCTGTTCGCGGAACTTGGCACTGGCCGAAGCGGAGTTCGCGGCCTGAAGGCTCTGTTCTGCGGTTGAAAGCTCGCGTCGTAGTTCGATCGTCTTCTTGTGTTGTGTTGAAAGCTCTTCGGCGAGCTTGTCGTACGCCGCCGACTTCGATTCCAAAAGAGCTAGTGTGTCGCGATTCGAAGCTTCAAGAGAGGTTATGCGAGACTTGAGGGTGCTGACTTCGGATTCATTGGAGGTAGAGGAGGATTTGAGCGTAGCAATTTCAGATTCGAGGCTAGATCGGACATTTTCTGTACAAGTGAGCTGAGATCAGACGAAATAAATCGACAACAATTCCTACCTGACTCCTGAAGCTTCTTCCGTGTTTCCTCAAGCTCTGCGCGGGCCTTCTCAACCGAGCCCTTCAACACTTTGATCTTGGACTCGTTGCTGCGGACAGCATTTTCAAGCTCAACTTCGAGTCGAAGCTTGTCTGACCTTAATTCATCGAATTCTCGCGCCTTCTTGGTGATAGCCTCTAGCAACTGATTGACAAGTTCGACCGTGGGAGCTTCAGTGAGCGTTTTCAGGGTCGACTCAGCAATAGCGTAATGCGACGAAAGATAAGGCAATTCTATCGTAGCAGCCGCCATGATGGCTGTAGGGCGGTCGCAGCAAGCTGCTGCGTGATAATCTGCAACCTACAGGCCAGGGCGTCGCGAGGCAATCGTGTTGTTGGAATCGTCCCAAGTTCAGGTAGCTCTCTCCGACTTGCCGCATCTGAGTTCATTGTTTGACTGGGCCATCACGTGAGCGATGTCTAGCTTGGCCAAAACATTCAGCAACCTACTTGAAAGAAGCCGACCAGCCTCCACAGAGCCCTCTTCACTCCAGCCTGGCTTTCGCTTACTGATTTCTTTGCTCTCTTTAAAAATACCTTGACATGAAAGCAAAGCCTCCTTGTTCTAGCCATAATGACACGTTATTGCAAAACTTGAAACATTTGACCTTGCACCTCTTCCTTACTATGATCTTTAGTAGATGGATCACAAATTTTAGCATCAAGACGTAGAATCCATACATCTTAATATACCTTCACCGTCAAACTACAATCTCGTCAAAGCTCCAGCTTGACGCTCTCTCATATAGCCTTATAGACGCATCAGACTCGAGTCCTAGAACAGTTAGCGTGTACAGTCACGTGCACTGGTTCACCAAGAGATTCTAGGCTGCTCTGAGCCATCCTGTTAATCTCTGGAGCCTCAACCTCGAACACCTGCGACTTGACCTCCCCATCCACTCATCGGCTGTACTGACAGCGATCCCTTGCCTACCTCTGACCGGATACCTTCACTCAGGCAACTCATATGACATCGCCCGTCCTCATATAGAGCTCCCGCAGGCTCAGACGAGCCCAGTCTCGCCTCTCAACTTCACCCTCACCTCACCCCTCCTCGGTCCTCCTTCACCGACCCAACGAACCGCAACCATGTCGCACCTCCAACAGCAACTCAAGAGCTTCAACGCAGGAGTTGTCGACTATGCAAAGAGCATGCCGGCACAGCGCCGCTTCGTGCACAACACCTCAGCAGGCAGTTCGCAGATACCCTCGTCAAACCCCACGCCCACGCCCAACAACGCCGTCAGCGCCGAACAGAAGAAGAAGCGCCACGATGCGGACATCGTCTACTCGCAGCCGGCCAACACGGGCACGGGCAAGGATATCATGACCCAGGTGGTTTTTGCGGTCGAGCACATGAAGAGCAAGGGCGTGCCGCTGACGTTCTCGGATATCGTCTCGTACCTCTCACTACAGCATCGCGCAAGCGACCAGGGCTATGTGCAGGCGCTGCGCAGCATCCTGCAGGTGCACGAGAAGGTGGAGTATGATCCGAAGGGAGCGAACGGTGAGGGGACATTTAGTTTTCGGCCGCCGCACAATATCCGCACTGCGGAGCAGCTGCTGCAGAAACTGCAGGCTCAGTCCACGGGGATCGGGATGAGCGTTCGGGAACTCCGTGAGGGGTGGCCGAATGTCGAGGACGCGATCAATAAGCTGGAGAAGGAGGGGAAGTTGCTTGTTACGCGGAACAAAAAGGACGATCATGCGAAGATGGTTTGGGCGAACGATCCTTCGCTGATCGAGCACTTTGACGACGAGTTCAAGCAAATCTGGGAGAAGATCAAAATTCCCGAGCAGCAGGTTGTCAAGGAGGAGCTTGAGAAAGCGGGCATCCTCCCCACCAACAAGAACAAGGTCGTCAAGGCGCGTCCGAAAATTGAGCACAAGAAGGTGAAGAAGCCTCGCCGCAGCGGCAAGACAACCAACACGCATATGATGGGGGTTCTGCGCGATTATTCGCACCTCAAGCGGTGATCCACTCGCCTTATTCACATTTCGATTTTCAGAGCTGGGCCATATCAACTCTTCGGCTATCTGCTCTTTTATCACACAACTTATCAGTACATTATGCATTCAACGGCGTTCTGGTTTGATTCGGAGATACAGCACATCCAGATTTTTCAACTTAAAACTCAAGACCGTGTCTAATGTTTTCTTCCGCGCGCGCACGCACTCGGTTTTGTTTCAGTCACTACATAATGATGTAACATATCAATTGGTAAAAAGATAGATACCCTAACTATGAGAATGAATCATTTCCTTCAGTCTAAATTATTTCCTTCAATCTCAACCTTCCGCTGTTTGCAAGGAACTGTGCAGTTTGATTTGGTGTACTCCTTCGTTTCAGGCATAGAATCTCGAACAGCCATATATATTATAGACACGCTCCAGTCGTCTAATCTAATCCAACTGTCCGTGTGGCCATCTTGTCCTGCGGAGTTTTTCTATAAACAAGAGGCCCAAGACATAAATAGAGCAAGCAGAGGGGTGCGCGCATGTCCAGGAATGCCCAACACGTCCGTTCAATGCAACCGCGAAAATGAAAGAGTACATAATGTATCAGAAAGTTATACATGTAGCAGAAACAAGATATGTACTGGGTAGGTATGTTTGCAGGAGATTGAGAAAGCAAGCGAGGAAGGGGTAGAGAAAGAAGACACAAAAATGGTAATGAAGGAAAGAAATTCAATGCTTTCCATTAACAGCCGCCGCGGTCGAAGCCAACGGCCCCTCCGTCCGCTCCAGATACTCGACCAAATCCTCAATCGTACAAACCTTCAACCCCCACTTCCGCCCGAACCGCAAGCACCCATCCCGCCTCATCATCCCATTATTCCCGGAGATCTCCGCAACGCCTTCGACGACTTCACCCTCCTCAACGAGCTCGGCAATCACACCGGCAGGCTGCTTCCCAGCCAGTCGGCAGAAATCCACCGTCGCCTCTGTGTGTCCCTTGCGCTCGCGCACACCGCCGCTCTTCGCCTGCAGCGGGATGATGTGGCCAGGTCTTCGGAGGTCGGAGGGTTGGGCGGAGGGGTTTGCGAGTGTGCGGCAGGCGAGTGCGCGGTCTTGTGCTGAGATTCCGGTCGTGACGGAGGGGTCTGCGGAGTCGACAGAGACTGTGTAGGCGGTGCCCTTGGGGTCGGCGTTTTCGATCACCATCTGGGGAAGCTGGAGTTTGTTGGCGATTTCGGGGGTTACCGGGGCGCAGATTAGGCCGCTGTCAAACGTAGTTGTTAGCATTATATAGTGAAAAGGGGCAACGGCTATGCGATATGCGCATGCAAATCGCTGGGCTGAGAACGAGGATGGACTCGTGGGACCGAGGTGACAAGAACGAACCTGGTGTGCCGGACCAAAAAGGCCATTTGGGCGGGTGTGATTGATTCAGCAGCAATGATCAAGTCGCCCTCATTCTCGCGATCTTGTGAGTCTAGGACAATGATGAACTCTCCGTTCTCTGTGGGAATCGCAAAGGTCAGCCCCGCACAAGAAGAAGCCGAGTATTAACTGATCCCCGCACGCTTCGACGCAATTGCAATCGGTGACGAAGGAAAAGCGAGAGTTTGATCCAGGTCACTCACTGAACGCTTGAATTGTGTCCTCGATGGAATCGAACTGGAGCGCAGGATCCGTAGGGGAGGGCATTTTTGTGAAGTCGGAGCTTTTTTTGCTCATGATTATGGACTCGGCGAGAAGAGGGAGGATGTCGTATTTGACAGAATCCCCAAGCCAACTGCGATCCGGGGGTTTATACGAGCTCAATTGCTTGATTGCGAAGTGAAATGGTCACACGAGGGTGGGTGGCGGAATTTGAGTCACGGCGGAGGTTCTCGGTGATCTCGGGTTGCGGGGTGAAACGAGGATGAGATGCAGGAGTTGCGATCGCGCTGTCAGAAGTAATTCTCAATCTCAAGATGAGAGGTAAGCTGATTTAGAATGTGCTGATATCACGTAATTGGCAACAGAGCGCAGATACACAGAGAATGTCGAGGAAGGCCGATTGCAAATGGTTTGTAAGTCGTGATCATTATCTTATCCACATTTCTTTTGGTGTCCCGCCGCGGCTGATCCGACCGAGGCCTGTGCCCTTTTGTCATGCTCTACTACCGGGCGAGGAACCCGAGGGTTGTGCAGTAATCACCTGCTGGTGGTACCTAACACTTGCCCTTTGTCAAGCCGGCAGGCGAATGAATATATGTACTAGGAACTACGAGGCCAATGGCAATCCACAAGGATGCTTTGCAACAAATATATTTCTCGCCAAATCATTGTCTATGTACGAACCTAGAAAAAGCTATCTTTATATGCAAAATCCCGCTAAATAAAGTCCATAGTATAAGAAAAACAAACTTGACTAACACGAGCCATGACAATATTATCGTGTGTCGTATAGAGGTTGTCGACCTACCCAGAATCGACTTATAGAGCAACCAAGTGAACAAAACGAAGACCAAAGAGAGAAAAGTGATTATCAGAGACCAAAATCTCCCATTCTCCGCACCTCATCAGCTTGGGTTTCAAGTGCCCTTCGCATCATCTTCGCATACTCTCTTTCGCGTGCCTGTAGTTCACGCTTTCTAGACCGAGCCTCTTCTCGTACGCCCTCGTCGACTTCTCCGTCTAGAGACATCTCATCATCTTCACCAACGTCTTCTGTATCCGGGGTATCTGAAAATCGAATGCGACCTAGGCGATCTCCTGTCCAGACGAGAAGCTCGTCTCCTGTAAGGTTTCCGCCTGTCGGAAGCACTTTGCGAGCAACGTCTCCTTCATTCTGAGCGCGCGATACGCTAGCCCAGAGTCCAGCTGCATCATTGGGGTCCTCACCGATATGAGTCCCAGAATTCGTGCTTGGGTTGAATGCTGTTGCTGTAGGTGGCCGATATGAGTTGATGTTGAGACGGCGGACCTCAGTGCGCCCATCGCGCTCAACCCACTTGATATTCCCATCTCCGTCAGAATAGACAAGTCGCGTACCATGTGATTGGACAGACAGGATCTTTGAGCGGGCCGCACTCTGTCGGTTCTGGTAAGCCGTGTTGAGGGTCGAAGAGCAGGCTGATGGCCCGTTTGTGTCAATATTCCCTGAAGGAGTAAGACGATACAGTTCGAGGGATCCTTTTCCATTGTATTCCCCGCACGCCACAACCGAGTGAGACTCGGGGTACTTTGAGCCAGAAGATACAGGAAACTGAGGGGCAGGGACTGAGACAAGACCACAAAGCCGTCCACCTGAGTGGACTGTATTCTGTAATCTAGGGAAATATCGGCGGTCGTACTGCAGTATACTTGGAAAACGCCCCGCAAGGAAGATCGAATTCACGTGCGGGGCGGGAGCATGTAGAACCGCAAGAGGACCCGGCTGAAACAAGGGGGCATAATTATCACTCGTCTCCGAAAGGTCGGGGCTCCGAATGCGATGCGGAGGCCTGCCATTGGGCTGGAACTGTAAAAGAGGCGAGTCTGGAGGCGTAAAAATCAGAGATTCCGGAACGAGTGCTACCGTCGGCTCCTCACAGCGCAGGTTGATCGTTTCTTCCTCCTCAATTTTGGACAGCCTGCCGTCGTAGATATGAAGACTGAGTGTAGTCGCTACAGTCAGCGGCACAGAGTAATCCGTTTCCTGTGACAAGGCAAACACCGACCACGGATACCTTTGTTGAGAGATCACTTGTAGCGTTGCGAGGTCGACTTCGTTCAGAACATGTCCGACGGCTAGATAAGCCCTTTGGCGAAGCGAATCGACGCTGACACACTCCCCTAGATTGATAAACTCGAGTGCCGATTTTGCCGCAGCATTATCCTGTCGTTTCGACATATCCACCGTCAAAATCCCTGGCGCACTCTTTCCCAGTATGCTGCCCTTCGTAAACCGAGATCCAATCGCATGGGAGTGATTCAGATCCCAAACACAGACACTTCCATCACCTAACGGCGACACCACTTTATTCTGCCTGGCGGAGCTCCAATCCTTCAACAGTCCCATTCCCTTCACTTCGAGATACGTCTTACCCCCACCAGGCGTCTTAGAGAAAGGTTGTTGAAGCCAGCTTAGTGAAATAGGGCCATGTCGAGCGATATATTCCGAGTACCAATCGACGTTTTCCCCTTCGGTAGAAGGATCCCAAGCGGCGGCGGCTCTCGCCCTCTCGCCAAAGGACGGCGGCTGGTCCTGTGTCTCCGCATCGTTTGACCGAGGTTGAATCAGTGATCGGAGGGGCGGCTGTCCCAGCGAACTTAAAGACGCTGTGGAATTCGAGCCGATGCCCTCAGAAGCTCCATTTCTCGGGCGCGTGGCGGATAACGCGGCCCATGTGTTCTCGTAACAGTGTAGCCGCCAGACGATGTTATCGCGGGCGAGAGCAAAGAATCGTTTCGAGACGGACTGCAGCTGTACCTGCTCTGGTGGAGTAAGGTCTTTGAGCCGCGACGGATGCTAGCATGTTAGAGATTGATTCTGTGCACGGTGCAAAGGCTGATGTGGGGTAAAAAAAGGTTCAACAGGCGGGGTGCAAGTGCTTACAGTCAATGATTTTAGTGAGAATTTCCACAGGCAGCTTGTCCATGAGGGAAAATTGTCGAGACCACCATTGAGGGCAGCCCGACCGTTTTGCACCTAGCTGACTGCAGGTTGCGAGACAAAAAGTGCATAATCTCCATGTTGGTAGGGTGAACCGTCCCTTTTATTATTTCCCCGTGAGATCTGCAAGTCTAGACTAGTAGTGTCACGTGCCAACATGGCTTGTACTCCGTGCCGTTGGGAAGGCTTATTGCATGCTATGTAGAAATAAGAATGCTTGCTGAGCTAGTATAGACTGGGAATAAGGGTCGGAGAGCCAAAAATAATAACATAGTACCGGCAAAGAAGGTGGCGCGCAGGACAGAATCTCCTTGCTTCCATGAACTCCGTTTCTCCAAATCGCCAATTGACGGATTCCCCAGTTCCGTGGACCCATGTCCTTATCTGACTACGAGTCAGAGTATGTCCATGCCCGCCAGAATGGAGCCTCCGACACGGAAGGAGTAACCAAAGAGCAACGCAGACCCCAGTTTAATGCAATGCTTCCAAAAACAAGACCAACGATCCCAATAACGCCGCGTAAAGAGTCTAGAAGTGTATGGCCTTATTCGATATCCTCAATGTCGCGATGTCTCGCTAGGACATGGCGCTTGTATTCCTCCTGGTTGGTGTCCCAGAGCTCTGCAGCCTGAGCGTTCAGCGGGCTTGCACTATCGGATTGTTAGTAAAGCAAATCTTATCAAAGAAACCGGGCTCGTACTTGTTTGGTTCGCCGAGGAGACTCTGCAGACTCAGTAGGACATTTTGCACATTGTACACGGCGCTCCACTTGTCCCTAAGGATGTCCAAGCAGATGCGCCCTGAGAAGTCGACGTTCGGATGATAGATCGGGGTCTTGAAGAGAACGGTAGGTGGCGAGTATGGGTAGTTGTTTGGGAAGGAGAAGGAAAGCTTGAATGTAAGGCCCTCGTACGGTGTTTCTGACGGACCGGTGATCGTAGCGGTCCAAGACAGGAGATTGCCATCGGCGTCTGGGAAAGCTGAAATTCCCGGAGAAGGTGAGACCATGAGCTGCATCAATTCGGACTGGAGACTGGAGAGATCACCAAGATTAGCATATAATTTTGGATTCTAGAGTTCAGCTTGGCTAGAATGCACATACCGCTTGGTTACGCCTTGGGTGTCATTCCGCTGAGAAGAAGCTCCCAGCTTGGAGGTTTCATGCGCGTTGGGCGCCGAGTTCTGGGTATCTTCCATGGTATAGTCCATCGCGAGTCACGGATACAAAGAAAGTCGGAAAGTCTTCGGGAGGAGACGAGAAAGGGCACTGAAGGAATCGAGCAGATCGAAACAGGGAAGTCGAAAAAAAAAGTCCAGAAGCTTGACGATAGCAACAGTAGCAGGGCAAGGTTGCAGGTGCTCTGGAATGGCGGCTGGATCCGGAAGCAGAAGAGCGCGAGTGGTTGGAATGGATGGATCGACCCAAGTATGGACTATCTAGAAACAGACAGCTATGGTTTCTGGTCCGAAAGTTTCAGATTTGTGAGCGACAAGACTGAGAAAAAGAGAGTTGGATGCTGTGGAGGAGAAGACAAAGAAATTGGCGCCAGCAGAGCAGAGAAGAGGAGACGAGAGCGAGAGGGGGAGTTGCGCCTTTTCCTGTTGTTTACCACAGCAACCACGAGAGCCAAAAAGCCACCCCATCTGACCCGTCCATCTGCTCCTCTTTGTCCGCAGAGCCATCGCTCTGTATCATGCTTTTTCAGCGATGCTTCTTACTTGATTATTTTTTTTTTTTTTTTTTTTTCACTATATTGACCAGGGAGTCAGATTATCTTTGACATCATTCTCTCGTCGCCTTTCGCATGATGTGCCCCGGTTCCTGCAGCGGGGCTTTGCCGCGGATCTCATGTACGATGGATGTATGGCGAAATGCACAATCCGCTCAGCACCCTGCGAGCGGAATTTGAGTTTTTTTTATCCTCGAGAGGTTTCCTTTTGCTTGCCTTTATGGTTCGCTCGGAGCGTCTGGTTTTACGAGCGGCCGTCATGGATCCTGATTCCTTTGCGACCGGCTCCAATCAACACACTGCCCAAAGAGGATAAAGTGGCTTTCGCGTGCCGACCATCGCGTCTCCGCCAGTGGCCTCGACAACATCCAGCCCTTGCTTGTACATTTCGCCGAACGACTATCATGATTTGAGGCTTTGCTTTTCTTCGCGAGACCGTACTTAGGCTTTTTGATATCTACGATCCCGCCGTCCCGCCAGTCGCACAATGCACCATTCTCAGTTGGCGCCACTGCCCATTGACCTGCCGTTCCGGATAGTCTCCAAGACTTTTGGACAGGGTGCTTATGCGAGGTGTGTTCCAGAGGTTTTTCGTGCTTGAAGAAGTTCTGTGGTCCTTCGCTGACATTCCATCGCATTAGTCTCAAGAAAGCATGCCCTCTGAATGCCGACAACCCGGTCTTCGCCGTCAAGTTCATCAACAAAGATTACGCCGCCCGCCATGGCAAAATCAGTCCACGACAGCTATTGATGGAAGCTACGGTGCACAAACACATTGGTGACCACTATAATATAATTTCCTTCTTCCAGACGGGGGAGGACGGCGCGTGGCGGTGGATCGCAATGGAGCTCGCCGAAGGAGGGGATCTGTTCGACAAGATCGAGGCCGACGAGGGTGTCGGCGAGGACATTGGCCATGTATATTTCTCCCAGCTCATCAGCGCTGTTGGTTACATGCACTCCAAGGGCGTGGGACATCGGGACATCAAACCGGAGAATATCCTCCTGACGGCGGATGGGAATCTGAAAATCGCGGACTTTGGCCTCGCGACACTTTTCGAATACAAGGGCGGCACAAAGCTGTCTACGACTTTCTGTGGTAGTCCGCCTTATATTGCTCCCGAAGTGATTACCTGCAGTACTCGAAACCAGGTGAAAGGAGAGGGATACCGGCCCGATGTGGCAGACGTCTGGTCTTGTGGGATTGTCCTTTTTGTCCTTTTGGCTGGAAATACGCCCTGGGACAGTCCGACAGAGGACAGTTACGAATTTCACGAATATGTTACGACTAATGCCCGTACATCCGACGAGCTATGGCAGAAACTGCCCACCGCGACACTATCACTGCTTCGCGGTATATTGAACATCGATCCACAGAGCCGATTTTCGTTGGAGGATGTCCGAAGACACCCTTGGTTTACCCGGCAAAACAGGCATCTCACACCAGACGGCAGACTACGTGACCCCATCAAAATAGCCACATCCATGTTCGAATCCCTCCACATCGACCTTTCCCAGTCCGTCTCCCGCCCTATGAACGGCGGCAGTTTCGGCGCGGACCGAATGGATATCGACATTGGCGACGACCTCGGCGCCGAGCACAGAATTTCGTCAACACAACCCGAAGTCCCTCGAGGGGACATGCTCATCGACTGGGACGCGCCCCATCTAACAGACGTCTTCTCCTCAAGCCAACCAACCAACAAACAGCCATCAAGCAGCCTCTCCGCCGAAATCCTCGAAGACGAGCCCTCCATGTCGCAATTCTCCCAGCACCCTTCCGTGCCACTCAGCCGCACCCAGAACGCCCAGCGCTTCCACGATATTGTTCCGTCGCGCTCAATGGCCCGCTTCTTCTCCGCCTGGGAGCTTAAATTGCTTGTTCCGCTTATCTGCGAGGCGCTGCATCGCCTTGGTGTTCCTGTCCCGACTGTCCCCGCTGTGTCCCCTGGTGATAACTCTGCGATGATTCGCGTAATCACGAGGGATGGCAGGATGTGCCCGTTGCATGGTAAGGTGCTCATCGAGTCTGTCTCTGAGGGCCTCTTCGAAATTGAGTTTATGAAGGGGAAGGGGGATCCGCTTGAGTGGCGGAGGTTCTTTAAGAAAGTTGTCGTGCTCTGCAAGGATGCGGTGTATACACCTGATACATAGCCTGGCGTACATTTTTTTGTCGCTTGATTTTTATGGCGATGCTAGATGGTCTTTTTTTGTCATGTCTTGCCACATCTTCATCTTGAGTGAATTATGAGATCATGCCACTTGAGCCCCAAAATCATTAAGTCGTATCGTAGCCTTTCGAAAAGAGTGAAGGATAGGTAGGAGATAGTACGAAGAAAGGCCGGCGATTGTAGTAAAAACGTTGGAGCTGAATTTAATTCTCCAAGAAAAGGGTATCGTATCTCTCAGATTCGTACAACACTGGGGTCCCATCTCAAGATGGGACACCATCATAAAACAAGATAGGAGAATTATCACAACCACATCAGATTATAAATGGTCAAGGCACGTCAATACTCCCCACCCATCCAGACTCCAGCAGAGAGAGAGAGAGAGAGGGAAACAGTTCAATAGACTAGCAACACAAACTGCCCGAACGAGTTTTTTCAGGTATATGTGCTGTGGGATAATCCCACGGCAACTATCATTCCGCGAAGCGAACACGATACAGAAAACCGAAAGCGAGTTTAGCTAGTCGTGTTGACGAACTGTTGCTCATTCTGGATAAGCATGCCTGCAATGGTTGCACTAGTGAATGTACTGATGGCACCTGTGATCATCGCACTGACGGCGACGCGGGAAACATCGCCAGACCGGCCGGGCGCAAGCTGAGCAAGCACACCAATTTGGTTACCCAAAGATCCGATGTTGGCGAAACCGCAGAGCGCGTATGTGGCGATGAGGCGGGAACGATTGGAGAGGTCGTCGTACTGGGGGTCGGTCTGGAGAGCGGAGTAGGCGACGAACTCGTTCTATATAATAGGTCAGATTTGTTCTTTCTGAGTTAGGATAGTAGGTAACATACAGCCACGAGCTTGAGACCAATAAGCTTTCCAACCTTGAGCAGGTCACCGTTGCGGCTGACACCGAGAAGGAAGGCGATGGGGTAACAGATGTAGCCGAGGATCAGGTCAAGTGTAAGTGTGGGGTCGTTGATGTTCAAGTACCGACCCCACCAGGTGAGGAGACCGTCGATGAGTCCGATCAAACTAATGATACACAACAGAGTCGCCGCAATCATACCAGCGATCTTGATACCAAGCCAGGCGCCCTTGGCGAAGGCGTCGAGGATGTTGGAGGGCTTCTCATCCGTGTCCTCGGGGATAATGACCCGGCCAGCGGTGAGAGTCTCTTCCTCTTCGGGCCAGCGCAGTTTGGAGACTGCGAGCGAAGCGGGAATACTCATCACACAAGAGGAAATGAGGGCTTGAGGGTTGACTCCCATCTGCAGATAGGAAACCAAGACGGATCCTGCAATGGTCGCGAAACCAGAGCACATAACCTGGTGAATCTCTGCCATTGTAAGATGGGCGATGAAGGGCTTGATCAACATAGCAGACTCTCCCTGTCCAATGAATGGTGAGGCAGCTGCTACCACGGCCTCGGCGCCAGACACACGCATGGACCAGAAAAAGAAAACGGCCATCTTGCGAATAGCCCACTGCAGAACTCCAGAATAGTAGAGCAGCTGGACGAGAGAGACGAAGAAGATGATGGCGGGGATAACCGAGACCAGGAAATAGCCGTGGGTGGCAATGAAGTTGGGAGTGGTCAGGAAGTCCACACCCTCCTGGGCAAAGCCGAGCAGCTCTCTAGCCAACATCGAGACGAAGTCGAAGATGTCGTAACCAGCTTTGGTTCGGAGGACGAAAAGCGCAATGATGAACTGCACCAGCATACCCACGATGACAGTGTGCCAGACAATCTTTCTTCGGTTTCTGGAGGTAACCCAAAGTAGAAAGATACAAACTACCAGCCCGAAAAGGCTCACAGCGCGGTCTTCTCTGGTGTTCCCTGGTGCTTCTGCAGACGCGAAGGACCCGACGATGATGGTTGCAATGGTCACGAGAGCACCACCTGGAATTCGCCAGGCTTCCGGAATCATAGCCACAAATTTGAGGGCAGTAATTCCCCACACATATTGTACCGGCCGCCAGAAGATTCGGATGGGCACGTAAATGAAGAATACCCGGAGCGAGATGGCGAGGTAGAGCAGGAATGGGATCAACCAGCCCAAGTCGTACCGGTGGAGAATGAGGCCAGCAATCCACCATCTTCATCAAGCAATAGAAATAAGCCTCCGAATAACGGCACAAGTGCGCTACACCTGTAACACACTTGAAAGGAGGACTTACCCGGTGAACAGAAGCCATGTGACAGCCAGAAGGACATGTTTGAGATACAGCTTCTTGTAATGGCGAGCCTGCGCTTTGACTCCTGCAAATCGCCCTTCTCCTGCTTCAACATCCTGTCCACTTGGGTTGCTGCTGGTATCAACAGCGTGCGGATCGGAAATGGCCTTCTTCTCCGAAAATGCTTCTTTGGAATAACTCAAGTCGTCCGACTCTGCCGGTAATGCGGGTAGCGAGGATCGGATTGGATCTTCGGGAGTATCTGTAGTCCTTTTTTGGGGCGACACGCCCTCGAAGACATCATCCTTCGTCATGGCGTCGAATCTGTCAAGAGATAGCTGTTAGATGCGCCGTGACCCAAGCAATCTGGAGATGTTGGCGCATTACCAGCACTAGCTCTGGCAAGAACTGACGTGTTTCCTGTTCAACCTCGAGAAACGCGAAAAAAAATGCGAAAGACCAGCGAGAGCTCACGAAACGGGATCTCGAAGCCACGAGGGAACAGCGGTTTAAAAGCGCATGGAAAAGGGAAGCAAGGTGGTGTCAGCTCTGATCGGGTCGTCCGCAATCAGCACGATAAGGCGGCCAGAGAAATAAATTAACAACGAACAGGCTAGGAGGTCTCCGAGGCGTTATCATGCAGGAAGAACGAGCAAGTGAGCAGGGCTTTGTGCGGGGAGAGTCAGTCGACGAGCCGAAGACAAAAAAAAATTCCTCGTGGTATTTGGCTCCATACAATGATCCAGTCTGGCAGTGGCCACCGGGGCGGCGGTCTGATCGCATGATTCGACAATCCACCACTGCTCCGGCGGGCCTGTTCCACTCGGCTTCTAGAAAAAAAAATATCGGTGGCAGGTGCCCATACATGATACGAGGATTCCCTGCTGCGCATGAGCTGCAGGGTTGCATTAACAGTGGCCAAACACTACACATTCACGAATAACCTTGAGGCATCAGATCCTTTGAACTTTTTTTCGAGCTTCCAGTCTGCCAGTCTATCAGGGCAGGTGACCAATCGGACTTCCCTGCGGAAGATCAGCGATAAGAGTGTTACAACGCTAAAATCCCGCCTCCAGCACTCAAGTCGGACGTCTGACGATGCACTGGGCTGGATGTGGATATTACTGCCGAGACCAGCGGCCCCCTTCTCGGGCCTTTGACCATGATAAGACTGCTGCTGGACTCGAGATCTTGTGCCTCCCAGATACATAGAGCGATGGTTAGGGCACAGTGTATCGCACAGCTGGTTCGTGTGGACGCCTCAAGGTGTTGTGTCTTGGCTCGGCGTTTGCCGAGTGGCTGATTTTCCTTTGATAAGCTTTGCCTCCAGGAAGCAGGATCTATGCCTGTTCTTCCAACACTGTGATGCTTGATAGATACGACGATCTCGATGGTGCTCTCCAGGGCAATATCAAAGCCAGCATGACGAGAAATTCACGAGTCTTGAGCTCTCGAAGCCCACTTGGCCGCTGGAGTCCCTGTTGCAAGTACTCTCGTGCCAACCAACGCTATCACCAATACATCATAGTGGGCTTTTTAGTGCGCGAACTAAAACCCGCCACACGCTTAAGGTTACATCCAAAGGACAGCCGTTCCGCCCTTGATCCTGGCGAGATTCCGCGCTTCCGCCAACGACGAACTGGCCATCGAACTTCCCCGGATTCTCCAAGCGAATGTCGTGCGTGTATTGATTAATACGCAATCGCCTAGACTCGAGGTGAGAGCGACGATTTCCAGGTCTGTGTTCCACTGTACAAAGGGCAGATTGGCTGGCTTCCGAAAACATCGGCTGTTTTCAGGTGTAGAGTTACCCCTCACGGGTTGGCGCCAAGGCTGGCCTTCCCACCAGTCTTATTTGAGCTCACGAGACCAGGTCGACTCGTCGAGTCTCATCTCCGAAGTCTGGACTAATTCGATACACGCTCACTCCGCAATATCAAACCACCAATAGTATTCCTTGGATTGTCCAACGCGACAATGGATTCGGAGAATATTCTCTGGGAGGCCGAGGAGGGCGTTCCCCAGACCCAAGATGCGTTTATTCAGCGGTTCCTGGATGGTCGCGATTCTCTGATCCAAAGAGAGGTCTCACAACGACATGGTCAGACCCCTTGTCCCACTTTCCTCGCCCGCTTTTCCTGACTGACCACCATCTCCCCTGTTATCTAGACTTTAACCTGCATAATTCATTGCCCCCAGTAGCCCACAGAGCATGCCAGATCGTGTCTCAAGCATGTGCCCAGGAGCTGGCGCAGACCCAGCAAGATGGCTACCCATCAGACGGGCTCTTACATCCGAGCCTCATGTCAGAACAGGCCAAGGAGTGGATGGAGCAGTCTGATCTCTACAAAATTGTGCGACGTTTGCCCAAAGGGTCTCTTCTGCACGGGCATCTGCCGGCAATGATTGACACGGACTTTCTTATCGACCAGGTGTTTGCCACACCAGGAATCCACATATCCGCCCCCAAGCCTTTAACAAGCGAGCGCGACTTTCAAGAGGCGCCAGTTCTCTTTCATTATCGTCCCACTGAAAGTTCAAGAGATAAGCCGTCATTGTGGTCACATGATTATACCTCATTGGAACCCATCGACGTCCAAGCGGCTGCTTCTTCGTTTCCTGACAGCGGAGAAGCTGGATTCCGTAGATGGCTGAAAAGTCGCTGTACATTGCAGCCAAACAATGCTGGTGGCAGCAGAGCAGTCTCAGATCTCTTCCACCGTTGTCTTCCCATAATCAGCTCTATTTTCCATCATGAGCCGATCTTACGTTCATCTCTGCGACACATATTCTCTCAGTTGGCCGCCGACAGGATAAGGTATGTTGAGTTTCGAGTCGCTTTCACATTCCAATACACGCCTCAAGGAGATAGCAAGACTGAAGAAGACTATTCTACGTGGTTTCAAACCTTCCAAGAAGAGGCCGAACGTTTCAAGAGTTCTGAGGAGGGAAAGCAGTTCTATGGCGCGCGAATCATCTGGACAGCCATGCGCGACTCGTCGAACAAGAACATAGGACTGAGCATGAAGCAGTGCATCCTCATAAAGCAGAAATACCCCGACTTGATCAGCGGGTTTGACCTGTTCGGTACTAAAGGTCACGACAGACCACTCAATGACTTGCTTCCAATCCTGTTCTGGTTCCGTGGAAGATGCGCCGAAGAAGGGCTGGACATCCCCTTCATCTTCCATGCCGGGCAATCCCACGGTGACGGAGACCAAGCCGATGATGATTTGTTCGACGCGGTGTTATTAGGCTCCCGAAGAATAAGCCAGGCCCTCTCGCTCTATAAACACCCTCTGCTTATCGATGTCATCAAGACAAAACGCATTCTAATAGAATACTCTTTGAGATCAAGCGCATGCCTTGGATTCACCAGCCCTTTCCAGTCCCATCCTCTTCCCGCCCTCTTATCTCGCGGTGTCTCTGTCGCTCTCAGCAACGATGCTCCAGGCATATTCGGTCTTGGAGAGAATGGTCTGTCGTCAGAATATCTCGGCGCACTTCTTGCGTTTCAGAACATGGGCCTCACGGGCCTCACGATGATGGCGGAGAATTCTATTCGATGGAGCTGTTACGAAGATCAATCTTTGAAGGAGTGGACCACTGGCATCGAAAAAGGCATTGTTGGTGAAGGCTTGAAGGCTTCTCGTCTGCAAGAGTTCTACGCTGATTTTGAGAAGTTCTGCGAATGGGTAGTGCAGGAATTTGAAGCAAAGTATGGGGATCAATGAAGAGCTCGGCGCTTGCGTGCATATCCACCAATCTTACTCAACATATACTGCGATATTGACATATAAGTCATGGAGGTCCTATGAAAGAATGGTTCTCTGTCAAAGAATCACAGCTACGCCACTATGGAAGTACACATTTCCGCCTTGGTGTCTGGAGGAAAGGCACGTGACAGCTAGCCAGAGAGGCTGATGCATAGCTTAGTCATTAAACGTATAAATGATCACAAGCGGGACCTGCCTTATCTGCCTTGGGCTTGAGGCTTGAGCTTGCCGCATCAGAGACCCCGAATCCCCCGGAGTTGTCCTACGTATACAAGCGAGTGACGCTCATCAGTATCTAACCCTCTTGAATATCACGCATGAGCTCTAGAGCTTTGGCACAGCTCGCGTGCGTTGTCACGCTAGGATTTGGCTTTGTTCGGTCCACCTGACTTACCTCAACGGCCGATCTTCAATCAGCTCGCTAGCGCCGCGTTCCCTGAACGTCATTCAACCAGGCACTTGTTGAACCCTTTGCACCCAACGCTCTCGACAGGAACTGCTGTCCGAGTCAGCGTTACCCTCTATCTTCGACCCTTCCTGTTCTCTTTTCACTTCTCTACATGTTTTCTTATTATGTTCTTATTCCGATGACATTTAACGTCTTTTGAGTGAGCCTCGGTCGGCTCTTTATCGCCCAGGATGTCCATCTTCCTACCTTGGTTGTTCCAGAAGCGTATGCTCAAATACGTCCTATCCCGTCTAGAGCTCATCGACACCGAAGCTCTAGATCTCGATAGCTTAGGGATCCAGTGGGGACAGCGAAGCACAGTCGAGCTCCGAGATGTCGGATTGCACCTCGAAGTAAGTGGGCTGGAATCCCTCTTCCCCGCAGTTTGACGCAATTTCACCGCCGGCATCACTAACCAGCATCGTCTCTATGGTAGAAAATAGCCGCACTCCTTCGCCTTCCAGCGTCAAGTGAACTGCTACGTGCCCGGATTCGCTTGCTCCGAATCACCGTCCCTGCCGATATTCACAGCAGCCCGATCATCTGCGAGATCGGCGGTATCGATGTGCACTTGAGGTTACCTTCAGAGGACGAAGTTGGAGCTGTAAAAAATGGCATTTTTGGTGGCCACGAACCGGATCATGACACTATTCTGCCGAGCCCGGCGGATTTGGCCGAGTCGTTTCTACAAACTGAACCAAAAGAGGAGAAAGAGGAGCTGGAAGCCGCCATTTCATCACAATCCCAGATGCTACACCATAGTTCAGCGTCGACGGATGAATATGGCAACGACGATATCGGGCTCGGAGAAGAAACACTATCATTGCCTACTTTCGTCGCGGACTTTCTGAGGGGTATTGCGGATCGCCTGCAGGTTCGGGTTGATGACATCGCCATACGACTTGATGTAGAGACAAAACAAGAGGGCCCTTCCAAGAGGCAGCCTGAAGAGAAGCCTGATCTGATTACAGGGCTCTTAACTATCCGTCAGATCAGCGTAGGAGCTGTTGCCACAGCTTCCGCTCCCGATGCACACTCACTGCACATTGGCAAGAGACCGATATCTTTCTCCGACATTAACCTCGCCCTTGTCTCTGAGCCAATAGTATTCTCGAACTATTCTCGATTCACTGCCCCGGTATCGCCTACGACTCCTTTGCATCCGAAACAAAGCCAACCTTCGAGCCCTGCATCGTCAATACCACCCCCGCCGTCATCCGTATCTAGCTCCGGTCATGCCATGATGGATTCGACTATCTTTGAGCCCTCCCAGCATTTCATACCGACGAGCGCGAACGAGTGCGCCGCGTCTAGGCTTGAAGAGTCCACTTATACCCACGATGGCAGGTTTTCTGATGCAGATACAGAGGAGACTAGAAGCTACGGATATCTTGAGCAATCCCAGAATCTGTCAGAGGATGAAAGGTTGTTAGATAACCCAGGATACCTCGATTCTGTGATCGGTTCTCAACTTCAAGACGGTGATCTCGACGACCTAGATGGGCTTCTATTTGACGACACCAATCATCTTGACACCGATGAAAGTACACCTCGGTTGCAAGGCTCAATGTCACAGACTCCAGACGTCCAAAACATGCTTCCGGGGTCCAGCACTACGCCGATTGTGGCTGCTTCAGAACCAAATGTGCGCGAGCATCGAAGTCAATTTTCCCACGATAGCTCTGTTCCCGATGCTAGAGAATATAATCCTCCATCATCATTGCCTAGTTTACCTCCGCGGCACCCAGAGAGCACTACAGAAGATGATTTGGGGCCACCACTATCCATACCGATTCCCCCACCAGACACTACGAGCTCGGATTCTGCCTCCAGTTCTTTCAACGCCGATCTCTCCGAATCGAAATTGTTCTCCAACGAGGAAGCCCAGAGCATGTACATGAGTGCTATAAGTCATGGTTCTACCTCAAGGAGTTTCGTTCCAAATATGCCTGGCGCCTGGGACTCCCCTGGATCCCCAGTAGATCGCGGAAGAGTTCCCCCTCTCCATTCCTCAGGGTCAAGCGCAATCCGTCACAGTGAGGATGAAACGAGAATACCAACACCTAAGCCTTCATACAATGAACACCCGTACTCGCTGGGCCATGCAGCTCTCAGTGACGTACAGGAATCACAAGGTGATCCAGCTGGCGGACACTCATTTCACTCCTCAGCCGACTCTAACGGGATTACGGACGTGGCAAAACGTTTCCTCAACGTCGACCGAATCACAATCTGGATACCCTCGGCCAAACCTGACAAGCAGCGAAAAGACAATAAGAAAGATGACAAGAAGCGGGTTCCGCTGGACACTAGAGGCGACAACCCTAAAAACTCAATCATCCACTCGAGGTTTTCTTCCTCCTTTCGAGCTCGCAGTGACTCGACTGACCTGGCTTTCGCCGTTGAGAATGCTGATATAAAGCCGGATCCCAACCCAAATATAGGGTCAGATGCCGGGAACAATGATATCGCAGTTGAGGTCTCGTCTGTAGAGATCCAACTCGATATAGCCCTTGGTTGGCTACTTTCCAAGTACGGCCAAAGACTTCTCCAGGCCTTTGGCGGGAGTGGCCAAGCGAGCGCCGCCGAAGGTCCCACTGGGAAACCTCCTCAGGACCCTAAAGATGTCAATCTTACTCTGGGTAAATTCTCTATTAAGTTTGTCGAGCATGTTCCTGGAAACCCTTATCCTCCAGGGAGTCAAGAAGAACACCACAACTCCTTCCTCAATTTCTTACATGATGATATCATCCTGCAGACTACGGCATTGGGTGTAAAGAGCCGTTTTTCCAGTGGTGGGGACACAACACAGCTTTCGGTCGAGATCTCCAAATTCACACTTGGTTTTGCGTCTGAAGACCTGGTTTCGTTCAATGAAGACTTGAAAATGCGAGAGTCTACTAGAGATATCCTATCGCCCGTCGGTGCGGATATCTCACTTTCGTTAAATAAGTCTCCAGACTCGGCGAGACTCACCATCGCCACACTCCCACTCAATATCAATATAAACATCCAGCGGCTAGAGGAACTTCTGGGTTGGTTTGGAGGCTTGAGCACGATCCTGGAACTCGGCAACTCGATGTCTTCCCTTTCCGGCGGTAAGGGACAGAAAAAAGAAGTACCAAAGCGACCTCGCGGTGTCCATTTTGAGGGCTCCCCTCCACCGAAGGCAACAATATCTCAAACCGACGCTGCACCTGACGCTACACCTTGGAAAGTCAACGCTAGGCTTGGTGGTATTTCGTTGAAAGTAGTAGGAGAGAGCCATCATCTCACGCTGCAGACGACTGCTGCCAAAATAGTCAGCAGATTCGAGGGCATAGCACTTCAGATTGACAAGGCAAAGCTTTGCGGGCCCTTGGCTTTTGATGACTATAGGGATGCACCAGCAAAGATCAGCCTAAACAATATTCGACTGGAATACCTGTTTACTCCGAAAGAGCCTGATCTAGATCGACTCCTCGCTCTAATTACCCCATCCAAAGACAAATATGACGAAGATGATGATATTATGATAGACACTCTTTTCAGACAACGAAAGCAAGGGTCTGTCCTCCGTGTCACAGTTGCTGGGGCCAAAGTCGTTGTCTCCCGCATACCCGGCCTGGAGCCACTTCAGCAACTAGGGGAAGAACTAAGCAGACTGTCTACCGTTACAAAATATTTGCCTGAAGATGATCGGCCAGGCATCTTGACCCTGTTGCTGATCCGAGAGGCTGAAGCTCGCTTGCACGTCGGTGGCAAGATTGGCACTGTCACCGCAACGCTTGAGGATGCGGAAGCAGCGCACATCAGCATCCCGTCCCTAGTAGCAGCTCAGGTAGGGTCAATCCGACTTGTGAGGAACGACAACGAGGAGCTTATCGGCCAAGCACTGCCATCTGCCCTTGAACAAACTCGCATTCCAGTTCTGATGGCCCGTTTCATCGCCGATGAAATGGACCCGACGATTAAGATCAAACTACATAACCTGCGAGTCGAGTATACCATTCCTTCTATCGTAGCATTCCTCGGCATAAGCGATGAAATGTCCTCAGGAGATGTTGCTGCCAACATGGCCTCGTCTTTGGCGAATCTTGCGGAGCTGCAGTCGCAGTCAGAAGAAGCCCAATCTACAAACCAGGAAACAAGCCCTACTCCAGTCAAGCCTACCAAGCTGACAGTCGCTATGCGGGACTGTATCCTCGGTCTCAACCCTCGTGGGACTGTTGCTAGAGGCCTTTTCGTCTTGACTAACGCGAGTTTCTGCGGCACTATACACGATCCTTCATCATCGGAAGCCACGTTAGATCTTCGAAAAGCGTCTATCATGATTATTGACGATGCAAGCCACACTGAAGAGGAGAATAATCCGCCCCGGCGGCGGGTACCCTCCTCCCAGAGCAGCCAAGTCCAGTCTTTGATGGATATGGGATACGTCTCCGTCTCGTCGATATCTGCAGCCACAGCCACTGTAAAGATAGTGCGTCTGGGTGACGATGGCACAAAGTCGCTTGATGTTGAACTTAGGGACGACCTGTTAATCCTCGAAACCTGTGCTGACTCCACACAAACGCTTATCAGCATAATGAACGGGCTCCAGCCTCCGACTCCTCCGAGCGTTGTGACCAAGTATCGCACTGAGGTTATGCCAATCGACGATATGCTGGCGTCCTTTACTGGAGACGCGTTTACGGCGGATTGGCCGGAAGGCAGTGCAGCGACTGTTGATAAGGCTGAAATTCCTGAGAGTGATGAGCTTGAATACGTGAGCGATTTCTATCCTGTGACGCCGAGCCTTCAGCATGATTCTTCCAATGAGGGCTTGGCACTGCCAGGGTCGAATGAGCTGGTCGATAGCTTTCACTCGAATTACCACGTGTCGTCTAGTGTTTCAGAGCTTGACTTCCGGGAAGACCACTTCACACAGCAATCTTCAGTGGGAGGTACAGCACACAGGTGGGATTCCACTCAAAACACATATGGCCTCTCAGATGATTCGAAGCTCCAGAAGAGTCCACTGAGAGTCAGAGTACGCGACGCCCATGTCATTTGGAATCTCTTTGATGGATACGACTGGCAACGAACCAGGGATACAATCTCCAAAGCTGTCAAGGATGTAGAGAGGAAGGCTACGGAGCGCCGTGGAAGAGGAGGAAGCAGAGCATCTCCAGGATTTGAAGAAGAAAAGGAAGACGTCATTGGAGACTTTCTATTTAATTCGATCTACATCGGAATACCTGCCAATAAGGATCCGAGTGATCTTCGTGGCGATATCAATCGCAACATTGACGATCTTGCCAGCGAGACTGGCAGCTATGCAACGACAAGTACGGCTACCACGATCCGGCCAAACCACTCGCCTAGCCTTAGAGGGAAGAAGCTGCGCCTGTCACGAAGCAAGTATCATAAGATGACCTTTGAACTAAAGGGCATCAGTGCAGACCTCGTCGTTTTCCCGCCCGATTCAGGCGAGACGCAAAACTCGCTGGACATCCGGGTAAAAGACCTTGAAATCTTTGACCACGTACCAACTTCTACATGGAAGAAATTCGCCACCTATATGCATGAGGCTGGAGAAAAGGAGAGTGGGACCAGTATGCTACATCTTGAGATCTTGACTGTCCGACCTGTTCCAGACCTTGCTGCTTCGGAAATTGTTCTCAAGGCGACATTACTCCCTCTTCGTCTCCACGTTGACCAGGACGCTCTGGACTTCCTCAGCCGATTCTTTGAGTTCAGAGATGATTCGGCACCCGCTCCTCCAGGGCCTCCTCAAGACGTGCCGTTCCTGCAGCGTGTGGAGATTAACGCAGTCCCGGTCAAGCTCGACTTCAAGCCCAAGCGGGTCGACTACGCTGGACTTCGGTCTGGCCGCACCACCGAATTCATGAATTTCTTTGTTCTAGATGAGGCTAATATGGTGATGCGACACGTCATCATATATGGAGTATCCGGATTCGACAAGCTCGGACAAATGCTCAACGACATTTGGATGCCAGATATCAAGCGGAACCAGCTACCCAGTGTTTTGTCGGGACTCGCCCCGCTCAGGTCCCTAGTTAATGTCGGAAGCGGCGTGAAAGATCTCGTCGCAGTACCAATGCGTGAGTACCGAAAGGACGGCCGTATTGTACGCAGCATCCAGAAGGGCGCGTTCGCTTTCGCCAAAACCACGTCCAATGAGCTCGTCAAGCTGGGCGCCAAGCTTGCCCTCGGCACGCAGAATGTGCTACAAGGTGCAGAGGAACTTCTCACCACGCCGGCGGGCCTGCCATTGGGAGATGAGGAAGACGACGGCGACGACGAAGGAGCCAAGAAGATCTCGCTCTATGCAGATCAGCCGGTCGGAGTCGTACAAGGTCTTCGAGGAGCGCTCAGGGGATTGGAGCGCGACCTGCTCCTGACGCGAGATGCGATCATCGCCGTTCCCGGAGAGGTAGCGGAGAGTGGCAGCGCTAAGGCTGCTGCAAAGGCGGTTTTGAAACGAACGCCGACGGTTATCCTTCGGCCAGCGATTGGTGTCTCCAAGGCTGTAGGACAAACGTTACTGGGAGCCGGGAACTCATTGGACCCCAGCAATCGCCGCAGAGTGGAAGATGTCAGTCTTTCTTTTTCCTCCCACCGGCCTCCCTGCTGTGAAACTGATGGGCTAACGATCGATTCTAGAAATATAAACGGCATTAGAGTTCATTGGACACGACACATTTTCCTTGACGACTATCATTTAAAGATTCCCCCTCCAACGCGATCTTGCTTGAGCATTTGTATTTACTTTTGTTTCTCTTTTATTACTGGCCAGAGGATGAGATTGCAGCCTACCTATGTATCTGACTGGGAGAGAGATTTTCATTATTTTTGGCTCATGATGACGACGACAGAGACGATACTGGCTGATGACTCGCGATTCCTTCATTATACCACGGCGCAGCATTATTGGAGTTGGATTCTGAAACATATGAGGCTCAATTATAGTCTGTGATATCTACGATTAGACCGTGTCATCAAGGCGAGATTAATACTACACCGTAGCAGTTGGGCATCTCTGCTGAAGCAGCTCTTTCATAAGGATGGCACAGCAGAGTCCAGACAGCAAGACGGGCGAGCCTTGCGTTAAAGTTCAGGAACTCTGCAGACTTATGCATGACACGTACCGTCGGGTGATCCTGTCTCGCTGAACGGCTGAGAGCAGTTCGCCACCGTCTGGGCTGGAAAAGTCGGTGTTGCGTGTGCGATTGGCTGCACACAGAAAACGGGCGCGGACGAATGAGAGCGGAAAGCCCTGTGGTGGGAGGGAACACACTGAAACAGGAATCGCCGTCAGCAAGGGACAAATCTGGAGCCACGTTGCTGCGTCCAAGTCCATAATCGCCCTTGGATCTGGTCTGCTTTTGATGTTTTGTTGGTGGAGACGGGCCTGACCTGACCTGGCAATGTGACGTCGCACTTCTTTCCTTCGTATGCTTCTTCATCTCTCTCCCTTCCAAGGCCTTCGCTTTTTCTTCCTGCATCTCCCTCTTTAGCTCTTGCTTCTGTCGCTCGTTTAATCTTGCGTTCTAATATTGCATCCTCTTTTCTTTTCTTGCTTATCGCCTTCTTTATCCCCCTCACGGCCTGCAGCTGGACCCCAGGCCCGCAGCCATTTTCTTTCGGTGTTTCCGACCAGGAATAATGAAAGTGAGACACCTGCGAGCGGCTTCATGCTTGTCACGGTGAAACAAAAGGCGACGGTCTCGGACAACGGAGATTATATGTATCAGAAGCATCCCTAAAGCTTGTGCTGTGTCACTCCGACCATGGAAGTCTGGCCCACCCGCCATGATTCCCTCCACCACCAACACCAACGCCAGGCATCTCCTCCTCCCCCCTCGCTTCCTCTTCCCTCCCAGAGCTCTCCAACCCTCCCCATAGAGTCTCTGGCCGGTTATCCAGGTGTCTTATCTCTGCACAATTACCGTAAATCCCTCTCGCGCACCCAGCAGCGCCGCGACGCTCCCGACGGCCAGGAAGGAAAGACGCTCAGGCGCAAGAACGCCGCTGCGAACCTTAACAAGACAACGACAACGCCCACAGCTCAAATGGGAACTCTCTGCCAGCAGAATGCATACTACCATCCGTTCGCTGCGTCTTCGACGACATCGAGTCCTCCGCCGCCGCTGTCGCCGTCTTATTCTCCCAGTGCGCTGAGTGATCAATTGTCTGACTTGGCGGATGAGTATAGATGTAAGTCTAGTGTTGGTTGTTATTTTTGGAAAAGGGCATCCAATTGCTGACATGTTAGATCAATTGTCTCCAGTGATCGATGTCGGCAGCTACGATGGGATGATGGGCGAAAAGCAAAGCCCATATAAACTCCTGGTGAGCTCCAAATCCAAGATATCCTCCTTACCTGCTGTTGACCATGCTAGGACACTTTTCGCGATCGACTCGAAAAGTTTCCCGACCCGGAAACCCCGGATATCGTCGGGTTTCACGGTCACAGCAGGGCTCGGTCAGACTCGGTTCTGTTCAAAACCCGGCGGGCGAGGAAACCGCCCGCAACGGCTACTGTGGTACATCAGGGAACGTCGTTTGAGATTCTGAATCCGCACGAATCTCTAGACTTTGCGCGGATAGTCTCATATATAGAGGATGTCGATAGCCATTCGGCCAGTAATTATCAACGAGATTCTTACCTCCATAGCTCCGATGGCTCTCATACGATTCACGAAGACATTATTCAAGAAGAGTCGGTGGCAGGGGAGGCTCCATACGATGCACCATGCGAGGACTTCAATGAAGATGAAGAAAAAGCTCACGACGCCCTCGTCGGTGACTCACCTCATCACCCAATGCCATCGATCTCCGAGCGACTCGAAGAACAAGAGGTCGAATCATGCTATACCCCCAGCGTCCGACCCATGTCACGACCCTTGTCCATGGTACGACCCTGGACAGCGCACAACGTAATTGACATCGGCGAACCTGGGCCCATGATCCGCGACGACGAAGACCTCCCTCCTGCACCTTTACCACATACAACAGACATAGACCCCATTCAACTCGCCGCCTTGTACGATATCGGCCGCCTCCCCGAGCAAGGCAAAGGAACCGATAACCCCACCGCCGTCATCTACAGCGAACACCCGCCCCTCCGCAAAAAATCCACCATGACTCGCAAAAAGCGCAAGGCGCAAAATTCCTCTTCTTCTTTCTCGTTTTCGCCGTCCGCTGCGGCTGCGACTGCGTCGGCGCCGTTGCGGCGGTTGCGAGGGATCGCCCAGTCCCTCCGTCGAAAGACGTTTCCTAGGGCTAGCATGTCTTAGCCCGCTAGTTAGCTAGCTACTAGTGGCTGGTTTCTCTCCGCTGAGCGAGAGCACTCTTTCTTTTACTTTCTTTTTGTCATATTCTTTTCTTGTGTCTGGGTTGGGTCGATGTATCAAAACGGATCGTTGAACGATCCTATCCACTAGTTTGTTTTAGTCGGTGTCAGGTTAGGGTATGGTTTCTATGGAATGGATATGGATATGGCGGCGCTTATCTGTATTCAAGTTATGTATGAACTGAACCGCGCTGCGCAAAAGCAGCGCTGATTGAACTACCGTCATTAGCTTCTGAAAGTATAAGTAGCTAGAATGTGTCCGGTTAATAAGACTAGTCTGACTCGCAGTGCCTACAATATAGCACTGAGACTCTTCGACAATACGTCTCCATACCTCTTAAATCATCGTCGCACCCGGAATATCCGCGTGCCACTGATTACCCTGTGTCAGAGCCATATCAGTACGATCTACACAGGCCTCACTGTCTCATACTCCATTTGTCTTATCCTTGCAAGCCTCATCCGCTCAACCCTCCGCCCCTTTTCTTCCATCCACGCAGTCTTAACCGCTTCTGTGAACTCCCAGTGCACGTCTGCCGCAGGCCAGAATTCAAGGTAAGCCATTTTCGGGAAGTGCATGGTGAGTATAGAGACTTGGATTGCAATGACGACGGGGTCTGGTTTCAATTCTATCTCTGAATCATAACTCTGTCCCGGCTCATCATTCGGATCCGGTAACATATCTTCTTCTCCATCTTCCTCTTTTGGTATGTCGAGATACGTCTCGATCCGGTGACGAGACGAGTATGGATAGTTCCCCGATGAATTCGGTAGGAGGAGATGATGAACGGACAAATCCGTCAATTCTGGAAATAGTGGTCTGTCCGAGGCAGAAGTAGTACCAGTCCGGTCTTCGAGAGCAGAAAGGTCGAGTGGCAGGCACTTAATCGTGCAGAAGACCAGAGACCGGCATGATTGGCCCAACGCGATTAGAGACTCTGTCGTAAGGCTCTCTTGTGCGCAGTAGAGAGATAACTCGCGGAGATGTCTGAGGCGAGAGACGAGCGAGGTAAAATGTGTATCTGTGATTTTTGGGATGCGGAAGTACGGGAGTGAGGATGTTAGGCGAAGCTCTTCGAGTTCGGTGAAGAGTGCTAAAGAGAGGAGTTCTGGTAGGTGAATTTCGGTCCGTGTGTGGAATTTTAGATTTAGGGTCCGAAGGTTTGGTAGGTGGGTGGAGAGGTCTTGTAGTGTGAAGGTGAAGGTGGTGTTAGTAGCACCCGGGTTCGCTTCAACGGGCATAGTCATGGGAACAGCCTTTAAAGAGCGAGGGAGGCCCACGCAGAGATGTTTCATGCTCCGAACATACGGGAGAAGTTTCGAAAGGACGCGGATACCGACTTCCGCCCCAAGCACAAGACTTTCAAGCGCAGGAAAGGCGAAGGGGTCTGGGGCCGAGACAAGACCTGCGGCGTCCACGATATCCGGATTGAGGGGCATTTTTGTGTCGAGTTGTTTCAAGCCTGGCTTTGTAGCGAGCGCGTGTAGGATCTGGGGGGTTATATCGTTGTGGCCCGTAAGACTGATGTGTACGAGAGATGGAGATGTTTGAAGATAATGCAGCACTGCATCAGGATCCGCGGCCAGGCGCGCGGCCCGGAGATTTAGTTCGACACGCCGTAGCCAGGGACAGTGTTTTGTAAGAGCACCCAACAGTGTTGGGTCTGCGACGCAGCCGAGCTCGATACCCGTTAGGGTCGGGGCCAGGTAGCATCTGAGGCATTGAGTTGGAAAGAGGGAGCCTTTGGAGTACGAGATCCTAACCTTTAGGGTGGTTAGTTGGGGGAAGTCGAGAGATCTCAGATCTTCGTGATCTTCGCTATGCTGGCTTGTAAGCTCAAGCTGTTGGATCAAGGGGGAATACAATTGACGTCGATGAGGCTGAATATTCAGAAGACGATGGTCTGCTGCGTGCTTCCAGATTCTAGGGCTAAGAAAGTGGAACCATCTCCGGTTGACGCGAAGATATTGGGCGGACTCGTAGAGCGACGGATCGCCAAGGGCTTGGAGAAAGAGCTCCAGAGGGAGGGTATCCATGGTGCTTGAAAAGCCACATTGCAGGCTCGTGTTGTTGTTGAGAAGGAGCGTTCCGCATCGCCTTGTATTCCTCCTTAATGTCTGTCTGATTGCTGCCTTGTTTATGCCTTGTTGCCCCAGGCATCAATGGAATGCTCTCCCCCGACTTTGTTAGCCGCCACTATCGCCATCGCGGATTTGCATCAGCCTTTATTTCCCGTCCACTCGTTTCGCCACCGGGGCCGACTGGGCGTCTTTTGCTCATCAAAGATTCAAAGATGTAGAGGTGTCCGCGGCTGACATTCAGCCAGCCGGTCCGGCTGGGAAATTGCGCGGATTACTGAAGGATGTCAACAACAAAGAAGCAATCACAGAGTAAAACATGATCTATAAATTCGCAGGCTGTGGAGCAGAGTCTAGAGCGTGGTGAGCCCCTGAGGCCGCGCAAAGTGCGAGCGCGAAATCATCTGGGAACGCGCACGGTTTGCCTCCTGGCTCGTCCGGGCAAAAGAAACCAAGGCCGGAGATGAAAAGGGGGGTCAGAATCATAATTAAACGTCCTTCGCGTTGGCTCTTCCTTGCCCTTATTAACTATCTATATCCCTGTCCGCAAGGTTCCAGGCTCTCCGACTTCTGCAGGCCCCAGTAGTGACTTGACTGGGCGTATCCAAACGGCTCTTGTTCCCCACGCTTCGCCGACCCAAGGATCCAGGTCTCTTTCGCCTGCGGAAAACTCTTCGCTCCTCGCCACGTCCCCTGAATTCGATTCCATATTTAACTGTCGCCGCCGACGGTCCAGGAACAGGAAAGATTTCTTTGCAACGGACGTGTCTTGACCCTGTTGACCTCTCGCCTGCAGCCTGGACGACTACCGGCGACACGGCTCAATATAACCGCTTTGGGACGCTGCGAATTCGCCGAGGGGTACAACTACAAATTCTCTTCCTCCGCAACTCCTGCGACTGTCCTTCACTTCGAGCGAATTCCTCCTCTCTCTCTCGACAACGTCAATTCATCGCTCAAAATCCCCTCAAACGCCGCCGGCATGTTTGAAGACTTCTCGTTCTCCTCCCCCTCCTCGTCCAGGCCACCCCGCCTTGCCCTGGACGACGACAAACCCATGACCGACTGCGACAGCTCCATGATCTCGCCTTTGTCCTCGCGGTGTCCCTCGCCTCGATCGTTCGCGCCGCCACGATTCCCTCCTTCGAGATCGCTGTACTTTCGCTCTCCGCAACAGCAACAACAACAACAGGCACCCACCTCGGTCCCCCTCGCCGCATACGACCACCGTCTCTCGATCGGCACCCTCACCAAGAAACTCCACGAACACACAATCCAAAACCCATCGAGCCTCGAGCAAACCTCGCGTCCTGCATCCCCTTCATCAACCCCAACCCCTCGCTCCTCCTACTCCTCCCGCTTCCCAGGCTACGTCCTGACCCCACCAGACACCGACCACGACGACGAGGGCTACGGCTCCCCAATGTCCCCTTCTCTCTCCCCGCAGCCACAATCTCCATTTTTGAACCCGACCTCCGCCCCGCTAGACTTCGATCCCTTCATGCAAGCCGACCTCTCGGTCTCCGCAGACCCCATCCGCACCCGCCGCCAACACCTCTCCAGGCTCCAAGTCCAATACAACACCACCGACCTCGACGCCATCCGCTGCGCACTCGCTGCCGCCGCGGACGACAAAGTACGCCACTTCAACCCCGTCCTCACGGAAGCGTGCCACCCTTCCTCCCTCCCGCCAACTCAAGGCCCGCGACGCCGGCGCACGGCCAGTCTGCGGGGCTCCCGCGTGCGGTCACCCGTCAGCCCGGATGCACCCCCGGGCTCGTCTGGTGACTCGCCTCTCCGTCGGAAGAGTGTATCCGGGACCGGGGGTTCGTCGCATCGGATTGAGAAGGGGTACCAGACGTCGTCCGGACGGGATCGGAAGAAGAGCGAGGCGGGACTTAGGCGGAAGAGTGTTGTTGGGGCAGCGTTGGCCTCGATGCTCGAGCAGGGAGAGTGATTCGCCGCTGGTACGGAAGAATGAGTTTTGATTCTTGCACATATTAGAATCATATATATAGATTGAGCGTATATATATGGGGTTATATAACTAGATCTTCCTTCTGATTCTGTATAGATTGCATGCCAGTTGTCGCGTTCAAGATTTTTTTTTCTCCTTTTGTTGGCGAATGATGCGTCGTCATCATAGGCCGCCGATAGCCTAGTATCTATCTATCATCAACGCCTCGACAACGGGACTTTGACTCGTTTCACAGTCCATGGTGTTTTTGAAAGAGGGTGGGCAAATCTTTGTTAGAGCTGGACTGTGGATTGGGAAAAGCAAGCATCCGATCTTGCTGGCCAGTCTGATCACAAAGTAGAATAAATAGGGAAACCGAATTTGGAGATGAAGCAACAAAAGGATGTTGTCCCGTTCTTTTGTTCATGGGAACGAAGGACAACGACGACCGACTGTGATAACCGTCGGTGGGGAAGAAAAAAGAAATGACAAGGGTGGGATTCGAACCCACGCCAAATTAATGACGCGGAAACTGATAAGATCAGATGAGGGATCCGAATTGGGAAACCTTAACCGCGCGCCTTAGACCGCTCGGCCACCTTGCCTGTTGATGAAGTAATGCAGCAATACTGTAATCTATAAGCCAAAGATGTAAGATCCCTGATTGGGACATGCAGGAAGATTCATCTGATAGATAACCTTGGCTCGTGTGTTTTACCACGCCGTGATGAGATTTTGGCGGCTGGTTCGTAATGGAGCGTATCCTAATTGCGATGCATATCTGACTCGCCCGTATGGGTTTTGTGAATCAGGTCCCGGTTACGATCATGATTCTCTGGCTGCAGTGGTTCCATATATACTAGGTAGTCCTACACTCTGCGATCCAATCGAAGCATCGACTTGCCACTGATATACTGACTCTAGTGAATCCCGAGACTCCAATTCGTTCCAAAGCCCTACAGTCGAGCTCGTCAAGATCCGAACAACAAAGCAAAGCAAATTCATCGAGAGTCAAATCGATCTTGCATGAGACACATCGCATCATGCAGCCCAGCCCGCGCACCGGCCACACCACCACATCGCCTCCTGCAAGCCCAGTCATCAAAACTCAGTCATGGACGCAATAACTGCAGCTCATTGCCAATTTCAGAGAAGTGACATAATGCCAGCCAACCATCGTGGTTGGTTGGTACGATATATTAAAATGATAGCATGAATCGCATGCCCTAATCGACGGGACTGACGTCAGACTCGGCCGAAGCTCACGGTGCAACAGTCGACCCCAGGAACGGGACTGGACAATGTTGTGGATTTGAATTTTGACAAGGGGAGGGTCCGAGTAATCGGTCGCCCATGAGGATCTGTGATTGGGCTATATTCTCCGAGTTGGATTTTATTTTGGACGGACTCCTTTAGACCTTTTTCGTGTCGCTGTGATATTTGATTGGAGCTAGTGCTGACTACAGGATCAATATACCCACTCGATATCGGTCAAGACGAGTTTTAGATATCGAACATCGAATAATTCGACATCAAAAAAAGACAACATCAAATCGAGCAATCGCTACCGGAAGTTTAAAAAAAGAACATACCTCATAACCGTTACTGAACCGCAACCCGAACACTCCAAGCCCACGGTAGCCCGCAGCCGTTGGTACGTCATCCCCCTCCTAGTATGGGACTGCGCGTTACAGCTCAAATTCAAGTTCCAATCCCAATCAACGAAATCCTGAATGAATCGAGTCTGGCCACTCAGCAGTAGCAATCTAGGCACTCCATGCATCCTTCTAGCTCGCTCGCTTTCGCTCCCCGCTTACTTCGTGCGTTACGACTCCCGCAAGCCAAAGTGGCGGGGATGATCTCATTCTAGACTCTCGACAACACCCTCTTTGCCGATCGAAGGCCTTGTCTTCTCCACTTAGAAAAGGCTATGCACGCATGCTAAGAGGCCTAGTTCTGAAACAGCAATCTGAGAGGCCGAGACCAGGTGAGGACGTGGAGAAAAACCGTTACGGTGTCATGGACGTTGTTAGTCTCGATCGCAATGGCTGCAGACTTGCATTGCATTCGCCAGTCTTATCGTGATATTAATCTACATTAATATGGCAGATATCCATCCATACCCAGCAGAAGAATCCCTGCATGTTGACGCAATACAAGACCGGTTCTTTCTATTCCTGCTTTTGTCACTGTGAACCTCGACATGAAGCTGTTCCCTCATTATTATCCAGTATGTTCCAGTCCATGGCACGGTCCAGTCAGGACCAGGCCAGGCCACGAGTCGGCTGTACCCCGGTAGCACCAACAACGTACCGATAATCATTAAACCTGAATCAAAAATTGGCCGTCTCCACTGCCCATTCTACTCCGTACTCCTAGTTACTAGTCTCACCCTGCTTCCCTGCTCCGTTCAGAATAAACTCTACTCCGTACGTACCCTTCGTACTACTCCATACATCATACCGTCCCCACCCACCTAATGCTGCCCTCTGCCCATCCTCAGGCGTCCATACCGATTGGCCGCGCCACGCACGCAACCCCCACTGCAGGATGGTGTCTGTGGCTTGCAAGGATGTGCGGAGATCTGAAGCTGATGGGTCTGATTTCCGGCTGGGAAGCTTGGGACAGCGGCAGTCGGTAACCGAGCTAGTCCTAGTTCTGCAGGATGGGCTGGTTCAAGGTTGTTATGATGTCGTTGTGACATAGATTGTGTTTTCTTGATTTTTATACTGTCGTATGCTTTGTGTATAGAGGAGGGAGATATATATAGGGTGTTGGGATCCTGGTGCCTTGGGTTTGAATCATTATCTCATACTTATTCACGACTGTATATCTACTATACTCTACTACCTACATCTGTATTATACTACCATCTACGACGACTTACGATAACTTACGTTCTTACGACTTAATACTATACGAAGTTTACGTTGGATTTCATCAACTTACTCCTCGAAGCACTATTCAAAATGTCCGCCCCTGCCGCCAAGTCAGATCAGAGAAGCAACGCCACCGAGCTCTCAGAGCGCCGCCAGTCCGGCTCCAGCGCTGCTCCCCAACAAGAGACCCAGAACCCTGAATCGGGATTCAACGCCAAGAACGCCGCTGAACAAAACACCCCCGAACAGGATACCGAGCAAAATACCCCTGAACAAAACAACGACCTGCAGGAACAGGAGCCCGAGCCTCTCGACCGTGAGCGCGGAGACGAGCCCTCTACCCCTGCCCCAGAGGACAAGGAACCCCAGACAGAACAGCGTGACGACAATGAGTCACAGGCATCTGGTCCCGCAGGAAGCAGTGGTGGAAGTGGTATCTTTGGAAAGCTCAAGACGCTTGGAGGCGGTCTTACACAGCAAGTGTCGAGCACGGTGAAGAATGTTCCCAGTCTCGCCGCCCAGCCACTCGACATCCTCAAAGACCTACAGATCGGTGAGGGCGGCGAGATTGCTGGACCTGACGGAAACATCATCGGACGAGTTGTTGAGGGAGGCGAGGAGGCCATTGGCGGGACAGTCCAAGAGGGAGGAAAGATCGTCGATCAGGCCGGCCAGACCATCGGCCAGGCAGAGCTTACCGATGAGGTAAAGGACACTGTGGAGAAGACTAAGAAGGAAATCCCAGAGGAGGAACTAGAGGGCGCCAAGGATACCGCGGAGCAGGCAAAGGACGAAGCTCCTGAGACCGACGACGTCAAGGATACCGCAGAGGACGCAAAGGATGACGTCTACGAGGACGCTCAGGACGGTGCCGAGGATGCTGCAGACACCGCCGAACAGGCCGCCGACGAAGCTGGAGATGAGCTGCCGCCACTCTCCAGGCTAGAAGGCTTGACATGCAACAAGGCCGGCAAGATCATCGACCCGAACAGTGGCAACCCCATTGGTGAGCTAGTCGAGGGCGATTCCAAGAAGCTCTCAAAGCTTGGAAGCAAGCTCGATGACAAGGGCCAGTTTTGGGATAGCCGTGGAAACGTCATTGGCAAGGCCAAGACGATCGCATTTGAGGACCACGGGGAAGAGCCTCCTTTCGCTGGTCTTGAAGATCTTCACGTCGTCGAAGACGGGTTCGTCGAGGATAAGAATGGCCGACGAGTGGGCAAACTGACTGAAGGCGATGCCAAGAAGCTGATCGGCCGCCCTGTTGATGAAGACGGCGATGTTACAGACCAGCATGGCAGTGTCAAGGGCCACGCCGAGCCCTATGAGGAACCTGAGGAGGAGCAGCCCCAGGAGGAAGATCTGTCTATCCTGGACGGCAAGACTGTCAACAAGGCCGGCAAGGTCGTCGACGAGCACGGCACGGTTTATGGCCGCGTCGTCGAGGGTGATGGAAAGCGGCTCGCAGGGAAGAAGGTCGACGGCAAGGGCCAGATTTGGGGTGACAATGGCAAAGTGATCGGCAAGGCCGAGCTCATCCCCGGTGCTGAGCAAGAGAAGCCCGAAGGTGCTTTCTATGGCTTCGAGAATCTCACCGTTGGCAAGGACGGGGTTGTGCAGGACGGATCTGGCCGCACTGTTGGCCGCGTTATTGAAGGAGATGCCGCCAAGCTCGCTGGCCGCAAGGTCGACGAGGACGGTGATATTCTGGACAAGAACGGAAACACTATTGGACGTGCTGAGCGCTGGGAGCCAGAAGAAAAGAACCGCGATGTCAACCCCATGGCAGGCCGCAAGATCACCCGCGAGGGTGAAGTGCGCGACGCTGACGGCAATCTCATTGGCAAACTGACTTCCGGTAACCTGAGCCAGCTTATCGGAAAGGAGATCGATGACAACGGATATGTCGTGGACAACGATGGAAACAAGATCGGCGAAGCCACTCTTCTCGAACACATTCCCGAGCCTGAGGAGCCAGAGCCCGAGGCGGAGCCGGAGGGCCCCTCTGCCGAAGAGCAGGAAGCCCAGAAGAAGGAGCAGGAGGATAGGGAGTTGGCCAAGAAGATGAGCGGCATCATCTCCCAGACTCTGGACCGCGTCACTCCGATCTGCAAGATGATCACCGAAGTAAGTTTCTTGCCCCGAAACCAAACACATAAGGCGTTCAACTAACCCACTTCTAGCACGTCGACAAAGCAGAAAAGACACCCAAGGATGAGCTTGATGAGGAGCAGCTGGTCAAGGATGTGAAACCCTTGCTCGAGGAGGCCAACAGCCACCTTCAGGAGTGCAACGGCGCAATCCGAGCGATGGACCCCGACGGCCGTATCGCTAACAATGCGAAGGCCCGCGCAGCTTCTCACGAGGCGTCTCCTGAAGAATACACACTCGCCGATAAGCTCAAGGAGCTTACCGACACAGTTGTCAGGACCATCGATAACGGAAAAAAGAAGATCAACGGCATGCCTCATGCAAAGAAGGAGCTCAACCCGCTCTGGGGCCTCCTCAGCGAGCCCCTCTTCCAGATCATCGCCGCCGTGGGTCTCTTGCTGTCAGGTGTTTTGGGTCTTGTCGGACGCCTTCTCGAAGGACTGGGGCTCGGGCCTCTGGTCAATGGCCTGCTGGGTGGCCTGGGACTCGACAAGCTCCTGAGCAACCTCGGGCTGACGTCTTTGACGGACTCTCTGGGATTGACCGGAAAGAAGAAGAAATAAAGGATTGAGTTGGACTTGAGAAGGTGGAGTGACAACCATGTTGTGATTATAACTGATTAGTAATTATGTACATTAGTTAATATGGATTAAAGCTTAATATCACTTGCAACACGCATTCTTGATATTAGCTTTCTCAATACCTTGGAATAAATGACCTCAACAAAAACAAAAGAACAGGCGAAACAAACAATTCTCTGGTCGAGAACCCACCAAAGGCAACACCCCACAGTGGGTGAAGCTCTCTGAACCTTCCTATGATTGTCCCCACCGAGTACTGCGCCCGAGGCGAATCTCACCTGAGCAGCAACAACCACCATCACCCGTTGGCATGAGGAACGGCGCAAATGTGATTATGGTGTACGTCAGGCAAAAAAATGTGAGGTTTACGCCGAAGCAGTGTCGCTTCTACATATTCATCTACAGATAGCACACGGCGCTGTCTCATCCATTTTACTGGAGGGACCACTGCTAGATCTTGTTGCCTGGATGGGGTGAAGGGCGACCTGGAAGAAGCCTTGCGTTGCCCGGGCAAAAAAGGTAGAATTGCGAATCGCCCACAAGCACACTGAAGACCGAGTATTTGTGCGGTTCTCGTGGGCTGCTGGATGGATGAAATCCACAGTATGGGCGGGCTGCAAGACAGAATCTGCACCTGCTACTACCAGGTTGTGGCTGATCATTGGTCCGGCCTAGTCATCTGCTGGACGCTCTTTGACACTCCCAAGCGAAGAGGAAAACCGGCAGAGTCAGGAAATACCCGTCTCTTTTGACTTCCATACCCACCGGAGACGCACAGTCCATGGAGAACAGCCACTCTGCCCAGGATCTTTGTATCGATAAGATGCCCCGCTTCTGAGCGAGTCCTTTGCTCCTTTGGCTCTCTTAGAGCGGTTGCTTTGGCGCCTCAATAAGCACCAATCTCAGACTACTATCGCTTCGTCCCTTGTTTCTCGAAGCCTGGAGCACAAGCCACAATTTTGAACCGCTTACTTCTGCAGTGGTGGAGCGTGGCGAAGTGAAGCTCAATCACATTCAGCATCTCCATGTTTGCCTCCCCGTCTCAAGGTCTGTTCTCCGTTAAGATTGACGCTCGTGAGTCGATGATTTGAGAAACGACGTCCATCTTATCGATCTGGTTCTGATCTTTTATATTTCGTGCATCACGCAGGCTAGTTTTACTTGACGAAAAAAGCAAGATAAACCGGCATACCTCAGGCAGTACACTGTGGAGGTAGGCTCTGGACGCTCCCACCGACCGACATTGTTGCCGAGTCTTCCATCATCGGCTGGGCGACATTGTACCGTGCATTTCCGGCAGCCTCCCTTACAGCACGCACGCCTCAACGTACGAAGGAAGAACCTACAGCCATAGATTTACCTTGGATCTACCCACTTTGTGATTTGACCACGATGAGTTGTAAGTCGTCCATACCTGCAGGGAATCGGGGAGGAGCCTGGTAGCACGCACTACGCTAACAAACTGCAGCACGCCAGAGCCCAGAGGAATACAAACAATCACCACACCGATTATCTTTCCTCAATCGTATACGAGCGAAGACGTCGTCCTTTTTATCGTCCACTCGCCGCTTTCGGAAGAAGAATCCCGTTGATTCCACCCGTGGTGCAGATGAGGCACATCTAGAGGATGAGCCGACGTCATCAGTGAAGCGGTTCCAAAAGATTTTCCGCCATCTTGGTGTCTTACCCACAAACTTCAAGCCGACCATTGAACCACTTCAGTCGCGCCTCGATGTTGAAGAATCTCGCGAACGGGGTAGCGATTCCTCGTCTGATTCTGCCTACTCCGCCCGTTCCGACACACAGGCTTCAACTAGATCGAACTCTCAACAGCTTCAAATCCTCGTGCGAGGATGCGAGGGAGTTACGCCTGAACATGCTCTGGGGATGTGTGCTTTCCTAGACACTGGCTGCGCGAAAGACCTCATGGCCTATCGACATTTTTTGAGACTGAAGCAAGCTCACGGAATCGAACTGGAGGAATCTAATGTGGAGGTTGTGCCGCTGAACGACAGTCCAATGGAGGTACACGGAATTGCACGAGGGTTGTTGTGGCAACTCGATGAGGAGGGATTCAGGACATATACGTCGGACTTCTATATCGTAGATATGGATCAGTTCGACGTTTTGATCAGCTGGGAGACCGCACGGAAGTATAACCTGTTGGATTACGGAGCCGACATTCAAGAGTACCTGATGAAAGTCAGAGAAAGAAAGAAGCGCAGACGGAAGCTCGAACGGAAGCTAAGAAAGGCCAACCTAGGGAAGGCTGCATAGACTGGAGGAAGAGATATTGGACGATGGTTTTTGCATTTCAAGCGTGGCGTTGAGGAAAGAGCTCGCGGAGTTTAACGGCATGGGCAATGTTTATGAGGGATTTGTTATGGAAGGTCTGACTGTAATAAGACCATGGATGCTTTTTATGGGTGGCTTTCTGTACATTATCATTTGTTACTTTCACAGGCTACCAGGGAAGACGGAAGATTAGAGCGACATTTCTTTTCCCCACGGCTCATCACCTACGCGCCACCACAAGCCGCTAGCCCGCTGTCCACGATTCCTGGCGGCAAACTCGCCGTGGCTCGTGGGAGATGCATGGGGGATATGAACCATCGCTCAGGTGCTCTGTGTAAGTTCAGCTGACCATCATGTTCCTCAGCTAATATGACTTCACTCCAGAGCCGATGCCCTCCGTCCGTCGGTTCACCACTGACAACGATTCCCGGAAATCCGAATAGACATGGTGTGTTCACCTTGGTCGTTTAGAGATCAATCACTTTCGCTCGCTATCTAAGACCACACATCCTTGGTGACAGGCTGAGGGGACAACACAGAGATGTGTATCACCATATAGAATCAACCACACATGGAAGAGCACGAAGCAAACATGCAGCGAACTCGATGCCACCCTCCACGAACCGTATACTGCTGGATATTATGCGGCTCAACAAGGTCTTGGTACCAGAAGCGGCCTTCGATAAAGATATAGAGGATATCAACCATTCTTGATGCCGACGAGGACAGGACCTACTGAGCAACGCTCATCCCGATCGCATATCCAAAGAAACGGCAGAAATAGTGCCTACGAGTCGAACCGCCTCTCAAGCTAGTCATGGTATGTGATTGCTCCTCTCAAACCATTCAATACGAGGCCCAAGGTTCAAGGAAGGCCTATTCATACATCATTGACATTTTCTAACCTAGGATCGAACTGCTGTCAAGATCAACGTCCGAGACGCCAACGGCCGGAAAGACTCCATAACCCTTGACGCTGTCATTGACGAAACAATCGGCGAAAATATCATCATGGGCCAATGGTTCGCTCACCTACAACGCCTTCTGGCGCTTGAAAGGACGCCGAGCGAGGTCAAGATCGTTATGGACTCTCATGGCGTCCAGCACAACGTTTCAAGCGTGGTATACCTTTTGATCGGGCAGTCAGGGAAGAATTGGTCGGAAGTAGCTGCTTTCTCCATATCTGACAGCAAGGGCCCGGCTCCTGGAGGCAGATATCCCGTGCTTCTCGGCAACAGCCTGAAAGCGAGATTCAGTCTGCCTCGGGCGGATGGGATGGAGTCTTTCTGCGCAGCTCCTACAGTGATGCATTACCCGAACCAACAAGGTTGGTAGCCTCTCTCTCTCAGCAGTTGGGTTTTGAATGCAGTGACCATGCATTAGGCTAATGCACAGAGCTAATCAATTGGCCTTTAGAGCGAAAGCAACGCGAGGATGATGCTGAAAGGAACAATGCAGAGCTGCGTAGGAAGGCGAGGGAGAACCAGGAGAAACTTGACAAACAGAAGAAGGATAGGAAGGACAGTGGGAATGGACAGCCTGGACAGTCGGCTTCGACTGCGTGAATCACGGTACTCCAGAGTACATACAGAATAGATAGAACTGCGAGTAAGATCAAACCAAGAATAATGGATGCCTTGGATTGGGATCATCTGGCGATACGCGCAGTCAATTATTGTTCGCTAGAAAGTCGAGCTCAAGTTCACCTGCGAGTTGGAAAGTGCTTTGGAAGAGCCAATCGCAGTAGTCAAAAATCGCATCTGACCGACCGCTTAGGAAGGAATGAGCCAGCGCCCGCCCCGGACATGGGGGCCGGTCTTACTCGCTCAGACTCAGCCCTTCGCTCCAACCTTCCTCGCCCCTTTTGCGTCAGCCCGCAGCCCCCTGGACTGTTGGGTGGGACGGGTCTCACTTCCTATCTCATGGATCATCGTCCGAGCACCCCCGTCCTCCTTGTTGGCCTGTCATCTTCGTGCATCTTCCACTGCCCCTTTGACCAATCAAAGTGTTATCAAGGTGCCCTTTTGGTCTTTATGCATTTGTGGTTCGAATTCCTTACGCACCACAGTCTGCCAACGTTGCCGCTGACTTCTTGAGTGGTCTGTGTCACATCGCCTGACTGCACCATGATTGCTTTTCTTTCAAGCTCCGCCCTTATGCTCCAGCGACCCCCACTGGAAGATGCAGATTCCATGGACCAAAGCCTCAACCTAGCCTCGCCAACTAGGCGCACACACAGTTGAAACCGCCGTTGCCAGACCAACCCCTCGATATTGAGATTATAGGTGAGATTTTCAGCCTCATATGAAGAGCCTCTGGTAGGTGCCATTGAGGATACTGAACCTGTTGGAATAGGCTGGACAAAGTTTGGAAGCTGGACACTGCATCCTAGGCTGCGAGGCTGGTTTATCGTTGCCATTGATATATTACAAACAGATGGTTGAGTCTGATTTTATTTATTGTGGCCGATATATCAATTTGAACCAGAATGCTAACGTCTTGCTGGTGCGAGCTCCCGCTCCAGATGTCTTTTTATACAATCTGCAAGAGTGTTGCTCGGGATATCGTCTCCTGCTGCGACCCTACGAGAATCGAAACTCGACATTCAAAGGGGATCCCTGAAGTACTGCACCCAGAAGCCACAACGAATTTTGCAAGTCTGGACAGCCATCGAAAGACACAAAGAAGGTGCAATTTCAGATCACACAAAAGTTGGTCCAACCGACGCCATAGGTATGCAAAGGCGCTTACACTGAAGAAAGGGGAATATGGCTATCCTGATGCGACGTCGGACCACATCACCGACCGTGTCTTCTACTACAACACCGTACTTTATAGCCCACAGACCGAGAAGCCCATATATCGGCGGGTCCTGCTCAGTTTTGTGCTCAGTATCGACGCAATCTCGGATGACATTGCGCGTGTCCTGGGCCTGCCGATCCTTCCGTACAATGGGAAGGCGGTTCAACTGCATAATGGAGAGAGCGCAAAGCCGATCGGGACATTGCACTTGCAGTGGAAGATCTACAACGGCAGAAGGGTATACAAGACAAAGTTTCTGGTCATCAAGGATAGCCACTTTGACATGTTGCTCGGGAGATCCTCAATCAAGAAATATAAGCTTTGGGAGGTGGACGGAGAGATCGAAAAGAGATTACAGTATCGATATTGAACGTTTGGAACGTAAGAACAGCCGGAGGGGGACAGGCCCTACTAATTCATACGAAGGGAGAAGGAGTCTTGACTGGCGTTCTCGGCGTTTGGGATGTTCGGGTCTGGATACAAGTGCTGTTGAGGTGAAGGGCATGATTTTTGACGGAGTTTAGGGCTTGAGGCTCAGACTTGTATTACATCCCCAAGAATGCAAACAAGCCGAATGTCCAGACTCAATCGATCAACGCTCGAGAACCTGGCGTACTGCTACGCAAAGACTCAGCCGATGTGGCTCGGGCATCCTTGCTGGAGTGGAGGGCTTAGAGCGTGCACGAGGATCTGCCCAAGGTGATAGTTGAGCCTCGGGCGACCACAGTGTGAGCCTTGAGAGAACAGCAGGCATTAGCCAGAGTGTATATACTGTATATAGTGCACATACAATCCGTCAAGAAGACCGGTAAATCAACGACTCATGACAACCATCGAACTGGCCCAGCTCAATCCGAGCGCAAGACGGACTATGCACGGCTACGAGAGACTAGCCGGCCTAATGGCCAACGACAAGGGCCTTTCCATCTTCCGCTCTTTCAAGAAACTCAATGCAAAGAACCTACTTTACCTGCAAGCGGAGATTGTCAACGTACAGACCGAGCTTGAAGGTATCATCGAAGCAGACGAGACTTCACAGGATGAAGATCGCGAGAAGTTTTCCACGTCCGTATGCTTTTTGAAGGAGGGCATCGAGTCAGGCTCAGAGCAGTGGGCGAAAGTGCTGGAATTGCGAGAGTTGTTGGACAAATATAGTGAGTCAGCATACATGCATAAAACTATGCATGACCCCCTCCGTCTCCTCCAACAAGAAGAACCCACTCGACTCGAGTCAACGTTGAGCCAAAAGTACCACTGCAGTGACCGCACACTGCACTGGGCCTATCAACTAACTCCCCCACGCCACTCTTGCAGACACCGCAGCCCTGCAATACGCCCAAATCCTACGCCTCAAACGCCCGCACGACACAGACCGCGACGTCTTCAAGACCTGGCTATCGCAGAATGCATTCTGCAGCACGATTGCAGAGTTCAATCAGTGGTTTGGAGAAGAGGGGGTCAACGACGAGGAGAACGAGCGCGATCTGGTGACACTTTGCGGACGGTATGAGAATGTAGATTCGCTGACTAGATGGGTGTTTCGCGTTCTTGTCCCGTGGTTTCATGAGAGGGTTGGGGTTCGGAGGACGGTGAGTGGTTTGTTCTTATCTCTTTCTTTGTTTTGATGGCCAACTGACATGATTTCCCATCTAGAAAGAAAAAGACATCGAAGCTGGGACAGTCTACTATGACGACGAGAAGATTATCCGTGCGACGAGGGTAACGAGCACAATTACCTCTTCAGTGATCCCGGCTAGCTCAATGCTGGTGCTGTATCTCGTCGACCATATGGTTTGGCGGCTCATCATCATCGTGCTGTACAATATCGGGTTTTCGATCATACTAGGCCTTCTGGCAAAGGCGAGGCGTGTGGAGGTTTTTGCGGCTTCGACGGCGTGAGTTTTCCCGCAATCTCATTCCATTCCATTGATTTGATTCCATTGGTCGTATGCATCGAAGCTGACTTGTCTATGCGTATGTTTTGGGCAGGTTTGCTGCTGTGCAGGTTGCGTTCATTACGAACTTTCCGAGGGGTTGAAATGCTGGGGTTGGTTGCGTTAGGGCTCGGATGGATGTGGCGTTTATTCTGGTGTTGTTTCGGTAGCGGTCTCTGGTGTTTCACTGTTTCAGACATTCCAGAAGAAAGGCAGCAAATCAGAGGCATTCTTCTTCTTCTACAGCGGTGCTGTTTACTCCGTGTCCTTCTTGCTTATCGCGACGGGCTCCGATTCGTCGCGGCTGAATCGGGCCTCACTCTCGTCATAGTCATCATCAACATCATTTGCAGCTACAGCAACGTAATCATCCATCGTTAACTGTAAGGCGTACAGAGGACTTTCCTCCTCTGACTGTGGCCGCTGCTTCCGACGGCGGGCTGCCACCCAGATCCAGCTGACCAGGAAGGCAGCGTCAGCAGCTATAAGACCCAGAGCTACGGCAATCCATGAGAAGCTGCGCCCGGTCAGTAGCAGTCCGGTGATGACGTTGGTCCAGCCGAATAAGAGGAACACGCGACCGAGCCAGATATGGCCGTAGGAGGCCCATTGGCGTCGTTGGATCTGCACGAAGAGGACGTGGTGTCGCCAGCCGAGGACGATCTGGATGAGACTGCAAATGGCGACGATGACTCCGATCCAATGGTGGAGAGAGTCGATTCTGTGGGCGCGAATGAGTCCTATCGCTACTCCGATCAGTAGTAGGATAGATGCGAGAATCTGTAGTATCCAGTGGTACTGGAACGACTTTGAAGTTCCCGATCGCATCGCGATAACCCCAACAGGAAAGACAAGGAGGAACGCAGCACCCATAACCCAACCATGAACGTGAACAAGCGAGTCCATCCACGACCATCCACCCGGAATCTCCGATGCACCGAGCTCAGCGACACCGGGCCGGATCACAGGCGGCGACGGTGCTGACCCCCCCTTGTCAATAGACCGAGCCATATCAACATAGAAACGACCCCAGCCGTCATCCGTCGCGTGGTAAGGGTGCACCTTCAGATGCACGTCATCCGAGTACGCACCAAACTCCTGCTTATCGTTCCACGCCCAAATCCACGGCTGGGACTTGGCGTTGGCGGACATCGGCGTGCCGGGCCATTTCCCGCACGAGTAACACACCACCGCGGCCTTCGCGATGTAAACATCGTCGCCTACGGCCGTTCCTGGGGCCCACTCGGCTTGCAGGAGACGGAGGTCGGCGCCTCCTGTGTCGGTTGAGGAGAGAAGATGCGGTTGGTGATGCCCATCTATTGTTCGGATGCTCACGGTTGGACGAAGCTTTTGCTCGGAAAGGGGGTCGCCGTAGATGATAAACATCAGCGAGCCGGCCATCATCGACCCAGTGCCAACTGCTGTCCACCCAAGCGCTGAGCTCCGGGTGACTTGCATGCTGAGGTACATGTCGTACTCGTTGGCTGTGGCATTGTGGTGTGTGGTAATGCCCAAGCAAAAGTCAACCGTGGCATCCTGAGGGCTGTGGCCGAACCGGCAATATTGGACGGGTTCAGCTGCGGTCCAGCAAGCGAAAAGAAGGAGAATGATATAAGTGCTTAGGAGAGCTGATATAGATGGCCTCATCTCGTCAATTAGATAAAGATTGACGAGATTATCTCCAATGGAGAAGGAAGTTGGAGACAAGCTTTGATAGGCATCAATAAATAAGCACACATCACGTGACCCATCCGTCTGTACCACCCACCACAATGTACTTGTAACCCTTGCATAAATGACGGTAATAATTGCATAAGTGATAATCGCAGAAGTGTTTAACTTATAAAGGCCGTAATTAGAGGTATAGCTTCAGTGTCAAGTGTATACCTCCATCTGGCAGAATCCGTGGATATCAAGCACCACACATACAAACTGCTGAGGCTTTAGCGGACTTGCCCTAAGCAATTAGTTCTGCATAATAATAGAATAAGATGATATATTGTCACATAAAGTGCAATGACTCCACTCAAGACATATCTGCCTTAAATGTATGAGTTTGTTTCAGAAGCTAGATCATACACTCTCGATAACAAACTCCATGCCCTATCGATAGTTTCATAGCTGATGGTATAGTAAGGCTCTTATTATTACCAGACCGTAGTCTTGGGGTAAGAATTAGCTTTGAAAGTGATTCCATCTAATCTATAACATAGATCTACAGAGAAATTCCTGTATAGCAAGCATCATCCCTCCACAAGTGAGTCTTCTTTCCATTCTCGATACAATAGACACTTCCTCCCAGGTCGACAACGTACAGCTCGCCATCAGCTCCTAGTTTTAGCCCAATTGGCTCGTTGAAATGGCGTGCAATGACCTTTACCTTGAGAAATCGGGACTTTGGCTGCGGTGGCATATTGAGATCAACGCTATTTAGCGAACACCCAAGAGGATGCTCACCACGATCGGTCCAATACAGCCGATGTTTCTGCTCGTCCAGTTCAAGGTCAATTGGTTCGGGTAGACCATCGAGCAAGAGCTCGATATCTGTTCGATTCAGAGCCGTCTCGCCTGCAGGGAGGTCGATTCCCGCACGGAATATGCGACCCTTGCCAGCCTTGCTAGGACCCTTTTGCGTCCAATAAATGTGTCCGCGAATCCTGTCCAGGGTGATACCCACGCACCAGCGTGTCATGTCACCCCGATCTTCCGAAGTGCAGCCGGTTTGTACTAGAATCTCGTGCTGCGAGCCGTCAAAGTTGCAACGGTGCACGCTCATTCCCTCCCGGTCACAGAAGTACACCTTTTCAGCTCTGTCGTCAACCACCAGCTGTTTCGGTGTGTGCACACTTCCTGACGAAAGTAGGGTTTGAACATCGGATCCATCCAGTTTTGCAGAATGTACCGAGCCGTCATGCGTCGAGGTTGCACGGCCCATATTCGTCCAGAAGATCCGACTCGCCGAGCGGGATATGTCAATGCCATCTGGAAGAGACTGTCCGTCAACGAGGGTCTTCATCTCACCAGTAGATGGCTCAAAGCGCAAGATTCGACCGGCAGTTGGGATTTGTGTGATGTCCGGGTTGTTCGAACCCAGCCCAACGTCTAGTAGGTACAAAGGTGGAGTTTGCTTTCTGTTCTTCTGAGCTGGAGCCGTAGTTGGTGCCGGAGTCGGATCATACAATCCACCCTTTTCGCTACTAGACCCAGTTTTCCCCTTCTCGATATAGTTCTCTCGTAGCCAGTCAACTGTCATGCTGCTGTCGAGCCCCCTTTCTTGGATGTAGTTGTCTTCGATTAGGGCTACAGTAGTCAGCCCAATTTTGTCCATAAGCCGACAAGGTGGTAGGCTCTCCGGTAGCTGGAACATGTTTGTCCAGAGGAGATCGATCTCTTCCGGAGAGCTGACATCCTCGGCTAGAATATAGAGGATCTCCCTCTTGATCGCTGCCCAGAGACGGTTGAAGATGAATCTGGTCTTGTTAGTACAATAAATAGTACCCGAGAGAGGGAGGGAGCAAAGAAGAAATGAAGAAAGGAACATACCCAGTCGACTCCTTCCTCGCAATAACCGGAACCATCCCACAGCGCACCAAAACCCGTCTCGTCTCCTCAAGAACCTCCTCCCTCGTGACCCCAGCACAAGTCATCAACTCCACCGTGCGAATCTCCGGCGGCATCGTGAAATGCATATTCAACACCTGCCCCTTTCTACTCTCCCCAACCTTTCCAACCATAAGCCCAGATTTATAGCTGCTGCTATTGGATGCTAGGACACAGTCCGCGGGCGCATACCGATCCACCTCGCCGAAGATATCGGTCTTCAACTCTAGGATCTCGGGAACGGCTTCGATGACGAGCCAGGCGTCGGCGACTGCCATAGGGAGGTCCGTGAATGTCTCATAGTTGCCGCTGGTAGGGTGGGGGGAGGGTGTTAGAGCCGTGAAGGCTGGATGGTGGGTGTCGATGAACTCGGTCGCGGCGGTTAGGGCTTGCGGCGATGGGTCGCGGATGTGCACTATGTACCCGCCGGCGAGGAAGACGGAGGCGATGCGGCGGCCTAGGATCCCGGCGCCGAGGACTACTACTGGACGAGTTTGAGACGAGGTCATGTTGATGGTTCTTTATACCTTTTTGTGAAAAAGTATACGTACAATCAAAAGCAAAAAAGTATGTACGCCTTCATGACTGGGGCAGGCAGGGCTTTTATAGTGATCTAATCCCGGATTCTAAGCACTCTCCAATACACATAATTATCCAGAAATTATCCATAGCTTAGAACACTTCCCAAAGAAGGATGGAAGTGTTGGATCCATACTAAAATCAAGCTTGGTTCCGCTCTATACATCTCACGGACGCCGTCCGGGCACGCTCGGAGAGCTTCGGACTCGGTTCGGAGCAGGAAAACTGGGTCCCAATGGTAGTATACCGAACCCGATTCCTGTCTACTATCAAAGGGAATGCTGTCATACTGATGATGATTTACCCTTGTTTACGTGCCGCTGCTGCCGCTGCTGCCGGGTTGCCGGGTTGCCGGGTTGCCAGTGCCGATGCCGATACCTGGATGAATCTTCTTGGAAACTGCTACTGTAGGTATACTAGACTGAATGGAACCCTGAAGTGATTGGTATCAACTCGGTAGATTCTAGTAGGGGAATTGCTTAGCAATTTTGCTAAGTGCACTTTCAGAGGTGTTATGAGGGTCGATTCTTGGTCGTATGGACGACGCGGTTAGACTAGTAGTTGTTACCTGGGAACTCGACTCTACTAAGCTAGCTGAACCTCGTTGAATATAGGGATATAGTTTCGTCGCATAAATGGACACTCACGTTAATTATTCTGATAACTACTGTGAAGACATCTGGTTCTGTTGCGATGCGAGGGTTCTACCTTAAACTCTTTGACAGGGGTAGAAAAGTACATGCAGTATAAACCAAGGCGATAGTACATTTTGCTTCCTCATGTCTAAATCTACATCAAGTTAAGTAAACTCACGTTTCCATGTCTAAAAACAAAAGACCGCATCCGTAGCCTTTGCAACAGCCCCCGGCATCGCCCATCCCACCCCCCCAAGTATCTTCTTCATCGCATTCACCATCGGCGGCGGTCCACACAGCATGACCTTCTTGGTATCACCAGGACCACCAATATGCTTCTCAATCATCTCCCCACTCACAAAGCCCCTATACCCCTTCCAGCCATCACCAGCGCGGCTAAGTACATATCGGACTTCGAACTTCTCAGGGAACTTCTTCGCAAGGCTCTCTAGTTCCTCGCGCATCAGGATATCTTCCTCAGTATTATTTGCGTAGAGCAGCGAGACGCGCGTTGCATCGGACTCGTCCTCGCAGATTGCACGGATGACCTGGTACATTGGCGTGATTCCTGTTCCGCCGGCGATCATGCCGATTGTCTGAGCGTATTGAGAAGAGTATGTCATTGCGCCCTTAGGGCCGCGCATTTCGATTGTGTCCCCAGGGGTCATTTGTGCGAGATGCTGGGTCATTGCGCCGTTGGGGTAGGTTTTGATGAGAAGTTTGATATGCCCGATGTCCTTTGTGTTGGAGATTGGGGTGTAGGAGCGGGTTTCCTGGGTGCCGTTGATGACGGCGCGCAGGGCAACGTGTTGACCTGTTGGAAGGTTGAGGATGTCGTTGGCGTTTGGTAGGGAGAAGGTTAGTTGATACACGCTGGGTGCGACTTCGACTTTGCTGGCCAGGATGAACGAGCGCCATTGGCGCGGATTGAGGGCGGGGACTTGGGTAACAGTAGCGGGTTTGCTTCGTTTGAGGCGGATAAGCTGTGCGGTCGAGGCTGGTCGATGCGGTTTGTAGAGCGTGAATTCTTGCTGCACGTCTAACTTGGTCGATGCCCAAAGTCCTAGGCTTAGGGTGATAGCAAATTGAGCCACACTGGCGATGCCGACTCCAGACCAGAAATGGTGGCTGGATGAGCTGAGGTTTATGGACCTGAGGCTGCTCAGGGTTGAGAATGACGGAAGGTGCGGAAGTGTCCGGCCTTGACGATATGCTGATACAGCGACTACCCCTGCAAAGCCACCGAGGCCTAGTTTGAGTACAGCACGGAGCGAAGGAGACAAAGGTGACGGCTTCTTGACGCTGATGACGGCAGACTGGGCGACCTGTTCGAAAGTAGGATGGTATATCTCCACGGAGTCTGCATGTTCCTGCAATTGTCAGCGCACTTCACAGAGAAATCTAAAGTGAATACATACCGTGTCTGGGAGATCCCCAATGTAGTACGGCTCGAGCTGCTCACGGGCCTCATCCGAATGCCCAATATCCTCAAAGGCTTGCGTAGCATCAGTCCCAGCAACTTCGATGAGAACCGCGGCTCCTCCAGGGTGGTCCTCTAGGTACTTAGTTACATCGTATACTGTATAAAGTTAGCGAGGAGCTGCCAACGCTAGTCATACATACCCTTATTATGCAGAACAATCCAGAGATCGTCTGGCTTGCAGTGTGCCTTGACTTGCTCGAGAGTATAAGTCGACATGGTGAAAGTGGTTTTGGCAGGTGCATTTTGTGATGAAAGCGCTTTTCGGTTTACTTATATGCTATGATTCGTTTGTTTCCGTACTCGACTCGGTAAGTTCCCAGCCGTCGATAATCCGAGGGGCTCCCAGAGGCGGCCGAATTTCGTACGATGGCGTGTGTCGCGGATCGGTAAGTGGAGCTCGAACCAAACGATAGAGCCGTGATGCATGACCGGGTATACGGCCGCGGAATCAATCTGCAAAAAGTCGCACTATAAAGAGATCGATTGCCAGTGAGTACCTCGTCATACTACAAAGAAAGCAAGCGCGTTAAAATATGAGGCCTCCTACCGTGCAGCATCACTTCTATCTCGTCGGGGACGAGATCTCCAGGATACAAGCAATCGATATCGACTCCCGTTGGAAGTTCGAGGACTTGCAACGCGCGGTCGGACTTGCCTTTCACGTTGTCCAGCCTTTAGGTAGGTCATCAAAGTAACAGATCCAGCAAGACATACTAACCGAGATCAGGCATATCTTTCCATACCTCTGACTCTGAAACCCTCTCCTCCGTTGAGGATGTCGTGTCGGCCACAAGCTCAGCCACGACACCCATTGGCCTCCGCGTTGACGGTAATGCGGTCCAGTCACCTCAAGGCCCTCCAGGGCTTCCTCTGGTTGGCAGCTTCTACGAAATCTTCCCTGACCACCTGGGAAACCACTATCGACTCTTCCGGAAGTACGGCCCAGTCATTAAAACCACCAACATGGGCAAGACGACCTATCTCACGGATAGCCCTCAAGTTGCGGCAGTCTGCTTCGCCGAGTCCATCTATATGACCAAGAAGATCAACGAGAATCACCCACTCTGGGGTGTCAAAGACAACTCTGCCATTTTCATCGGCGACACGGAAACAGAGAACTGGCGTCTTGCCCACAAGTATCTTCCACCATCAATGGGACCCAAGGCTGTCAGGCACTACACGCCCCTTATGCAAAAATGTGTGCGCAAGTCTTTGCCTATCTTTGATGAGCTGGATTCACGCGACGAGTCCTGGAACGTCTACCAGTTCATGGTCAAGCTCGCCTCCGAGACTATCGGGTCATTCTCTCTCGGCAAAGAGTTTGGTCACTTCAAGTCTGTCGACACCCAGTTGCATCCTATTGTCACAAATATTGCCACTTTGTTGTCCTTGAACAAGAAAATAACCGCGAGAGGCGAATGGTATCGCCATCTGCCATTTGGAGACCCGGCCCGACTCCGCCACGTCCAGCATACCATCTACTCGCTGCTCCAGGAGGCCATTGACGAAGTCGCGGCTCGTTCAAACAGCAAAGATGCTCCCATGAATAAAGCTGCACTCAGTGCATCTTGTGTCGTGGATTATCTCCTCCACGCTGTCGACGACAAGGGAGAACACTTTCCTCAAGGCTTGGCGCTGGCCAACATGCTCATCGTCACGGGCGCCGGTTTCACCACCACGTCCGCGCTGCTCTCCTGGCTGATATACTGCCTAGTCACGTACGAGGGCACGCAAGACCGTTTATACCAAGAGCTCGCCGAGTATGGGGTAGTCGGTGCCAACGGCGGCGAGTGCAACAAAATAGATTGGACCCCAGATCTCGCACACAGTCTGCCGTATCTTGATAAGTTTGTGAAGGAGACGCAGCGACTGCACAATGCCTCCTTCCAGCCTGGCAGGACCAGCAAGATGGATGTCATCCTTCCTGGAGGGTACCGTCTTCCGCCAGGCAGCGTTATTGTCCCTGCGCTGTATGCGATACATACAAACCCAAAGGTATGGCGAGATCCATTCCGATTTGATCCTGATCGATGGGATACGGAAGTAAAGAGTTTGCCTCGCTGTGCGTATGTTCCATTCGCAGCAGGCCCGCGCGGTTGTATCGGGTTCAACTTTGCACTTTTGGAAGTAAAGATCCTCCTCTCCGAGCTGGTGAGCCGGTATGAGTTTGTGCGGGAAGGATTGGATGCCATTGATTATGATCCTGAGTTCCAGTTGATCCGTCCGCTGAACTTTTACGTCAGGGCAAAACGCCGTGTTTGACACTCTGTATAGGAAGCGTAGCATTAGAAAATGATATTATGATCTGTGGTGACCACCATAAATCTCCTTCATAGCCTTGAGGAGTCGTGAATACGGGCCAAAATGTCGGACGTTGAGATCCGTATCGCACCACTCTGATTCCCTAGCCTCCTTCTCCAGCACCGTAAGTAGCCGCTGGACGAGAGTCTCAGAGTTCAGAGAAACATCCACGGGCACATGATTGAGATTTTGCAAGGTAATCCCACAGCTCACTGCATTGTGAACAAATGACCATGATCGACATACCCTAGCCGAGAAGCGATGCAATTCCAAGAAGCATTGAATCACTTGCATAGCTTCCCGCTTGCACTCCACTATCATAGTGTCTGTAGCATTACCTGCTATCCCAGAATCGATATAGAGCTGGATGACACGGCAGATGGCATATCCCAAATGGATGCCTAGGGCTAGACGTTCAAGGTGATCCTGAAGAGACTTACAGTGAGGTTTGCTGATAAGATGTTGCGCTGCTGTGTCTCGGATGCCCTCGAGCTGCCGTTTGTAGTTACTTGTACTGGCTGCTCGCGTAGACTCGGCCCTGTTGGCATCGGTTGCCGTTTGTTCAAGAATAACATGGCATAACTTGAAGATACACTCCTGGAATGATAGACCGGAATATGAGGAGCCAGACGGCATGGGGCAGTTTCTAGTGAGGGAGCAGCTAGGCGGGCGGTCGTAAGTGAAAGAAAGGAACGTATCCTGCCAAATCAAAGTCCACCTATATTTTGTGAGTACTACGTTTTACTAACCACTTAGAAAACATACCAAAGGCGACTCCGTTGAAGTTGTTCTCTTGGTGGCATCAAAGGAGACGACTCGTGTAAGCCAATACTTTGAGCTAGTCTGATTGTCGCGCCTACTCAACGTCAGGACATTTAACTAGCAAGAATCGGGATAGTTGGTTACCCATGAGAATCCAGGCGCTGTTAGTGTCAAGATTATTGCGCAAACAATGCCCGATCAGGGCCATGGCCTGTATCTGGTCAAGATCGGTGTGATTGAAGAAGTCAGATATTCGGAGGCATTGGAAGGAAGAGCAAACTAAACCGTCAGCACGGTCCACCCTGGTAGAACAAAATACATACTGAAGACCTTTGAACGCAGGTCCCTTTCTTCAATAGGGTCCTCTGAAAAATGTATGCCGCACGCCAATACAGCAAACAGTAAAGCCAGCCATGAGGAGTGTGGAGTTAATAATTCTCCATTGTTTTCTTGTGCAGATGCTCGCTGGTTCAGGAACGTGAACAGCCCCTCTCCAAATTTATCGATTGCCACTAATACCGGGTAAAATGGATAGGCAGTTGACTGGTAGGCTTGCCAGTATCTATATCTGTCAGCAAGCACGAGACCAGCAAAAGTCAGACCTACCGTATAATGTCAGAGTCGTCTGGTAGAGTCTCGCAGACCTCCTTGGCTGTCGCATCTGGCCCCCAGAGGCTAATAAACGGATATGCGCGTGGGACAAACTGATCAGTCATCGCATTTCGAAGCATCATATTTCCTGAGCCCAGCGCCTCACGACATCCGAGAGCCAGAGGAGTGTCTGAACGGCTCCCGAGAAAGATGGTTGCTCCGGTGGCGTCTTCCACAACATGGCGCCCAGGTAACCCGCTGCGGAGGTCACTATGAACATCATTGGCCTTCAGCTCGCCATCAGCTACACCAGGGGAAATAGAGGGCGATGCCACTGTAGCGGTAGCCGCAGACATTGTCGCTCGAAGATCGGCTTTCAGAGATGCAATCTGCTCCTCGATTTTTTCCAATTTAGATATGAGTGTCGTTGGGTCCGGAAAGTTGAAGGATTCCTCCGGTTGGTATCTCCAAACAAGTTAGGGAATGCAACACAACATGGAAGTCTTCATATTACATACGAAGTCTCCCTATTCACGCCGCTTCCCAACTGTTGCGGTCTCGCGACTGTCCTGTTTTCTTCCTGTATTTCAGTGCGGGAAGAGGTCGGAACCCGGCACAGCTCGGCGTGGTTGCGCTTGACACAACTAGAACAAGGGACCTGCCCATCGCAACGGACTTTGCGATGGCGACACGGAAAACAGGACCGGATACTCCGACTCCTGCGCTTGTGCTTGAGGATCTCGCTCACAAGATTGGTATCATAGGGATAGGGATTCTCAGCCATGACTCAATGCGAGACCTTTCCGGTCCTTATGCTGGGTGGGAAATATAGATATAGCAAAGCATGGAGAATTTGTAGAGAACTTGGAGAATCGAACTTGATACTCGCGGTTGTTCACTGAGCATAACTAACTAAATGTCTGCATGACTAAGCCATATATACAAAGGCAGAGATCGGCGCCCGGCAGCTTCTCCGATTTCGTCCCCGCATCGCCGCTTGGTGAGTTCGTCTTGACAACGTTCATCAACGGTCATTTTCTCTATCCGCACAACTATATACACAATGGCTGCTCTACTCAAGAAGCCTCTTAAGCTCGCCTTAGTGCAGCTGGCGTCAGGTGGGATTCCTGTTTCTCAATTCTCCTTACTTATCCCAGAACTAACCACTTGCAAAACAGGCGCAGACAAAGCCGCCAATCTCGCCCATGCCCGGACAAAAGTCCTCGAGGCCGCAAAGGCCGGCGCCTCACTCATTGTTCTCCCCGAGTGTTTCAACTCCCCCTACGGCACACAATACTTTCCCAAATACGCCGAGACCCTCCTTCCCCACCCGCCGACAAAGGACCAGTCCCCCTCCTACCACGCTCTCTCCGCCATCGCTGCGGAGGCAAAAGCCTACCTCGTCGGAGGCAGTATCCCGGAACTCGAAACGACGTCGCAGAAATATTACAACACATCCCTTGTCTTCTCGCCCACCGGTGCCCTCATCGGAACACACCGCAAAACTCACCTCTTCGACATCGACATCCCCGGCAAGATCAAATTCAAGGAGAGTGACGTCCTCTCTCCCGGACACCAGCTAACCATCGTCGATCTCCCGGACTATGGTAAGATTGGGCTCGCTATCTGCTATGACATTCGGTTCCCGGAGGCTGGTATGATCGCTGCGCGCAAGGGTGCGTTTGCGCTCATTTACCCTGGTGCTTTTAATATGACGACTGGGCCTCTCCACTGGCAGCTTCTGGCCCGAGCCCGTGCCGTTGATAACCAGACCTATGTGGCTCTATGCAGTCCTGCGAGGGATACGGAAGCTAGCTACCATGCGTGGGGACACAGTCTGATCGTCGACCCCAGCGCAAAGGTTCTCGCTGAGGCGGAGGAATCTGAGGATATCGTCTACGCGGACTTGGATAATGAGACGATTGAGAGCACGCGAAAGGGGATTCCGATCTATACCCAGCGTCGGTTCGATTTGTATACGGATGTTAGCGCTGACAAGCACTAGCTTATGGAGTAGAATAGCATCTGGATTTAAGGTCTCATTTTACACTAAAATAGATACATTCGATAGATCTGGCCGGACATAGGCCGCATCCAGCCACGGGTTTTAGCTCCTTCTTTCGTTCTTACTAGCGCACGTGTACATGGTCGGACAGCGAAGCGTAGAACATTGTTCATCATCATCGTCATGCTAAAGACCTGATCTATAGACACTAGAGACGTACCAGTATCTATGACCGGGAAGGGCCTTGACGAAACAAGAGCAAAAACTAACACGCGATTGAGACTGAGAGAAATCCCCATTTAAGGTAAATCCTTGTCAACTTACTACCTACTGCAGTGTGCTACTCCAGCCGACCACTTTGCCGAAAGTATATAAGAGAAAAAGAGATATCTCTACTAAACAATCGTATTGTCGTCATGGAAGAGGTATTTTGAATTCATTTTTGGTATCAACCAACATCAACCGATCCTAAAGCACCCATTTACTCGTCATCAACAACGGTGGTGTGAAGACCCTTGGCGACCTTGACGTTGACAGCCTGGACGTAGGAGTAGAGCTTCTCCTTGGCGCCCTCCTCGTCGTTACGCTTGCGGGAGATGCGGACACGGAGGCGGAAAGGAACACCCTTGATACCGGCTTCCCAGACCTTCTTGTTGAGCTGGGGGTCGAGACGGACGTCGGTGGTGCCCTGTTGTAATTGGGAAAACAGCGGTTAGTTCTTGGTCTGTTCAGGCCCTCTCACCGTCTGGAAGTAGGGTTGAAAGGGGAAGGGGGAGGGAGGGGAAAGGCTTACCATAGCATGCTCGGCGAAAGCGCGGATCTCCTTGATAGCACGAGGAGCACGCTTCTTGAAGGAAACACCGTGCGTCTGAAAAGAACAAAAAAAGAAGAATTAGTCTTCCGCCCGAATGCCATCTTGATGAAAAGAAGGGACATGATGCTTCTGCTGCGTCTTGCGGCCATGAGGTGGACTTCATAAAACTAATTCATTTTCTTTTTTCGTTGCGTGACCGGCCGACCACAGCGCTTCCAAATCCAATTGCTCAGAGATGGGTGCTGGATCTGGTCGTGTCGGGGTTTGTTTGCTTCGCTTTTGCTTTCCTCCGCAAGGTTGTGCTGAACTGGACTGCTCCAACTCGGACCATTGTTGAGGAAAGTGAAAAAGTCGTCGCGGTGTTGAGCGTGTCTTGTCTTGTGTTCTCCATCCAAGCCTCACGGTTTTTTTCGTTCCGCTTTGATCGCAGGTTCGGTCGACTGGGAGTTTGACCGACAAAATCATAGGGGTATAGATATGGATACAATAACGGAATCCCGTGCTTCAACGTACCCTCTTGTGCAGGTTGATGGTGTACTCGCGGGTGACGACGTCCGCAATGGCGGAACGGGTCTTCTTGCCGGTCTTGACGTTGGACATTTCTGTCGCAGAGGATAAATGTTAGAAACAAATTCGTTGCAATAATGCGATTCTAATGCTGCAATGGACAGCAAGCGCAAGAAACTCACTGAGTGGGTGTTCGGCTATCGTTGGCTGAAGTTGTCGACTGTCGAGGAGATGAGGAGTTCGGGATGGCTTTTTTCGAGGTGGTCGAAATTCCAGTGCGGGCTCGCTTGTGTGGGGATCCTCTGATTGGCCGACGGCAATTATCACGTGATACATTCAACTTCCGGAACAACATTTGAAACAACCCAAATGAACAGGTTTGGCAGGAAGCAGTTTTGTTGGGATTGCTCTTTTATCTCTGCGGCCTTTTCTGATGAATATAAATGCTCCATGAAGAATTCTCGATTGCTTGGCCATGGCCTCTAATGTAGGTGGCGTACACGGTCAATCCAGGAGAAACCCAATAATGCATTGCGCAAATTCAACTCAACGCTGAGCTATCTGAGCAATAGCCAGGGATTCCATATCCAAATCCTGATGCAGGTTCAATAACTACAGATTCCAAGCTCTACTAAAGCACCCAAAGTGCACCGGCGCCTATGCTCGGGGGGGGGAATTGAACAGAAAATGTGTGTATTCAACAAGCAAAAACTCCAAATGTATGCATGCAGCTCTGTCCATAGAAGACGAAGGCAGAAAAAAAGAACCCAGGCGATGACATGCAGTGAGAAAATCGGGAGGGATAATACATCAAGACAAAGCTTGCCAGACCATGCGCGGCAGACAAAACGGGGTAAAAGTAACAAGATAGAAAAACTGCTGAAATGCATAATGTACCTGATCCATGTTCATTCGTTTAATCCTCCCAACTGTGGCCTTCATCGTACGCGATTTAAGACTTTGATTCTTCCATGGCAGCTGCGAGTTTTTCAGCCATTCCTACCTTGAGTCGAACAGCCCACATTTCTGGGGGGCCATCGGCTTTTGGTACAAGGAACTGCACACTTGTTCCCTGGGCTTTGTATGTGATCTCCTTCTGTAATGCGGCGTTGAGGACCACATTTCCACTTGGTTCGGCTCGAATAAGGATACGGGCGCGGGATGTTGTCCGATCTTTCAAGATGCGAGTGATCCCAATACCTTGAGTATCCCAGCCTTTGTTCTCTTCTTTTATCAGCTTCAGAGCGCGGGATCTACTCTCAAACAGAACGTCCTCATTCTCTTCACCAGCCCCGCCTCGAGCAAGATCGACCTGGGGCAGAGCTTCTGCGGCATCCCCGTCAGCAGACTCCTCAGCACCCGTGTCAGAGGCCATCCCAGGCGTCGAAGCACGGCTTGGGGTAGCAGACGTGAGAGCGGATGGAGTCAAAAAGGACGAGCTTGGTTGAGAAGGGCCACCAAATGAGAAACCAAGGGGCTGTTGAGCGCCGGATCCCGACTTCGATCCAGCCGCAGCAGGGCCAAAGAGCGCAGAAAACGGTTGCGAAGAGCCGGATTCTGGTGCTGACTCAGTAGTAGATTTGGTTGACGATCCCGTAGTGCTTGGAGGATCCGTAGCAAATTTGATCGGCGTGTTCAGCTTCCAGGTATTATCGCTGGCAGGCTTAGTAGTGCTAGAGCCGAAAATGGAGGGAGTGCTCGCGCCGGAAGATGGTGTTCCAAAGGGATTCGCGGCAATGGTTGAAGACCCAAAGACATTGGAGGGCGCAGGCTTTGACGGAGCGCTTTCATCGGATTTGTTGGACTGAGTCTGGGACATGGATGCAAAGGGGTTCGGGGTAGACCCGGCGCTGTTAAAGGACGACGCATACTTGGATGAGCCTAACAAGGAAGAGACAGTCTTACCGTCGTCCTCCTGGCGCTTCGGTTTCCCCTCCTGGTCATATTGAACGCGATCGAACAAGCTGCGACTACCAGAGCCTTGGTCAGTGGTCGCGTCGGCAATTTTGCCAGAACTGTCAGTTTGTTTGGACTTCTTGAGGGCCTTAGTGAAGTCGCCCTCGTCGCTACTCTCAGGAGTGGAAGATCCAGCAACGCCATTACTCTTGGAGCCCGTGTTGCTTGCGTCCAGATCTTCAGTTGGTGCAAAGGACGATTCCCTGGCAGCGTCATCACCGGACTCGGACGCTTCTTCCGTGTCGTTGGCATCGTCATGTTCGTTCTCTCCGCTCTCCGACGGGGTTGCAGATAGGTGGCCAAAGATGTTGCTCGACTTTCCGAATGAGGTGGACTTGGTATCAAAAACCGAGTTGCTCGCCATCGACGAGGCAGCGCTTGCATCTGACTTTTCGCCATCGGTGCTATTGTCTTCCTCAAAAGAGAAACCTTGGCCGGGAATGTATTTCGGCCGCTTACTCTGTTGGGCTAAGATTGCCTCTTGTTTCTTTCGCTGATTTTCTGCGTCTTTGCGTTCCCACTCAGCTTCGTCGTCTTCGTCAGAATCAAAATCCTCGTCCTTGCGCTTCGCTTTCTCTTTTTCAGCTTCCTTTTCTGACTGAGCCTTGAACTGTTCAAAGAAATTGGTGTTACCCGACCCAAATTTGGGAATAGCCAAAGGAGCTGATGCCTGGGTAGCATCATGGCCGCCAGAAGGTTTGAGAACAAACGGATTTGCCGGTGGAGTGCTGCTAGTTGGCGCACTGAAAGTTGGTTTAAAAACAGGCGGGGCGTGCGAAGGGGCCGAACCTGAAGACGACGTCTCCTTGGTGGCCGCGGGAGTAGGAAATAAGGGTTTCGGAGGCGACGACGTTGGGGTTGTAGAGAAAAGACTAGGCTTAGCTGGCTCGGGCGTCGCCGGTTTGAAGGAAGGAGCATCAATTTTCTTCGGGGACTCAGCACCCGTTGTTTCGCCGGCCTCTGATGTCCTCGAGTTCGAAAACGAATTTGCAAATATGCTTGCAGTTGTGGAACCACCATCAGAACGCTTTGCAGGCTGTGGGGTAGAGGATACATCCTCAGTGTCCACAATTGCCTTTCGTTTGCTACCAGTTGTGGTGGCGCTCTCGCTAGCAGTAGAAATCTGCGACGGGGTAGCTGTCTTGCTTGGGGTCGAACTTCCAATTGGGGAAGCAGGGTCAACCGTGCCAAAAGGCTTGGTCTTCTTAGATGGTTGACTGTTGGTCGTCGCGCTGTCGTCGTCTATGGTTTTGCGCTTCATGCCTGCTACACCCTGGAGGGGAGCGCCGATGGTTTCACGAACACGCAAATAATGAATGACAAGAGCATCAAATCCTTCCTTGCTGAGATCGGTTTTCGCAATCTCACGTCGGAAGCTTTCATTCAAAACGCGGACGCGGTTTGCCATCTCAATATCTTCCTCTGTTTTGGCACCAAGACCAGAGGGCATCTTGGCAGGCTTAAGCTTGTCAAGCGTCTGAGATGGCGGACTGGGGGCTTGTCCCGACGAAATCGACGTCGTTGGCTTGACGCCATTCATATTGAAGGGGACCTGAGATGTTGTAGCGGGAGTGAAGGCTGGCGAAGAAGTTGTTTGTGTAGTTGAAAGTGAGAAAGGAGACGACTGAGGAGCACTAGATGATGGCTTTGCAGGCGTAGAGCTTGAGAAAGGTGAAGCCGGAGTGACCGATTTTGGAGGCTCGTTTGCCTTTGTCTCTCCAACAGGAGCAGGCTGAGGTGCAAACAGGGATGAGGATGGTAGTGGCTTCTGTTCAGTAGTTGGCTTCTCCGCAGTTGCTGGTTTTGGTACGAACAGACTGCTGAAAGGATTTGTTGCTCCGGCTTGAGGCTTTTCTTGCTCCGTAGATGATGTCGGCTTGGGAGCAAACAGACTTCCCGTTGCTGGGGCCTGGAATAAGGTGCTTGGTTGGGTTGATGCCTGGCTTGAGCTCTTAGAAAAGAGTGATGGGCCCGTACTTGAAGAGGAGAAACTGATAGATGGCTGGGATGGTGTAGACTGAGTAGCATTCCCCTCCTTGGGCTTTTCCTCTGAGGCCTTTTGCGACGGGGATGAGGCCGGTGTGCCGAATACACTCGAAGACTGGAAAGGATTCTGTGGTGTCGCCGCAGGCTTAGGGGTGGATGCGCTAAAAAGTGAAGGTGATGCTGCCCCAGCCGGAGCGGGAGCGATACTAGACGGAGCGGTGGTAGAGGCCGAAAAAGAAGGTTGTGTTGCGGCCGCGCTAAACAGAGAGCCCGATGCTGGAGCAGGCTGCTCGGCTGGTTTCGCTCCAAACAAGGGCTTAGAAGGAGTCTGAGAAGGCGCCGATGCTGTACCGCCAAACAGTGTTCCTGCTCCCGATCCACCGAAATTTGTCGAGATGCCAAAGCCACTGTTTCCACTTGAGAATGGTTTCTGGGCGGCGGTTTTAGCGTCTGGAGAGGTCTGCATTGAATCATTGCCAAAAGCCGTGGTCTGAGCAAATGGATTAGGCTTCTCTGCCCCGGATTGACCAAATATGTTACTTGCAGGAGCCGCTGTGTTGGGCTGGCCAAAAATGGTTCCATTCGGCGGAGTGATAGTGCCGGATTGAGACGAGGGACCGCTGGTAGCAGTGTTTCCGAAGATGCCTCCACTAGTACCGCTTGGCTGAGACGTAGCCCCAAACAACCCACCAGAGGGAAGAGGTTGCTGTGCGGGAGATTGACTTCCAGTCGAAGGTATGTTGAACATGTTGCCCTTGAAACCAGTGAAGCTATTGCTCGCAGGCTGCTGAGTAGCACCAGTGTTCATCGAAGCAAAAGGATTACTCGGAGGTGTTGATGTTGATCCACCAAATGAGCCAGAGAAGTTGAATGCTGTTGAGCCGCTTCCAGAGCCAAAAGCGAATTGCGACCCTCCGTTCTGGGCAGGAGGTTTAGTAGGTGCGCTGGTGGGTGGGAAACTCTGCGACTGTCCAAAGCTGAAGCCATTTGTTGGCGGCTGGGACGCTGCAGGCGTAGAGACTGTGTTGGGATCGAGCGAGCTAAACGGACCACCAAAAGACGCACTAGGCGAACCAGACGGTGAGCCAGCGCGTGGCCGTCTTCGAATGTCCTTGATTCTATCCATACCGTTAGAGAACGCGCTAGTCATGGTGTAGTTCGTCCAGAAAAAGCATGTGCAGCAAGATCAAATGAAAAGGAGAGGGAATATTGGAGATGATCAAAGCAGAAAGTGTAACACAAGTTGGAAAATGTAACAGTAGATTTTAGCACAATCGCAACAGCAGTAATCAGAAAAGCGATTATTCTGCGAAATGTTGAATTTCTGCATGCTGGAGGTGCAGGACGAAGAAATAAAGTTGGTCGCAAAAGGTCGGTCAGCAAGCACTCACCTTCTGTTGGCCATCTGTGCAGCTGTGGCCCGCTGGGGCTTCTCCTCCGGTGTGCTCTGCATGTTGAAGTCTAGTAGGTTGCTGTCCTTACCCCCTTGAGGACCTTGGGCTGTTCTCTTAGACATTTATAAAAAAACAACAGCACGACTCCCGCGGCCTTCGACCCCTTCCTATAATCCAGCTTTCGAGTAAGCTCACGGACAAATCTCATCCACTGCACTGCGCGATATTCCAGTACTTGCTTCACTGAATGTGTTCCGACTTCTGTGAGGATCCAGTTCGTCCAGCAACTCGTTACCGCGACAACTACGACGGCGAGTGCGCGATGCAGATTGAGGAAACCGGAGAAAAAGGCACGGTGTGCGGACCAATTCGCGAAGGGAAAATGACGGGAGAACCGTGATATTATCGTCCCGATCCGTAATCAATAAGAGTAAATATTGCAGGAAATCTCCGAAGTCAAGTCGTCGTGGATGGTGGCTCGAAAGGCGCACGCGCTTGATGTGTTCTTCGAGAGTGGGTAGGGTCGCGATTCGCGAGGCAACCAAGAGTAAGGAGTGATGCGAATGGAGAGAAGAGGGAAGAAGAGAGAAGACAGAGCGAAAAAGAAGAATGTGATCGTGATGTACAGGAGAAACGGCGACACTTTCGATGTGGTCTGCCAGAGAAATGATGGGAGTTGCTGCTTGAGCTACTCTTTTTTTAGTCTTCACTCGTTTCCGCTCGCCATTTTCCCTGGGGAAGTGAAGCCAGCTGAAAAAAATTGGCGTCACGTGATACCACGCAAGGTCGGGTCTTGGCGCAGAACAAACAATGTCCTCCTTTCAAGCCATCAGTTCTCTATTTGGTTTATATTTGGGCCTTGGATAAAAGAAGAGCTTTAAAAGAAGCTAGCGAAGCCGCTTGAGTTCAATTCCCGGGCCATTGCGCGAAGTAATTGACTTTGAGAAAACCTTGTGCTGACATCAAAATTTCACCATAAAGCTCCGGCAGCGTTTCCATGGCATGAGAGGGAATGCCGACAAGAATATGACGTTTCGTCGCTCAGCTCTACCATCCCTACTCCAGGCGTGGGAAGCAAAGGGAGCTCCATAAGTCTCCGTCCACGCACGTCTTCGTCCCGCAGGGGTCATGCGCGTAGCGGCCAGAGCTGTCTTATGACGACAGACCGGGCATTCGTGAGGTCGACTCGCACTCCTTTGGGATGGTGACAAGAACAGCCGAGAATAACTTCTATGTACCTTTCTTCAAGCTTATTCATTGCTTATATGGGCGAAATAGTAGTTCCCTTCCCGGCCATCTCCTCATAAAAGATTTTCTGTAGCCCGGAGTCCTCCGAAGTACAACGCGCTCTCGGCGACCTTCCAAAATCGGCCAAATTGCACACTAAATGCCAATAATAGCATTCATTGGGTCATATCGAAATTATGCCCTTCTATCGCATTATTTATGACTGTAAAATTAGAGGAAGTACGCCTATGGTCGGTGAAAATACTTATTCGTTCATCGCAAAGTCCAATCAAGGCGATCGACATAAGAGGTAGAGAATACATTTACTAGAAAATACAAAACAGGGTATCTATAGCTTGGCCTTGCCCTGGGCCTTCTTCAGGACGGGCTCCATCTTTGTGGCCTTCATGATGTTTCCCTTGATCTTGAGCTTGCCTCCCATGAACAGCTTCTGCGCATTGGCCTGACCGGAGACGAGGGAACCGAAGTCGGCGTCGGAAAGCTGGAGAGTAACTGTTGATTATCCTGTTAGTCTTTCGCTCGTGAATTCTATCGAGTTCTCAACGGGCAAACTGACCATCGGCCTTTCCACCAGGAGGAGCAGCACCCTTGCCGACAACACCCTTGTCCTTGAGGTCGAGGTACCAGCTCTCTTCCTTGCCGCTGCTGTTCTTCAGGGTGAAGGCGACGACAGTCTGGGCGGCCTTGACAGCATCCTTGCGCTCGGCCTCATCGCCCTGGAGGCTGGAGTTGATCACGTCGAAGGCGGCGGAAGAAGGGAAACCGTCTATGCCAATGTTAATCGAAAGAGGTTCATTGATTCAACGGGTCGCCGCCCCACGATAAGCTTTGGCCAGCGGACCAGAGAATAGAAAGTGAGATAGACTTACCAACTTTGAGAGACATTGTGGGTGGAAAGTATGTCAAGATTCTGAGGAGAAGAAGTAGGCGTGAGCTTCAAGATTATGTGTAACTTTAAATCAGACAGGAGACGAGCGAGGAGAAACTAATATTAATAGTGATGGCAGTGTCTGACCCCAGAGTGCTGGGGGCATGTGAATCGACTCAATGGAGGCGGTCGGAGGCCCGCTGTACCGAGGTCTGTCGCTCATTTGACGCTTTCACCTGGATTCTTCCTACGATATGATCCTTTGAATGGAGTAAGCCCGCACACGATCCAGAGCTTCAGACGCGATGTGAGATCTTCGCATGTGCACCCCTGCATGTCTTCGAGCGGAGGTATCTGAGATCCTCATCCAAGAGTAGAACCCTTTGCGAGGCCCACCCACATGAAAGCAAAGGATGCCTCGCTCCAAACTGAGCTTCCGTGGTTCTTCATATGATGCAATCTTCCCCAGTTTTACTCCCCGCCCTGAAATCGTCTTCAATAATTCTTCAACACTGGTCTAATCATTCGGAATCTAACTTAGCGCTTTGTCCCATCCTTGAATGCTTCTCTTCTCTTCATGCGCCAACGAGATTCCGAAATATTTCTTGAGCGCCTCCAGTCTGCCCTCTTCAGAATCAAACGAATGCACAATGTTCGTCCTGCCGCCAAGATTGACTTTAATCACATTGTCGACCAGCATGACTTTTCCCACAATCGCGACGTCGTTGGCCAATGGCAGAGTCGGATTGCTAGAGAACTGAACATTTTCTCCCTCGCGCAGAAATCGCACAACCAAGACAGTCCATCTGTGCAGCGTTTTCGCGCTGGTCCACCAATTTAGCACCTCAAAATCATGCTGGAAAAACTCTAACTCCGCAAAGCTATAGAACGAGTTCCATTCGTTTTCTGGTGCGTTCCGATACTGGTAAATCCAGAGCTTGGGCTCCTTGAGCTTTTGTTTCGGGATATTATCATGGATAAGCCGCACTTCTTGCCGGCCAAGATTCCGCACTGCGTCTCCTAGCTCATTGAGGGGAAGCGGGCTAGTAGGACCATCGCCACCGAAACCAACGTCAATGGAATATCGCTGGCCGGAGGGCAGGTGGATGATGTTGTTGATATGGGTGCTGTCGCCAGTATCAGCCACTGAACGTCTCGACGAACCCATGCGCCCAAACAATTTCACAGGATAAACCCCTCGTGGACCAGGGAAATGACTGGGACAAGTCATAAACTCACAACCCCAGATACTCCCCGCCGGGCACTCCGTCCTTCCTTCCACGGTTCCTGACTGCAGTCATATACACCTGAAAACCCAGTCCGCGAAGCATATGATGGAAGAAAATGCTGAGCTCCATGCAGTAGCCACCTCTTCCCCTCCTTCCATCTCCCTCGTGTCCCATCAATTTTTCATAAAGGACATCTGGGCCAATGTCCACGAGATGTGTGGGGGAGTAATGGACCGACAGATTCTCGTACGGAAACCTAGATATTTGGCATCTCATTAGGGTTTTGAGGGACTCATATGTCTTTGGAAAAGTGGCCGGAGTCTCGGTATACTCCAGATATCGTGTTGGAAGGCGGATGTGCTCTAGCCATGCAGTTACCTGCTTTGTGGAGTATGCAGATTCCTCCACGCCGGGTTTTAGATTCATTTTCCAGAGGCGACAACAAGATAAAGACGTTCGAGCAACCGCCCTGAATGTAGATTCTGTGCCTTACTAGTACTTGGATTTCCCAAGGTTCTTGACTCATTGTGTAAGTTCCCCGCAAAGCTCCGACACTGCAAGAGTCATGCTTGCGCCATCTGTGGTGGCTGTTGCTCATCAACTATACCTAATCAAGTATAATCGCAGACTTAGCCTTATTTTGGCAGAGTGAGAGATTGAGAATCCATCTCCTACAACAACAACAGCCACCTATCACGTGTTTTTATATCGTACAGAGATCGGCCTTGTACCTATTTACAAGTCTGAAAGAGTCGACCCCAACTGTTACTCGAACTGGATGTTTGAAACGAGGATAAGCCAGCGATTCTTAAAGACGCTTGAAGTTTGGTTACTCCTCGAGAGCAGGTGCTCCGCAAGTCTAGCACCTTTGCGATGTTATGTGGTTGGATTAGCTGCATAATGCCATTGTGAGGTTATATATTTTGTGCCCAAAGTTGTTGTTCTACCGCTCCGTGGTAAGGTACTAGTGTACCAGACACAAGAAAAAACTGGTAGCTTGCTTTGCCACATCATCAGAGGTCAGCTCCTGAACCTAGATTTAAGGGTTCGGACACAAAAAACTTTCTCGTAAAGGTTGAGTCAAGCAACAATTCCACATCACTGGACGAGGAGGAGCTGGCCCCGGCGTTCGAGTGTTACTACTATCGTTATCGAGCTTGCAACACGCCAAGAAGGATCGACCGACATGTATCGAGCCTTGTGAGCCTCCATTTTCCGTCATCATTTTCCTGCCTCGCCTCATCTTCTTCACCTCGTGAAACATTTTGCCCAAATCTGGCTTACCTCTTTTTCTCCTTCTACTCACTTCTTTCTTACTTGCTTCAGCTGGTCCCCTCATGGAAACCCTCACTAACGGAACCGTGCTACGTCATTTAACGCCCGTCCCCTAATCCAATTGTGTTCATTGAGGCTCTCTTCTTTCAACATGGAGATGTTAAGCCAGGCCGTCGAGGAAATCCAAGAGGATTTGGACCTACACCGTGCTATTCTGGCAAGCCTTGACAATCGACGCCCCGACGTAATCGAACAAAGGCAAGAGACACTTGAAGCGATCAAAGAACTCGAAACAAAGCTCGCTCAACTACGCGGCATCGACAGCAGCGAATCCTCAAGTCACTCTCCATCCTCTTATCAGGACATAGCAAATTCCGATCTACCAGACGCTCAGATAGACGGCCCGGTCTTCTCCAACCCCTCGAGCCCACCCCAATTCGGGCGCCCCGCCTTCTCTTCTTTGCCGTCCCGACCCCGACCTTTGCCACAAAATAGGCCTTCAGAAATGCCTCCTTCCCGGAAACGCCGGCTTTCTGATGACGACGAGACTGGTATGGGCTACGGACAACCGAAGCGAGCAGTGTTAGGCCAGGTTACCCCTGCATCTACTACATTTACTCCTACTAGCACCGGGTTCGACCATGGTAGCCCGAGCGACGTGTCAGCTACCGATGATAACGAGGAACTACTTATGGAAATGCTGGGGCTCGAAGGCCGCGATAATTTTCGCGCGCTTCAGGAAGAACAGAAACGAGCAGAGAAATGGTTGGAGGATAAGAAGGAACAGGAACGTCGCGATGCCGAGTTTGCCCGCAATCTCATGGAATCCTTCGCGGATCCCCAGCCATCATCATCTGCGCAAGGATCTTCCTCCAACAGCCGCCCAGCATCAGCCTTTCCCGAACGCACCTTGCCTGCGTCAAATCCCGTCATCAACACACCACCTAGTGCAACCAATGCGTTTACTACCGACACAAGATCAGCCCCAACGAACCTCTCCACACACTTCCTGAATGGCTTTCGGGGTCCTCAATTTGATTCAGCAAGAGTTGACTTGGATAGTGATGATAGTGATATTGCAGAAATCACTCCTCGAGACTTTCGGCTCCATAGTGCCACCGAGTCTCCTTTTCCGCGGAGTGCACGAGGCCCAACTCCATATCCTGCTCCCAACCTGGATTTTCGATCTAGGTTGCAGGGCCTTGACGATCCATCCCTAAGTGGCCCTTGGAGCTTCCATGGTACCGTTCCTGGACCCAGTATTATGGGTAGCTCAGGGCCAAGTACGTGGGGGAATCCTCTGCAAGCGGGTATGGCAACAATAAAGGCTATGCGAGACCATTATTTTTCAGACGGCGGAGACTCACCTCATCTTCAACCACGTGCTTCTGGGGGCGCTATAGGACGTGCTCTCGACGGGCTGATGGACCACTTTAGCGGACAACCCATAAGCCTTCGTGATCTAGAGTACGTTCGCCTTTACCCTTTTCTCCCCCTCTGCACTAACAACTCGCTTGTACAGGAACTTATATGAATACGGAAGTGATCCCAAACAACTCAATGAGGAGATCAAGCAGTTGCTGGAGACCATCCGGCCTGACGCCGATATCTCGGAGGGGGACCGGGAGGGTACCCCGGAGGCTCTGAAATACAACTTACTTGAACATCAGAAGTTGGGTTTGGCTTGGATGAAATCCAAAGAAGAGTGTGACCAGAAGGGTGGCATCCTGGCTGATGACATGGGTCTGGGAAAGACTATCCAAGCAATCGCCCTCATGATATCTCGCCCGTCAACCGACTCCGAGCGAAAGACGACGTTGATTATTGCACCGGTTGCTTTGATGCAACAGTGGAAGCGCGAAATACAGAGAATGCTGAAGCCCGGTAAACACCAGCTCTCAGTGTACGTTCTGCATGGAGACAAACGTAGCAAAAGCTTTAGGGACTTGAAACATTACGACGTTGTGCTTACCACGTTTGGGACCCTATCTTCGGAGCTGAAGCGCGTCGAGAAATATGAGGAACTTATCAAGTCAGGTGCTGAAGAGCCGACATTGAGAAAACAGTACATGAACGCGCTACCTTGTCTTGGACCGACTAGCAAATGGTATCGGGTGGTCATCGACGAAGCTCAGTGCATAAAAAATCGAAACACAAAGGCCGCCCTAGCGTGCTGCCGTCTCAATGCCACATTTCGTTGGTGCATGAGCGGGACTCCCATGATGAACAACGTCGAAGAACTGCACTCATTGCTGAAATTCTTGCGCATACGCCCTTATGGAAGCCTTGAGCCATTCAACCGAGTAGGTTTCATGTTATCATTCCTTGAATACGCGGCTAACTGATAGAACAGGATTTCACTCGCCCGCTAAAGAGTGGCAATCGGGCCTTACAGGATAAGGCAATGAAGCAGCTTCGTGTTCTTCTCAAGGCAGTTCTCCTGCGGCGGACGAAGACCTCCAAGATAGATGGTAAACCCATCCTCAACATTCCGCCTCGAGTATCCGAGAAGGTTCACGCCACCTTCAGTGACGATGAGCTGGAGCTGTACAAGTCACTTGAAAACAAAACCAAACTCCAATTCAACAAGTATCTCAAAGCCGGTACGGTTGGACGAAACTACTCTAACATTCTTGTTCTCCTCCTTCGTCTTCGGCAAGCGTGCTGCCATCCACACTTGATCACCGATTTTAGCGTGAAGATCAACGAAAACACCGAGGGGTTGGATTTTATTGCCAACGCCAAGGCTTTCAGTGAGGAAGTTATCATACGTTTGAGGGATAATGATGATCTGGAGTGCCCCATCTGTATCGACGCGGTGGAAAATCCAGTCATTTTCTTCCCATGTGGACACGGCACATGCGCTGAATGTTTCTCTAGAATCTCTGATCCAGCGCTTGCCGTTCAACAAGGTCACGATGGCGCAATTGAGGTGAAATGTCCAAATTGCCGTGCCAGGGTCGATCCTAAGAAGGTAACCGATCATGCTTCTTTTCGTAAAGTGCATTTTCCGGATCTTTCTGAAGATTCTACTGGCCCAGAAGGCCAAGAATCCGCGGCAGAGGATGATGACGACGATTCTGAGGATAGCGACTCGGACAGTCTTGCGGATTTTCTTGCAAGCGACAGCGATACGCAGAAAACTCCTAGGAAATCGAAAGGCAAAGGGAAACAGGCCAAGCAGCCAAAGAGGAAGACACTTGCTGAGCTGAAGAAAGAAGCATCGAAGAATCAAGCATCGAAAATCAAGTATCTGCGTCGTCTTGAGAAAACTTGGATCACAAGTGCAAAAATCGAAAAGACTATGGAAATAATCCGTCAGATTCAGCAGAATGACAGCAGTGAGAAGGTCATCATTTTCAGTCAGTTCACTTCTCTTCTCGATTTGCTCGAGGTCCCCGTTGCGCGCGAGCGCCATGGCTATCGACGGTACGATGGGAGTATGAGACCAGCGGACCGGAATTCAGCTGTTCTAGATTTTACCGACGACCCTGCTTGCAAGATCATGCTGGTGTCGCTGAAAGCGGGCAATTCTGGGTTGAATCTTGTCGCTGCGAATCATGTGATTATCTTCGACCCCTTCTGGAACCCTTATATCGAGGAGCAGGCCATTGACCGTGCCCATCGAATTGGGCAGATGCGTGAGGTGCATGTCCACCGGATTCTAGTACCTCAAACTGTCGAAGACCGCATTGTCGAACTTCAGGACAAGAAACGCCAGTTAATCGATGGTGCTTTGGACGAAAAAGAATCGAAGAACATCGCCAGATTGAGCACTAGAGAACTTGCTTATTTATTTGTATGTTCTTCTTTATTGCTCTTATTTACAAGACACTAACCTCTCATTTCTAGGGCATACAAACCTAGGCGCAATTCCTTTTTCCTATCGTGTTATGGCGTTGGCGGACTTCTGGGCTCATTTCTCCAATCTCAAGATACCCCGGGGTAAACCGTCATTCCTAGTTATGTTTCGGTTTTCTTTTTGTTTCTTTTCTCGATCCATACTTTCGGACTTGCTCTTCCATGTTGGCATTCTCTAGAAAAAAAGAGTTCTTCGAACTCGTTCTTGTCACCTCTATTCCTTGTGCTTCAATACCTGTACAATATTATACTTCCTTTTACCTTTTTTCGGGCTTTACTTCTTTGGGAAATGTCTTATTTAGAATGAGTTCATGGGCGCATAAGCTCTCGTGGTAGCATAATACATAAAACTCGATTCCCGCCGAGAAATCAGCCTCTCACCAGTAATGGAGGAACTTTTCCTCCCTTGCCGCCTCTCTGCAGCATACTCTCGAAATGAAACAGTCGTAGCCGCAGGTAATGTAGGCTCTCATAGGCAGCAAGCCTTTCAGCACACGTCTACTAAGCAAGGCTACATGCCTCTATTTTGTGCCCAACACGCCTCTAACCTCAATGATGCGAAAACCCAAATCTACCTAAACCAGGCAAACAACAACTGCGCTGCAGCCTATTTTTACTTATCCCCAGGACAGACTCCAGAACAGTCAAACCAGATTAGAAATCAACTTCCATTGACTCATGAGGCCTGTGCGCAAAAGACAACGTTGTCGCCCAACATAACATGACTAGGACTACAAAACAAAGAATCGAGGGGTGGCATGAGGGACACCATGATATCATTTCTCGCTAAAGTTGCCCAGTCACGTGCGCGCTGAACTTTATGCGAATTGGGTTTTTCTTTGTTTGTGCAGGTGGCGAGATATTGATGGAGTTGGGTTGGGAATTGGAGGCATAGCTGGCTCGATCGAGGTTCTTTGGGCAAATTTCGATTTTCTTTCATGGGATTTGCGCCTCTTTTCTATGTAAAGATCTGAGACGCCTGCAGTGGTGGATGTACACATTGAGGAACCTATTTTTCTCTAAACGTAAGGCAGGCCAGCTTATGTAGAGTGGAATCAAGGAACAGGTGTGGAAACTTTTGTCTTCCCGACAACTATTGCAGAAAATAGCTGCGTTTTTTTTTCTCATATGAAGGTGTAGAGATAAGGGAGTCTAGACTACTAGTGGTAAATATTGAATGGAGGGAAAAAGAAAAGGAAAATCAAAGCAAATATCATGCCAGCCCTGTCAGACCAATTCCACCACCGCTTATCGTTGTATCGTGATTCGAGACTTTGCGTAACGTTCCAAGTTATGTTATAATGGAGTAGACAACCCCCCCATCGTGTGGTGTGACGGGGTCCAATCCAATGCCCTTTGAAGACCTGGAATAATCTAGAGGTCGGGGTCCTCCTCATCGGGCAGAGGCTGCTGGGCAGCAACCTCCATCTCGCTCCGGTACTGTTCCATGAGCTGGGCATCGACGGTAACCTCAGGAGGCGCAAGGGCAGGAGCGGCAACGAAGTCCTATTCCCTAGTCAGTACTTGTAAACGCAAAAAAAAGCACGAATCGGCTGACCAGAGAAGCGTTGCCGACCAGTTTCCGGGCAAGCCACAGGAAAGGCTTCTCGAAGTTGTAGTTGGACTTGGCGGAGATGTCGTAGTACTGGAGGTTCTTCTTGCGGTGGAAAGTGATGGTCTTGGCCTTGACCTTGCGCTCCTTGACGTCGACCTTGTTACCGCACAGGACGATGGGGATATTCTCGCAGACACGGACGAGGTCACCTTTGAGGCTGGTGAGCTATATTTCCTTGTCATTGAGCGAAGGCAATCACTTACGGTGCCAGTTGGGAACGTTCTTGTAGGTGATACGGGAGGTCACATCGAACATGATGATACCGCACTGTCCGTTGATATAGTATCCATCTCGCAGACCACCGAACTTCTCCTGACCAGCAGTGTCCCACACATCGAACTGGATTGTGCCGAGGTTCTGTTTCAGAGTTTAGTCAAGGCGATCGGAATACGGTGAAGGGCGACGCGGGGTCACCAGGCGGGGCATACAGTGGTAAAGACGAGAGGGTGAACCTCAACACCGAGAGTAGCAATGTATTTCTTCTCGAATTCACCAGTAAGGTGGCGCTTGACGAATGTGGTCTGTATAGATAGAATTTTTCAGGTTAGTTGATGTTCTTGTCGATAACCTGAAAGAGCCGCGGGGCCGAATTTTGCCTCATTGTTGATGGTCGCTGAACACAATCTCAAAGAGGGCGTAGCCGGGAAACACGCGGATATCGGGGGCAGTCCAAGGTGTAACAGCGAGTCTATGGATTGCAGTTGTCATGGAAGTTGGATGAACTTGCCTTTCCAGTACCGCCGTCGCCGACGAGAACGAGCTTGAAGGTAGGGACTTCTTGGGTCATGTTGATGTTTATGTAGAGTTAAAAGGAGTAAAAAACAAAAAAAATTCAAAAGTGATCCCAACGCAAGCGATAGAATCAGGAATCGACGGTCAAAGGCGCGACAGACGAAGTTGATAGAAGGGGTGGGGAATCGAGTGGATGAGCCAGGGAGAAAATAGAGTGAGCGAAGAGTTGATTCTGGTGATGGAATTTTTGCCCCGAGTCGGTCACTGTCCTTTGTGGTCACGTGCCTACGCCTCAGGCCGACATGCCCCGCGTGTTTATTCCATGAAGATCCTTGATTTCTTTCACCAAAGACTCTTTTGACGTCAGATTCGATTCCTTTGGTAATAACAGCGATTTCCGACTTCTGAGTGTTCTAAATACACAGCCAATGATCCGTCAAAGAGTAACGCCGTCCATGCCTCTTCCTACTTATAGCAACCCGTCATGAAATCGTATCGCATTCCTAGTTTCCACGCTCCATTCTTTCCGAATGTTTTACCAAGTGTTGTACATATGGCCCCTACAGATCTTGAGGATCCAAATTGAAGGAAATTTGTGGCGTTGCCTAAAACCAATTCGCTGCCTTATAGGGGTAGAAGATGGCAACCTAATAAGCCACGGCCGCCCCAATCACGGCGTGGGACGAGTTCTAGATCTCGATCAATGGTATTGCTAGAAGCCGCCTCATTTCGGGTGATTTTGACTATGATGGTACGCTGGCAGATGTTAGTCAGACGCTCGTGCTTCTGAGTGCTTTTTTTTTGCATGCGAAGGACAATATGTGCAGAGGGAGGCTTACTCCTTCATTTCGTTGAACCACTTCTGCCACTTTTGAGAGACGCTCGTGGTTCAACCAGTTGACACTTCCAAAGCTTCGAATCTTATCGCCAGTCTGCAGCCCAGCTTGGTCTGCAGGGCTCCCCGACACAACGCTGTTCACTTTGGCAAATGGTGTCGATGCGCTCACTCCGGAAGCTGGTGTACTGGTTCCAGAGGGTTGACTTGTAGAAATGTTCGCAGTTGTGGCAACCGGTGCCTCGTCGCTCGCCCGTTGAAGCCCGGCAAAGTGAGTGTGGATACCCTTCTCGATACTCCCCATAACCTCTTTGTGATCGTAACGGAGTCGAATTATTTGCGCTCGGATGGTGCGGACTACACGAGACTTAGCAGGTATGGTGAAAGCGAAGGAGTCGTGCCTTACTTTGCGCAACGTCTATATCATCGCGGGGAAAGCCATCGAATGTCGTTAGCGACGTGCTCATATCGACGCCATGCTAGAAAGCAGAATCTGTTAGCAACTCTGATCATAGAAAGCAGAACAAGATAGGTTCCTCACGGAAGTGAGGACACTGCTCAAAGCTGAAAGTTCCTCCTCGATGTTTTCCTTGTGTTTCATCAGGTCGCCCATTGAGAGCTTCGAAAGGTCGCGGGGGATCCCTCCGGACGTTGGCCCGGAGGATACTGTGGGAGCGTGAAGATTGTTGGCCATGGGTATACCCATCCTAAACGAGTTTAGAACATCATTTAGGCAATGAAGCGATGGGAGTTGTTGTTCGGAATGTCCAGGCTAGTGGCGGGCGGGGAAGATAAGCTGGCTCGGACTTTCGGAGTTTCAGATGGATGGTCGATCTTCTTGTGCTTGGCACGCTCGACAGGGACGACCCGTCAACATACCCAGGTAGACTCGCCGTACCCGGCATTTTTTTGCTGCTTTTTATGGCACTATGGCGTCTCTATCAGAGGACTAAGATATTACCACCTAAATACGATGCGATTATCCCGAGATCTGGTACATTTGGTACTTGCAAAATCAACTATGAAGAACAGGGACAGGAAATTCCTTCCAAGAAGCTTTAGAGACGGCGGGGCAAAAGAGCAGCAAGACTACCCAGAATGCTTTGTGTTCTATTACTAGTATCTCAAGTGTTTGAGCACTTGGAACTGCGGCAGAACGAGGGAGCTGAGTGTCAATGCTCCTTCCAGTCCTGCCGTTGTGTTATCCGACCTGGTCGTTGCTTCCAATCTGCGTCTGGAAGAACTTCCCTATGATGACCTCCGACAGCCCCTCTTCCCCAAGGCGTTAGATGATCCGTAGGTGGTTATTACTGGGTTCGCGACCCGACCTATCATGGAGCCGTCAATCGACTTGATAATCTCAGAGAAAGAATCCAAGGAAGTGCTTCATGAGCCCGCAGACATTCATTTGAGCCCCGCCGCATCCGAGGAGAAACTGCAATTTCCAGGCATTAAAGAGGAAACTGACGTTCTAGTTGACCGTGTCCCTACCCCCTCCTCATTCCGGCGTTGGGTGAATAGCTTGCGGCCGAAGAAGACGCCTCCTATCTCTCAGCGATTTATCGAAGGATGGCAGTTCAGCCCGCGAGGTAGCTACGACAATGCATACCTCTCGCCTCGCAATGGGTCCCAGGAGCAATGGGAGAAACAGTCCGGAAACTCTTCGCACCTCGGCACCATGAAGACGACGACAGTCAGCGTGACCAGTCAAAGTGTCGTGAGGTCAAGACGCAACACGCAGAGCACCACCAATCGAAGCGTGAAATCAGATATTCGTACCTCAGTTGACAGCATAAGGCCGGTGCTGAGTACACTAATCGACGAGGAAGCCCAGAACCGCGCTCTAAGGAGACGACAAGTCCTCCAAGAAATAATCACAACCGAATCGGACTATATATTCGGCCTTAAAGCTCTCACGAACGTAGGTGCTTGGGTTGTGCTTCTTGATATGTGTATGGGCAGTGGCTAATGGCGGTTCCTGACCTAGTTACTTCTATACATAGCAGCGCGCCCTGAAATCTACCACAATGTTCAACACATTCGCGAGACCCACGAGACCTTTCTGAGACGGATCCAAAGCTTGGTGCCCAGCTCGAATCTATCTCGAACAGAACTTGAAAGGATAATGCTCCAAGGGGTTCCGAAACGGTCTCTGCCTGTCGACCTTAGCATCAAAGCCCTTCAACCTCGGTCGCTGAGAACCCGCAGTCTCAAGTCATCTACCAACCGTCGTCTTACGGAGCTGGCCGCGGAAGCAAACGAGGCTTTAGTGGTTGCTCGAGAGATTGGAATTTTGGTAAGCCGTGTTGTGTCCTCTCGGGATATTTACTGAGCCGCGTCGCAGTCAAAATCCTTTGTTCATTACAAGGAGTTCTGCGGAAACTATGAACTACTGGTAGAAGATACTGCCCTTTTACGCAAATCGGTTCGAAACTGGCCAGAGTTTGAATCAGGCATCGAGGCTTTGACTAAATCGGCAGCGTCCATGGAAACTCGGACGCTCTACGAAAACAAATCGCTGTGTCTGAATGATATACTCATAAAAGTAAGCGTTTATGCCGAGCAGTTTATCACTAGCTTTTCCTAATATCTTGCCAGCCAGCCCAGCGTCTTTGCAAGTATCCTCTTTTGCTCCAGGAACTGTTGAAATGGACTCATATCCAAGACGACCCGTCCGTACATGACGAGATTCGACAAATTCTGGATAACGTTCGCCACGTACTTGCGGATATCAATGAAGCCACGGCGGGCACCCTGGACAGGGACTTGATACGCAAAACTTTCCTTCTCCAGGAGATGGTTGACTCAAAATCGGTAAGTAACTTGACATCCGGTACTTTAACCAACGCGGCCTAAATAAAATGGTCCTAGACTGTTGTCATCGACATCTACAAACAATTTGGGCCCATGACTCTTTGCGGCGTTCTACACGTCACCTATCAGGCATCTCACCAGGTAACGGGAGCTTACATGGTGTGTGTACTCTTCAAACATCACTTTTTTCTCGCCAAAATGAACGATGAATACCGAAAACTCCGCCCCCTTGCCTGTCTGTACATCTCCGACGTGAGGATCGACAGCTTGGCGAATGGTAAAGGTAAAGCAAGCCTTCTTGACGGATCTTACACTTGCTGACGGTTACCACAGGCCTTGAGTACTTTTGTATCTTCTCTTGGAAGTTGCTTTTTCAGCGTCACGGCGAAAAGTTCGAACTCGTTTTGAGCGCCTCATCCGCAACGGAAGAAAAGCAATGGAAAACTGGAATTCTCAAGTCGGTGGCGGCCTCGGTCGATAAGCCTAATGCAGTCTCCTCGGAACTGCGGGCGAGCTCGTTTGTAGCACTTGATCTTGTTCCGATTCCCGACACCTCGGACCTTACGCCTCAGTTGTCTCGACGACCCTCTTTACAAACCTTGGACATGCCTCGGATCCGGTCCAAGCTGCAACTACAGCCCATAATCATCAAGAAGACCCATTGCCCACATAAGCATGGTCAAACTCAACAAATTGACGGCGAGCTAGAGCGCCCAAAAGTCCCGCCTCCATTTCCGGCGCTCATACTCACGGCCAGAAGGCAGGATAGGATTCGCCTGGAGCGAGCCATTCTGCCTTTTTACACACGGGATACGCTTCCATACCCTGGTATGTTTCTGGCGACTGGTGACATACTATTTGGCCCCGGTTCAATCATGAGGCATTTGAGCCTCAGGGCCAAGCGATACCGACGCTCTAGCTCTATAAACCTACCCTTGCAGAACGTCAGCGAGCCTCAAGATATTGACAAGATGGAGGAGAAAACCCAGTACAACAAAAAGCGGAAACGGCGTGACGCTTCGGATGCTAGTCACAATCTTGATCCAGAAAAGGTCTGGTCACTACGCGGAGACAGCTCGATTGAATTCATCGGTCGTTCTAAGACCCTAAGAGCGAAGACCAATCCCAGGCGGACCAGCTTTAACACAAGCCCACAGCCTGTATTGAAGAGGGACAAGAGCTCTGAGCACTCCGAGACTTCTCCTCGAAAAGGTATTTGGTCGCTGTTCTATTCTATGTCGTTCCGAAGGTCAAAGAAGTCTGCTCGACCAAGCCTCAGTGGAGCATGATGATGTAAATCTATACGGAGTGAAATGTCGGTAGCAGTTCTCGCAGGGGGGAATATACGGAGTATCGATCACTCTGGGGCTTGACAAGCCATCCATGTAACTCTCAATGATTTGAAAGCTGTGGAGATGGAAGGGGCATGCGAATATCCTTAGACTTGGCGAGACGTAATGAGATATGAGAGCTCCAGCTTCGGAGAGACCGAATGACGATCAGGGCAATCCAACTCCGTAACATAGAGACTCCACCAGGGAGGGACATTTGAGCAAGGCAACCAGGGAAAGGAATGACCGTAAGTCACGGAGTAAGTGTGTCAACGACGACGAGAAGATTCGGAGGAAACCGATGACGTCGAAGGTGCGGAACAAGATGGCATGTTCCAGTCGAGGCCTGCCCCATTGAGGAACATCCGCAGTCAAGGAGAGCAGCAATCCACCCAATCAACCCAATCATCGCAAGAGAAACAGCCCCTGTAAAACCAATCTCACCGTCTCCCCTCATTCACTTTTGTCAAACAAAGACGAACCCACTGGAGCTTCTTCAGTACAGCCCCCTCGCAACTCAACTTGATGACGTCACCAATACTCATCACCGAACCGACTCGTAGACTACTTTATATACCCTCACGCGACTTGTCCTTTTCTTCTTTCTCCTCACACTTCACTACTTGGCCCGACTGACAATCATCTAATCTCGCTTTACACCTCCAATCAACCAACAAACAACAACATCCACCTAATCTAATCCTCCTCTACCTCTACACACAACCACAATGCGCGCCAACGACCCCTCCAACAAAATCTTCTACAAGGGCCGCTCCGACGACTTCATCGTCTTCGTTGAGGATGCCGCCACGTTGAAGAAATGGAAGAACGACCCGTCGATCCCTCTGTCGGATGTCGTAAACGGGTGGAAGATTTTCGTTACTCACAAGTATGTCGTCACCATACTGCCCTCCTCCCCAGAACAAGACGTCTTAAGACGCCACATGTTTATCTACACTGAAGGAAGTATATATGCTAACATGGACACACAGGCATGGCTCCCAAGGCGTCCTCGATGGCGCAAGCAAGGCCAGTCTCGAGAACGAATTCGGCACTGCCAATGTTGAGGAGTGCGTGAGAAAGATTCTAGAGGGTGGAGAGTTGCAGGGATACACTGTATGTTGACTGATACCTTGCTCCCTCATTCCCATTTCGGGTATATGCTAACCAGCGTCTTCAGCAACGGGAACGCGGCGGCGACACCAACATCCGGAACGGTCCTCAGGTTATGCTCCCTTAATTTCTCTGACGATGCAATGCAATGCAATGAAATGAAACTGCGTGGCTGGCTAGCGGGTTTCTTTTATTTTGATGATGCTCTCGCGCTGGATTGAAGCGGGATGCTTAGTGCTATGCTATGGGATTGTACACTATAAACGGTTTGATCGAGAGATCGAGATCGGAAATGAACTGAAATGTTACATGAATAAATAAATCCAAGTTTCTTGTAGTGCTGTGCTATGTAAACTGCTCGTAAAACGCTCTGAAGATGCAACTTGATCTTGGGTCTAGTCCTGTGTCTGAGGCTCAACTTCATTTTCAGTCCCAGTCTCAGGCTGGGCCTGTGCTCGAGCTCGAGCTAGAGCCTCACGTCGACTAACTACCCAGCTCCCCAACTCATTCCAAACAGCCTGCTTCTCCACAAGCGACATTCCCGCTGCAAGCCCGCTCGTCGTCGTAGCCACAAAGACTTTGGCCCCATTCCACCCTTCACACCTACCCATATTCTCCGCCTCATCCTGCCACCCATACCGGAACTCCTCCTTCTTTATAGCCCTCCCCTTCCTCGCCCTCCAAACACTCTCCCAAATGCTCTTACCAACCAGACAAACGGCCTCGGGCCTCTTCGCGGAAATCTTTTCCTCGAGAATCGGCACACCAGCGTCCATCTCCGCTTTACTGAGCATGCTCGCGTCACGAGTCGGCCGCTCGACGATGTTCGTGTTTCCCACGTTGTAGAGCTCTGGGAGCCGGTAGGTGTCCGAGGGCGGGTGCCGGACGGTAGTTATCCCGGACCAGTGAAGGAGTTTCCAGAATAGGTTTGATGGGTGCGCATAGGCGAAGCCCGTTGTTCCAGTCATGATTCCGGGGTTGACGCCGATGAGGAGGAGCGTTAGGTTCGGTGGGATGGTGTCTCGGAGGAGTGAAGTCGGGAGCGAGGAAGGGGAGGATGTCTTTCGAGGAGTAGAGCCGCGGGAGCGTCCTGGTCGTCGTCGCTCGGGGGTGCTGGGCAGGGTAGTAGAGGGAGAATCGGATCGGGATGCGAGAGATGGTGAGGCTGGTGTTGCGGAGCGGGATTTCGAACGGGTGATGCGTTGGGGAATGGAGAGTTCTGAGGTGGTGACGGTGGTCGATACTGTTGTCGTTGTAGTGGTGGAGATGGGCCCTCGGCGTCGTTTCGGGATACGCTGGGCATCCAGTGCGTCTGATTGTCCTTTCGTCTCTAATGCTGGGATTGAAGAGCTGGACGTCTCCGAGACGTGAATGTACTTGTTCAGCACGCCATTGAAGCTTCTTTTCTGGTTAACAGGAACATCATCGTCCGCTGCAAAAATAGAGTCATTGCCATTGCCTGAGTCAGTAATCCGTGTTGGGGACGAAGATGCAGCCATTCTCGCGTCGGGGCGTTTCGTTCTTTGGTGGGCAGAAAGGTTGTGTCCGGCTGTCGAAGTCAACCCCGAGAAATTGGAAGAACCTTGCTGTGGAAAGGTAAGTGGTTAAGAAAGGTAGATTTTTTTCCGATGGCGACTTCTGCGAGGTTTCATTAAATCCTTTGGGTCCTCGTATTCAAAATTGGGATCTCGGACTGGAGAGTTGAGATTTCGGACCCATCGCCGACAAATCTCTGGTTAATGAGGAATCACGTGAGGCAGGCAACAAGGCAGCAATTGAATCGGCCCCAGGTTTGGGGAAATGTGGTTCAGCATAACCCTAACTCCTACGTTCGAAAGTACTTTTTCTGCCCCGAAGAGAAATTGAGAGGCTATCCTGGTTGTTTTTTTTGGGCCTCAGGTAGCAGATCTGTTGTCTCCAATCTATGTAGCTCTGCCTTACCGAGTCACAGTGATTGGATGGAGAGGTAGGCATTGTTGGCGCGTAACGTCATTCATCGTCCTACGCAAGATGCGACTGTTCGCTATTGAATGGTTGATATAGCAGACGGAGTAATTAATCATGTTCATTAGTTCGATCGTCGGGTATTATGTCTATATATGCAATGACGATGTAGTTTGTACATACAAGAACAAATCTGGGCGCTGCCGGAGCACCATGCTAGGAATCATGCCACCATAATTAATCGCGAGACGCATTATGAAAGTGCTGCGCAATGCTATACTTTCGACAACGTCCGCTTCGGTAACGTCCAGGGCTCAGGACAAACAACCTGCGGATTCAATCAGCGACCCATTCTTCGAAAGAAACGGACAAAAAGCGTGCAGACTCACTTCGCCTTCACTGTACGCCCAAAAATACACAGCCATGCCGACAAGGTAGTATAACGCCGCATTCGTCCCCTGGTAAATCAAGGCTGCGAGTAGCGAACTGAGCGGGTAAAGCAGGAGTCTGAACTCGATGCTGCGATGTGGGAAGGTCCCCGCGAGGTACTTTAACGGCCATTCCCACGCGATCCCGATCAGACCCATGAGGAGGTTGAGTATTTGAAGTATGGGCACTGGTTTTACGGCGCCGTCGAGGTTCTTCGTCCACACATCCCAGAAGATCTTCGGCCAGATGAAGGCTTCAATTGCGGCGCCTACTTGGTCTTTTCCCTCGTGTTAGTCTGTCTGCTCCAGATGCAAATGTGAGGATAATGGCAACGTACAGGCTGACGCTGTGAGGACTATTAATCGTGCCCAGTGGTTCTTGATTAGGCGACCCATATTGGAGGGTTATGTGTGAGGTCAAGATAAAGCGTGAGGAACTATGGGAGCGCTTTCGTCCAGCGAAAGAGCTTACTGGAGGAGGCTGTAGTCGTGGCGAGGAGTGAAGTCCGACACCAAGATCGTCTATCCCTCCGTTCTATCGAGAAGTAATGTCGCACAGGAATTCAGAGTTCAACTGACATGGCAGGTGGAGTGGCGCTTTTCTACTATCTGCGCAAAAATCGACTGAAGACTCGAATCGATCAGGCTTCGTATCACAATTGTCACATTAACGTCAAAATTGGACAAAGAACTATCGGGCGAAGAAAGTTCGTGAAATCATGCCACGCTCGAAAAATAGATATTACACAAGATGGTGCTGATGGTGGGAGGAGAGGCGATTACATAGCTGCCCACGGCAACCAGGGTCCGCCACCTGATCTGCTATGATCCATGATTAGCTTGAGAGAAATTCGAGATAAGTTGAACGCCGAGATTTCGAATCATGGACCAATCAGACATTGAGAGTCAGTGAACATGACTGCCTCTTCGCCTGGCTTCTTCAGGCAGCGAGTACCAAACAGCGATGATTGGAGAGAGGGGAGGGTCATGAACAGGGTAGCCCATGTCCAGCGCTTAGAAGAGTGACGAGAGCGAGAACCGAGGACGAACAGGAATCAAAGGCAGATGGGACGGGAGGGATTGGCTGCATTAGCGTCATGTCCGAATGTGATGGGTGAAGAGATTCCGCAGCAGATTCGCGGGAAGCCACTCTAGCGGCCGCCAGCAGTGTCCCTTCGGCGCTCTCATTGATCGGACTCCAACCGTGCGAGGAGAGAAAAGTTTTGAAGTCTGAAGATTCAAGAGTCGCTGGAGCGGGGAAGGCCACGGTACTCTCTGGAGTCTGGTTTCCCCTCACGACCCACGAGTTTCTATTTGTGGTTACTCTTGGCAGTCGGATTCGATTATATCTTGATCGAATCGTCAGCCAGCCTGCAACTCGAAGTCAGGCCATCCTTGACTTCATCCACAGCGGCGATACGCGGAAAGAGTCCTGGCTGTTGGCGTTTTGCATCTGCCCGAAGTTCCCTAACAATGGAGGGACGATTGAATGAACAACTGGATTGTTCTTCGCCATGTCACGAACTCGGAGGTTTGCTTTCACCGTCTTTTTGCCTTCGGTTGCGGGTGATCCATCTTCAAGTCTCCTCACGGGATCATCCCCATTTCAGGCAATCATGGACTGTGACGAGGAGTCCACCGTGCAGGGCCAAGCAGATCCTCCATTCGAGGTTCTCGCAAGTCCTTTCTTGCCAAGGGCCGAGCGCCAAAGTAGATTCAACCATAGGCGCGGAGCTGATTTCTGCTTGTGTCTAGTCCCTGAGCATGAAGGGCTATATTTGGCAGCAAGCCACTCTTCAGAGCAGCAGCCGATGCCTTCGCCCGAACGCTTTGGAGGATGTGGGGAGAATAAAACTTGGCAACACGATGGCGTCGTTGCGATGTGGGAACGGCGCTTGCAGAACTCCTCTTATAGGGCGGCGCCCTGCAAGTTGACAGAGGCACCAGCGAATCACCGTGTGGAGATGGACGGTGACTGACATGAGGCCGATGCGAAAATCCCCAGTATACCAATCAGCGCCTCTTCCAACATCGCAATTCGTCTCGAGCCACATGGCAGCTTCATTTCTGGCCTCGCTAGGATGAGAGAAAGACCGCCGAACGTTGGGAGAAAAAGATAACACATGGTCGTACCTCTGCATCGCGTCCAATCGCTAATTATGGAGGTGCTCCATGACTCGATCAAGGTTCGTGGCTGGTTGTGATAGCATCCCTCGGGCATTTTCTTCGTCGCCTTGAAGGTCAAAGAGAATAGTCATCACAACGCTCCAGAGCCCCATCCTCGAATGACGTCCTCTGTATCGAACCATGGGGACGATGCACTGACTCGCAAATGTTATCTGTTGGGTTTTGCAGGATTCGGAGCGCGTATTCAATCATAGCGAGAGGGTCGAGTAATCCGCCATTCAGGAGAACTGCGAGGCTTTGTAGAGACCGTTGATTCGCCCTGTCCAATAAATTAGCACGATCGAAAGAGATCCCTGTCGCAAGAGAGCATCCCTTAGCGCTGTTTGGCTACTACGCCTTACCAGATCGTAAGGTCTTTAAACTCGCGTCAGTGTGCATTTTGCTCCCCCTCCTCCTCTTCCCTGCAAATCAAAACCACATCGCTGGGTTTGTCCCTCCAGCAATCCCGTGCCAAATCTCCACTACCTTTCATCACTTAATTTATCCTCTCCCTCACATCCTGCCTATCGGTCGTTCAACGATGGTCCGACTGGCGCTCGTCCTTGCCTCCCAACTGTCCACTGCTCTCCTCCGCTAAGAGCCCAAGACTCTCCAAGACGCTGCTTCGCTCCGAGGACCTGACCACCACGCCACCTATTCTCAATCAGAATCCCATCAGGAGTCACGAGTATTGATAAACGCGGAGGACGCACATCGCAGGATTTCCTACCGCTTGGAGCTTTTTCTTTCGCGGCTTTCGGTTTTCGTCGCAGCTCTTCTTGAATCGCAATCGCAAAACTGTTCGCAAATCGTTCTGATAGACTTGGGAATAATTGAGATACATCGACCTTTCATGTTCGTTACTCGACTCTCATGCAACGATTACTACCGAATCTTTATCCATTTTTCTCGATAATTAACGCCGGACATCGCGGGTCGATGGTCTAATCCATACTTGAATAACTCGTTCTCTTACCGTTACGACGTCGCGCCGATAGCGACCTCGTCGCCATGAGTCGCTATCCGTGGGAGTCCTACGTCGCTCCCTCGAAGTTGTTCTTCTACATTTGGTTCTGGGGTCTGCACATTGCCTGCTTCATACTTGGATGGTACATTACCTGGAGCGTACGACATCAAACAGATCGCTAAATATCCCAGGTTCTATCAAGCGAGGAGCGCACCTTTAGCGCCACTAAATGCGCTTTCTTATTCAGTCTGGATCTCGCGAGGTGCTGGCCTTGTACTGACCTTCGATGGAACATTGATACTATTGCCAATGTGCAGAAATATCATAAAGTTTCTACGACCTAAGCTCAGGTTTTTGCCTCTCGACGAGAACGTATGGTTCCACCGCCAGGTGGCCTACTCGATCCTGATATTCACCATTCTACATGTTTCAGCCCACTACGTCAAGTAAGTCTATAAACAGTGTAGTAGGGCAAATGTCTAACAACTTGCAGCTTCTATCATGTCGAAAAGAAGCAGCTCCGTCCGGAGACAGCACTTCAAATCCACTATACCCAGGCAGGCGGAGTGACCGGACATGTGATGCTCTTTTGCATGTTGCTAATTTACACCACATCCCACCATAGAATCCGGCAACAGTCATTTGAGACGTTTTGGTACACACATCACCTGTTCATTCCGTTCCTCCTAGGTCTATATACCCACGCGACAGGCTGCTTTGTCCGGGATAGCGCGGAACCGGTGTCGCCGTTTGCCGGAAAAGAATTTTGGAGCCATTGCATTGGGTATCACGGATGGAGATGGGAGCTCGGAGCAGGCGGTCTCTACCTGTGTGAGCGCTTATGGCGCGAGATTCGAGCTTTACGGGAGACCGAAATCACAAAGGTCATTCGTCACCCATACGGTATGTTTAGTTCTTGTATCCGGGTCGTTCTTTACTAATGCGGTACATAGATGCAATGGAAATTCAATTCCGCAAGCCGAGCTTCAAGTATAAAGCCGGGCAGTGGCTTTTTATCCAGGTGCCCGAAGTATCGAACACGCAATGGCACCCTTTTACCATCACATCCTGCCCGTTCGATGATCATGTCAGTATTCACGTACGCCAAGTCGGTGATTTTACGCGTGCTCTTGGTGATGCCTTGGGTTGCGGTCCGGCGCAAGCGCGAGATATGGAAGGGCTTGATCCCTTGGGCATGTACGAAGTTGCCCTTCAAAACGGACAGCAAATGCCGAAACTCCGAGTCGACGGACCGTATGGAGCTCCTGCCGAAGACGTCTTCGAGAACGAAATTGCTGTCCTGATTGGAACCGGTATCGGTGTTACTCCATGGGCATCCATCCTTAAGAACATCTGGCACATGCGCGCCAGCCCGAATCCTCCAAAACGTCTCCGTCGAGTTGAGTTCATCTGGGTCTGCAAAGACACCACCTCTTTCGAGTGGTTCCAAGAGCTTCTTTCCTCCCTCGAAGCCCAATCCTCAGCCGATGCAGCCTTTGAAGGGTCAGCAGAGTTCCTGCGCATCCACATCTACCTCACACAGCGCCTAGACCAAGATACCACCGCCAACATCTATCTGAATTCCGTCGGCTGCGAACTCGACCCGCTTACAGAATTGAAGAGCAGGACAAACTTTGGCCGACCAGACTTCAAACGATTGTTTACTGCCATGCGCCAGGGACTGCAGGACCAGTCCTACATGTCCGGCTTGCACGGGCACACAAGCGGACACTCGACTACAGAAATCGGTGTCTACTTTTGCGGACCTAATGTGGCCGCGAGGCAGATCAAAGCCGCAGCTTCGGCCTCCAGTACTAAGGACGTCAAGTTCAAGTTCTGGAAGGAGCACTTCTAATTCTCTTATGCCAAAAGCCTCTATACATTTCTTACATCCTGTTCTTCATACCTTGATATCCACCAATGACGAGCCACGACCTGCTGATTTTTTGCGCATCTGTTCTATTCATTGGATTTGCAATTTGCACCTTCGTACTTGGTCCCTACGATGCTTTGCAATATCCGCTGTATTTTATACCCTTGACCTCGACCGTATATAGCTTTACTTTACGTTTTAGAGATCAGCGAAAGCGTACCGCATATCATTATCTTAGTTCTCTTTGGAAGTATAGTGTAATTGTCTGATATATAGCAACGCAATTCATATCTGCATAGCCTCATCCCCACTCTCCACATCCTCCGGCATAGAAATCGGCGCGCCCTTCCCTTCCTCCATACCGACCGCAAGCTCATCCAACTCCCTCTCAATGTCAATGTGAATCCTCAATTCCTTCTCCACAAGGACATTATATACGTGCCGCAGTTCATGGAAATTCATACCCTCGCCCTTCTGCGGAATTCCAGCATTATTGGAATTGCTCGCGTTGTCCGTCCGCTGTCGGACGATATCATCACGGAGATGCGTAAACGCGAGCATGAGAATATCCTTTGACCAAGGGCACGCGCGCATTGCGCGGTAGAAGATGCTCTTTGCGCGGCTGATTTCGTTGCGGGAGAGTTCAAGGTAAATGTATAGGGTCCAGAGGGTTATGCTGGAATTCGAGGTGGAGGTAGAGGTGCTGGAGGTGCTCTGGTTCTGGTCGCCGATAGCGCGCTCGAATGCGGCGCGGGCGGAGTGGAGGGTTGATCCGGCGTAGAGGGGGCGAGTAAGTTCGGTGTAAATGGAGAAGAGGTGGGTTGTTATCGGGATTTGAGAGTCTGATGTCAGTATGGATGAAGCTGAAGATGGTGATTTATTGCTATGTGTTTTGGCCGTTGTGACTTCTCGCATAATATCGCGAACGCGCTCCTCGATGCGGAAGCGAGACTCGTTCCAGGCGAAGAGGGAGAGGAAAATCGTATTATGCGGGAATAAAGCGATGCTTTCTGTTAGGAGTGTACGGATGGAGGATGGTTTATACATGGTACTTGTGCGCAGGTGGTAATGGAGGAGTCTTGCGCGCGCTTGGTGGAGAAGCTGTGTGGTGTAAGAGACAAATGACTCTGCGGAGGAGGGAAGCGACGAGAGTCTGTGAAGAGTGAGGGTATATGCTTCGAGAGCTTTGTCGAGGTCTTGGGTGTTTGTGAGATAGAGAAGGATGGCGTGGCAGTCTGTGCAGGCCTTGACGAGGGTTGGCCTTTGCTTTGCAATCGCGCTCTCTTGGGATTCTGATAAGTACTGAAAGGGTTAGTTGCGATGAGATTATTGGGCGCGCTTTTTACTTACGTTGCGGACTTTCAAGAGATTAGTTGCGCTCACTGCCGGTGTACTCGTGGGATTAGGGAAGCTTCGTAGATCAATCGCGTTCTGCGGCATGCAAACTAGGAGATGAGCGGCGTGGGCTATGTTCCGACCCTCTAAAAGCTCCCAAACCCAGGTATGCCAGAGATGGACACTGTCTACTTGCTGTTCATTCGAAAATGTCTTGCTCATGGAAACAGCAGTTGCTCGCACATGGTCAGAAGTTGCGTGGTTGCCGGTTCGACGCTCCATAAGAGCGTATGCATTATATAGACGAAGGCAGGACGGGTGCTTTTTGAGTAGCGATTTGGCATATTTTTTGGCTTCCTTGGGATCGCAGACGAACTCAACCGCGACTGCATATTCCGCCAGATCTTCATTAGACGGCATTGCTTCAACCAAAAGCCGGAGGGTTCTTCGCACCCAGTCACGGACGACGACATGAGTTGGGCCAGATGTGACTTTGGCCCATGCACTGAAAGAGGAAAACCATGGTACAGACTCTGAGAAGTAGGTATCGAAGTCGTGAATAAACAGTTGATGCAGGAAAGCAGTAGAAGATATGCCCTCGGTGTCGGTGCTGGGGTTCGGGAGCCAGTCATCAAGGCTCGCATAAGAGGCGCCGGTTACGTCGTTTCGCAGGAAGCTATCACCCATCCAGTGTCCGGTAGTCTGCAGATTTTTGATAGTAGTAATTGGAGGAAGGTGGCAGAAGTACAAAAGACTATCAACCAGCTCGGTCGTCGAATCAGGTAACGAAGCCAGAGGAAGAAAGTCTTTGAGGTCCGAGGCGAGAATCACGCGGTAAGGATCATCTTCTGGCTCATCCACGCTACGCGCTGGAAGTTGAGAGTTCATCATACGCTCTCGTTCACAATCTGCCCAAGAAGCCAATATCGAGTTTGGGTTGAGCCGGCATTGTGGCTCAAAGACTACCGGGTCAAGCAAGGTTGAAATGCCACTTCTCCAGCCCTTAGCTCCAACATCGCCAATCCGCAGAGTCTCCGAGTCCCAGAACTCGCTGAATGCTGACAGCACGCTGTTGGCATCCGCGTTGATGTCTAGGTCTCGCGGACTAAAGAACGTCAACTCGAGAATCGCTTGCCAGAGGCCGGTTGCCTGTTCCATATATCCTGCCTCTCTAAGAAACAGGGTCAAGCGAAGAAATAAATAAACCTGCACTCGGGCTTTCTCCAGACTATCGGGCGAAGCCTTGTTCAGGCTCAGACACTCGGTAAAGGTAGCAAGGCAGCGATCATGACTAAAATTAAGGAACTCTGTCTGGCGAAAGTCGAGATACTTCACCCAAAGACTGATGTACCGAGAGTTCGACTTCAGTGTGGAATGCCACTGCGCCAATAGCTTCTTTGTATCCCACAGTTTCGAGCCCTCTTCTAGACGACCAATGAGAAGGCGATCACGGCCAGCACCTTGTCCGACCTTTTTCAAAGCCTTTTCGTACAGAGAGTGCTTAATATCGGCTAGACTGTTTCGCTCTGCGCTTGTCAAAGAGCTCGACTGCTTCGCAGAACCCCGAAGAACCGTTTCTTGATGATCAATAAGCTGCAGCCAGGCCTCGACATCTGTCGGGCGCTGCTCCACGTTTCGAGATAACTCGACATTGCGGCGTTTAATATCAATATCTGGGTCTCGACGAACTCCTTCCCCGCCACTTATGTCGGTATCCGACATCGGCTCCAAGTCACTCGGAAGGCCATCATCTTGCTTGAGTTTGCCATGGATCGAGCGATACCCGTACTTTTCATCATCTGTGCCGGATTCGCCATACTCGTCTTCGCGCTCCTTTCGGCGAGAAAATCTCAGAGGTACGAAATCGTCAGATGATTTGATCGGGTCGTTCGTGGAGGTTGTCGGTCGGACTCGCAGTAGCCTTGGTGCCAATCGGCTTGACGCCGACAAGAACTTATTTGTCCTGGCTTTTGAAGTATCCGTGCGCGACGTCTCAGATTTCAGCACAATCTCATTTTCTCCAATGGTGTCGCGGTCGATTCTATAGTTCGGCGGCAGTCCGAGGACACGACCACGACCAATACGGTAGTAGCGAGGAACGCTGTATCGATGTATCGTCCCGTATATCATATTGTACTTATCTCCTTTGCGATCAATCACGTAGAGGTCCGACGAGTCCTCCGTTGGCTCCTTCACGGGACTCCTTGATGGCGTGGGTGCGTGGGCGGGCTCCTTGTCATGTCGACGAGACTCCTTATGGTCACGGCGAGAATGCTTGCGGTGGTCCCTCCATTCCCTTGATCGCGAGCGATGGCGATGGCGGGCTTTGTGGCTGGAATGGTGCCTCGACCGATGTCTGGACCTGTCTTCGGTTTCTCGTTCACGACTGGGGCGCTCGGGAGGCCGATCGTTATCGGGCGGCGGAGCTGGCTGGGGCTTGAAGCTCGCGAAGCGCGGGATGGCCTTTTTCTCCTACAAAGAGTCAGCGATGGTAATAGTAAAATTGGAAGTCTAATTTGCACTTACCTGGGAGACAGACTGATCCATACTCCTGGGCCCAAGGCATTGTTGGGAGGTATAGCTTGAGTAGTGGCTGTTGGCTGGAAAAACTCCGCTCCCGCTTTCCGCCTTTCGTCGGAGGAGCAAAAAAAAAGTTGCGGAGTCCTGCAACAGATTCCGCTCTGCGATCATTCCCTTCCAACGCAAATCCAGATCTTCTGGATTTTTTGAGCAATTAACCACTGAGGGATGGACACATTGATTGACGCTCAATAAGGAATCATCCTCTTCACTATGGCGTCGTCCCTCGCCGCGCAGTTGTCGCAAATCGCGGCCAACTCCACCAACCAGTTGAATCTCAAGGCACAGCGAGTTGCGCATTCGCAATCTTTAATTTTCGGCAAGCGAGTCGCCGGATCTCAAGACTTTGACACGATATATGACATTTGCTACGATGGCTTCCGAGAAATATGTCAGCTCGATGCCCGTTTTGCGCAGTTCGAGCGCTCACTCTTCAGCGAGCAAAGCAAATCGCAGGAACGAACAGAAATGTCCGCAGAGCAGAACAAGGAGCTAGATACAGTGCTGGAGGCCTTCCTAGCCTTGGTTGGCGGGAGACTATTGCTGAACCCGGCCGTAAAGGCTGTGGAGTGGCTCGTGAGGCGCTTCCGGTATGATTGCCGCAGACTCTCAGACTTTTCGTTGCCTTCTAACGCACGTATAGTATACACGAGTACAACACTGAGTTTACAATTCTCACATTCCTACCTTATTACCCAACTCCTCTTTTCCTGAACCTTCTCACGATCCTCCCCGAAGATCTCCCGCCGACGTTCAAAGTGCTCATCCCGTACAAGCGAAGTGGGATCAATCCAGTTCGCCAGGCCGTTGTGCAGAGCGCTATCGCAAATAAAAACGTGATCACTGCCCTCAACCACCATGTCATCCAAGTCAGTGAACAACGGGCCCACCACCACGCCTTGTTATCTTTCTGGGCGGGAATAGTCACCGAGGGCGTTGCGGGGATGTTGGATTCCTCCCGCTCGGGTCGGAGAAATGTCGAAAAGCAAAACCATGACGATATCATACTTCAAATACTTCCTGTGCTGAATGAAGGGTTGTCTTTGAAGGATGTTTCTGAACTTGTTATTGGCTGCTACATGATTTGCGTTGTCCTCGCACAGAAGGCAGAACTTCAAGACCGGGTGCTGGACGGTTTGATGGAAGCTGTTGTAGGATCCTGGACTGAAGAGACATTGAGCTCTGGACTCATCTGTGTCTCTGTACTGGCGCAGCAAAAGCCGGTTGCGGTTTTGCCAAAGCGGGTTTTCAAGGCTCTGCTTCGCTTGGATGAACCCTTGAAACAGCTGGCTGAAATTTCGGCGGAGTACAAAACTTCCCAGCTCCTTCTTGGGATTGTGTCCGGCTGTATCAGCAATCTATCGGGCCAGAAAGATACTTCACGCCTTGATATGCTGTCCTTGATGTTTGAGAGCCAGCTTCTGGGCGATGTCGAATTGGCAAAGGCCATGGCGCTGGTTGTCCAGGCAGCAAGCAATTTGGACGGGTCAATAACCCTTGATGTTCAGACACACCTTGCAGACCTCATTCAACACTTCTCTCGATCGACAGCACTCCAGCCTACTTTCCAGAAGATGATAACAGAAACATCACTTGACCTCACGGTATTAGAACACAATTTGCAGACGGCCATCGAAGCTGTTCCTGCTCCCAAGGCAATTGAAGACGTTGAAATGCAGGATGTGGATCAGGAAGAAACAGTATCAGACGGCTTCGCGTCAGGCCTTGAATCGCTAGGGAAAGAGAGTCCCTTCACCGGTTCATTCCTCGAGGAACGGTCCATTCCAGTATTCGACAGGCTTGTCCAAGTCTTCGCTCTGGCCGCTGCTTCTCAAGAGAAAATCAGTTCGTTTATTGAACTGCCTGTTCTAGGCAAATCTAACGCTACAACCTCGCCACAATTTCTCACCTTTTTCGTTCGTGTCTCTACAGGTCCCTATCCCGATGGCACAAGAGCAGCCGCCCTAAAGACTATTTCTGCCTTGCTCATCTCCGCCTCGAACGACGTTGACCTCCAAGCGCTACTGCCTTTCCTCCTAGTTGCTCTGTCAGATCAATCAGAAAGAGTTCGCCGTGAGGCTGTCGATCTCCTAGCCATTGTTGGCAAATTGGATGCGAAGAAGAAGAGCGGCCAATCGGCCAATGTTTGGGCTCAGAACTCTATTTACGGCAAAGAGCGATCGAAAAACGTTTCTTGGCTTCCTATCAAAGACTTCCAGAAGATTCTAGAGCGCGCTCTGCTTCCGGGTCTGGAGGAATACAAGTCTGACCAGGACCACATTGGTCGGGCTCTCGAAAGTGCTTTGCGTGGGACTCCGGCATCAGAAAACACCGCCTTTGAACTGAAGAAGCCTCTGCGATTGGCTTTCTTCACTTTCCTTTGTTCACATGCTGTGCAGGTGCCGCTTTTTGCGCCCAAGTCTGGGTTACTTCGCCTTCTCAACCGAATTGACAAGGCCGGTGGCACAACTCGAACTAAGGAACTCGAGACTATTCTGAAGTCATGGAGGAGTCTCAGTGATCGGGAGGTTAAGGATATTCACGAGAAAGAGCATGTTTCGGTATCCGAAGTCGAGGACCAGGTCCTCAAGACCGTCACGTCAAAGGAAAAGGATTCCCTGGCTTTGCTTCTATCCAGTGTCAGCCCGTACTCGACGACTTTGCGATCTTCGTTTGTCTCTTCCGTTTTCGGCCGTATGAAGGATATCTGGGCCAAGGTTTCAGAGGATCGAAAAGTCGTTGCAGCTGAGAAGCTATTTGAGCTCTCAATCCAGGACGAGTCTCCGCTCATCAATAACTGCCGGGAACTCCTACGCAATGTCGAGCTCCCTGGCGCCGTGCTGCTCAACTACCTTCAGCAGATTCCTTCCTCGATTACCGACATCGACAGCCTAGGACCAGCGCCAAAGCGGAGACGTACCAGCCAGAACAACATGATCGCTATGACAACCAAGGACGAGGCTAAGCTTAGCAAGCTGATGGATAAGATGACATTCATCCTAGAGCTCGTAGACAGCTTTAACCCTGAAGCTCATCCTGAACTCACAGAAGGCCTGTTCCAAACTTTGGCCGCTCTTCATCACTTCAAGTCTCAAATCCAGTCTGGCATGAGCTACTTGCTCAGCTTGACACTCGGCAGCCTCCTCGCCATTGTCAACCGGTCCAAGGATACTGCTAAACCACTCTTTGACACGTCCGTTGTCCGTGCCGATATGGTTGTTGACTGCGTTCGCACCACCGACAGCCCTCAGGTGCAAAACACCGCTCTCCTCTTGGTTGCTGGTCTATCCGTGATCGCACCAGAGCTCGTCCTCCACAGTGTAATGCCGATTTTTACCTTCATGGGATCTAGCGTCCTGAGGAAAGATGATGATTACTCGGTATCCGTTATCGACCAGACTATCGACCAAGTTGTTCCTGCGCTCATCCAGTCGCTGCGCCATCAGAAGCGCGATGTCGTCTCTGGCACTTCGGAGCTCTTGCTCAGCTTTACTGCCGCGTTTGAGCATATTCCCTCGCACCGCCGTCTGCGGCTGTTCCACGCTCTCATCACGAAGCTCGGGACAGAAGAATTCTTGTTTGCGGTTCTGGCTATGCTTGCCAACAGGTATTCTATGGATAAGGCTGTTCTCGTCTTAATGACCGGTCTGGTGTCTGATGCTAGTGCTGTTGTCGAATTGACCGTGAGTGACCCTTTAATCCTGTAGCGATTGATTTTTACTAATGATAGCAGACGTATAGCAAGTTCCTTGACTTGGTGAGCGACTCGCTCAAGGCCAAGCCTGGCATTTCACAGGTTCTCCTTGGCATTGGCAGTGATGATGGGCGAGAGCCGCAAAAGGTGGCAGTTGACCTGCTACGCGCGTTGGCCTACCTTTTCAAGCATTCGTCGCTGAAGGTGAAGATTTCCAGAGTGCTCACAACAGAAACGGGAGATGCCGACCAGATTCGCGGCCTGTTCTCCAAGATCCTCGAGCAGGTCCTGGCAATCGGCGAGTCCATGCAAAGCGTCAAGCCTGTCCACCAAGCTGCAGGCGATGTGCTCAGTGGGCTATTCAGTACACTCACCACGATTGACTTCCTTGATACAATTGAAGCCTTGCTCCAACGCCCTGATGACGCCCTTCGCCGCAAGGTCCTTAACCTGCTTGGTACCCGTCTGCAACAAACCCCCGAGCGGGATGGCGAATCGCAAATGCGCATGCTGGACTTCTTGGCTGTCTTGGTTGGCATCGTCGAGTCATCTCCGGATATTCTGCTCAAGCATGGCGCTGTCACTTGCATCGATCGCATCACTGAGAAGTATGGTAAGAAGGAGCCGTCCAAGGTCACTCACGCCGCCCAGGTCGTTGCCAGTGCTTCGTGCATTGGCCAGGAGGACGATCGCATCCGCATCAATGGTGTTCTGTGCCTCGCTTCTATGGTCGAAGTGCTGGGCCAGGCAGTCATCCCTGCCCTCCCCGAAATCCTCAACCGATCTATTGGTCTGCTCGAGTTGAGCCTGGAGGACGGAAAGATCAACGCCAGGCTGCACGACGCTGTCTTCACCCTCTTCTCCGCTCTCTTCGTTCACCTTCCTTACATGGTTTCGGGCTCTCACCTGGACCGTCTACTCGTCCTTTCATTCAAGTCCGCCGTCTCCGAAGATGTCGACGACGAGAACCGCCAAGAAGCGCTCCGCTTCATGGCCCGAAAGGTCGACATGGCTTCAACCTTGGCTTCTATCGACCGCAACTGGCAGCAAGCCGTTTCCGCTGGCCCTGCCGCTACGCGCGAAGTCCTCGAGGCCGTAAGCCTAAGCATCGAAAAGCACCCGAAGTCTGCAACTATGAAGAACCTGGCCGTGCTGTCGAGCATCCTTTTCCGTGCATTCGACCTGCGTCGCGAGCAAGTCGTTCTCGTGCCCAAGTCCGCCTTTGACGTTTCGGACCTCGAGGCGATTGAGGATCTCTTCAACGATGTGATGATCAAGATGATCTACAAGCTCAACGATACGACTTTCCGACCCATCTTTACGAAGCTGGTCGCGTGGGCAACTGGTCTTCCGAAGAAAGATTCACTGGGCACGCTCGCCCGGTTGACGACGTTCTACCGGTTCCTGCAGGTCTTCTTCGGTACTCTCCAGGTACTTACTTACCCACCTTTTCCCCCTTCATATATGACCTCGTACTAATATGAGTCCAGTCCATCGTAACCGGCTACGCAAGCTACGTAATAGACAACGTCGCTTCGGTCCTCACAACAGCCAACCCCTCCAACCCCGCTACAAAATCTCTCTGGCTAGCCATAATGCGCATGCTCCGAAGCGCCTTTGAGCATGACCAGGACGGTACGTCCCTCTTCTTCCTTTCATTTCTCCCACCCCAATTATTCTCAAACCAAACTAATAAACCAACTTCAGAATTCTGGCAATCCCCATCGCACCTAACAAAAATCACCACCCCGCTAATCACCCAACTCCGCCACGCTACATCCCCGACAACCCTAAGCACAATAACCACCGAAACAATCCCCACAATCACCGAGCTCGCCATCGCCGCCGACTCAACCGACAACCACAAGGAGATCAACAGCGCCCTCATGCGCTTCCTGCGCCCGGGCTCCTCCGTACCATTCTCCTCTGCTACCTCCGGGAAAAAGAGCGCTGGTTCTGCTTCTGCTTCTGGCGGCGAGAACCCGCATACTCGCATCGCGGCCCTGAAGACGCAGCAGAGTTTGACGGATCACCTCGGGGAGGACTGGCTAGCGCTCCTGCCGGAGATGCTGCCGTATATCAGTGAGTTGATGGAGGATGAGGATGAAGGTGTCGAGAAGGAGGTTAGAGTTTGGGTTAAGCAGATTGAGGGCGTGTTGGGGGAGAGGTTGGATGATATGTTGACTTAGATGGCCACGCCATACCACATCACATAACGCTACCATGTGCTGTCTGTGGGTGCGGCGGCGTTTGGTGTTTTTGTTGTCGTTGTTTTGTATATATGATGCATAGTCATGTGGAAAAGTTACCTATTGTAGAGGGATTACTTCTTGTTTAGGGAGATAGAAAGAAAGTCCATTTTCATCGTTCATTTGTCGGTCGACTGGTGCGTGGTATGTTATGTATGGTATGCATATCCTTCTAAATATGCTACGTTCATTCATCTCAGATACGTATCTCGTATCTTCAACCCGTCTCATCATCGGCATACTCTAATCCACATAGGTGACCTCGCTACGCAGTCGGACCAACTCCCCTCTGTCAGATCCTGCAACAGCACCATCTAGATCTAGATAGATAGAACGCAGATAGATGAAAAGGCGCGATCTAAATCCCAGATCCCTCATGCGAACCCCTTTCGCAAATTCTCAAACCTCGATGCCGGGTACTCGAGCTGGTTCTGCGATCTCTCCAGGGCGTCGGTGCCGCCGATGGAGTTTACGAACTATACAACGAATCAGCCCCCGTTAGCATCGAACCAAACCCAACCCACTCAATCACCAACGACGAATGAACTTAAAACAAGAAGACAGATAAATATACCGTTTCAACCAAACTCCCCCCACTCCCCACCTCGCGATCCCCACTACTCTCCCACCACATCCCACCCCCCAACCCCGTCAACACCACATACCCACCCTTCCTCCTCGCAACCCCGACCGTATCAAAACTCACAACCTCCCGTCGTGCTCCATCATACGAGAAACTCGCCCCCAACTCGGGGACCTCGACAACGCGCCCGCCCGGTTTCGGAAGGGCCTTGTAATCCCAGATCCCGGCCTCGAAGCTCCCCTCGTACCCGACGCCTGTGAAGGATGTCCCCGGCCCGTCAGTGTTGGCGAATGCGCGCCCGTAGAGCGGCATGCCGAGATTTATCTTTGAGGGAGGGATTCCTGCGCTGAGGTAGGAGGTTATTGCGCTGTGCGTGTTGAAAGGTGTTGTTTGGGGCGTGTTGGGCGAGGGGAAGAGGTTGGCGCTGTGGCCGGTTATCCTGTCCCAGCTTCCGCTGTAGTCGTAGGCCATTAGGTTGTAGAAGTCGAGGAGCGGGGCCATTTGGGATAGGTGGAGGGTTGTGTATTTTGAGGGGCCTGTTGTTCTTTCGTTAGTTGATGTGGTTTGGGTAGGCGGATGCGATGTTGTGATGTGGTGAGGTAGGGTTTGGTTGTGGGAAGGGGGACGTACCGGCAGACGAGGCAACGCTGAGAAGGAAGTGGTTCCTGTTTGCGTGTGCAGCGCTGTAGCGGTCTAGTTCCTGCATATGTGTCAATGAATGTGCTTCATAGGACGAAGTACAGAGAAACATAGACACACCTGCCGAGTCTCACGGAGCAGTTCCACAAAGTCGTCCGCTTGTGCGTCGGTCTCGGGGTACTAGAATAACGCATTCCATATCAGTCAACTCAACCACACCAACATCCAGAATAAATAGGCAGAGTATCAGATAACACACCTCCCAATCAACATCCAGCCCATCCATCCCCAAATCCCCCATAAGCTTGACAGCCGATTCCGCAAATGCCCTTCTTCCCCGGGCCGTGCTCACCGGCTGCGCAAAGTTCTTCGAGTACGTCCAGCCGCCGATACTCAAAAGCACCTTGAGGTGGCGGTTCTTCTTCTTGAGGAGATACAGCTGCTTGATGCAGCCGTAGACGTTGTTCGTGCCGGGGTCATTCCAGGAGTCCGTTGGATAGTGTTTCTCAAGGTCCGCGTAGGTGTCTGTCAGGTAGACTTCGCCGGTCTCGGGGCGGATGTTGGCAAAGGCGTAAAGGATGTGGGTTAGGTGGCTTGTCGGGAGATCTTGGGGGTTGTGTGCGCGGGCGTAGATTGCCTGTTCGGGATTAATATTGGGTCAGTTGGGTCGCTTTAAGAGGCTGGCTGGGGATAGAGTAAGGACGGGATACCCAGTTGACAAAGTAGGCCATCGAGCGGTAGCCGGCTGGACTTGGATTGAGGTTGGTGCTGTTCAGGCCATTGTCTGCACCGGGGAGCGTTGGGCTAAAGGGGGGAATAGAAGGAGAGCTAGGGAGAGGTCTTGGGGGAGGGTGAGAGGGAGGCCTGGGAGTCTCGGTGCCAGGCTGGGGGATGCAGGATGCCTGGGCAAGGCAGAGCAGAGATAAAATAAGAGCGATAAGCTTCATCTTGACGCTTGACTGGAGCGGGATGAGAGGAAAGATGGCATGAAGAAGGTGAAGGGCAAGAAGGAGCGAGGAGATGGAGAAAAGAGATGAGAGCAACTCTTATAGTAGCAGACTAACACATCTGATAGAATGAGAACTTTTCTGCAGTTGAAACACAGTGAGATCAAACATCCAGGCAGTAACACGAGCAGTGAATGTAGACACCAGACCCACCTGAGCTTAATTTCATGTAATCCACTCAGAAACCAGGAAGGGCAGTCTCATTTACCTTGAAGGCCTGTCATTCATCCAAAGACTAGGATGGTAGGCCTGTCGAGGTCGACATGACCAGTCCGAAACAGAGTGAAGATAGGCTCGAATGATCAGAAGCAGGTCAGTCAGAAGCAATGCATGATGGGATTCAATATTAAATGTATTAAGGCGCTATGCCAATCTAGAGTCTATATACAGGCATAAGTCATTAAGATCAAGCCCCAGTCAAATACCGGGTATCAAATCCAACGCCAAAAAAAAACTTTTTAAATCATCATAGGGGAACAATTTGCGGCCGCGGACCAGGCAGCGGGCTCGACCTGTGGTACTCGGCCAAATCCGAATATTCCGGGGGAGCAACCGCGTCGGCTCCGTCGATAGCTGGAGGGGCCACGCTGCGTGGGCTGAAGAACTCCGCATCTACTTCTTCCTGAGTAATAACCTCGTCCGATTTCCCACTCGAGTCAGTGTTGGATGACCCGAAGGTCAGCTGGATGGGAATCTTCAGAGATACTGTCGGCGTGAGAATGTTCATATTCGGCGTGTGGTAGGATACGCAGAGATCCAGTGTGTAGACTCGGGAGATCAGGCACGAGTGAAAGGTTGGAACAAAAGCTTTGTCCTTTGGAAGAGTGACCGGCACCACAACCGAGGCTGTATAGTAGACGTCGCCTGAGAAGCAGGCAGTTGGCCCTGTGATGGATTCCGCCGACGAGGTCGACTGGAGTGAGTCGCGTCGGACCAGGGTGTTGCCCGCATGCTTGGTCCACTGCGCAGAGGCAAGACACATTTTCGACAGCGGCACAGTATCATAGTAGACACCATCTCCCGTCATTCCCACCACAGAAACCGCCGAGGAATTCGGGTAGTCCTCCCAAGGGTGCGCGGCATAGTATGTTGCGACACGAAGCTTGCTCCAGATGGTGCCCAGACGAGGCGGTTCCTCGTCGCCCACAGGGTCGAACCGCAAATGAACGGTGGCAGCTGTGCTCACCGACTCAGGTTCCTTGTTAGGAGGGTTGAGCTGCAACGGCTTTGGCTGCGACGCCGCGGCCACCAATCGTCCCTGGCGTGGCCGCAGGGTGCCACGCTTAACATCCTTCTCCCTACGGGTGCGGTAGACGGGATCATTGTCGAGCACGGTCAGAGGAGGCTCCTCCTCAACGGCAGGGAGGATGCGAATCTTGCGCTGGGTGACTTTCAGGGACTTTGCGGGGCCAACGACCGGTTTCTGTAACACCTCGGCCCGGATCTGGTAAGTGACACGCGTCATGTCAGGCGACATATCGTCCAGTAACGTCTTGCCGTTCTGGGCGAGCATGGGGTCGCCAAGCGAGGGCGGAAGGAGAGTGTGGGAATGGTGGACGTGGGCATTCTTCTTGCTGTGGCTGCAGACGTGTGGTAGCAGACCGCGGGGGACGACAAAGGTAAAGGGGAACTGGTAGGTGCGTGCAGGCTCGATGACGCGAGGAGTCGGGTAGGAGGAGTCTTGCATGGGCTGGCGCAGGCGCAGGAATGTTTGAGTTGCTCCTGAACGGCCTGGCACGGCGCCTCGTTCCACAGTAACGGTCTGTGTTCCTACCGGAGGGGTTAGCATTCCGCGTGCCATCATTCAGGTTTGCACTCACCCTCGAGCTTGATATCGACCTCGTCGAAGCTGATGAGATGTGCTGCTGAGATGGTCACGGTGCCTTCGATGCGGTCTCCAGTTGTAAAGGACGGAGCCAGATTGCCATCTCTTTGGTTGGTGAAGTCAATCCTGATCTGGGGTCGGCCAAAAGGGGAGAGCACGTCGGCCGCCCTGGTGCCGGTGGAGAGGAGTGAAGCGGCCATCGCGACGGAAATTAGATTGGTGTTGTTCGCAGGTGGTCCAGAGCTTTTAAAGTAGTCGTAGAAAAATCCCCGAAGGGATGTTCAATTGGAGTGGAAGGGGTAAAAGTTATACTCCGCTGGGTTTGTTTAGACGGTATAGATGGAATTCCCCGGACACACGGCACACGGTGCAATCAAGCCAAGAGGCAAGCAGTTCAATTTGATAGTCTCCATTCTCCCCAGTCTTCGGGGAACCCATTCAGTTATATAGCAAACACCATGAGTCACGACGGATTTGCTGAGAAATTCTAAAATCTGTGACAACTCTTGACAAGCGAGCGTGGAGTCGATGCGCCCTTGGGTTGACAAAAATGGAGATGACAAATGGAGCCGGTGACGCCCTAAAGAACGCCTTCTTTGGACATGAAGAATGACGCCAGCGGAATGGATCCGAATCATCCAGCGGCTCGTATCGATGGTTCCGGGCTGCCTGACATGGATTGGCCTGGAAAGCCACTTCGTATCCTGCTTCAGAAACAATCCTGACAAATGCGCTTCATGATTGCGTGCTCCAGAGCATCTCGTCTGGCAGAAAAGCTGTCGCATGGACAAGCAATGACCCCAACGACAAGCACTCTAAGCCTCTAAAGGTGAATCGCTGATAGCCTCCTAGGGTGAACCGAGAGAGAAGTGGACCCATGACCCCAGAACCGCAGTCATTGCACGCCCTTCGACCATTGCTGGCCCACTTCCTTCCAAGCCTCCTCCGCTCTGCGCCCTGTGATTCGCCATATTCGCGACAATAAAATCTTGGACTTCCAGAACACCTCTCAGGTCAATGCTTTTCCTATAGAATTACGCGAGCTTGTGACTCCGTAGAGAATGCCTGGAAAGGATCACGCTTGGCTCGTGGCCGATGACCCGAACAGGATTCGTGGGCGACTGTTGTCCAGCCTGGCCTATTATTGTTCTTATTTCCGCGGATTCAAGTTGGTGGCCAGTCCCCCGGATCCTACAGAGTATCGCCGACATCGCCCGCCAAATCGGGTGCCATGTCCCCTGCCCTGCTTCAAGCCACGAGCGATGTTGCCATTTCCCTCCAATCAGCTTCCCTTGTCTCTCCTTGCCGAACAATATACCTAGCACTGATGGGCATCAAAGGTCGTCATTCAACTTCAACCCTCCTGCTCGAGTTCTCGTCATATGTCTCTTTCAGGATTCAACACTGACCTTCTGTGTTGCAGCTCGGCCGATCTTCTTCTGGCAATATCAGACGAACACGAATCGTCCCAGTCTCCTGCTTTCGAGTCAATCATATCATTATTATACATTATTCATTATCAACCAATCCAGCAATGTCTAGCGTGTTACTATCTATCTGCGCAATTCCAGTCAAGTACCCATCAATCCTTCCAAGAATGTCCTTCGCAAAGCCATTCTCATCAACAACACCGAGAGCCCCAATCTGCCAGTTCAACGTCATGACCATCTCGCCGTCCTTCCTCGTCACCACCGAAAAGCTCAACGGGCAGTTCGTCACATTCGCCGGCTGAGAAAACACCATCCTCTCAATGTCCCATGTTCCCTTTCCATCACTTTCAACACCCGAGACGGACGCATTACCCTTTGATGAAGGATCAAAAACAACGGCATTGCTGATCTCGTACGACGAGTCGCGCGCCTCGCCTAGTTTCTCGAGGAACCACGGCCGAAACTTGTCCAGGTACTGCACAAGACCGATAGGTTGGTCCACCAGCGTGCTGGCAGAATGAGCCAGACGGGCCGTCGTACCGCGCACCGCGTCCCACAAAGCATCATCGTCCTTCAAGTTGATCGCCGGGTCCCCCTTGGCAACTCTCTGTGACCCCTCATAAACAGCCGAGACACAATTCAGCATCATCTCAGGCTTGTACGTTGGAACCAGCGCCCTGAGATCAACCACAATCGTCCCGATGAAGTTCTCGACAGCACACGAAGCATCATGCTCCGGCAAAACATCACTCAAGGCCCGCACAACCAATTGATTGAGAAGGCCGGTGAGCCTCGCACCTCCCTTCTCCCTGCAAACTCTCAACACACTCTCTACTCGATCCCTGTGCACAAGAAGAATCTCCGATCCCGTTCGGAAATTCCCAGCGTTATACTGCATCACTTTCCCGGTCCATGTCCTCCCCGACGCAATCGGGGTCGAAAACCCCAGCCATCCCCTCAACCACTCTGGCATACGAGCCCCAAAAAGCGTAGATAGTAGAAACTTCCCCGTAATCCTCAGTGTACACGCCTCCTCCAGCGCTGGTGGAAGGCTTCCCAGTTCAGAGGTCGAGTGAAAAGGCGTACAATCATACCCCTGATCCTTCTGACCTCTCTGTAACCCCTCCAAGAATGTCCGATGAAAATTCAGCCCCGACCTCCCATCCCCATGCGAATGCGAATACGCAAAGATAACGTAGGCCCTCTTTCTACCCTCGCCGTCAGAACCAAAAAGAGGAAGAACACTAACATTCCACGGCGGAACCCGCTCCACATCCTCAAAGACTTGATCATGCGCTTGGAGCATCACACGCTTCAGAGCCTCGATCTCATCAACGTCAGGAACAGCTGACACGGGATCCAGAACCTCCAAATGCCGCTCTAAGCCCATCCCTTCTATATCCTCACATCGGACAAACACCGGCTCCTCACCATCCTGGCCACGGATCCCCGCGCTTAGGATCGGGTGTGTCGCGATGCAGTGTTTCAGTGCGGGGATGTAGGTCGTTGGGTCTTTTAGGTCGAGGTGGTCGGCAGAGGTAAGGGCTGAGGCTGAAATTGGCACTGTCTTCTCCACGGGTGCCCGTGCTGTTTCTTGTCTCGACGTAAAAGTGTATAAGCCTGCTAGTATTAGTGCTCGGTAGAACCCTAGTGCGTGTCGGGTGATGTAGCGGCGGTCGTTTTTGCCTGGAGCGTGGTTAGCTTTGTAGGTTTGAGGAGTAGGTATTATTGATATATTTGGGGAAGGGGAATGCGATGTGCATTCAGAGAAGGGTGTATATTAACATATAAAGATATGATAGAGAAATGGATGGAGAGTCTTACTCGCTGCGCGGAGCACCGAGTCCCCAGAGGGAGAAGAAGGCATGGCTCTAATTGGGTGTTGAACACCTTGTTGCGAGACACTTGTTCTTCTCAGGCAATTATGTCTGGGCTGGGCATCTTAGGTATATAGCCATGGTGGCCCAGTCACGAACCCTACCCATATGTGCGTTGTTCCAAGTGCAGATAGACTCGGCGTTCTATTCACCCGATGCTGGATCCTGATCCTCCCTCCTGAAGAAAGTGGAGTCTACACCGTGCCAGACGAGGAGCCCAAGGTGCAGGATTCACAAGCAATCCCATAATATCTATGTGAAAACTCAGCAACTTCGCTTTGTGTTGTCATATATAAGTCTGGATGGTGGTGGATCTAGGCACGCTATCTCGCAAACTCCACCAGGAAAGGGAAAAGACGGTTGAAAATTCGTCCGACGGGATAATGTATTTCCAGTGTGATACCAAAAAATTCTTACAGGCAAGAGTAAGATTCTAGAAAGTGTGATGTCTGTCCCAACTGATAAATTACGATGAGATCCGTGGCAGGCGGATAAAATCGTACTCAAAGATCGTCGGTGGCGCAAGAGCACCTTAATCTTGTCTCGTACAGCGAACACTTCGTGAGTGAAAGCTGCATCCAGCTCAAGATCAACTGAGGGAGGGCAGAGGATCGAGCGAGGCAGGAGACGTGCGGTGGGCTTTTTGGCAGGTGTCTACGTTCAGCCAGGGTGGGACAAAGAATTAGTAGATTGGTAGTTGCTACCTAGGTACAAGCAAAATCAGGCTAACCGTACCAACGCCGCGTTCGCTCTGAATTCAGTACGCCACTCGTGTTCGCATGTCCTGGGCAACGTTAGTGATATGGCAAGCAGAGAAAGTGGAGGAGAGGACTCACCGAGATCTTTCGCTCAATTTCTCGGACTGAGCGGTCCAGCTCCGCAGCAATCATCATCTTCGTGTCATTAGGAAGAAGGAAATACATCTCGCATAGGTCTCCGTCAATGACGCCCTTCACGGGCGCGTAATAGCTTCGGTATATAAGGTGGTCTCGGCCGGCAAGCGGTGGGCATTGCGACGCCAGTTGCATCTCCAGGCTCTGGAAGAAGTCGACATCTTCACGACTGACAAACGGCACCAGCATTCCGATTGTGCCCTGGAACCCAGTCCACACGAGAATGTCACGGCCTCCAGCTACCAGCTGGGTCTTGTGCAAGCTGGTCGGGATGTCTTGAGTGTAGACATGGATCATCAACTCAAGGCGGTGGGGTGTTCCCTGTAGATATCCACGATCGTGAATGAGATGGGCACCGGAGCCCTCCTCGTCTGCCTCCTCGGAGATCTTCTTGGGGCACCGCAGCAACCAGAGGTTTCCAAACTTGTCGCCTCCTGCTGTCGTTTCGTAGTCCACCATCGCTGTTGATGTGGTCCACCGAGGGATAGAATCGTCCACGAACGGAATCAAGACGTTTTCTTGGTACTTGTACACAACGTAGGTGATACTCTCGCGGACATCGCTGACCACGATTCTGCTGCCTTGCGTTTGAAGACCGACAATTGTTTTGGGGACCACGATAGCCTGGCACTTCCGAAGCAGTTGCTTCATACCTAGGTCGTAGACTCGCAAGAGAGAGCCAATACCAGCCACCAGACGACCTTGGAACGCGAGAAGGGCAAGTGGGGGCTCTTCGACCTTGGTTTTGTGGATGAATTCCAGCTCCTTTCCATCTTCTTGGAAGCGGTAGATGTGAATGTACCCTCCAGCGGACGAAGGCGGGTTGACCGTCATATCTTTCGCTGTACCGATCACCAAGAATGTTTCATCATCCTGACTTGTGAATGGGACAGCAGCAATACTGACGGCGGCCTCGTTCTCTTCCAGCTCAACTGTTGCGATTACCGATTTTGCCTCCAGTGGGTCAACCACTTGGATACACGAGGCCCAGTGGCCGGTGGCGCGAGGGTACCCAAAATCTTCTGGTGGTAGAACGGTGGTGTCGCCATTGTGAGCATTGGAATCCTCGAGTAATCGAGCTCTAGTTGCTGGTGACAAAACATTGTTGTCGGATTCAATGACATAGAACAGAGGCTGGTCGGGGTGTTTCAGGAAGTGACGAGGAGTATATGCGAGAGGAATAGATTGTTGCAACATGTTGTTGTCGAGCTTCTCGATGGAGAAAATCCTGTGGTCAGGCGTCAGCAACTGTCCACGTTGTGCATGTCGAAAAATAATGGAAGAACTTTGATCTCAGTAGGAACAATTGGAGTATAAAAAGAATGATAATCCACACAGTCATTCAGGGATATTTCCGTTTTCATCATGTGATCTAAGAAAACAACGAGGGACAGAGTGAAAGCATACCGTAAGTTTTGGCCTTGGATACCAACCATACCCTCCACACATTGTTCACTCGAAAAGTTCCAGCCCCATTCAAGTCCAACGTAGTCCAGAGGCGTAAGCATGAAACCTTTGGTCTGAGTATCGGAATATCCCAGCCAAGGACGTGAGCTCAGAGCAAGCACAGCTGTCTGTCCCTTGACCGACACTTGGAAAAGTTTCACGGCTTTCGAGCCGAGGAAGCGAGTACGTGTGTCGGAAAGTTCGCCTGTTACTTCATCAAGAACCGTGCGCAGATAAACACCGGAATGAAGGCCGATGTGGAGGTATAGGGTGGTACCCCCGGAGCTGGAGTCAGCCATTGACATGATATTCAACGCGGATGGCGCCGCAGTCAAGGCTTGAACAGACTTGTTCTCCAGCGTGGTGTCGGGGTCCAAGCTGAGGATCCGGACAGTCGAGTCATCACATCCAACAGCCAAGAATGAGCTTCGAACCCGACCTTCGGGAACCTCGCCTAAGCTGAGGCATGTAACGGTGCCAGTCATCTGACGTCGTTCGTCGTATTCGGCAAGGGACCCGTCAGCGTCCATTTCAAAATAGACAATTTCACCCGAGCTCAGTGCAACAGCGACTTGGCGCTCGTTTGTTGCGGCAGCGACAATCGAACGATGTTGCGGCGCCGGCCACTCATTCACTCGGCGGTCTGGAAGAATGTGGCGGATACCGCGAGGGTGAATCTGAATCAGCGAATCTTCTCCGAGTTGCTGAACAGCTAACGTGGGTGCGCTTGACAAGAAACCAGTATCCTGGACTTCTTCTACCGTCTCCCCAATGCTCAGGACCAGGGTTCCGTTTCCGAATGACAATACAATGTAGGCGTCGTATTCATCGTCTCGGGTAAGCTTTGTAGTCCAAACAGCTGACGGGACGCTTGGGAGTTCCGACTCAACAATCTCGGAGACTTCCAGCCCATGCTTCAGTGTCCGGAAAGTGCTTCGAGCACCGGTGCCGGAGACAGTGAAAATCTGAGGGGCATCCTCATCGGAAAGGTTCGCAACCTTGCTATCGATCAATGGGCTCAAAGAGTTGATTGTCTCCACAAGGTTAAGGTTCTCGGCGCCCCTGGGTTGGAAAAAGATGGGTTCGTAGGGAACTGTCGGGTCCGCGGAAAAGTCCTCACTACTGAACTCAGTTTCCTCATCATCATCACCGAGTTTTTCAAACTGATAAAAGTGATGATTACCACCCTCACTAGCCACATAGAGAAAACCACTTTTGAGAATGAGCAAGCTGGAGGCGACAGGCACCGTATCAAAGTACTTGATCTTCAATCTCCTGACCTCACCGGTCAGCTGACCCTTGTCATCCTCAACCATGTCAATTGTAAGCTTGAAAAGGTCGCCATCTTCGGTCTGAAGGAGAAAGAAAAATGCACCTCGCATTTTATGCATCACCCCAGCAATGACAGATCGCTTGCGCTCTGGGTTTTCGACTGCCCCACGTCTGCGAGGAATAGCCACCCTAAACGCATCCTGGTTCGAGTGTCGATAAGTGATGTTATCTTCCGAACACACTAGAACACCACTAGGACCGTCCGCACCACCAGGTACCTGGAATAACATCGACGCTGTGCGGTCAACCGGATCCGCCCATCGGCGAACAACATGGTTCAGACCAAGATCAAGCTCGTAGTACACAAGAAGCTTTTCAACTTCTTCGTACGCTCGACCAGTCGGGTCCTGGTCAGACTCGGAGTAGTCCACTTCAAGAGCCGCAAAGACGGGGTTTTCATACCCAGCATCCAGGGCAACAACCGAGAATACCAAGGTTTGCGGCTTATGCGCTTCCAGCGGAGACGAGATCGTAAGCTCGGCCTGCGAGTTTCGATTCAGAACATAAACAAGTTTGTTCTTCTCCACCGATGCGATGAGGCACGCCCTACCCTTGGGATCGACTGCTAAATACTGACCAGGAATCACACGTCGAACACCCGACTTGCCAAAGGTCTCAAGGTGGATCCGGTTGAACCGGTTCTGAGACGGCACGTACTCGATGATCGTGATGCGCCCGGAATCGGAGCCAATGATGATATAATCTATACGCAGGTCTCAGCACTGTTTCTAGAAATCTAGCGCCCAGCATCGTCGACCGGCGCACGTCCCAGCTCCTAGTGGGCTCGTTCGGGGGTCAAGGATCGTGCTGCCCGGGAAGCTTGACGAATCACTATAATGATCTTGGAAATTTGCTGAGAAGAAGAACGTATAAACATACCTTTGTTGCTGCCAGCAAGCCTGAAAGCGGCCAGACTTCGGATGATGCCAAAAACATCTTGCGAATAGAGCGGCGTGAGCTTGCCCTGGGTAGGATCGGGGCGATGGATCGTCAACTTTGAGCCCGAGGCTGTGACAATCTGCTGCTCCTTCGTTCCGGCGAACTGACCCAAAATAGCCTGAGTGATCGCAGTCGGCGGCTGAATGGTCAGGGAGTACATAAACATATGAGAAGTGGTAGCCATGGTGGGCGTGTGTGCGTCAAAACGACGCGGAGAATAAGCTGTTATTTAACGACTCAATGCAGCCAGGGGTAGGGTGAGTCTAGCATAGAAGCACTCCCATTGCTGCAGAAGGGAGTACTGGAATAGAGGACACTCGGTTACGAGGTGTCCCCGCGAGTAGAGCTGGGTTGTGAAGCTGGAAATTGTGGTGTTGAGGGACGCGAAGGTGAAAAATTGCAGTGTGGAGCTCTGAGCTGAGGTCACCTGGCTGTTTGCTGTGTTTGCTCAGAGCTTATCACGTGCCTGTACCTTTCCGGTATGGATACATATGACATTACGGAGTACAGGCGCTCTTTCCCCTGATGAGATATTACAATACGCGTAATTCCGAGACAGCCGCAAGGCCGCTGTTTCCCCAAGCTCAAAGAAACCGTGCGATGGGTTTCTGCCCGCTTCTGTCTGGGCCAACTTAACGCAGGAATTGGGGTCGGCCGCGGTCTGTGATTATCACTAATTCTCCTTTACCATCCTATCTTACTGCATTTCCCACGAGGGTTTTGGTGCGACTACTTGCTTACCTCTTGCCATCTAAACGCAAAGCCTCTGGCCTGTTCATCTTTCTTGCTTGTGACGTGACACTTCTGTTGCTGCCTCGGGCCCCTCGACTCGCCCCTCACGTATCATCATGGCTGATGATAACGCCACGGCGGAGGATGCGCCCATCACCTTCAGCATCAAAGCGTCTAATGATGCCAAATTCACACTCACATTACCTCTCTCGACTTCAGTATCGGAGCTAAAGGAGAAGCTGTCTTCGTCGGAATATGCCGACACCCCAGCGGAGCGCCAGCGCCTGATCTATTCGGGGAGAGTGCTCAAAGATAACGATACCCTCGCAACTTACAAGATCAAGGATGGGCATACTATCCACCTGGTCAAGAGCGCTGCCAGTAACCAACGGCCGGGTGCATCCTCACAGAGCACTTCGTCTTCCGCCACAACAAGTGCCGCCACTAACCCAACGGCCACCGGTGTCCCAACAAACCTCGCCGCTGGGACGGGGAACAACCCTCTAGCGGGGTTGACTGGTGCACGGTATGCTGGCTTCGCCCAGCTGCCGGGCGCTGGTATGTTTGGTCCGGATGGTGGGGTAAGCGCTGATATCTCCCTCATTACCGCTGTATCGTTCGCTGATTGCTCTCTATCTTCAAGATGGGTCCTCCTCCCGACGCTGAATCGATGCTCCATATGCTCGAAAATCCCCAGTTCCAGTCCGCTATCAACGAGGCGCTACAGAACCCAGCCATGATTGATATGATGATTCAACAAAATCCAATGCTACGAGATGTCCCCGGTGCCCGACAAATGATGCAGAGTCCCGAATTTCGCCGCATGCTCACCGATCCCAGTTCACTCCGGAACATGATGCAGCTTCAGCGAGCAATGGGTGGTGCTGGGCTTGGCGGCGCTCCTGGTGGAGGTGGTGCTTTTCCCGCTCCGGGTGTCACCAACACAACTCCTGAGGAGACCAGGGAAGGGCAAAATACCGGTGCCAACTCAACTCCAGGTGCCCCGCTGTTCAATCCTTTCATGCCTCCCCAGGGCCTCGGAGCTGGCAATCCGTTTGCGGCACTCTTTGGGGGCAACCAGGGAATGGGCATAAATCCACCAAGCACATCCTCTAACCCAGCAGGTGGTGATCAAACTGGAACGACGCAAGGTGAATCGGGGGCCGGCGGAGCGGGTGCCACAGCAGAAGGACAAAGCACACAGAATACACAAAACCCCTTTGGCTTGTTGAATCCCTCTCTGTTCGGTGGTCAAGGGGGCTTGAACCCATTCAACCCGCAACAAAACCCTTTTCTCCGCAACCCCGCGCTCCTTGAACAGATGATGCAATCAATGGGAGGCCAAGGGGGAGAAGGTGCTGCTGCCAATCCTTTTTCGGCATTATTTGGTGGTCAGGGGGGTTTCGGAAGTCCAGCTCCCCAAGACAACCGGCCACCTGAGGAAAGATACGCGGATCAGCTACGCCAGCTCAACGACATGGGGTTCTATGAGTTTGAGCGAAACATTGAGGCTCTGCGCCGAGCGGGTGGGAGCGTACAAGGCGCGGTCGAGTATTTGCTGAGCCATACCTCTTAACCTTCATCCTCAATTCAGTGATGGCATGAAATATTTTGGCGGGTTCAGCTCTTTTATTAGGTATTTGCGTTTGTTTGGGGTCTGTTGCATGCTGCTGCATGCGACACTTCGCTATAATATCCATCGCCCTCATGGCTTCGTAGAACGGGGTATCATCATGTATGTAGCTTTTTAGCATTCAACGCCATTTCATGACAACAGATTATGTCTACAGTAAATCCACACATAGAGTACTCTTCTACCGTCCGCTAGAGATAAACATCACAATATAAATAGTTAACGTTACCGCTATGTCCGTGCGGTCTGTTTACTTGAACCGGTTGTGGCAAAGAGAGTGGATCGCGAACAGTTTTGTGAGATTTCATTGAGTCGAACTCAAGATGATTACCTGCAGTGTGAATTGGTAGCATATTCTTTCAAATAGTGGTTGTCCATTTGATCTGCGAATGCAGCTCTGGGCAACACAAGACCCTGCCAAGTCTCGAATCTTCCAACTGTCGCCGAGCACAACACCCCCTCTCATCTTCTGTCCCTTCGAGCTTCTTCTTTCTCTCCAGACGACTTCCGATTGTCTATTCCACTCGTTAACCCAAGCTTTTTGATTGATCTATAGCAGCCAATTTCTCTACTGCGCCCACGTTGAGGGAGCCTCAAGCCGGCCCCTTCCATTCGCATTCTCTGGCCAGTCTCCCAAGAGTGTCGTCCTCTCCCTTTCCTACGGTTTCTTCGTTTCCCATTTCCAAGCCCATCTTGTTCGCTCGCTAGTCTACTATATCTATTATATACACGCTCCCGCGAATTACAGTCGCGGTGTTTTAGGCCAGAGCTCATCGGCCTCTCAGAATTGCCACGTTGAACGATTCTATACTTTAACTAGAGCTCCTGTCTGGTTCCCGCACCCTAGCGACTTCTCCTACACGTCTTGTCGATGATGGGGCTGCAGTCGCTCGGGTACCCTCGCCGATGGGCACTGCTGCTGTTGTTTGTCTCCTATACTTGCGCTTGGTACCTGCCTGGTATGCTCTACCTCCGAGGAGCGTTTCCGAGTCATCTACTAATTTGCGCGATTTCCTTGTCTAGGCTACTCGATCAAGCGGTATAGCGACGACGAGTCCATTCCGCTACTCGTGAACAAGATATTCTCGGACCACACCCAACTCCAGTATGCTTACTTCGATCTACCCTTTGTATGCCCCCCGAGCGGGCAGACGCATGGCGGTTCACCCTTCGGCTCCGGACATAGCATGTCGCAAAACCTTGGCGAAATCCTGCGCGGCGACCGAATCATGACGTCCGACTTCGAGCTTCACATGGGCAAGACCACGGAGTGTCGCGCGCTGTGTACAAAGGAGGTCGGGCGCAAAGACGTGAAATGGGGCCGACAACTCATCAGTGAAGGGTATGTTGCGGAATGGATTGCGGATAACCTTCCAGGTGCAACGAGCTTTGTGACTGTCGACCGCAGCCGAAAATATTACGCGTCGGGCTTCAAGCTAGGGTACCGCGAGTTTTCGCCCGTCGACGGGAAGCAGCGTTACTATATCAACAATCATTTCACAATCGTGATCCGCTGGCGCTCGGCACCGGAAGGCGGCAAAGTTATTGTCGGGTTCGAAGTATACCCAAAGAGTATCCGCGCCGAAGACCATACAGAGAACGGATGCCCTGAAGACGTCCACGAGGAGCATGAAGGGCTCGAGCTGTACATTCCACCTAACCTGGATCGACTGCGGGAGAAGTACCCAGGGTCTTCGTATCTGCCCGAAGACGATGATTCTGATGACGGAGCTACGTTGAAGATTCCATTCACCTACTCGGTCTATTTCAAGGAGGAAAACGGCGTTGAGTGGTCGAACCGCTGGGATCTCTACTTCAGCAAACAGGATGATAGCTCGATGACCCACTGGTTAGCTGTTCTCAACTCCCTGACCATCTCCGGCGTCCTTGGCGTGGCGGTGTACGTCATCTGGAACAGAACTGTGCAAGGCGACATCAAAGGCCGGGGAGACGGGGCAATGGAGGATGGGAAGTTCAAGAGAGGCGGAGCTAAGAAAGAGGGACTCTTGGACCAAGCCACAGACGTCGAGAGGGATGGTGACCTTGACTCCGATGACGAGGGCATGGAGGATGTTAGCGGGTGGAAACTCCTACACGCCGACGTGTTCCGAGTCCCAGAGTTCAGCGGACTTCTGGCGCCCTTGGTTGGCTCTGGAATGCAGCTCCTCTTTATGACCACTGGCTTGCTAGTTTTGAGCTGCCTGGGAATCTTGAATCCTAGCTTCCGAGGAGGCTTTGTCAGCGTCGGCATGGGACTGTTCATCTTCGCCGGACTCTTTTCAGGGTATTTCTCAGGAAGCTTGTATAAGACTTTTGGAGGGGTGAGCTGGCGGAAGAATACGCTCATCGTATGTGAAATATTTCCCTTCGCCCGTTGTTCATTACTAACATATGGCCAGACTGCACTGCTATTCCCAGGATTGACGTTCTGTCTTGTCTTCATCTTGAATCTCTTTGTCTGGGCGCAAGCGTCTAGTACGGCAATTCCATTCGGTACCCTGGTGGGAATTGTGGCGCTTTGGTTACTGATTCAAGTTCCCCTCGTGTACATTGGGAGCTGGTACGGCTTTATGCGAGCCAAGCCATGGGAGCATCCAACTAAAACCTCTTCGATCCCGCGCCAGATTCCCCCACAGCCTTGGTACCTGCATAGCGTACAAGGAACTATTCTAACCGGGTTGGCCCCGTTCGCGGTCCTGTTTATTGAGCTTCTCTTTGTCTTTAAGAACCTGTGGCAGGACAAGAGTGGATACTATTACGTGTTTGGCTTCCTGAGCGCTGTGACATCGATCCTGGTGGTGACGGTCAGCGAAGTGACAATAATTGCGACATACAGCCAGCTTTGTTCTGAGGTAAGTGCCCATTCGACCAAACCAGCAGAAGACATAAAAGCTAAGCGGCCGCAACACAGAACTACCATTGGTGGTGGCAGAGTTTCCTGACGGGCGGGAGCAGCGCATTCTGGGTGTTTGCGTACTGCGTCTGGTACTACTACTTCCACCTGCATATCACGGGCTTCGTATCCAGCTTGCTCTTTTTCAGCTACAGCTTGCTTGCCTGCGCTGTATACGGCCTGCTGACCGGAACTGTTGGTTTCCTGACGGCATACGCATTTATCCGTCGTATTTATAGGTACGTTTCCGGATTGCGGGGACAAATAATTCCTAATGGGCCTGTCAAACTAATACTTCGCACAGTTCAGTCAAAGTCGATTAGGCCGGGTTTAGTCTCTTCTCGCCTCACGGCAGGCACCGGCTGGGCCCTAGGCCCATTTTTCGAGCGCCGTTTCAGAATCAGACTGCGGCCGCCACCATTCCTTCAACTTCAGTCCGTCCCTAATCTTCATTTCTTTACCGGTGCTTAGTGCGAGAGACGGGCCGCTTTAGCTTCTTCTTAACCATTCTAAGTCTCAGCAGAAGGTGTGGCTGGCGGGCGTGGAGTGTGGAGTATATTACTTTGTTACTTAGCGGGAGTCGACCAGCGATCATTTATCCAATTGTATCTTGCTTTTTTTTTATCTTATGCAACGTACTTACCAGTTGCTGTGCCGTTGCGCATTACTTCGGGCGTACTAAAATAGATCGACGGAGCAACCTTATTTCCCACGCGGAACGCGGAACGGCGAAACTGGGCCGAATATTTGGTAGGAGGCCGAAAACGGTTGCTCGAGACCAGGTTGACGTCAGCTCATTCGTGTCCGCGCAGAGGTCATTGTGTGAAAAGGAGGATAACTTGAAGTGCCTCGTAAGCAATCATGTAAAGGGGGTGTAGAGGAAAGCTCCCCCGACGCAGTTTCTACGTATGTACATATCGCAACATCGAGGCCCGAACCTCGCAAGCATGCAACCAATGCACGGACGGATCCTTCGAATCCACGAGTAGTAGTGACGAGTCCACCACGGATAACAAGGTTCCAACATACTTTGGCTACGGGAAGGATCACGGAGGACGGCATCGTTCCCTCCTTGACCAAGAGGATCTCAAATCTCGAAGCCTGAGCTCAGGACGATGTCATGCCACAGATGTTGCAATACCTGGAAAAGAAGAGGCATCGCAGACGGAGTCTGCTAGTAGAAAATTACCCAACACATACGTACATACTCCGTAAGAACGAAGAGGCAACGTCGCCATCAAGCTGGAGATCTGTGTGCAGTGCACCGTGTCCCTTACATGGATGATGGAAGCCCGAGGGGCCCGAGAGGGGCCAACAGTGCATAATGGCGCGATTGGTGGCTGAATCAAGTCGAATTGTGAGGTGCGCCGATTGCGTGCTCGGGAGATACTATGGCACCAGGCGAGGCCCCATCTGCTCGTTGCTTTTTCGGAATGCGAGCCGGATGGCAGGGGCGGAACTTAATTGGGACTTAGCATGAGCGGCTGGATCATTTTGATAGTGCTAGAAGTAGTGTAGGTTGATATTCTGGAAGGCGTATGTTTTGAGTGTCTGCTGGAGGGTCACGGGGTTACCGAGTTGATGGAAAGATTGATAAGGATTCGGATGAATGGCGATGCGTTTGCGGAGACGTCGCGTCATCCCGACGCATAATTGAGGCGAGCTGGCGCGATTTTACGGGGTAAGCACGAGCTCTGTGCTTGGGAGGCAGCGACCAACGGGCTCGAGGTTCGCGGGATGATTTGCCGGTGGATCCTCCACGATCTTCAGGAGGACGGAGCCTGAGGCGCTGAGGTGAGGTTAAGAAAGCTGGAGATGTCGTGCTTAACTTTAGCGGGATGTCGCCATCGACCCGCAGAATTGGTGCAATCTTACAACTGCATTACGAGTACGGAAACTGCGGAGGAATACGGAGGAAGGTTTCAGGCCTGACTCTGAGGTAATTCGGGACTGGGTTTTGCGAGCTCTTTTAGAGGAGCACGGGATAGTTTTTCTCAATGGTGATAACGAATCCTTTGATGCGCTGGCCGCGAGTGGGATTTTTGGGAACAGAAAGAGGTCACGTTCCGGGGGGAACTGGCATGGGCGCCAAGCTTACAAGCGCGAGACCGGACGGCGGTTAGTGGCAAAACTTAGTCAGGGATAATTCGCAACCACACGCGATCTTCTCTATACAAGAGGGCCTGGAAAAGCCGCAAGAAACACTCCCTGGACAGGGCAGGAACGTCAGATATCAACCGGAAGCATGCTCGAAGGCGTTGTTGAAAAGCAGGAACCATGGCCCTTTTCCGCCGACGAAGCTACTCGTGTAAATACATGTATCAACACACCCCTGATCAGCTCCTCCCGCGCTAATCCTCCCACCACGACTCCATAATTTCAGTTCACTCCAGAGAGCCCGGAGGCGAGATCGCTTCTCCAGTGTTCCATCGGCTTCATCTCCATCCTCACCGCTGCGACTCCGAGATAGCGAGAGAGGGAGAACCCCGAGTGTCAGGCCCTGTGGAGAAGATTGCAAAGCATTTCTGACAATCACACCATCGATCCCGTCAATGGTTCCATTGTTGCGGTGACATAAATTCCTCCTCCGGGGTTCTGGGTCGGCAAAACCCTTTTTTTCTTTTTCTCATTCAATTTTTTTTTTCTTATCGAAGATCTTGTGACATTTTCGAGGTGATTTTCCTCGTTGGGAACTTCTCCCACTCGTCTTCTCCACATACGGTTGACTTACTTATACTCGCCTCCTGCCCCGTGGCCGTCTTCTCCCTCCTGCTCTCCCCTTATACCGTGTCTTGTCTCTCCCCGCAACCTTGTACCTTAAGAGCTTCAACCTTTCATATCCGCTTGCAAACCTAAAGGGAGAGAGACAAAGAAAGCATCATGGCGGCCAAAAAGCCTAACATTCTCTACATCATGGCAGACCAGATGGCTGCTCCGCTGCTGGCCTTCCATGACAAGGACTCCCCCATCAAGACCCCCAACCTCAACCGCCTGGCTGAGGAGGGCGTGGTCTTTGACTCGGCCTACTGTAACGCGCCGCTATGCGCTCCATCTAGATATGTCATGGTGACCGGCCAGCTGCCCTCCAAGATTGGAGCCTACGACAACGCAGCCGATTTGCCCGCTGATGTCCCGACGTATGCGCATTATCTGCGCAACGAGGGCTACCACACTGCACTTGCTGGCAAGATGCACTTTTGTGGTCCGGACCAGCTCCACGGTTATGAGCAGCGCCTGACATCTGACATTTACCCCGGCGACTACGGCTGGTCGGTCAACTGGGACGAGCCGGTAAGTTATTTCCCGAACCAGAAAAGTCTAAAGAGACTGGAAATGTTGACTGGATTAGGACATTCGCCCCGATTGGTACCACAACATGTCCTCGGTCATGGAGGCTGGCCCTGTCGTGCGCACAAACCAGCTCGACTTTGACGAGGAGGTCATCTACAAGTCCACTCAGTACCTGTACAACCATGTCCGCCAGCGCACTGACCAGCCATTCTGTTTGACCGTCTCCATGACGCATCCCCATGACCCTTACGCTATGACCAAGGAGTTCTGGGATCTATACGAAGACGTCGACATTCCACTGCCCAAGCACTCCGCTATCCCGCATGACCAGCAGGATCCCCACTCGCAGCGGGTACTCAAGTGCATTGACCTGTGGGGCAAGGAGATGCCTGAGGAACGGATCAAGGCTGCCCGTCGCGCTTACTATGCCGCCTGCACCTACGTCGACACCAACGTCGGCAAGTTGCTGAAGGTCCTGGACGACTGTGGTGTGCGCGATGACACTATCATCGTCTTCACCGGCGACCACGGTGACATGCTTGGTGAGCGCGGTCTCTGGTACAAGATGACCTGGTACGAGAACTCGGCCCGTGTGCCTTTCATCGTTCATTCGCCTAAGCGCTTTGCGCCAGCACGCATCTCTCAGAACGTGTCGACCATGGATATCCTTCCAACCTTTGCCGAGCTTGTTGGTGCGCCTCTGATCAAGGAACTGCCCCTCGACGGTGTCTCCTTGGTGCCGTACCTGACCGGCGGGGATGGTCTCAAGACCGACACCGTTCTCGGCGAGTACATGGCGGAAGGCACCCAGTCACCTGTCGTGATGATCCGCCGCGGTCGTTGGAAGTTCGTCTACTCCCTTATTGACCCTCCCATGCTCTTCGACGTCCAAAACGACCCTCTGGAGAAGGTCAACCTGGTAGCCGGCCTAGCGGAAGCCTCCCGCGCCCTCACCGTCGACTCCAAGGCTGCTGCCAAGAGCCTTCCACCAGCAACCCTACCTACACCCCTCGACTCACCCCGTGGCGAGGCACCTGTCTCTCAGCGCACCCCAACCCGCGACTACCCCTTCCCAACCCCACCACGGACCCCGAGCCCCGGAAAACAGGCGTACACCGTCCCCGACACCTCCGACCCAAGCAAGCTGCTCGCCCACTTCATTGACGAGGTCCACGCCCGCTGGGATTTGGAGAGCATTCGAGAAGACGTCCTGCGTTCGCAGCGCCGCCGGCGCCTCGTCTACTCCTCCCTCATCAAGGGCCACCCACAGATCTGGGACTGGGAACCCCGCATCGACCCGAGCACCCAGTATGTCCGCAACCAGGGCAAGGGCGCTCTTGATGACGTCGAATTCATCTCCCGCTGGCCGCGCGTTCTGCAGCAGGTTGCTGACGCTAACGGTGTGAAGGCCTAATCTCATCTAATCTTTCTTCCTTTCATTCTCATCTTTCTGGTTTGGGTTGCGAGAAAAGAATGTTTGCTTGTCTATACTCTTTGCGTCTTTCCTGTTACATTGGCGTTTTGAGCGAGGCGCTATACCCGGCATTTCATCTTCAGCTTCGTAATTTTCTTCTTCATTTCTTCACATCATCATTTCACGGCCCTTCATGATCACATTTTATCATAGCATTCACCTGACTCAGCCGAAGCCCTGTTTGATCGCGCTTAGCGTTAGCGTTGCTTGAATGCTTCTTCCTTTGCTTCTTCTTCTTTTGCTGGGCGGATCGTATCTCTTGATTTATGTTACATAGAGCTGAATATGGGAGCAGGATCTGATTTGAATAAACTGATCTGGATGTTCGTACAAAATGTTTTGTCCTTTCTTTCCTTTCTCTCCTTTCGGGTTGAACATGATATGTATCTAGGATTCTAGGTTCATGGAGCTCCGCACTTGGTAAATTACCCTTTTTGTCAACATATCTTCTCACTGTCCTGTATTGATGGGTGGTATATAGTAATGCTTTCAGATTGAGCTAAATAGCCCGCCGCTCATTAAATCTACACAATTGACCACACGGCCCAGAAGGGGGTACTGTGGACAACAAACCCCCAAGGTCTTCCTGCAGCGGAACTCTGTATGTAATTGTTGGCTAGGGACGTTGCCTGGTGGAAATTACTGAGCTGAGCGGTACGTATCGGACGGTTTTGATGTTGGGCCTGGTTAAAGAAGGAGTGGGTTGGGGCTGGCAGGATTCGTTAGCCGTGTTGCACGCTGGACCCCCAGATGCAATGCTTAGGGGCCTTAAGAGGCAGGACATACGTACCACTTGTCTAGAATTGAATGGGGATGGAGGGGTGTTAAGTAGGGAATCGTGGGACGAAACGCGCTATTATTCATAGATAACAGACGACGATGTGGTTACACTGGATCCAAGGTGGGTTACAGTGTTCAACCTACAATGCTTATCACACCAATGGGTCACAATCTCAAATCTTAACGTGCAAGTCTATAGAGTGTCTATAGGATGCGATAGGACTAGGCTAGTGATACAACCACCAAGCATAGGCATAAAAAAAACGGATTTGGCATTAACAGAAGATTCAAAAAAAAAACTATAAGAAAAAATCGTGTTCGGAGGCGCAGGACATAAGATCAAAGGTTTCAGTCATCGAGAGGCTCGTCTAATCTAGAACCACTCGCCACCCAACCAGCGGTTGAAGAACTCGAGGGATGACTCGGGCTGATCCATTGGGACCATGTGGCCACCGCCATACAGACGCATGAAGGTGAAGTTGCCGTGGCTCTTGACCTGACCGATCTTCTTGCCCTTGCTCTCATTGTCGACGATCTTGATGTCCTCCAGGGGAGCAGCGGCGAACTCCTCGTGGCCGGGCCATTCGAGAGCCTCAGACCAGGCCTTGTTTCCGAGCCAGTTGCAGATGAAGTCGGCATCACCCGCGTAGATGAGGACAGGGATCTGCTCAAGGATGCCAGGAACGAGGCGGTGGTAAGGCTTCATCCAGTCACCGTGGAACAGGAAGTTACGGTTGATATCAAAGTTGCAGGAGTCGTAGCCCTGAACCTCAGCACCCACAGCCTCAATGACATCAGGCTTGTTGAGGTAGTCGGAGACGTAACCCATGCCCTTGTAGCAAAGGTTGCTCTCGTCCTCGCACTTGCCGCGAATATCGTAGACGTTCTGGCCAGTTCGCTGGTAAGGAGCGAGCAGGGCGTTGTTGCAGTAGATTGAAGCGGGGACACAGACCCAGGCGCTCTCGCTGTTGTAGCAGGATTCAATCATCGACTGGCAGCGAGGCAAGGCGTTGTCCATGGAGCGGCAGGAGCTCTCGTCGAGCACAGCAGGGTAGCCACCCTCACCGCAAGCCATAGGGCGGTAGTACTCGTACTGAGTGAGGCCGTCGGTCAGACCGTTACCGATCAGGACGGATTTGAGGTTGATGTTACGCTTCTTGTGGGAGAGAATCTCAGAAGTGAAGACAGGAATGTAGTGACCAGCGTAGGACTCGCCAGCAATATGGAAGTCCTGTGTCGCATACTGAGGGAATTGCTTGAAGAAGAGGGTGAGAAGGGCATAAACGTCCTTGCCAGCAGCAACCGTGTCGCTCACGGGGTTGTTGCTGTAGGAGTAGCCGACGTTGACGGGCTGGTCAAGGAAGATCACGGAAGCGTTGGAGTTCCATGAGTATTCGTTGTAGATTGGCTTAATGTTCTTGTCAATGCTGCTGGGTCCGAGCTCCATGAACAGACCGGTCAGCGATGAGCAGCCGGGCCCACCGTTGAGCCAGAGGACCACGGGGTCGTTCGCAGGGTCATTGCGAGATTCGAAGAACCCTTGAATGCGTTAGTCCATGAACAACCAAAACACAACTCCAAACAGCTTACAGTAGAAGAGGTGCTTGTCATTCTCATTATCATCAAGATAACCAGTGTACTGCTTGACATGCGGATCAATGCCAAGCGACTCGGGGTCCGTCTTCTTAACCCTGAGATCATAGGCCTCGAGCTTGCCATCGATCTCCCGCTCCTTCTCGCCCTCGGAGTTTGTCACCCAGACGCTCTGGACATCAGCGCCACGGACAATGTGGTCCCAGTGGGAGTCAGGACGACGAGTGTGTTTCTTGGGGAGAGAGAAGACGGGGTTATGGCCGAGCGAGTCGGGGAAAGCTGCAGCGACCTCTTCCCAGAGACCACGAGCCTCATCAGAAAGCGACTCAAGTTGTTCCTCGAGAGCTCCAAGGGGCTCCTTGAGCTTAGGGAGGTTCTCCTGCACTGTGTCCTGGATGGCGCCTCCAAGGTCCTTCAGGCCGCCGAGGACTTGCTGGGCAGGCGAAGCAGCGGTGGCTGCTCCAACGAGCAACGCAGCTGAAAAAGCTCTCATTGTGATGGAAATGTGACAATCTCAAAGTTGGGGGGGAAAGCTCGATGGAAGAGCTGAAGAGCGTGGTTGAGAGGTACCGAGGGAGTACCGACGGAGATGGGGACCTTCGTACGCAACGCTTATCAGCTATCGAGAGCGAAATAAAGGCGATAGAAACAAGGGCAACAGAAAGGGGAAACTTACAATGATATAGAGAGCCGTACTCTGAAAGAAGCAGCCGAATTACCAGCTACTTACTGACAAGGACAGGATGAGGAGAAAGAAGAAGCAGATGAGGAGAGGAGGATTGGGGAGTCCGGATGGCCGCAGTTGACGGGGCGGGCGGTGGCAGGCGATGACGCCGCCGATAGCAACGAACGGGGACAGCCAATCATGAACCTGTACCTGTCTCCAGGCGGGCGGTCACGAGACCTCATTCACCATGCTGAGTCACAGACCCACCGCGTGTGATCTGTCGAATCAGACCCCGCGTTCCCAGAGCGACTGACGTCGGTTATCAATACGTACTGGGACGAATTTATCAGCTGCGGAGGGGGAGATAAAACAGTTTTAATCTGACGAGGCCTTCATCTTTCCATCCACCATCAACTCTGGAATAAGCTGCAAAAGGGTCCGGACACCGGAGCACGATCCATCATGCCCATCAACCAACCCTCCAACCAAATAAAATTCACCAACGTCTCCATCGTCAGGCTAAAAAAAGGTCAGTTCCCCGCGCTGACTCCACCACTAAAGAAACCTGCCTAACTCGAGAAATAAAGGCAAGAAACGCTTCGAACTAGCATGCTACAAGAACAAACTCCTCGAGTACCGCTCCGGCGCGGAAAAAGACCTCGACAATGTCCTCCAAGTCCCCACCATCTTTCTCTCCGTCTCCAAAGCCCAGACCGCGCCCTCCGCAGAACTAACAAAGGCCTTTGGCGCCGACACGCCCGCCGACGAAATCCGACAAGAGATCCTACGCAAGGGCGAAGTGCAGGTTGGCGAGCGCGAACGCAAGGAGATCGCTGAGCGCGTCGAGAAGGAGGTGCTGGATATTGTTTCGGGCCGGCTGGTTGACCCGACGACGAAGAGGGTGTATACGCCTGGAATGATTTCAAAGGCGCTGGATCAGTTAAGTGCGGCGAGCGGACAGTTACAGCAGCAGCAGCAACAGCAAGCGGCGGACAGTGCTGAGGCAGATGGGGACGGTGCGAATGCCGGGGCAGCGGCACAACCGCGGAAACCGTTATGGACGGGTGTGAACCCGAATAAATCGGCGAAGAGTCAGGCTCTGGAGGCGATGAAGGCGCTGATTGCGTGGCAGCCGATTCCGGTTATGCGCGCGCGGATGAGGCTCAGGGTGACGTGCCCTGTTTCGCTCTTGAAGCAGAGTGTCAAGTCTGCGGCACCGGCAGGGTCGACCAAGGAGAAAGAGATGCCGTCCGGGGGTGGTTCTAAGAACAACAAGAAGGGTGGAAAGGGCAAAGGCAAGTCGGCTCGACAACATGACTCTGATTCTGAAGACGAGGGCGCACCGGCGCAGCCCAAGGGCCCGAGTAACGTCAAGGATAAGATCTTGAGCTATATCGAGTCGGTCGAGTCACAAGAGAATGCAGGAAGTGACGAATGGGAGGTTGTGGGCTTTGCCGAGCCAGGTGCCTTCAAGGGTCTAAATGAGTTTGTTGGCAACGAGACGCGCGGGAGAGGACGGGTGGAGGTTCTGGATATGGCGGTTACTCATGAGGACTAGATATGTGATTACGGAATAAATGGTATGGTTATGAATAGACTCGATTGGTTATGATTGATGATACCTCATGAAAATCTCTGTCCCATTATTGCCATGCTCAGAGTCACCGACTCATATCGCCTCAAAAATTCATCAGAATCCTAACATACCAGACAAAAGCAACGCCAAATAGGTAAGGAATGCCCCAAATATACTATTGGACCCGCCAACATGGTATCGTAGACGCCGCACCGTTAGAACCGAAAGAAGACAATCACCCAGAAACGAGTAGAACAACATCCTTGCCTGCCCCCAACTCTTTCGCCAACCTCACAGTCTGCAAAACTGCATGACCCGTCGCCAAACTAGACACAATTCCCTCATGCTCGCACAAGATACGCAGGCCCTGCACGGCTTCCTCGTTTGACGCTGTGACTGTCTCTAGTCGTGCCATGTCTTTCCAATGAGCCAACTCTGGCCCTGCGCAAGGGAAATTTAGATCGGGGGCAACGGAATAAGTTTCCAGGATCTGGCCGTCATCGTCTTGTAACAGAAGAGTCTTGCACCCGTACATGACGCCCACAGACCCGTGGGTCAAAGGGGCAGCATCGGCGGCCTCAACGCCGACGAGTCGCACAGCTGGGTCGTCAATGAATATCGCGAACATACCAAGAGCTGCAGCGCCAGATGAGCCGACATGGGAAATCAGAGCATCTGGCGCGCTGTCCTCCCTACCAGTCATTCGGGAGATGCAGTTCTTTATCTCTTGTCCGAGTAGCGACTGAAAGGTCCGGGCAATAGAAGGTAGAGGGTGAGGCCCGACTGTACCGCTAGTAATATGGTATGCGGAATCAATATGCGTGAGAGAGTAGCGAAGAGCTTCGTTGGTAGCGGTTCGGTGGTAGCCCTTGTCTCTTCCTCTGGTCATCCCTGGGCATTGTGCACTAATCACAGTGGCACCTAGTTCTTCCATCTTCTTGATCGCATCAGGCTGGGCTGAGACATCAGAGGTGCCCATGAGAATGGTACACTTCATCTTCAGACGTGCACACATGGCGGCACATACAAGGCCGTGACCAGCGAATCCGCAGTCCATAACAATCTCCGTTTTCCCAATACGGTGGGCAAACAGGGTCTGACCTACAACATTTCGGGCTTGGTAGCTGCCGAACGGGTTGAGGTCCTCGCGCTTGAGCCAGATATTGGCCCCACCGACGGCCTTCGTCAAGTTATGAGCGAAATGAAGAGGACTGGGACGAATGAGGGGACAGGCGGTAAAGTCATCCCAGAAGGAGTTGTCTGATAGTATGCTGTGGAACACACTGGGAAGGTCTAGAAGGATATCCATCTGTAGTTCTGCGGCAAACTGACCACCAAACTGGCCGAACCGAGACGGTGCATCGACTGGCGGGATCGAGATCTGATGGCGAGACCATAGCGGCGTATGCAAAAGCTCCCCGAGGTCCAAGTTGAGACTCTTGATGAGCGGTGTGATTGTTTTCTCTTCCGGTACACGAGAAAGGGTGTGTCTGTCGTGCTTGGCCTTCCTCCATCGCAGCGCGTAGGGGTACTGCCGCGAACGTTGGTGGGACCTGACGGAGACGAGCATCGTCAAGATGAGGTGTAGATGTTCAAGCGGTATATGGGCTCGCAAAATGTATAGTCAAGCTGAAACGCCAGATCACCGTCACGAGAAGGCATGAATACCTCAGTTCAGATATCAGCTCGGAAGAAGAGCCTTATATAGCCATGGCCCAGTGCCTAGCCCCTTCCTTACCCACCAGAAGGTACCGCAACCTAGAGAATAACAAAGCCTCGTACTTCTTGATCTCGCCTATTGAGAGAACGAACACGTTAGCCAGAACTCAAACGACCCAGCTCGTGCGCACCCCTCTCCAGCATCGTTGAAGTCGATCCAATTGACCAGCCCCATGGCCTCCAGCTGATGGACTAGTTCACTTAACAAGGTTCAAGGGTGCCTCACTGGAGCTCGGAATGATACGCTGGGCGATGCAAGTTGGAGAATCGGAAGGACTCCTTTGCTGGCTTGAAGAAACGAGCTGCAGTAGAAGCGACGATCGAATCGAGCGGAGCAATAGGATCGCTGAAATCACCTCCCGTCGCACGGTCCGGCTGCGAAGTACGGTCTTATCCAGGTGCTCGGGCTGGCCTCGATGCATGGTGGCTGCGATCGAACTCTTCGTGGAGGTCGATCCGATCCCATGATGATCGGGCCACTGTGCTACGCTGATCAACGGCACGAGGACGATGCGGCCCGTGTGGCAGGCCTCTGCTATCTCATCGATATTGGCATTGTCTGCATGAGACGTCCAATGAATGGAGATAAATGACGGTCCAGATCCTCAGCAGCGAGAAAGTTAAGCCGAAGAAGCTGCAGGCGAGAGGATGTCGAGAGTCAAGGCTGGATGCAACTCGTGTCTCGCACAATGCCGAGCTCAGCAAAGAGGGAGAAAAAGAAAAGAAATAACGATAGATCAGGAAGGATCGATAAAGGCAGAAAACAAGGAAGCAATGAAGGAAACAAAAGTCCCAGGGCGAGATGTGGAAGGAAAAAGCAAAGTAGCGGAGATCGATCGTCAAACTAGGCGAAGATGATTGATGAGAGAACATCCAGATACGTATCAATTTCAAATCACGAACCTTGACATGCCAGAGTACCAGAGATGTTCGGTGGAAATAGCTTCCAGGCTACTAACCAGCATATCCGTAATGATCGACTCGGCACTCATTATTCACGAGATAGAAAGGTCGAGGAAGAATGGGGGATAGTCAAGATGCAAGCGATTGAGCAACCAACGCGAGGCCTGTGCGGAATACAACGATTCGATCAAGCGATCAGCAAGTGGACGACTCATGTGTTGCGGTGGATAGGACCCAGCAACCAGGTACTCATGTGGTCTGAAGATGAACCTCACCTGGGGAGATGGGGGATCTCCAGCTGGAACAGTCTAGCCTCACGTACTTTTGCTGCATTCCCAACTATTGACTTGGCGGACACATCGTCACCACCATCTCTATCCCAGAATATCACGTTAAAAAAACCAGGTGTCCCTCAAAAAATATTATTTGTCTATCCCGCGAATAAAGTACAGCAAAACCTAGGCCGCCAGCGATCCTCTGATCAAGCCGGCACCTGGTAGATCTATTGGAACGCTCAAAAAAGCAACTTGGATCTCATCTCAGAACGAGCTGTCGCTAGGCGATAATAAATGATGGAGAATAGCATCAAATGGTGGAAATGGTGGAATGGTGAAACAGTCCCCGCAAGCACCGCTTGGGGGAACACTTCAATGCATCGCTGCCAAGGTGACAATGAGCGCGACAGCCAAGAATAGATGTTTCTCCTGCAAGAGACGTTGCCACCTCAGTGGTCAGGCGGCAACAATTCAGAAGCAGGAGTGGCTCCCTGCATAGATATTGCAGGACAGGCCACCGGAAAGGTGAAAACGAGGAGAAAAGAAGGAGAGAAGATAGCATCGAGACCCAGGGTTGGGGTCAATGAATCGTCGGCCGTAACGACGTTATAGGAGCGCAGGTAAGTCTTCCCAGAAGGTATTGCGAAATAGCAAGGTAAATTTATGAATAGATCTGCACAGCGTTCAACGCTCGTGTTAAATCTTCGGGTGCAAAAGGCATGGAGGCTCCCTTGAGAGGAAGAGGCGGTGGCGATATGGCTCGTACAATCGGCGATGTTGTCCGGACTGACTCTTTGATCTTGATCACGGTCTCGTCCTCAAGAGGGTCAAGGAACAGCGTCATTGTTGAGTCGCTAAAGCTCTCAGGGTCGACGGCAGTGGTGGAAGACAAGGATCCTGTAGTTCCTTGTCGATCTTGGATAAATTCGTCGTGATAGGCCGTCGGAGACACTAACGATAGGTTAGCATTATTAAACTCAAAACACGCCTCAAAAGACCAGATCAATCCAATAAAGGCGATAGTATTCCAGAGGAGAGACGGAAACACACCTCCGTTAGACACCGCGATCCCCGCTATCCGGGTCTCGGTGGCCTGAACCTGGTCTGGAGCCGCGTCGGCAATCTCCCGAGGTCTTAGGTAGTCCGGCAAGGTTGTGCAAGGCGAGAGAGATAAGTCGAGGGAACGTGGACGATCTGCCTGGGCTTCCCGGAACGACCATGCTGCCAGTCTTTTCTGATGCTCCTTGTCGAACGGTCCCTTGAATTTTGACGGTGGAATCTCGCTGCGTCGGTAGTATACGATTTTGATTCCTGTCTCGGAATCCTTGGATTTGTGTCTTTGAAACACCTTTCGTACTTTTTCTCGAAAACTCATATTGATCGCAGAAAGGCTGTTGCTAGGAAGGGCAATTGGGAACCAATTCAAGTTGGAGTGGAGAGCGTCCTCGTTGGCCGATACGTCACAGCGGTAGGGCTTTCCCAGTGAAGGGATTGAGGCGGCAGGCGATGTGCAAGCACAGACGACAATCAAAAATCCGGAGGGACCTTAGTATCATCGTTCGCGAACACCGGGTCGAGGAGGCGGGGAGGGAGGGGAAAGAAGTTGGGGTTGAGCGGAGAGTGAGAAGAGGACGGAGGGGAGGAAGAGACCAAGGGAGGAAAGGAAGGAAGAGCTGGCAGTTGAGGTCGATGCAAGTCTCGGTCTCGCAGCCAGAGAGCTGTGTTGATTTGTGCAATAATCAATCAGCATTGGCACCCCCACATTATTATGGTCACTAATAACAGCAACGATAACTCGAAGGGAAAGCGAGTCTGGGTCTGTTGGGGAGTGGCCCTGCAATTATACCGGAGAATGGGCCAGATGGCCAGTGCCTGGATGGAGCAACGAGGACTGGTGTGAGCTGTGATTGGCACTCGACCATATGCCGTTTGACCCGTTGACCAGAGGAACCACAATCGCGAATGCCTCACTTATCATCGTCATTAAATATTCCACGTCGACGACTCGCCGAAGACCCAGTCGGGTAAGGGGCGATTCTTGTCCGGCCAAATCCGGTGCAGGCGAGATTGGCACTGCAACGTGGAGGATCTGAGAGTGCGTGAATTCTTTTTGATTTCCCAGTTCCAAGTTGCAACGCGGCAGCAAAAAAGCAATATTCATGCAGACTTTGGGGGATCGTCTTTTGGACGTGGAGAAAACAAAAACTTTTTTAAAGGGTTCTCCCACTGCCTTTTCCAGAGGTTCGAAGACTCGCAGACTTTATCTGACACTCGAATCTCCAGCGAATTAAACCCTTTGCTCTTGGGTTACATTTGCAGAAGCACTGGAAGCGCGGCCTTTTTCCTCGCCCCAACCATGGGTGCTGCTTGTTGGTTCTACGGTACAAGAACGGATGTCAGAAGCACGGGGTTGTCGTCCGAGGAAACGCCTGAGGCTGCTCTGGGGATGCAGGAATGTAACATTCGCCATCATCTCCAGGTCACGCACCCGAGAATCTGAGATTCTTCATGGAACACTTGGATCGGTGGTGTGCTGCAGCGAACGATTCCAGAAGGCCAGCTAAGCCTCTCGATCGGCGTGCCACCATGACCCCTCCTCCAGTCGAAGGATTCGAGCAGCGCGTGTCTGTGTCTTGGCGGCGCCGATGGCCATGACCGTTGAACGTTGACCTTGCCAAGTCAACCTTGTTCGAGAAGATTTAACCCAATTCACTCAATATTGCTTAAGCATTGACTACAGGGTTTGTCAAAAGTCCTGTCAGACTTCCAGACATGGTCGATGTGGCCTCTCAGTTGCCACAACCCATCCACCCCACCGTTCGGCACGCTTGTTCCGGACACATTCAGCAATTCTAATCCATACTCCATCCGACTCCAACGCCTTGATACCAGATACTAATGCTTAGATGTCATCTCTTGTGACGTCTTGTCTGCAGGGCTTTCTTCTGAGAGTGAGGATCCGATGGGCTCCTATCCAATACGTTCTAGACTTGTTCTTTTAGTAAAGCGACCCGCGAGTGACATAAACGACTACAATTGGTTGAAGACTCCTCTTGAGCTACAAATTCCTTGTGTTGTTATTCGGCAATATGCCTGCCGTCCGGTGAAGTAGATCACACTGCATATGATATATTGAAATTTGGCCCCAACAACATATAGTTATCTATCGCTCGTTCGTAACTATATATATATCTGCATCGGCCATTCACTCTCGAAGAGCTGATAGCGGATGACTCGCTGACCCTTGAGCGCCCGAAACATGTTGCAATAGCCATGAAGAATAACAAGTAATCTCTATTTTCTGTCCATGGCAATCCTGATCCGCTATACACCGTACATCGGAGGTTGTATGTGTATCTTCTGCCCATATGTACTCTAAAGGAACAGAAATGATGTCATGATCTTGGCATAATCACCGCACAGTAACTTGAACAATTTGGATCCTGAAGTGGACCGATTGCGAAGCTCCACGATATATCGTACTCAGGAGCAAGAAGCCGTTGATGATTACGCATGCCCCTATACTACTGCTGTTTTTATGAGCACTTCGCCTGGCTTTGCAAGTACTATGAGACGCGGTTACAATTATTGTTCTTCAATGAAGCCGTGCCCCATCCATCCGGAAGTGGCTTGGTCAGGGTCAAGCTAGGGCCGCGATCACCTGCAAGAAATAATCGGGGCCTTGGACAAGCGTGTCCTTCTGCAGGTGCTTTCTGCAAAGCTAATAATCGGCAACATAGATCTCATCGAAATGTAAATGAGCGATAAATCGAGATTCCACAGAGGACTATTTCCTCAACCAGTATTTTTCTGAGTCAACTCCTGATGCTCCGGATTCACAGACGCCTGTAAATAGGCACGCGACCTGATCGCCGGAAACAACAGAGCGCAAAAGTTTCTATGCGCCTTGTGGGCTGGACAAAGAGAATGCATGCATCTGACACTGAAGGGATGACTCCCTGAAAGCAGGCAATTCGTAATAATAGGACTCACATCTCCTCTCCCCTTCCATTCCCCCTTCTTCCTCCCCTCCCTAAGCAACGCCCTTGAGGACCATCAACAGAACTTAGCAAACTTCACCCGCACGGACTTTGCGACTCAACTTTTTTTTCGCGACCCCACGAGCCGACAAGCACTCGCGACGCTACAAGCACGATCAATTGAATTCCCATCGCACAATTGCCGGGTCAATCAGATTGCTGTGGTGTCAGCGTCAGCTTGAAGAAGCCAAATTGCAGCCTTCCCGGATTAACGTTCGCCCAATCGATTACCTTTCGTAGGGAGACGGAAAGAACCAGCATTTTCGAACCAGCCCGCCCCCAACTTCTTCCTGCATCTACCTTCATTTCACCAGTCTTACAGCACGCTCGCTGGCCCTATTCTTTATCAACGAACCTATAGACCTCGCAGTAAGTTCAATTGCTCGGGTTCGCTGCTCCGATCCGTCGCATTTCTCCTCCGAGTTCCTCGTCACTACGTGGCCCGCGGCTAACGCACCATCCGCACAATCACAGCGTCGCCGATCCATCACAATGCCCAAAAAGGGAGGAAAGAAGAAGGGAGGCAAGAAGAGTGGCTCTGCCTCTGCTGCGGCTGCTACCAACAAGGCCGCCGAGCCCGTCATCGCTCCGTACGTCCCACAATTTGTCTTTGCGCCGTCGGGAGATGAAGGCTGATTCTTGCTTTTCAATCTTGCAGTACCCCTGACACCACCGTTGAAGAGACCGTCACGAAGAGCGAGAGCGAAGCCGAGCAGGTTCCCACAGAAGTTGTTGAAACCCCGATTGTTGAAACCCCGAGCACCACTCCTGCTGCCGCTGTACTCGAAGTCACAACCGAGCTTGCGATTGAGACCCATACGGATGCCGCGCCGATTTCCACGGCGGCCGCCTCCAGCGTCGATGAAGTCCCAGTTCCCGCAGCTGAGGAGGCTCCGATAGAGGAGGTAGTGGGCAAGGTGCAGCCTTCGGAGGCGGAAGAGACAAAACTGGAAGAGACTGGTATGTAATAATCCTGGGTACAAATGCCTCGCTGTACCGTCTACTTACATTTTTCCTCTGTTATAGTCATACTTCCCGATATAACGTCCAACAAAACGGGTGCGACGACCGAGACCCCTGCCCTCACTACCCCGGAAATCGTCGCAGCGACAACTTCGCTTCCTGAAAGACCCAAGAAGGTGGACACAGCTGAGGAGGCTCACGCCAAGCGCCCTCATGAGAATGGCCCTTTCACATTCGAGGAGGAGCAGAAGCCTCCCAAGATGCCCAAGGTCGAGGAGGAACCAGCAGTCACAACAACCACTGCTGATATCCAAATTGGAAAGGAGAACACCCCCAGCTCAACTGTGTTGGCGAGCGAAACGGCTCCGTTGCAGCCTCAGATGGTCCCCGGACTTGGTGCCGACCCTGCCGATAAGAAATTGAATGTTCTAGAAGTTCCCGGCCTTTCAGCCGTCGGTAGCAAGGAAGCCGCTGCCCCGGTCGAGACGAAGGAATCACCTGCAGTCCCTGCCTTTGAGAAGGAGGCAGTTTCTCCCGAAACAAAGAGCCCGGAAGTTGCCAAAGAGCCGGAGACACCCGCTGAAGTCAAGCCTCTGACAACCACCGAGCCCTTGGCTGCCGATATTGCTCCAACCGAGACCGCCAAAGAGGAAGCTAAGACAGTCGCTCCTGCTGAGGAGCCTGCTATTTCCGAGCCTCCAGCGGCAGCCTCAGCAGCACTAGGAACCAGCACTGGACCCGCAGAGACCCCGGAAAAGAAGGCTGAGGAGGCACCCGTGCAGAAGGAGCCTTCTGTTGTCCGCAGCGCCCCTGCGGATGCCACAACCGGTCCTGCTGCCACAGTGGGTACAGCTAAAGAAGAGGCGAAGAGCGTTCCCCCAGCGCAGCAAGAGCCTGCAGTGACCCAGCCCACTGCAGCAGCGGCGGCTGCCGCTGGTGCTTTTGCTGCCTCTACTGGCGATAACGCCGACAAGGAGAAGCCCCAGGAAGTCTCGAAGCCACAGCAGGAGACACCAGTGGTAACCAAGCCCCCGGTTGCCCTGGTGCCACCCGAGAAGCCGCATGATGTACCTACTTTCAGCCATGGTACTTCTGGTGTCACTGACATCGGGACGACGGATAAGCCCGCCGTTACCGGCAAGCCGACCACCGAGCAGCCTAAATCCAGGGGCCTCCCCTCTAACGGGCAGACACAGGCTGAGAAGCCTGCAGCCCTTTCCGAAAGCGCTGCCGCAGCGCGTGCTGCGACACAGAAATCGCAGCAGGCCAAGACCGCTGAGCCACAAACTGCTCAGGGGGCTCAGACTGAGGGTGCTCCCACCACAGACGCTGAAGAGAGCAAGACCACTACTGGACAGGCTCAGGAGACTGCCAAGGCCGACAGGCGGAAGAGTGGTGGCTTCTGGGGCTGGGTGAAGCGCAAGGTCAAGGGGGCCTGAAGACTTGAGCCATTTTCTCTGCGCTAATTTCTGCTTTTCCTTTTTGGTTAATTGATTTCACAATCCATCCTCGTGGTGAGTGGACGGTGTATCTTGGGGGGTGTTTGACAAGTGAGTGGGAGTGCTAGACCCCGCACTGCTGATACCCGATTACGCCGAGAAGGCCTTTGCTTGATAAGAAACTGTTATGGAGGATGAAAAGGAAATTATTGGAAAGGAGCGAGGCTGGAATAAGCCTCACTTCCAAGCGTGGGATGCACTGTATGATACGACATGGATGGATAATGGGGATACCACAGGACTTTCTCTGCTTGTTTGTTAGATTATTGTTGTTTCAAGACTGCCCCTGTAGTCGACTATTTCGCTCTTTAAGATGTCAGATGCTGAATACAAGTACTCGAGTTACAATCCATACTCTGTATCGGCGTATACCTGTAGTGAGGGATGTTGGACTGGCGCCACATCGCCAGCAACTGGAGTCGTCGGTTCTGTGATCTCCACTGGTTCCCAAGCGCGGGAGTTCCGGTGTCTCACCACCTCCAGCAAGTTAGCAACCCAGCCTCATCGTCATCTTCCGCTTTCTCGGCTTGTCTCACTCTTCTCACTCAGATGCGGTGCTTCGTCCGTTTGACTCCTCCGTCTCGTCTGTTTACTCCGCTCATCAACGCCTTCTTTTCGGCTGCACAACCACCATGCATTCTCGCTTCCGACCTTTGATCTAATGATGATGACACCCTCGTTCCCACCGGGCCCATCGTGGCTCCAGCAATCCACAACACCAGCCAAGCTTTCTCTAAGCTTTCCTTCTCAGTAATTCGCTGGCCAAAGGCAACAACCTGCCAGGGAAATGGAACCTCATTAGTCCAAATTCCAGGGCAGCCGCGTGTTGATCTGGGCTTGAAACAACCTAGTCCGATCCCACGGCCACGCACGAGGCTCCAATGGGTGATTCGCGGGTTCAGGGTTGGCCGCTGGCGAAGGCCGAAGCCGCCACTTCCCCTCATCCCGTGTTGCCCAAACATATGATGCAGCAGGGATAATGTGACGACGACTGGACTATAAGAAGCAGGAGGAGGGGCCCGCTTGAAGAGGGATGTTGCTCATTTGCATTGCATGCACTGCTGAGGGATTATTATCAAGTGCTGAATCATCGCTTACAACCTGTTCCCCGGAGTATTTATCTCCTCTTGTTTACCTCTTTCTATCTCTTATTTCTCAACAATTTTTCTGCTCTAATTTTGTTCGATTCATTGTGTCACCATGGTCCATCTTGCAACTATTAAGAAAGACGACGACAAAGTCAAGTCGCTCCATAAGCGCGTCGATTCAATCCAGCTTGAAACCACAGATGATGATGACTACTCATCCACCGTCTATGGAACGCGGTTTGCGACTCAAAAACTCCCCTCTACGGAGATACCGGAGCGCGAGATGCCCCGCGAGGTGGCTTATCGCATGATTAAAGATGAGTTGAGCTTGGATGGCAATCCAATGCTGAAGTATGGCTTCCTGTCGCGGGTTTGTATATGAAAGCTAACCCAATACTTCTCTTAGTCTGGCGAGCTTCGTCACCACTTACATGGTACGCTCTTGATCTTTCCCGGACTATTCTGTATGATTTGTGCGCTTACAATTAGCAGGAAGAGGAAGCGGAGAAGCTCATGAGCGAGTCCTTCAGCAAGAACTTCATCGACTACGAAGAATATCCCCAATCTGCCGAGATCCAGAATCGATGCGTCAATATGATCGCTCGGTTGTTCAACGCTCCCACTGACAGCGATGATGAGCATCCCATGGGAACCTCCACCGTCGGGTCCTCCGAGGCCATTATGTTGGGCACTCTGGCGATGAAGAGAAGATGGCAGAACAAGCGCAAGGCTGAAGGGAAGGACTACTCTCGGCCCAATATTGTGATGAACAGTGCTGTTCAGGTCTGCTGGGAGAAGGCAGCTCGCTACTTCGACGTTGAAGAGCGCTATGTCTACTGCACCAAGGATCGCTACGTGATCGACCCTCAGGAAGCCGTTGATCTGGTTGACGAGAACACTATTGGTATTTGTGCCATTCTCGGCACCACCTATACCGGTGAGTACGAGGACGTGAAGGCGATCAACGATCTGCTCGTAGAGCGCGGCCTCGACTGCCCGATCCACGTTGACGCCGCCAGTGGCGGTTTCGTCGCTCCCTTCATCCACCCGACACTCAAGTGGGACTTCCGTCTGGAGAAGGTGGTCTCGATCAACGTATCTGGCCACAAATACGGTCTCGTATACCCAGGAGTCGGGTGGGTCGTCTGGCGGTCGCCCGAGTACCTGCCCAAGGAGCTGATTTTCAACATCAACTATCTGGGCGCGGAGCAGGCCAGTTTTACCCTGAACTTCTCCAAGGGTGCTTCGCAGGTTATCGGCCAGTACTACCAGATGATCCGCCTCGGCAAGCGGGGATACCGCTCAGTGATGGTGAACATCACCCGCATCGCAGACTACCTTGCGGAGCAACTGGAGGAGCTGGGATTCATCATCATGAGCCAGCGGCGCGGTCGGGGATTGCCCCTGGTCGCGTTCCGACTCCCGGAGGACCGCGATGAGCTGTATGACGAATTCGCGTTGGCGCATCAGCTGCGCGAGCGGGGCTGGATCGTCCCCGCGTATACGATGGCGCCGAACAGCAACTCGCTGAAGCTGATGCGTGTGGTGGTGCGCGAGGATTTCACCATGAGCCGATGCGACACGTTGCTTGCCGATATTAAGCTCGCTTTGAAGAGCTTGGGTGATATGGACAAGGCAATGTTGGAGAGGTACACGTCGTATGTCACGTTCCCCAGACCCCGGATTTACTGAAAGTTTATCTAATGACAGCAGACACGTCCAAAGGCATTCGACAAACTCGCATAAGGCGAAGCACACGCATCCACACTACAAGGGAGAGAAGCACTCGCTGCAGGGGAAGACAGGAAAGACGCATGGGGTGTGCTAGAGTTTAGCTGGATTTAGTATGTTGTAGCGATCGTCCTTCGTATGCAGTTGGATAGCTAGCAAATAGCGTTTTTCTTTATAGATAGAGAGCCATAGAATGCTGACGCTTGGCCGTCCAAGGGCCTCAAGCGGCTATTATTAGCAGCGGTTCCTCTCGTCGCAGCGTCATGATTTCCCCTCAGAGGCTCAGCCCGCCAGGAGACTATCATTCTCTCATCCATCGCCTGCTCTGCGTCTTCCTTCGTAACGCTTCCTGTCCGCACAGCCTCGTGTTTGTGCCCAATCACGGCGCCCTCGTCCCACTTGGAGTCCTCCACCGTTGATGCTGACCACAGGGAGAGAAGACACGACAACAACAATCCCAGGAGCTCGCTATCCTTTCTTTCATCCTTCACCTCCTCTTCCCCATCTCCTTCCCCCTCCCTCCGTGTCCCCTTAAACCGGGCTCGTCCATCCCCATGCCCCTCTTCCGCAAGAAAGAGAAAGCCAAGCAGTCCCTGTCCTCTGCTGCATTCCGATCGGTCGAGCATCTTCCTTCCTCGCTCTCCGCCCCTCATCTCGACAACGACAGCATCGACAACAACAGCCGCTACCACGTCTCCACTTCGCAGCAGTTTCCGCCCCCGAACCAGCCTCAATCCCAATTTCACGCTCTTTCCGACGACCCCCATCAGCCTCCGCCTCGCAATCCGACCCATACCTCGCTGCAACGCTCGCACACCCAGCGCCTCCGTACACCGCCGGACGCTTCGACGCTCTCCAACTCGACATCCACCATCACGGTAGTCAACAGCAGCCCTCCTCCCTCTCACCTCGCGCCGCCTCAGTCATTCGATGCTGACGTCTCCGACCAGTCCTGGCCCTCTTCTCCTACTGACAAGCCAGACGACCAGGAACCCCGTCGCTCCAAGCGGAGCCTCTTCTCTTTCCACTCCTCGCACTCATCCTCGTCCGTCCGCGAACACGGCGGCTTGCTGGAGCGCAATCGCTCTGTGAAGAAGGCATCGGTCACTGGCAAACGCCAGTCGCACCAGCAGAAGCAACAGCAGCAGCAGCTCCAACACCAACAGCCGCCTCACCAGCAACAATCGCGCTCATCCGTGGACATTTGGTCCAGAGAGTATGCAGTAGACGGACCGGAGGCTGAGCATCGATCGTCCATGCCGCAGCAGAACGCCAGTCGTGTGCCCCCTGATCCTGGACTCGTCCCTCACTCCCGTTCGGCGCACCCCTCGCCGATCCCACGGTCCAACACAGACCCGCATCTCTTCGACAATATCTACCGGCAAGCGCCCGTCGATACTTCCAGGCGCGCTGCAGACCTAGGTCCCGCGTCACACCAATTGGACCCGCGACCGCCTTCCCGGCAGTCAATTGGGCCTCCGTCGCCGTTACCTCCTCCCAAGAGCGAAACATCCTCAGTTTCGCAGCTCGGTGCTATGTCAGACCGACCGTCCGGCGGGACCCCGCAAAATCCGTCTCAACCCCCGCCTTCGGCGCATTCCTCGTTGCAGGCCGCTCCCGAGCCAGGCCGGAGCACGCCCACGTCGAAAGATAACCGCAGTCGCGATGATCTCGGCGAGATTGATATTCAGGCTCTTCTTCAGAAGCACGATGAACTCCGTATGGCTCACTCCGACAATTTGAAAAGCACTGCATTTCTGACCTATTTTATACAGAGGCCAAATACTCCAAAGTAAAGCGATACTACTTCGAACGAGATGCCCAAGTTCAACAGCTTCAAAACACGGTCGCGCATCAGCGCATGGCCGTCTCTCGCACCGTCCTTGATGACAACGAATACGCCAACCGCTTCGGTCGGCTCGACGGAGCAATCAAAGACCTAGCCTTTTCTCTCCGTAAGGATTGGAAAATTATCCCCGATTGGCTTGCCGGCTCCGTAAACGAGGATGCACCCTCCACCGGGGCGCGTGAAATGACCGTTGTTGGCCGTGCGATCATCTCCCGCTGGCTTGTTGACGAGCTCTTTGAGCGCTTCTTCCACCCCTCCCTCGAACCAACCTTTAGCCGCCAACTTAAGGCCATTGAAATGACCCTCCGCCACCAGCAAACCAATACTTCTACCGAAGAAGACAAGGAAAACGCCATTGCCCGCATCTCTAACTGGCGCCGCACAACCCTTGACGGCCTCGGCGACTCCCTACAGGGTCCCGCAGCCGATATTCACCGCGCCCAGATCACAGACAACCTGGTCGAGTTCCTTGTCGCAACTCTCCTCAGCCACCTGAATGATCCGCCTCCGGCCGGGTTCGAGAATGGTGCTCGCATGATTATCGAAATAGCCCTCGGCATCGCTGAAAAGATTCCTCTTGAATCTCGGGACATTTGCGTCTCGTATCTCGCTCCGGGAACGCCCATTAATGAAGCTACGATGCGCGTCGAACCAAGTACCCTCCTTCCGCCTCTCACAAACGCCGCCGCCGCGGCTTCTTCCTCTAACCTCTCTCACCCGCCTCAAACCGCCGACTCCAACCGCCGCTCCGCAGAAGACCAACACCATCAAAATAGCCATTCCATCCCCGACTCCACCGGCCCTGGCGGCAATGACCTTGATCGCGACCAGTCGCAAGCCCAAAACGTCTCGCCCGACGCACCGGACCACAGAAAACGATCTGTTCTCAGTGGTCTTCGCGGTCGTCTAAGCGGGCAGAGTTCAGCCAGTTCATCCGTACCTCCTGTGTCTGCGCCCGTACCTGCCCCTTTACCCGCAGGGATTCCGAACAGCGCGGGTGAAGCAGCTCGGCGCGGCTCCGTTGGTGGACAGAGCCAGGGAGCTGGAGTCGGATCTGTGGTGGCCCGGGTCCGGTTCGCAGCCTTCGTCACTGCCGAAGTCCGCGGACGGGGGCCGCTAAATGTGTTGGTCAAGGCGCCCGTCTTTGCGATGGAGTGAGCTCAATATGCCCCTGAGCTTATACCTGAATCTTGTGAGGTAGTGAAGTGAGCAGTATATAATATATACAAGGAGGAACGTGATGGGCTTGTGTTGGGCTGGTATACGATGTACAAATGGGCCTGCCAAGTTACCTGAACCGAGTCCAGTTCGAGGTAACATTTGACATGACGAGGAAATGACTGTTTGCTTTTTCCTGGTTTGTTCCATTTCACGCCACTGCCGTTGTGTTGATTTCATAGAAGCGCCCCGTATACATCAAATGTCGTCTATTTTCTAGAACCCACTGAATCGGGCTGAATGTTAGTCTCGAATATTCCGGCTTGATGATCTATGCATCTCGCCGTCACTCTGACTTTGAAACGGCTTCTTTCAACACATTGAGTCCCTGTCCCTCCCGAGTGATCAGCGGGTATTGCGCGTCCCCCAAGCCCCCAGTCCTCGTATTCCGCACCTCTAGCCCCTCTCGGCCCTCTGCACAGCACCATTGCCATTGCTGTTTCGTATTCAGCAATCCCTCCTCACAATCACGTGTAGGTTTCAAGGTAATCGACACAGCGCATCGGAGGAGTTGCCTAAAGGTTAAGTGAGAGTGAGGGGGAGAGGGTGAGGCTGAGCCGCAGTCTGCCCATCCCATCACCGGCTTCTTAAGATATACCTTATCTTCTCTTCATCGTCCCACCTCACTTACCTTTCTTGAAGCAATCTTCCTTTGCTCTTGATTCCATTTGAGGTCTTCGAGGTATTTCGCTAACACACGACCATGCCGTTCTGGAAGAGAAAGGATAAAGATAAACAGTCGCAGCCCCAATACGCTGCGCCCGCGCGGGGCCATATCGTGCCTGTCTATGCGCAGCCAACGTACGTGGCGCAACATTCACACCTCTCTCATATCCCTTAAGGAATATCACTAATAGTTCCAACCAGACCCCCTCTAGCACCACCGCAACACACCCGCGCTCCCCCAACCACCATCCCTCCCCTCCCTAACCCACCCATTCCCTCCCCGCAGCAAACAGGCGAACCCTTCCGCACCCATGGCAACCAACTCGCCGCGCAAAACGACTACAATGGCGCCGTGGTCATGTACAACTCGGCGCTGCAACTCGCACCCCAAGACACAGAGCTCCTGCTCAGTCGCTCCCTCGCGCATATGATGTCGACACCGCCACGACTGGATCTTGCCCTCAAGGACGCCGACGACGCGATCCAGCTGAATCCGGGGAGTGCGCAGGGATGGTTGCAGAAAGGTGAGGTGCTAGTGCAGCTGGAGGATTTGGGCAACGCCGTTGGTGTGTTGGAGAATGCGGTGGGTTGTGCGGGGCCTGCAGAGAGGCTTGTTGCGCAGAGGGCGCTTGCCGGGGTGAGGCAGCAGGTGCAGGTCAAAGCGCAGGCGCAGGCGCCTGCTGGGACCGGGACTGGAGGGTATCCAGTGCAGCAGACGCATCAACAAGCGCAGGCTCAGGCTCAGGCTCACGTACAGCAGCAACCTCAGATTATACAGCCGCAGCCGCAGTCGCCGAGGTTCTCCGTTTCGCCTCCGCCGGTGATAACAACCTCTCCTCCACCTGTTCCCAGGACGTCGACTACGTATCCTGCTTCCGGAACGTATCCGCCGCCGTCGGGCACTACCAGTAGTGTGAGCGCAACGCTATTCCCCACAAGGACCCCTTCGACGACGACAGTGCCGGCCTCGAGCACGACGACATCGATCAGTTCAGGGCTGAGCCCGCCACTAGAACAACCCCGAGCTGCCACGCCGAGTGCACTTTCCAATGCTCCTACACCACCAGCACCAATTACGGTGCAGCCTCCGACAAACGCAACGGAGGATCCCTCGCGCCGGAGCAGCATGCTTCCCTCGTCAACCGCAAACCGCAACACCGATACGTCGAGAAATGCAACAGAGACCGTGAACCGGACCTCCACGACAGCCTTATCTTCAAACATTATTCCACAATCGGTGTTTGAGGATCTAAATTCCCCCGAGGGCCCACCGCCGGCGTACACGGAGAATCTTCGAGATCCGGTCGTCCTAAACCGCAAGCTCGATGAGCTTGAGCAGATCATCAAGATCAAGAACAAAGGGAGTTTGCTTGTGCAGCCGTATACGTTGCCTGGGCAGATTGATGCGGTGCGATTGCTGTATAATGCCATGACGGCTGATGAGTTGACGGCCAGGGAGACGGGGCCGGTCGTTCCTGTTCATCCGAATTTGGGCAAGTAGCACTTTCATGACAATCGTACGGCGATGTTCTGACAAGGCATCACAGCAAACATGACCCTCAACACATACAGCTACCCAGGGAACACGTACATCGACGCAGACTGTGAGACCTTGACATATTACGATAGCAAGATTCCAGGAACGCTGCGGATGGCTGGTTACTCTGAGGAGTATCGTCTCCAACAATTGCGTGCTGCTCCTCTCCTCAATCTCACTCTCGAAGCAAACACGGTTCTCCCAGAGATACCGCTCAGTAAAATTATCGAGCGTCTCCGAAAGCTACAGGGATCGCCACAGCTGGAAGATAACGAGGGTTTGTGTGAATTCATCGGTCTGACCGCGTATGTTCAGTCCCATATATTTGAATCGCAGGTATTGACATACGCAGTGCTACCGCTCTAACTCACGGATTCTTCACCGGCGGCAGCCGCCAGAAGCAGATAGACTATATCTGCATGGGCCTGAACAAGAGCAAATACGACGCAGCTTCGCGGTTCGTCGATCTGAATAAAGCCGGCTGTATCAGCAGCTACTTCATCGGCGGACTCTCCTCGGGCGATGGCCTGCGCAACTTCCTGTACCAGCTCCTCTTGGGATGCGAACTGCTCGTCCGCATGCGCAAGGAGCCGGTGACAACCAGCTACACCGGCGTAATGACGGACAGCACATCCGCGCTGCTAGTCCTAGGCTCGATGTGGATGTCATACGTGACATTCAACGGACCCACTAACCTCGCTGCAAAGGACAGTCCCAGCAGCTACACGTTCATATCCAGGGTAAGCAAGAGCCAATCTGAGGCACTAATCCGGTTCGCCGAAGCCCTCGAGTGGCCGTACATGGACGAAGCCCGCAACACCATCGAAACCGCATACAGCGACCTCGTTGCCCGCCGGATCCCATGGAACGCAGACATGTGGGACTGGCTCTTCAACCTGATGCTGCCCGGGAAGATCTACAGACACAAGATCATGGCCTGCCTGGTGTACTGCTCCCCGACGGCCCGGAGCCTCAACGCCGCGCCCTTTTACGACAACGGCCTCATCATCAAGAACGCCAGCTACTGGCCCAAACGCACCGTTCTCGGCCGCATCCTCGGCGGACTCAAGGATGCTAAATCCGTCTGCGGATGGATTGGCCCTGCGCCGGCACCAACGGGTGACGCCACAGGCTGGATCCGACTCAGCGCGCGTGAAGTCACAATGCCCGTTCCAGTCAAGGCAACCCCGGGCCAAAGCGCCCTGACGGATTTGGGCTTCGACGAGAACGGTTCCCTCGACCGGTACACCTTCCTCGAGAGCCTGCTCAACCCAGACGAGTGGGTAACGATGTCACCACCCGGCCGCCCAGAGTCAGATACCAGCGGCGCCGAGCTCAAAGCAATCCACCTAGCCCAACTCCCCGTCGACGAGGCGACTCGCGCCGCACTCCCAAACCTCCCACCAGAGACCTACCGTGCAAGCGTCGACTTCCAAATCAACGGCACCACCCTCGTAACATACACCCTCTACACGAACCCCGTTTTCGTCGCCGCGCAGCCGTGCGTCGGCTCGCACATCATGCATCGGAAGGAAGGGGAGCGATACCTCAAGAACACGATTCGAGTTGCAGACCTCAAGACCGCGAACCCGAGTCTCAATGAGCTGGTCATGATCGATGCTCTGGGACCTGGGGAGGACGCGGTGGCGAGGGCTTGGTGCGCGGAGCGCGGGAGGTGTGCGATTGTGCGGAGGGGCAATGAGTGCTGCTTTACCTGCGCGGTTTGTCTGGCGATTGGAAGGAAGGGGTTGGGGTTCAACGTTTTGATTTTGGCGAGGGCCTGAGGGTTTGATCTTCGATTTTCTCACCCTTTCCGCCTTTCAATTCGGTTTTTTTTTTTTTTTTTTTTTTTTTTTTTTTTTTTTTTGATACCTCTTGGATATGAAGGCTCATGACAGTTTATGCGTTGAATTCTGGATTCTGGTATTCATAGTATAGGAGGGAGGGATACCAGGACTCCTAGTATTATAGCCCTGGTGGATGAGGGGTTGGGAGGAAATAATGTTAATCAAGACAGTCCAATGTCCATCTAAAGTCCGCGATGAAAGGCCAGACGCGAAGACGCGATCGATGCCTCCACCGTTTATTTCACTTAATACAGTCTGCACAGAGACGCGGACTTATGATCCTTTGTATACTTGGAGCAGTGTAATAACTATGCGTAGGTGATGCTATACAGATATATTTATATATATACGATGATAATATATCCCGTAAGCACCACCGGACTCATCTTCTGAATAACCGCCGCCGACCTGGGGGAGTTGCCTGGCGCTTGGAGAATACGATACTTATATATAGATACATAGAGCCGGTCACCTCAAGGGTTCTGCCATGGTATCTTGATTGTACTGTAGCAGGAACTCGTCTTCGCCTACTATTATATCAATTCTCGGACGAGCGATGGCCGCGGCGCGTACTGCTATAGAAACAGGAGTCGATTGGCAAGTGGTGAAGGGGAGCCGATTCTACGATGACGAATGGAGGGCGATTTAACTTGAGCCGACAAAACCTCGCGGTAGATCTCTGCTTTGTGCCAGGCCCAAGGGCAAGTATGGATGGCTCTCAGACAAAGTTGGTTGGGTGGGGGGGGGGGAGTGTGGGAGAGGGATTACGGAGTACCGCAAGCATGGATGGTTGGGATATCCGAGCCCGTTTTCGATCCGCGTTGTGAAGCGAAAGCAAGGGGCGAGAGTTTGGTCTAGTTTTTTTTTTCATTCAAATTGGTATGATTCTTTTCATTTTCCGGGAGGAGTCCGGGTCCCATTTTTTAACGTCATCGGAAGACGCCAGATAAAGTCCCCCGTCCCAACCCACTAAGTCAGGTATTCGTTAAAAAAAACACACACCAAGGTACAGCAACAACAAGAGAGAAAACCCCATATGAGAACGCGTAACGTTTAGCCCTTCTTCTTGCTGACACCGACGGTGCGGCCACGGCGACCGGTAGTCTTGGTGTGCTGACCACGGACACGGAGACCCCAGTAGTGACGGAGACCACGGTGGGAGCGGATCTTCTTCAGGCGCTCAAGATCCTCACGGTACTTGCTGTCGAGGCCGTTGGAGAGGACCTGGTAGTCCTTGCCGTCGACGATATCGCGCTGTCTGTTGAGGAACCAGCTGGGGATCTTGTACTGGGTGGGGCTCTGGAGGATGGTGACGATGCGCTCCAGCTCTTCGGTGGTGAGTTCACCGGCACTGTAGATCGAGTTCGTTAGTGATGAGTTCACCTCCATTTTGACTTGTGTGGTGGTTTCTGTGTGTGTCCGTTGTGTGGCAATATTCCTTGATTCCCCAGTGCATTGTGCGGAAAGGCGGAGGTGGAAGGATTTTGGCAAACGTACCGCTTGTTGAGATCAACATCGGCCTTCTTGCAAACCAAGTTGGAGTAACGGCGACCGACACCCTTGATCTGGGTCAAGGCGTACATGATCTTCTGCTTGCCGTCAACATTGGTGTTGAGCAGACGCAAGATGTACTGGAAGTTCGTCTTCTCGCCGGACACGAGCGCTGTGCGTGAGAAAAACCAGTCAGCCTAATATTCATGCATCGAAAGAGCGTTGACATTGTCGACTGTGGACTCAAAAGTCAAAGGGACCTCGCTGTCGATTCTGCTGCCACTCTTCAAAATTCCCCAGTCGTCCATATTCCATTTCGAACAAGCAGGCACAGCAGCGAAGCAACAGGCGGGCAAAGCAAAGACGCTATGCTAGGAGATAGCACGTACACATGATGGGCGGTTGGCGCGAACGGGATCGCGATTGATTGTCGACAGCGAGAGGTGTGAGAAGGAGGTGAAGTCGAGGTCGGCCGCACTTCAACTTTGCTCGTTGTGGGATCGGGTAACGTGTGGCCTAGACCCGACTAGGCATAGCGCGTGTCAGGGCTCGCTTGAGCAGGCGCTAGAGTGGATGGAACCAGCCAAGAGCTTCCTGTGTCACATGACAACTTGGCACGTGAGTCCCTTTCTGATCAACTCCTTCCCTTTCGGGCTGACAGTCAAACACCCTCGAGGCTTGAAGGCTGTAGGACACGCTTGGGAGTCAGAATGAGATTCCTTCCCTTGATTATTTTTTCGAGGATGCGGGAAGATAGGCCAGCGAGCCTGGATCCCTCACTTCTTCATCATTACTTTGTCTTTTCAAATCTTTGAGCTATGTTGTCGCGAAACCCGGTTCACTTTGAGAATCAACGTCTCGAAGGAATCGAGAGTCTGACTCGAGGACGAAGAACAGCTGTCATGGACTGACTGACAGACGCCGCCAATGAATCGCCCAAATTAGCATCCTTGACTATGTCGCTGCATTATCGCATGAAGCGCGCACAAAGCCGCCTTGTTGATTGTCCCATCATCCCGACTTTGGCACGCTTTATCTGAGCCGAGACTTGCCATTGATGCAGCCATTCTCCATGCTCACATGGCACTCTCGCACAAAGGTGGCCGCCCTTTTGCGGTTTCAGATAATGGCGTCGGCCTTCGGTATGAAAACAAGTCTCTCTGTAACGGGCTGGGGTAAAACCCACTTTTTGGCACTGCTGCTTTTGTCAATCCCAACTCGTACTTGAGATACTCGTACCTGATCATGCTGTTGTCTTACATTTACACCGTTGCCAATTATAGCTTGATAGACCGTCTTTGTCCTGGGATTCTGGGCTGAGGGCAACAAGCTAGGAAAAGATGTAAACTCGTAGCATTTAAGCCATCTGGTCCGCTCTATCTCTCCCCGGGGTGTTCACATTCATTCTGTCTTTCTCACATTCAATCTTATATACATTGACAACAATCAGATTCCAGCAGGCCTCGAATCCATTTGCAGCCCTCAAAATGAGCGACGACGACGACAGTTCTTACCCTCGACCTGCGTGGGACGAGCAAAGTTTCGGGCCAAAGCTCGATTTGGATGCCTTGCCTGACCCCCCCGACACCTATAACCCCATTGGATACACGAAACTCCTTCGGTTCACCTCTCAACGCCGCCCTTGCAAAAAGGATGCTCTTCGCTGGAAGAGATTCTATTTCTGGGGTATCAAGCACGAATGGGGACGAACTTCGATCGCCACGATGGAGATAGCCTTTCGAAAGCTCCTATGGTACACTGCACCTCACCACCAACCCAGAGACTGGGAAGATTGGGACGCAATGCTTGGAGATGCTGGGCCCCGAACGATTGATTATACGAAAATCCCTTGGAACAGGCCAAATGCGACGCTCCGTGCCCAAGGGTTGCTTTATACGCCTGTCAGTCGACATTTCCCGACTGTTCCAGCCCCGAATGCGCCTCGCCCAACGAACTTCCGCCGGCCAGCCAATGCGCCAGCCCATTGGTCTGATGCAATGGTGTACCAGAGTGAGCAGATTGTCCGGCCAACCTTCAACTCCGCCCAAGCAAAGCCATACCGTCGACGTCTGGATGTCACGGCTGATAGTGATGATGATGGCGACGACGGACTTCCTGCCACAGCGGTCCAGCCTGTCTTGATGGGCACCGGCCCACATCAAGGTACTGTGCAGGAGGTGAAGGAAGCTGTTGAACGGGCAATCATGAAAGTTGCATATTCAGGCCTGGAGAGGCACCCAGATGCTGCCCCGCGTGCACCACCTCGCGAGAAGACCGCCACAACACAGGCAGATGTCTTACGCTCCGCAATCTGCTCCACAATGGCCAACTCGCATGTCCGTCTTAGGGAGGATGAATTGGGTCAGCTATTCATTGACCGTGGCGGCGTCTCTTGGGCCCTGAAAGGTCGTGGGCCTGTTTACACCAACGACTCTTGCGTCATTGACTGTATCATCACAGCCGGAAAATTGCTCGACGCTGGATCCACTAATGCCGACCGCTCTGACGCCAGTTGGGACACTCGAATGAACGGGCTGCAGCGAACATTTATTGAACTGAGCGACGCCAATTGGGACTTGTGCTCCCCCGAAGCCGGTGCGCAAATGAAAGGTGTTCTATCACACAAGATTCGGCAGTTTGTACCCCAGTTTGGGGATCAAACCCCCGGCGCGGTCCCATTGTTATGGAAGATGGTCGCCGAACACCTTGGACAGTTCGCCCTCAAACTCGACCAGACTAGCACGCCTTGCGGATGCTCAGCCGCTCCAGGGATGTCTGAAATAAAACAGACCTGCTATGTGGAGCCTCAATTCGAACGGGAAGACGCAACTGGTGTAGCGATGAAGACACTTTTTGAACGCATATTCCAGGCTACTCAGGCTTCTCGATGCGGCGGCTGTGGCGAGAATGGAGACGTGCAGGAAAGAAGCTTCTATCCACTTCCCTTGCGTATGGCTGTCACTCTTGACCCCCGAGTTTCGATAATCGACCATACGAAGGATATCACGTTTGCATACAGGCCGTGTGGGGAGGTGGCTGCTGAGACATATGCTACCTATCGCTGGCTCGGTGGGATTTATCACAATGGAGGGGGCGCCTACCGGGTTTTCTGGAACGACACGAAACGGGGAGAAGCAGATCATGGACGGATCAGCCAGTACGAACCAACGCTCGAGGGATTAATCGTCTCAGAGGAGTTGGAAAGCCCGGCACCGCAGCATCGAGTACCCCCGCAATGGTGGCACAACAAATCGGTCCCGTTGCTTTTCTATGAACGCATCATGAACCCTGCAGAAGATCTTCTAAAGGCAGCCAAGAAAACAATCAAGGGTATGTTGAAGGACAACGCTCTAGGTGTCCCAACACTCGTTAGCCATGAGCCCTGGCACACCGCAGAGCACATGAGGCCTAGCAGACTAGGCTATCCATGGCAGCCTCTTGCGGTGGCGCAGCCCCCTGATGCTCAGCGCTTCCACCTGGCTGATGCACCATACGTCCCTGGCCAGGTTCAAGCAACAGCAGCGTCTCCTCGTGCCTCGTATGCTCCACACTGGAATAATGAATTTACTCTCCCGCCCTTGCGATCGACCAATCTTCTGAATGCTGGGTGGTCGGACCCCTTCGCATTACAGCAACAGGATCATTCTGTTCAACTACCACCAATCCAACCAAGTCCGAACTCAACAACGAGGGATAGTGTCGGTGCGAGCAGGTTCTCGTCAGCTGTATACAACCCAGGGCTCGATTCGCCAGCGCCTGGGAATGAATTCACGAACGAGGCATCGGGAAATGTAGACGAGGATGTTGATATGGAGATGTAGGGCGTTTCTCAGTCTATCAAGTGCTGATGGAGCGGAGCGTTGAACGGGGATGGCAAACTGATAAACTGAGGAGGTTTTTTTTGGAGTGTGGAGTTTTGGAGTCTAGACTTTAAGCTGGATCTTGTGAGTTTATTCTCAGTTTTGTTGTCTGGAGCCTCGGCTTGTATGTATTTATTTCGCATGTTTGTTTGAGCTGTTCTTCCTCTTTCACTCTCTCCTGTATGAATTCTTTAATTCTTCCTGGGAATCTACACCGTTGGACCTGGAATAGGTGGCCTCTTCGCTAGGCAGCAACTTGGAGAGCACCATAATTCCAGATCTGATCATAGATAGCTTGATTTATTTCTGTGTTATAAGCTTTATATTTTAGAAACAAAACGCCAGGAAACCATAACATGACCATAATCACAGTGCCTTCTTGCATATACCAACCCATAAAAATACTGAGGTAGTGCTATAATATACCGCATACAAGTGAAGATAAGGAGGTTGTTTAGGAGCGGGCAAGCTCTCTTGAAAGTTTTTCGCATCCTCTAGAGTACTCATATTCAGCATAACGGTATCCTCACCAGACAGACCGCCGAGCATCTGCCTCCTCGACGTATCAATATCGAAGATCGAAGCCATCAACACTTTCTTCTTCTCCTGACACTGACTCGGAACTCTCACACCTTGACTTTTCTGAACCATCTCAATCCCACACTGCCTCCCACTTCCTATATCCAATCGCAACATGCTCGCACTGGTTGAAATTTACAAGCTGGCGGTCTTAATGACCCTATTACTGCTCCATGTATGGAGACTCGCGCTCCTCTTCTCCCCAGGCGGGCCAGAGATCCAAAACATGTTAAGTACCAACACCGCGGGGTACCCATGGTACCTTGTCCCACCCCAAGCTCGAAGTCAAGGTGCAGGATGCTAACTAGACCATTCAGGAGTGACTTTTTCGAACGACGGCTAGGTGAGGATTCTGCGATGCTACTAAAGGCTTGAGTCGAGCTTTCGACGGTGGTCTGACTTGTCTTCGTAGGATGCCATGAATCGAACCGAAGTAGCCGCATCACTTTGCTTCGGTGCACATGAAAAGAGAGAGAGATACCCATGGTTTATCTACATTATTTTCTCCTTCGACTTCGGCGGCGGCCCTGACGGCCTTTCTTATTAATTTGTTTTGGCGAATGGATACCCAGTATGTCTCCACACCTGAAGATGTTGATGGGGAAGCTTTGTACGGAAACTGACCTTGGTCTTTCCAGACGGCGACGACAAACGGTGGAGTATATTAGTGTCGATCCCACATATGTTGTTGTCCTCGGCTGGATAGTTTTGTGAATTTAAATTGGATCAAGCAAAGAGCGAATCATGAGCGTGCGAATATTTAAGGGCCCTTTCCCCGCATTCTGGCGCGGTCTGACCACCCGTTGACTATAAAACCCCCGTAAAACCCCGCAAAAATCCTAAAACTCTTTTTTATCTCTAAGTGTCTAGGCTCTAGATCTAAAATTCTATCCTACAAACCAACCCGCAACCCGCATTCCACAAATCTAAAGCTTCGCCTTCTGAGCCCGATCTGGCCGCGGCGGCCCGGTCGGTACATCGCTCTTCTTCGGGGCAGAGTGATACCCTCCCTTGACATTATCCGTGTTGATGACGGCCCCGCTCGCGTCGCGCCGGATACCCAGCTCGATAAGTTTCGCAAATACTTGCGCAAAGTGCTCGAAGAACAGCTCCTTATCCTCCGCGTACTTCTCCACCCACGGCCGGAACGCCGGGTCCTCGCGCAGCGCAATATCCGTCGGCAGCATCATGAGCGGCTCCTCGTGCTCCTCGGCGTCCGGGTCAACGTACACAAACTGGCTGACCCCATTCGCCAGCGTCTTCTGCTTCCACTCGAGATTCAGCAGCAGCCGGAAAAATTGATTCGAGAACCGCGTCGGGTTGTTCACCCAAGGGCCCTCGAACCCACTGCGGTCCGTGTGGCACCGGCCGAGGTTATGCCCGCCCGTGAGCGCTACAATCTCCTGGTCGTTGAAGCCCATCCGGTAGAAGATGAAGCGGAGGTGGTCGGACCCTTGCGCGGCGTCGGGGAGGCGGCCTCGCGGCGGGACTTTCGAGTCGTCGACGTAGTCTGTGCGTCCTGGTTGCCAGGGGACGTCCGGCCCGCCCATCTCGGCGATTGCGACGACACCGGCGAGGGTCCAGAGGTCGCTGTATGTGATCCAGGGATGCTTCTCTTTTACGGGCTCGAGAAAGGCACGGCCGTGCTGCAGGCCTGCATTCGCTGGGTCGCCGCCTTCGGCTTCGTAGCGCATGCCTGCGCCGTTGGAGCCGCCTGTGTCGGTCTCGGCGTCGTATGTGCCGGCGGAGTGCCTGTGTTGATCCGAGTCAGATTACTATCTGTGAGATACTCTACAACCGCGGGTGGAAAGATGGAAGACAAGACGAACCATGCAAGGCGGACGAAAACAGGCCCTGCGCTGCCGTCATCATAGCCGGGCTTCTTGAGCTGGGCGGCAATGTCGCGCCGGACGGCGGCGTAGTCTCCTGGTTTGCTCATTGTGGTGGTTTGATGTGGAAGAGAGAGCGACGATGTCGGAGGAAAGGAGAGAAGATTAAGAAAGATGGCGAACACCACATGCACTGGAAGAGATACGGGGAGCAGTGGAGCCTCGGCCACCCGAAGGTCGAATCCACAGGCAAGAAATTGGGAAGAAATGGCAAATGCCGAGGTTGATTCTTATCGACTGGAGTGAGAATTCAATCGATTATGACGCGATCCGATTCTTCTCGATCGCAGCAGCAGACAAGACAACCTGACCCGACACCTTCAATAACCGACAGCCCAAGACGGCATTTTAACCTCGGAAATTCCCCCTTCGGGCATGGCACAGCGAGTCTGCCCCGGCGCAACGCCGACTCCGACCCCATTCATCGTTTTCCCCATCACAGTCTCGGGATTGGTTCGCCACCACCAGACCATTCCAGCGAACCCTGTTCCTGTTTCTGGCCCTGTCCCGAACCGCGTCCAGCCAGGCGCATTTGTAATATTTCCACGCTGAACCTGCTCTTCCTCTTCAGCCCTTCAACCCTCGCCTTCCACCGTCCCTGCAGTGTCTCCATCAGTCGCATCATCTCCGCAAACTCCCTCCGTATCCACCGCCGCTCCGCCCGCCACTTTCGCGCCCGCCGCTGGCACCGTTTCAGTCCCCGCTCGAGCTTCCGCTGCTGCGCTGCGTTGGCTTGCTGGAGTGTGCGGACGAACTTGTTCATGGGGGCGGTCTGGTCTGGGTCCAGTGTGCCGTGCTGGATTTCGCGCGAGATGGTGATGATGGTACTGGTCATCTCGTGTGCGATCCTCCGCATGAGTGAGGTTTTGGAGGCGGAGGGGAGGGAGGAGAGGGTAGCCAAGGCGGATATCGTAGAGGGATTCATTGTAAGCGTGTAGATTTGGGGTTGTAGCACGGCAGGTATCAAGATATTTAGGAGCTTTTGAGGTAGGTACATACCACGTAGGAAGAGAGTTGATGCTCCGCGAACCTCTCCGTTTACCATACTCTCAATATATATATCGCAGCAACAATGAAATCCACTCCGTATCCCAGCAAACGCAATCGCCGCAAATCCACTCTCCCAGCTCCATTTCCCATTTGCACTCACAAAGCGCAAATCTCAGCACAAACGGCCTTCCCTTCCCCCAAATCTGTATAGGACTAACCCTCCCCACCTGTTTGCACTGTTTGTCTCCAAATTTTCCAGCCCATCGTCACTCACTGCACGACGAATAACACCACCACCACCCCTCTGCTTCTCAGAAACAGAACACGAAAGACGATGGCACCCTCGACACATCCCCGCATTGAAGAACTCCCCGACGACTTTGACGAGTCGCTCGACCTGAACGCTCCGACCCCTCCTACAGCAACAACAACAACAACATCAACGGCAGAAGCCGAGATTCCCCTCCCCCTCCGCGGCAATGAAGAGCGACTCCGCCAGCTCGACGAGTCCACGCCGGCCCCGAAGCTGCCCCCCGCAATGGCAGCGGTGGACTCACACACAACCGATGAACTCGCCGACATTCTGAACAAGACCCCGTTGTTCATGACGGATATCAGTAAAGCGGGGGATGAGAGTGTGTGGCCCAGCCTCTGCCATGAAGAACCTATTGTCTGGGACGCGTGCTAATAGCTTGGTTTTGAACTACAACAGACGGCGAAAACGTCATGCTCGATGCGCTCCGCGCGCTGCAGAACGAAGGGACGCGCGGCGAGGTCGCACAGGGGTTCCGCGAGCAGGGGAATGAGGCGGCCAAGGAGAAGCGCTGGGTTGATGCGAAGGAATTCTATACCAAGGCGATTGCGGTGTTGCGTGCGCAGGAAAGCAAATGGGATGCACCCGAGGATGAGGAGGAGGAGCGCAAGTTGCTGCGCCAGGTTGAGGAAGCGAGCTATATCAATCGCGCGTTGTGCCATTTGGAGCTGAGTATGTTTCTTCCTCTTTCTTTGCGAATTGGGCTTGTGAATCGGAGGAGGGGTGTGTCTTTGTGTCCATCAGAGGTATGAAGCTAATGTACGCACGCAGAAAACTACCGCTCAACAACGCTTGACTGCGCCGCGGTCCTCAAACTAAACCCGAAAAACGTCAAAGCATTCTATCGCTCCGCAATGGCCCTCTACGCGCTCGACCGCATCCCCGAAGCCCAAGACGCCGCCGCCCGCGGCCTCGCCGTCGACCCCGAGAACAAACCCCTCCAAACCATCGCCTCCAAGGCCACGGAACGCAAAGCCGCGCTAGAACGCATCGCCGCAAAACGCGCCGCCGAAGACGAACGTACTAGGAAAGAAAAACTCCTCCTAGGCACGGCCCTGCGCGCGCGCCAGATCCGCACCCGGAAAACAAACCAACCCCCCGAGATGGAGGACGCCGTCATCAGGCTCTCGCCGGACCCGCTCTCCCCTGAGAGCACGCTCGAGTTCCCGACTGTGCTGCTGTACCCGATGGACGCGCAGAGCGACTTCATCAAGGCGTTCTCTGAGATGCATTCGATTGAGGACCACCTCGAGTATATCTTCCCGTTGCCCTGGGATTCGAAGAAGGAGTACACGATGGACTCTGTGGAGTGTTACATGGATACAAACACGGGGGGGCTTGTCAAGGCCGGAAAGAAGCTGCCGCTGCTGCAGATCCTGAGCGGGAGCAAGGTGGAGGTTGTGGATGAGTTGGTGAGGATCTACGTCGTACCCGTGAAGCGGAGTAAGGAGTTTATTGCGGCGATGAAGGCAAGGAAGGAGGGTTGATTCAAGAGGCCAAGTCAGTCTGTGCGTTGGGAAATAAGCGCTCGTGGCCTGACCTGGTCTGGCTGGTCTACGCCATATCCAACAACGGGGGAGTCAGCGCATGACGGCCAAATTGACTAGGAGCCTGCTGGCATCAGCCAAGCTACCTAGGTAAACGCACGCGCTGGACAGCCCGAGTCGGTTTTTCGAAAACGAACTGCGTCGGGTATGTGCCAAATTTCTGGCTCCGTCGTTGCCGCAAGATCTCATTCCTGGTCCTCTTGCTCGTCTGGCCACTCGCAAGCGAGACGACTTGCACGGGTAATCTGCACAAGCGATGGCATCCCTGATTTGAAGATGGGCCTCGCTCGTGTTCTGCTTTGTTCTACTTGTGCCAACCGGTATCGCTAGTCGCTCACTATCGTACGCGTCTGGACTGTGTGGTGTCTACGTATCAAGGTAAACTAGTAGTCCACCTAGTCTTACAGCTTTAAATACCAGGAAAAAAAAAAAGAAAGAACAACTCCATCTACAAAATTACCCTTTGCATGTGTCTTGATCTCCAAATCCCTTCTAATACATTAGTTAACAACGCAACAACCATCTTTGCACCTGCATGCATCCTCATTTTTGGTCAAAGATAGACGTCACTTGAACATTTGTTAAGGATGGTATCTATCCACCTTCTACCTGACAGCCCCAACTCGAAAATGCCGACAGATAACAAAAGGACCTCTATTCAGTGTGCCCGTCAATCGCCCTAGTTCGACCGAGTCTTCAACAAGCCATCTTACTATGAAGTTAGCCAACCAGCCCGTTGGCACAAAACCAGACAGGCAGATGCAAGGAAGGAGACCTAGGCTTCAACGACATACCATTGAAGTTCCACCGACCAAGTTTCAATTCCTCGTTACTCGTCCTTCTCGAGCTTGCTTAGAGAAAATTGATATTAAACGGGTCGACGGAAGTCGGGTCAATAGGGGTAGGGCTGCGTTCTTGCCGTTGAGGTAGTCAATCTTCATACTAGGTACAATGGCAAGATTTGCAGATCCATCTAACCACTTGCATGGAGTAATTTGCCTGCAATCAAGAGGAGCAAAATGTGATGGGATAATGCTCGGACTCGCTGCTCGGGCACGGTTGATTTCATTCAGGTCATTTGAACCAGCCCCTGATGGGATAAGTCGAGGCGTACAGTACCTGGTGATTTGATACTAGTAGGTAGTAAGCGATACTGCAGAGCTGGTGATGATACTACAGTAGTTGGCTGGTCGTGTATCATCTGAAGCGAACGACGGGGGTTGGTTGATACGAGCTGAAAAAATGGGCCATCTGTCTTGCTGCCATGGTTGTAATGAGAGTTTTTAGAAAATCCTCTCGGCACGCATTCATTAGACACTAATATATATAACATCTGTATATCCGATTCTTGTCACTGGCCAGTTCAATGCTTGGTCGGATGCAGTCCCTTCTTCCTACCTCATCATAACCGTTGTAGGCACTAGGCAATGCATATTCATAGGACGCCAGATTCCAGTAATTTTGTATCCGAAAGGATAGGGAATGACAAGGATAAAGCAGAGGGGGCGGTAGAAGAAGGAAATATGGCAGAGGAATTAGAGAGTAGTGTAGGCTCGTGCTCAGAGCCATGATTGACATAAATAGTGAAGAAAACGTAAGCTGGTGGACATAGTGTACAGTGGAAACAAAGGACGAAATGAGGTAGTGTACAGTGAGTAAAGAAAGAAGTGACAATGGGGACAAGAGGGGTGCTAGTAGGTATAGTAGTAAGGCTGCGGAAATCCACCAAAACCTGTTCCTGGAGGCCGTATGGCAGGGACCGAAGGTTGTGGATGCAAGGAATCTTGCGAAAGTACCGAATTCTGCTGGAACTGAGGATTCGGGTAGTACCCCATCGCAAAGGGTGGCATTCCAAGCGTCGTGTTATCCCCGTACGATGGAGTAAAGTCAAGGGTATAGGGAGATGAGGCTGTGTCTGGGGCAAGCGGTTTCATGGTAGAGTTGGCGGGAGGCAAAGATGCTGGAAGAGTGGAGGGGCATGCATTCCACGAGGTTGGGGCTGTGGAGGTAACCGGCGGAGGACTCGGCTCTTCTACTTCTGTTGGGCTTGTCGGGGTGCCGTTTGAGGAAGGAAAAACAGAGGTGTGGGATTCTAAGTCGCGCATTTCATCGCGGTGGAGCGTGTCGAATTCGTTGCTCGAGCCGGAGGGTGAATATAGCCAAGTCTGAGAGTCTTGAAGAGGAACCTGGGACACACATACGACTGCTTGATCGTCTGGAACAGTAAGCAACCGACATCATAAAGGGAAAAAAAAAAATAGGATATGCTTACCTGTCCTTCCATCTAGATAGCTCTCTTCTTCTCCACGGACGCGATAGATTTCATCTAGGACTTGGAGACACTCGGGGGGTGAAAACTGCCGACGAATGGACTGGTCCGCTTCTCTGAGCTTCTCGACGCTGATTCCGTGGCTCTCACGGAGCTCACATAGGATATGTACGAGAAGATGAACTCTTCCTGCCTTGAGAAGGTGATCAGGTTCGCGATGGACGACTTCCGTAGGCCACCATGGGGGCTTGGTTGTCTCCGGGTCGAGTTGCTGAGGGATTCCCGATATAACCTTGCGGCCGTTATAGGGAAAGTTGACTTGCTTGCGGGGCTCGACAAGCTTGATGTATGCCTTGGCCAAGATGCGGCAGTTGGCCTGTTTCAGGCTCTGAAAGGCCCTTTCGTAGTACTTTCGGAGAAGGGCGTGGTTCTTGACCAGAAGCATTGTCTTTGGGTAGCAGTTTATGCTGAATGGTATCACGTACTCGTGGGTTACTTTCTTCCGCTTCATCTGAGTGTCCATTTGTTGGGAGCTGGCGATTGTTAGTTGACTCGTGGAGATCTGGAGATCTGGCGGCGATACAAAGGAAAAAAAAAAAAAAAACTCACAACGAGGACCTGCGGCTATGGCAAGGGCTTCCAGTTGACCCTGGAGAAGGTGGACTTTTACTTTGGCCTTCAATGAAGCCAGACGAATCTACGGTTGTTAGCTATATTCCAAACAGCGCGAATGGGTCTTACCTAGTGATTTCACCCTATCCCCAGACAAAGAAACTGCTCTCAAGAATGAGTCGATTACCTCGGAGGATAAAATCCTATGGCAGTTGTCTGCAATTGAGGCAGAGGCCTCGAAACGGAGTTTCCCATCATCGTCGATGTAGAGTAGCGCAAAGTGAGGGCAGTCTGGGGTATCCAGTTGGGAATCCATTGATATTGAAAGGTTGGGCTAGAATGCAGTAGGCGCCGAGTCCTCTTTTGACGGGGTAATGCCGTGAGCTGGGGATGAAGAGCACCAGTTTATGTAGAAGCGGGGGTTTGAGGAGACGAAGTAGAAGATGACTTTACCCAACACACATAAACAGCAACACTATGCGAAAAGGAATGGAAGAGGGAAAAGAAATGTTCAATTTCTTCGGGAGGGATCCACTATCGTGCTTGGTCTTCGCTTCTGTCTTCGCCTCTGTGAAGGAGATGCTGCCAAAATGTAAACAGGCGCGTTGCGGATATTTCATGCACTTGGATGGCAGGTCGGCTTTGGCTGCGGTCGAGAAAGCGAAAGACGATCCGGAAGATATTCGCACCTTCTCCAAAGCTTCAGAGATTAAAAACCAGAACAGACTCTAGGTTCTAGACGATTCCGGAGCCAACAGCATCTGGCGCAGGGCGCCTCAATAGCGTGGCTCCGACGACATGGAACATATAACCGGGATCCGCCACTGCATTGATGTTCCAGGCTAATGCATAACACCATCATTCCAATCCGCAGTGATGATCCGCCAAACTGAGGGGCGAACGCCTTGACCTTGGGGACACACTGCCTTTGATAGGCTATGGATCATCTGGCTGTGCATAGCAGGAGAGGCGGCAACACTGTTCCGCGTGGATCAGGGGAAGATATGCGCATTGGACTTCGGGGTAGATGCGGGAGCAAAGCATGACCAGTCTCAAACTGAGCGTGTCTAAGTTCTCACCAGCCTCGCTTGATCCTTCTAGCGGAGTTGCCCCTGCCCGTGATCGAGTCTGGAATTCAATAAAGTTTTCTCTACCTGAGGTGTCTGGTGTCGTGTCGGGGTGGGGTGGGTCTGATCCTCATGCGTTGATCTCAGCCCCAGAAAACATGGCCTATCTACAGTAGAAGCAGGGAGAAGCCGTGGAAGCGAACAATCTGTCACCAGATCAGATACATGGTTGGCTGGCACTCATCATACGTGATTGATAATCCAGGAACGGAGTTTTTACTCGGTTCTTCAGTGCTTCGGTGCTTTGACACGAGGGAGCTCATCCCCTTGAGAGAATGTCCTGCGCAATTTCCGAACAGTGAGAGTGACTCCGAGAAGACGTTGACTCTGGTCACCACGATTGATGTAGTATCAGAGGCTTGAAAAGACGTATCTTGACTCGAGTTGGTACCGAGTTGCCGCAGAAAAGCGTTGGAACCCATTTGCTCCCGAGCTCGTACTCAGTATTCAACCTCTTCTCGTGGCTCTACATTCTTGTTTGGCCGACTGCGCCGACATTTCGTTTCGGCAAGAAGTGTTGAAGACAATCTGAGGGTCCGCCATGAGTGGCAGAAGAAGGGATGATACATCAAAGCTGGGTGGTCCCGCAGCGATGTGACTTGTCAGGTTCCTCTAGTGACACCCATCAAACGTCGTCTGTGGCGGAAGTTAAATAGAAGAGGAGACAAAGTTGACTTTGAAATCGACTAAAGTACCAGCATCTTATTTAGATAGTGGCAACTCCGCGAGACCGCGAGATGGACTCGTACTGCAGGGCTCATAGCGCTTCGATCGTTTGACCCGCGGAGACTGTTCAATTGACCGGTCCACCAATAACCTAAGTCAGAGTGATTCAGGTAGTAGACTAGGCGTTCACCCGACTGCCTTGTGATGGGACCGACTGCCATTGACGCTGCCAAAGCCACGGATCTGGTCCCCAATCCAGGTATCACCATGTACCTATCTGCCCTCCCATGCACCGGTTAACAGCAGGAGAGCACTGTTGAGTAAAAGCACTTGAGCTCATCACAAGGATCGCCTTTCTGTCACTTTGTGCTGGAGAATCTAGGAGAGAGTAGATTTGGGGAGAGTACCAGGTAGCCTTGAACTGACAGGTATATATGCCTCCGATGATCCCTCCAATTCGGAGAGATTCGGAGAGTAGGAGTCGCGTCGTTGTGTGGCTTTGTCAAGTTTCTGCTGTTAACATGGAGGTGTCGGAGATCAGCTTCCAGCCAAGATTTGCAGGCAAGATCTGCTTCCAGAGATTTTTCATGATCTTGATGAATCAAGTGGGTTGACGTTGGACAAGCCGTTTGCTGAGCTGCCACCAGCGGAGAAACAGCCTGGTCTTCCTCGAAACTCGGTTCAAGTCATCAAGCTAGAGACAAGGAGATGACCGACTGGAAGATATAAACGTTCCCTTGATCTGGGATATCGCACATTTGCGATAAAACTGAACATTAGGAGGTCGAGAAGATGGACAGTTGAAGTTGTTTGAGGATGCTGCCACTGTATTATACCCGTATACAAGGAGAAATACACGGATTTACCCGGCAAAAGCCCGTTTGGAGGTGTAAATTACTTACCCCACCTGACTTGAGCTGCTTCAGTTGAGCTTTGCGAACTCGGCGTCGCTCGTTTGGCGCTTGGCGTTTCTCCTCTTGTCAACTTCAAGATTTCCCATCCTCTGTACATTATTGCCAGTACATTCCCCGTTATCATGGTTCGCCTTTAATCAATCTCCCACCCCACTGCTGAATGCCCAGCCAAGCACATTGCATTAGTCTGTCCGCCCCAGAGGAGCAAAGGGCTGATCGGCCAGCAAATCTCTTTTGTCTCGACCATCTCTTTCCAGCCTGATTCATTCTTTGCCAACGCTCTTTTTGAACAACCAATCACCGTCATTCTATCCTTCCTAATCCCACTTTTCTTTTTCTTGCATTCAGGCGCCTTCTGCCAAAGTCGTTTTTGAGCGAGTTGGCGAATCGATTCGACGGTTCAATCGACCTGCGCGGGACATCCTCCTCTCGGATTTGGCCCGGCCCAGGACAGCTGGAGAGACTCTTAATTAACTAACCACCCTGGTATTTTATTATTAATAGCACTATTATTATCCTGATTGCGCGCCTCCAAGACTCTTGATTCTTGAACGAGAAGCGACCATGGACCCCAACGCTCCAGGCTATCCGATGCAGCACAACCCGGGCTACCCTGTCCCTTCCCAGGGCAATGTGCAGCAGTTCCCCTACTATCCGAACCAAATGTCCTTTTCTCAGTCGAATCCGCCCTCGCAGCCTTCTTTCGCTGCTGTGCCGCTGCAACCTGGTGGAGCTATGATGCCGTCAAGCTTTCCCCAGCAATCGCCTGGTACGTTGATTCCGTTGGTTTCTTTTTCCCCTGCTCTCGTTTCTTTTTCTCGTGTCTCCGATAACCCCTGTTGTCGCCTCCTCTCCGAGGGTTCACCTTAGAACAGCTGATGGAATCTGTGCTGCATACTCCGACCCTGTCATGCTTTCGTTATCAAGGTTATCTTTAAAGCAAGGACAAGCCGCTAACTGGGGTGTTGATCATCCTGCCTTGTAGGACCCCACGGCAATTTCTCGACTCCGAGTCCCTTTACCCAGCCACCCGTTACCGGCGCCTTTCCCCAGTCCGTCCCCTCGACTGCAAACACTCCCACGACGCAGGCGCAGTCCTTTCCTCAAAACATGGCTTCAAGTTCAGCAAAGAACATGGTCGCGTCCCAGCAACAGATACCTACCCAGCAGAGCGCGTCACAGAACGTGTCGCAGAACGCTCCGCAGTCGGCTCAATCCCAAGCGGCCACCGCGCGTGAAAAGGAACGCGTTTCGGTTCTTCTGGAAATAAACTCGATGTTGCTTCAGGAAGCTGTCAACCTACAATCCTCGGGCAAGGCGGGCGGTCCACCGGCCCAGGCAGCACAAGATTCAAACCCCTCGCCGACGTCGGAATCGAACGCGGACAAAAATGCTCAACGGAGCCCTGAATACATGAACTGCATGCGTCGCCTGCAAGTCAACTTGGCGTATCTGGCCACAGTTGCTGATAAGGGCAAAAAGGGAGGAGTGGTCCCTCCAGCGCCTGCTATCATGACTCCACCACCGAATCTACCGGCGATTGCTGAACTCTACACCAAACTCAACGAGTTGTTTCCGCGTGCTGCGAACACCGCGCAAGGGAACGGAGGGCCCAGCCCATCACCTACCGCTGAAAATGCTGTGTGAGCTAGCTGGGAGGACAACCTCGCCAACTCTGATCGACATTCAAAGCGATCTCCCTCACTGGATGGGAAATTAATGGACCTTTCACCACCTTGAGAGATTGTTGGACACTCGGCTTCAACAACTCCTCGACCCCACCACTTGGATGCGCCGCTCCCGGAGCACAGATTCGCGATAGCTGCCCACACCTGCAGACCGAAAGAGCCGGCGCTGGGTGTATCTTGCCATTTCCTGGGGTCTATTTCGGATATTCTGGGCCTGTTATTCTTGACAATAGCGCTTGGGGATACATCAGGAGCTTGACTACCTGTTGGCGTGGCTATGTGAATAACATAGAATATGTCTTCAATAGAACATCTAGAATTGTATATTATTAGTCACTGTTTGGGTATGATTGCAGGTGAGAAGTAGGGATGCCGACGCAATATAGGACCCTTGAAAATATCATAATCTTATAAATCTGTCCTGAAAAGAAAGGACATCCCGGAATGCCGGTCATCAGACTGACAGAGAGTGCATCAGGAGGAGGGTGGGAAGGCCCAATCAGTGCGGCCGATGAGGCTCTCCGCCTACACTGTCCAGGGTGGATCGCGTCGGCCTCCACAACCTTCACAAGGTTCGCAGTTCGCCTGACTTTTTTGTCAGCCTCGTTGTCCTCCTCAATTGCTCTTCTTTCGCTCGCTTCTCTCTGATTTTCCTCTGTCTCTTCCCCGGACTTTCTCTGGCCCTCTGTGAATGTATTGTTGGCCCGTAGCCAACAGAAGGTGCCTGAGTGTTGCTATTCCTTTCAGCTCTGTTATCGCCGCTGCTGCGCCTTCTGCCTCAACTGCGTCACTCCGTGCTTGGTCCTCCCCCCTTCATCGCTCTGCTTCGACTCATCCCATCTCAGCCTCTGCGACTCGAACTGCCGCGATCTCGACTCTAGTTTCGGGTCGCCGATCAAGAGCTCCTTGGTGCCCGACTCCGGTACTGTTGCGGTCGTCATCAGCTGCCGCTGGAATTTCCGAACCCTGTGTCACCAGTCGGACACCCAACCGGTCAATCCGGCCCCATCTGACGTCCCCGATCCTTCCTCCCAGACGTGGCATCGCCCACGCAGCTAGCACCAATATGAACGGAGAAGCAGGCGCAAAGCGCAAGCGCAACTCAATCACCGCCGGTGCGGAGCGGCCGGTCAAACAGCCGAAACCCGAAAATTCAACACTGACACCCGGCGATTCGACACCCGCCAACGGAACAGTCTACGATGTGGAGGATGAGGAGGATCTGGGCCCGTTGATGGCGATCGGGCCTACTCAGGCGGACTCGCCGGAATGGCAGGCTACCATCGAAGAGGTGGTGAAGAGCGTTGTCTCTATCCACTTCTGCCAGACTTGCTCTTTTGACACGGATTTGTCTATGAGCAGTCAAGCTACGGGATTTGTGGTTGATGCCGAGCGGGGATATATCCTTACCAATCGGCATGTCGTCTGTCCCGGACCGTTCTGGGGCTACGTTATTTTCGATAACCACGAAGAGGTAAGTGCCGATGCGTCGACGAGGAAAGCCATTCTAACAGAGTCGCTTGATTAGTGCGACGTTTACCCCGTATACCGAGACCCAGTGCACGATTTCGGTATTCTCAAATTCGACCCCAAAGCAATCCGTCACATGAAGCTCCGAGAACTCAAGCTTAAACCCGATGCTGCTCGCGTGGGATCGGAGATTCGAGTCGTTGGTAACGATGCAGGAGAGAAGCTGAGTATCCTCTCGGGTGTCATCAGTCGACTCGACCGGAACGCGCCCGAGTACGGCGAGGGGTACAGCGACTTCAACACCAATTACATCCAGGCGGCGGCTGCAGCTAGTGGTGGTAGCTCCGGCAGTCCTGTGGTTAATATTGACGGTCATGCAATCGCTCTGCAGGCGGGCGGTCGTGCAGATGGGGCAGCAACGGACTACTTCCTCCCGCTGGACCGACCACTGCGGGCATTGGAATGCATCCGCAAGGGCGAGCCTGTCACCAGAGGAACTATTCAAACACAGTGGATGCTCAAGCCGTTTGATGAATGCCGTCGACTAGGGCTGACGCCACAGTGGGAGACCGCGGTGCGCAAGGCCGCTCCTAATGAGACGAATATGCTGGTTGCCGAGATTATCCTTCCTGAGGGACCCGCCGACGGAAAGATTCTAGAAGGCGACGTGCTCCTGCAGGTCAATGGAGAGCTGCTGACCCAGTTTATCCGGCTTGACGACATTCTGGACACCAGCGTTGGGCAAACCGTGCGTTTGCTGGTGCAGAGAGGCGGTCAAGATGTGGAGGTTGAGTGTGAGGTGGGCGACCTGCATGCCATCACGCCCGATCGCTTTGTCACCGTGGCCGGCGCAACATTCCATAACCTGTCGTACCAACAAGCTCGGCTGTACGCCATTGCGACCAAAGGTGTTTACGTTTGCGAGGCGGCAGGCTCCTTCAAGCTTGAAAACACGCTTTCAGGATGGCTGATCGATTCGGTTGATAAACGAAAGACCAGGAATTTGGACGAGTTCGTCGAGGTGATGAAGACGATTCCTGACCGGTCTCGGGTTGTCATCTCTTATCGGCATATTCGCGATCTTCACACTCGGGGTACCAGCATTGTGTATATCGACCGACATTGGCACCCGAAAATGCGACTAGCGCTCCGCAATGACAATACGGGTCTCTGGGATTTCTCCGACCTGGCAGACCCTGTACCCGCCATCGCTCCCGTCCCAAGAAAGGCCGACTTTATCCAGCTGGATGGCGTGAGTCAACCGGCCGCGGCGGAAATTGTACGCAGCTTCGTACGCGTTTCTTGCACGATGCCTCTGAAGCTAGACGGATTTCCGCAAGCCAAGAAGACAGGATTTGGGCTGGTAATTGACGCTGAAAAGGGGTTGGTAGTCGTCTCGCGCGCGATTGTGCCGTACAACCTCTGTGACATCAACGTGACCGTGGCCGATTCGATTATTGTCGCTGCCAAGGTCGTCTTCCTCCACCCGCTGCAAAACTACTGCATTATTCAGTACGATCCATCTTTAGTTCAGGCTCCGGTTCAAAGCGCGAAGCTTAGCACGGACTTCATCAAGCAAGGACAGGATACTATCTTTGTTGGGTTCAACCAGAACTTCCGCATTGTGGTGGCCAAGACCGCGGTCACGGATATCACGACGGTTTCCATCCCGGCCAACGCCTCTGCCCCGCGGTACCGCGCGATCAACTTGGATGCTGTGACGGTGGATACGGGCCTGAGCGGACAGTGTTCAAATGGTGTATTGGTTGGTGAGGACGGCGTTGTCCAAGCGCTGTGGCTGAATTACCTCGGTGAGCGCACGCCAAGCTCGCACAAGGACGTCGAGTATCACCTCGGATTCGCAACGCCATCGCTGCTGCCAGTTGTTCGCAAAATTCAAGAGGGAGTCTTGCCAAAACTGCGGATCCTCAACATGGAGAGCTACGTGGTGCAGATGAGCCAGGCCCGCATTATGGGTGTGTCTGAAGAGTGGATTGAAAAGGTGGCCAAGGCCAACCCAGCCCGGCATCAGCTGTTCATGGTGCGCAAGGTTGACTGCCCGCCGCCAGAGTTTGACTCGGCGGCCGACAGCTTCCAGGAGGGTGATATCATTTTGACGCTCAATGGCCAGCTGATCACGCGGGTGTCTGAGCTGGACATTATGTATGAAGAGGAAGCCCTCGAAGCGCTGATTGTACGAAATGGTGAAGAGATGATGATCAAGGTGCCGACTGTGTCGACGGAGGATCTGGAGACAGATCGGGCAGTCGTGTTCTGCGGCGCTGTGTTGCAGAAGCCTCACCATGCGGTACGCCAGCAGATTTCCAAGCTGTATAGCGAAATCTATGTTAGCGCAAGGGTGCGTTTATCCTATATATTCCCCCCTTGGTACATGCTAATGAGAGCAGAGTCGCGGGTCTCCCGCATCCCAATACGGCTTGTCGCCGACCAACTTCATCACAGCGGTCAATGGCGTCCCAACGCCGGACCTCACCCGATTCGTGGAGGAAGTTAAGAAGATCCCCGACAACACATACTTCCGATTGCGGGCGGTGACATTCGACAACGTTCCGTGGGTGGTTACCATGAAGAAGAACGATCACTACGTATGATTCCATCCATTTATCTTCTCAATTATCAACTAACGAGATAGTTCCCCATGTCCGAATACGTCAAAGACGACTCCAAGCCCCTGGGCTGGGACTCGATTTCACACGATCAGAAACATAAAGACGGTGTCGCGCCCGACGTGGCAAACCTCAACCCCGACGCGATGGACGAGGGCTTTGAAGGCGCGAGCGAGATAGAGCCGGAAGCTGTATAATAGATTCACCACATAGCACAGGACCGAGACTGTGCACATTACATGGCATATATACAAGATACATCTCGGGCATATATCACACCTTGAATTGGACCCACAAAAAGCAGACCATCCTCGAGAGGCAGGAACCTCATGAACCTTCTAGGCAATTTTGCACTAAATCACCTGTACCTCGTCTTCTCTAACCCTTTCAAAGCCCAACTCGTTCTCGTCAGAGTCACTAGGTGCGTTCGTACTAACTCAAAGCTCTACCTCTCCTGATACCACTGATTGATCGAGACGGGTCTTGAAAGTTTCTTCCGATAACTGGTCAGGCTGACCGCAATGTTTGCCACGCGTGTAAAGACATGTTAACATGGCCTGGTGCGGTTAGGGCATGGCACCCACACTTCGCTTTCACCGGCCGCCGCCTTACAGGACGCCTTTCGAGGCCAGCGGCCGACAACTAGCGACCGGCATAAGCCAGAAAGTGCGAAAGCATGTTTATTTCTCTTGCTTACCACAGGCCTGCGAAGAGGAACGCCCTAAGCCACTTCTGCACCAATAGGAGGTCGGCTGCGGACATACCGGACTCTGGCGCATAGCGCGACCCTGGCTCCATGGTGTCGCTGCTTACCCATCTGGCGTGCGCTAGATTAAAGCTCAAAACTGTTCCGGGGAGCTTCCAATCAATCTGTAGTTCCAGGGCAGCTGGACTGATAGTAGCCTCGGAAGTAAGCGCGGAACAGCGCGGAATCATTCCACTGGAATCTGACACTTGTTATAAAGGTCCGCTGCCCCTCTGCGCTATATTGCCATTGTCAGAGTCGGAAATAGTTCAACTTGAAACGCCAACATGTCGTCTGACCTCCTCTCTTCCCTCCCTACTCAGCTGTTTATAAACAACCAGGTACGGCGCCTTTCCCAACACCGTTCAATTTCGATACCTAGTTATCGATGCAGCACACTAACACCATGAAACACAGTATGTCGACAGCACATCCTCTGCCCGTCTCTCTCTTGTGAACCCGTACGACGGCTCGCCCATCCCCCACGCCGCCCACATCGCCTCGAAAGAAGACGTCGACACCGCCGTCGCAGACGCCACAACCGCCTTCAAGACCACCTGGGGGAAGCTCGCCCCCTCCGAGCGCGCAAAATGCATGCTCCGCTTTGCGGATCTCGTCGAACAAAATGCGGACCGTCTCGCGACCCTCGAATCCCTGCCCACGGGGAAGCCCGTCTCTCCGACCAAGGGGTTTGAGATTGCGCATATGGTTGAGGTTTATCGATGTATGCCGCCCCTGATCTATAGCTGAATCCTCTACTCTTATTTTATAGGAGAAACAAAATGCTGAGAATAACTAGACTACGCTGGCTGGACCGACAAACTCGCCGGCGAATCGTACCCCGAATCCAACGGAACCTACAAAATCGTCCGCCACGAGCCCCTCGGCGTCTGCGCGGGGATCGGCTCCTGGAACGCGACGTTCATGTACATCGGGTGGAAGATTGCGCCGGCCCTCGCGGCGGGCAACTGCTTCATTTACAAGCCGTCTGAAAAGTCACCCTTTGGCGCCCTTGCGCTCGGTGAGCTCTATGCGCAGGCCGGATTCCCGCCGGGCACGGTGCAGATTCTGAACGGGGCATCGGAGACCGGGGCTGCGCTTGCGGGGCATTTGGGGATCAGGAAGATTAGTTTCACGGGATCAATTGGCGGGGGCAGGGCCGTGCAGGATGCGGCGACGAGGAGTAATCTGAAGAAGGTTACGCTGGAGCTTGGGGGGAAGAGTCCGGCGATTGTCTTTGGGGATGTGGATTTTGAGAGGGCGGTTGGGGGGTGAGTCTGATCCCGTCTCTTTATTCCTTACTCTGTGGCAGTGGAGCGTATGCTGACGAGAGCAGTGTCTGCGGCTTCCTGTTTAACTCGGGCCAGGTCTGTGTCGGTGAGTCTTTCATACATTGCACACTCACAGTACCCACAGCCACATACTCACATGCCATCCAGCAACAAGCCGCGTCCTGGTCCAAAAGCCCATCGCCGAGAAATTCATCGAAGCCCTCAAAACGGCCTTTGCCGCAACAGAAGCGGCCCTGGGTTCCGACCCGCTTGACCCAGCTACCTCGTTCGGGCCCATCGTCGACAAGCTTCAATTCGACAAGATCATGTCCTACATCGAGATCGGCAAGAAGACTGCAACCCTCGTCACTGGTGGCGAACAAAAGGGCGACAAGGGGTTCTTCATCAAGCCGACTATCTTCCTGAATCCGGACCCCGAGAGCCCGATTGTCCGCGAGGAGATCTTCGGACCCGTTATGTGTATACAGACGTTTGAGACGGAGGAGGAGGTTGTTGCGTTGGCGAATGGGACGGAGTATGGACTTGCTGGTGCGTCCCCTTTCCACTTTCCCATCCCCTTCGGCACCCTGTGTTTTGGATTAGTCAAAGAGGTACTGGTAAGCTAAAGTGTACATGCAGCATCAATCTACACCTCCAACATCGACCGCGCCCTGCGCGTGTCAAGTCAGCTTGAGTGCGGTGGCGTCGCCGTCAACTCGCCGTTCCTACCGGATGTGAACACTGCGTTTGGAGGGATCAAGGCGAGTGGGCAGGGACGGGAGCTGGGCAAGTATGCGCTGCTAGAGTATACGGAGCCGAAGAGTGTGCATATCAAGTGAGTTCAAGTTTTCTTTTTGTGTTCTTTTATGGTTGAGGTCATTTGCGGATGAGGAGCTAACGCGTGTACCTAGGTTGGATATGGGGTCGAAGTTGTAGACCTGGATTTGTGAATAGGATTAGTGATATTGGATGCATAACTAATCAGAAGCAATTAAATGGGATATTTCAAGCCACTCCTTCACTAGCTTGTGCACGTATTTTCTTGAACCGAGGTGCTTGAAGTGTTGATGCAGGAACAAGACTCCAGCTGCAACCTGCAGACACATGCTTGATATACATGCATAAAACACTCGCATACTTCAAGCTCCCTCCCTCTATCCCGACCCCAAATCTAGTCTGTTTCAAACACCCTATATACCGAACTCCCTTAATGCCGGCCAAGCGGGGAAAAGCCGAAGATATACTTTCTGTCGCCCCACAAAAAGCGCCCTGATCGCGGCTCCAACTGAGGGGAAACACAACCTTCGCAAAAAAGAGTCGCAACTCCTCTCGTCTTTCTCAATCCCCCCCCTAAACCCTGATTCGAGGGAGATTGAATCGCAATGCCCCCCACAAAAGCAATTGTCGCCCGCGAGCCGCGCTTCAGCGCCCTCTCCTGGGCCCTCGAGCCCGTGCACGTCGCCGACACGCCGGGCCCCGATGAAGTTCTCGTGGAGATGGTCGCCTCGGGCGTCTGCCACACCGACATTGTCCTCTCGGCTGTGCCCAACGGGACGTTTGGGATTAGTTATCCAAAGGTTATGGGGCATGAGGGTAGAACTGTCCTTTCTTTTCGTCATTTTGTTGGCTTTATAATCGTCGTTTTGCGCTTTGTTTTGGAGGCTGTCGCCGGGGAGGGTGTTACTGATACTGATATCGATATGTTGTGATCTAGGATCTGGATATATCCGCAGAATCGGAGAGAATGTCACGGGTCTCAGCGAAGGCGACCCCGTCCTCCTCTCCTTCTACTCCTGCGGCGAATGCGAGCAGTGCGCGGAGAGACACCCGGCCTACTGCCACGAGTTTGCGGGGGAGAACTACATTGGACGAAGGGGAGCTGTTACTAGCGCTACATCAGAAGAGGGAGAAGACTCCAGGAAAGGCAGGGAGGAAATCTACTCGCGCTTCTTTGGCCAATCGAGTTTCTCACGGTACAGCATCGTGGACAAAGCCTGTGTTGTCAACGCCAAACACCTTGTGAACAGCGAAGAGGAGCTGTCTCTATTTGCGCCCCTGGGCTGCGGGTTCCAGACGGGGATGGGCGCCATTGAGAATATTGCGCGGCCGACCGAGTGCGATGTTGTTGTTGTATTGGGGCTGGGGAGCGTGGGGTTGGCTGCTTTGATGGTACAGTATCTTCCCTCAATCACTACATCTACTCTCTGCCTCCTATGGCACACAATTGCACTATAAACGCATACTGACAGCAAGCAAGACCACCCAAATAACCCCGCACAAAGCCACAATCGGCATCGACCGCATCGCCTCGCGGCTGCAACTCGCAACAGAGCTCGGCGCAACACACGTCATCGACACCTCGCCCGACGACGTCATCCTGCACAAGGTGATTCTATCCCTGTACCCGAACGGCGTCTCCGTTGTCATCGATACGACGGGGTCACCTGCGATGATCGAGGACGGTCTTAAGGCGCTGAGGCAGCGGGGGAAACTCGTTCTTATTGGTGTCCCGCCGATGCAGTATGAGTTGGGAGTTAGTGCGATTAAGCATATGAACGTATGTTTTGGATCCCATCCTTCGGATGGAGACGAAGGAGAGGGAGAGAAATAGGGTTGCTGACGTTTTGCTCTAGGCGGGGAGGTCCATTATCGGGTGTATCGAGGGTGACTGTGTTCCGAAGGAGGTACGTACTGACTGATCCGTTCCCATCCCTCCGAATCGAAATTCCTGCTGGAGATCGATTGATGGTGAACGTACATGCGAATCTAATCCATGCAGGCGGTTGAAAAATTGATCCGGTGGTACCGCGAGGGCAAATTCCCAATCGACAAGCTGGTTACGTATTTCGAGGTGCGTAATGCGTTCTCCAGTCAGGCTATTCAGCGAGGGCGACCAAGCTAACAGACACTCCGTATAGGCGCGCGACTTCGAGGACGCACTCGCTGGGCTGGACGACGGATCTGTGGTCAAGGCGGTCCTCAAGTGGAAGGATGTTTAGGTTGCGCAAGGAAATAAACAAATTCAAGTACATGTACATCATTTCTATCGTGCAATCATCTTCCAGCATTGCACAGGCACACGCACCTTTATCGGATACGTTGTATCTCGGATAGAACATTGAAGGTACTTGTTATCAAGGAAGAACAGGTACGGATCTCCACTAGATATAGGCTACGCGACGGGTGCTGTCGAGGAAGGAACGAAGGGCGGTAGATGACCTCCCATCTCACTCAGAACCTCTCTGACCTTCAACAAGCCCCATATATCAGGTACGATGGCGGTCCAACCGACGGGTCTCGCTTTATCGCTCCTCGAAATATAGTCAAGAGGACAAACGCTTCAAGAGCATGCTCGCCTGCATGTTGAGGAAAGAAGAAGGATTACATTAAGTACCTCTATACTGCACGTGTTGTCGACGCTGAGACTGACTACCATCGGATAATATCATTGAGACACAGAACCAAGGCCTTGGAGAATACGATTGCCAATAATCTGGGGCTCCTGCGAGACGAAGAGAAGTCCCAGTAGCTACTCTCTATAACAATCAACCAACCACTTCACCATTCATATATCTAACACATTCTTCACCACCACTAAGGCTTCTCCGAACAGCAGTCTCAATTTCCATCTACTCATCATCGCGGATATCGACGACCGTCTCCTTCCACTTGCGAGCGGGGACCTTACGCTTGAAGAGAATGTCAATCTCACGGAAGGACCGGTCCTTCATCTCAGGGATCCAGAGCCAAGACATGGCCGTGCAGATAAACGCGGTGCCAGCCCAGACGTAGCCGCTCTTGCCGCCCAGGTCCCACTTGTCCGTGTTGAGCATGTAGCTCGACAGGAAGATGCAGGGGATGTTGACTATGTAGTAGGCGCCGCGTCCGATACCGGTTGTCAACGGTCTGAGACGGACGGAGGATGTCTCGCCGATGATGACCCACGAGGCGGGGGCGGGTCCCAGGCAGAAGAGGACGGAGACGATCAGGCCGAGGGAGGCTTGGGCGTTGCTGGCTGCCTTGCTACTGCCGACGGAAGCCGCGATACCGAGGACAATCAGGAAGCCGCAGTTGATGAGTTGGCCGTAGACGTAGATGGTGCGTCGGCCAACGTATGTGGTGAGGATCCAAGAGAGCATGACGAAGACGGCCTGGAGCGCAGAGGTGATGAGACCGAGTGCGAATGCGGTATCGGGTGCCATCCCGGCCTCTGAGATGGGGTCAGTCTGGCTGCGACAAGGCTGCAGGAAATGAAATGGACTCACGTTTGAAGAAGTAAACCGCCTGGTTGGCAATCAGATTGCCCGTCAGGTTCTGAGATGCGTACACACCGCACACAATCAAGGTGCGGTAGCGGTCGGTACCTTTCCACAGTTCAATGAGATTGGGCTTCTTCTCCGTCGCCTCGAGCTCAATCGTGCGACGCATCATTGCGACTGCGTCGGCGGGGTTATCAGTTGCACTCGCGCGGCCAAGGCGCTGGACAGCCTTCTCGGCCTCAGCCAGACGGCCCTTTCGTACGAGCCACCAGGGCGATTCGGGCGCAATGAAGATTAGGATCGCGAGAGGAGTAGGGAACATCCACTGGAGGGCAATGGGCATCCTGTGGGATGACTGTTAGTACAGTGCCCCTCAATGGCAGCGTCTAGGAGAGCGGAGCGGACAAACCTGTACGCGTCGGGGTGATCCTTGGATTGATAGTGGTAAGTAATACCACCGACAATGATGGACCCGATCGCCCAGAACATTTGCAGCATCTGCGTCGCTGGAGCTCTCAATCTCATGGGCACAATCTCGGCACAGTAGGCGGGGGCATTGGCGATGAAAATGCCCCACGGGATTCCCTCGAGGATCTGCGAGGCGAAAAACATGCCCTGGCTGTTGCCGAAATAGAAGATGAAGATGAAGGCGTTCAATGCCATGAGACCGCCAATGGTTGCCCATCGATATCCAATCCAGCTGGTGATGGGACCTGCGACAAAGACACCAATAAAGGCACCGAGTGGCCCGCTGCACTGGAATGCCGACTGCCATGAAGCTTCGATAATATAATCGCCTGTGTGGCTCTTGACGCCAAAATCCTTGGCGAATCTTTCTGTTGCTATGAACTGTCCCATCAAGAAAACACAGTATGACTCCATGATCTATCGCACCGCAAGGTTAGAGAGATGACCATGATCTGCCTCGGATCGTGGGCAAGAGCTTACAATGGTGCACGACATGACAAAAGCCCACCAACTGGCAGCGGGATAGGCCTTGACAGCCTCGAGCACGGTCATGGAATGTTCGACCCTCTCGGCCTCAATGGCGCCCGCTCGGTCGTAGTCGACCTTTTCACCGGCATCGTAGATGGGTTCGCCCTTGGCGGCCTCGACCTCGGACGCCGAGGTCTGCTTCTCCGTGTTGTCGCTAGTCATGTTGGCTGCCGATTTCTGAGAAGAAACAGGTGAGTGAAAGAGAGGCAGGCACGACTGGGGGGTGGGGTTCAGATCTTTATAACCGGCAGGAAACACGCTTGCGACAGGATAATTGAGATTAGGGGGCAGCTCGGTCGATTATGCAGCTACGGCTAAAAAAGAAAGCTTGATCGCAAGCGATGGGCTGGTGGCGAGACGAATGCGACGCTGCGACCGTGGCGCCCGGAGAAATGACCCCAAAGGGCGGGGATGTCGGGTTGAGGAGGTAAGCTGCGGGCAAAGACACGGCAGATCTGGAGTAGGCTTCACTCGATTGAGCTGGCATTCCGGAGTAGTCGGGGGGAGATGGCCCGGTCCCAGACACCCATATCGGCCCATAATTCCCCGGAGTGCACTTGCGGGGGCCAATGGCCTCTGGGGGTTCCCTCCCTCGGTTAATTCCAAGACTCGTAATCATGATTAATATTACTCACTGATATAGTGGTAAGACACCAACTAACTTGCTTTTGAAAGTTGGACTGATCCTTTGCCATCTGCAGCCAATGACTTTGAAGCATGTGAGGTCTCATTCCAGTCAGTTCGACTCAATCCGAGTCTGGCTCCATATTTAATCCACCAACCGAGGGACGTTTTGCTGCCTCGGTTAATCCCGAGACGGACCAGTCCCATCAGGGTATTTCCCCGCAAGTGTCACTCGGTTAATTCGTTGATTCCCCAGTGTGCACTGCTGGGCCGGCCCGGCCGGGGTAAACAAGGGCGAATAATGAATGGCCACCACCGTCTTCCATGCGTCTTCTCCGCTTCCTCTTCCTCTGGTCTCACTTTCCTGGAGACCCCGGCGCAAGCAGCTGAGAAGTATTAGTCGAATCTGTCAAATATCAAGGTAACACCTGCCAAATCAAATCCTGTTGGCAAGGGAGCCACTGGTCATCTGACTGAGACGTATAGGTCTGTCCATCCCGACCTCAAAAGCATTTCTGAATAAAGTGTCTATCCTCGCCGTTGATATTGCTCGAGTTGAATGGAGTGCATGGGGTCGTCCATGGCATTGGGCGACCAACAGGTGATTGCTGGGTGGCTCGAATGAGTTTCAACTGGCCGCGGTAAGATTTCTCCACGTTGAACATCAGCCTGTCATGCACAAGCTCGGTATAATAAGCCTGCAACTGGCTGAACCTTGGATTGATAGTGCGTGGGTTCGAACTTCGATTGGCATTCTGGAATCTGCTCATGTCACAGAACCGGAACCCACGCTTGCGGGCGACTCGCGACTCGCAACAACGGGCGGAGAGTCTCCGAAAGCCTTTTTTTGGCGTACGCAGTTGTCTCGGCGCTGACCATCCCGAGTCGTGGTCGGCACCGTACTCGTGAAACTGCAAGGAAAAAGCGGTCCAAGGGCCGTGTTCTATTGGGCAAGGTAAACCGCCCCAGTATCCTGGGATGTAGATAGGTGCCGACTATATATTCCGAGGTCTCATCTCTGAACGGCTTAAAGACGACGCCTTTCATTATTTCCCGCTTGCCTCTCCTTCTTTTTTTTGGCTCCCAAGAGGCTGGAGTCCATGAAATCGGTTCACCCTGTTCAACCATCCGCGAACTTGAGACCAGGAATTCCTCAAGAAATAATTAACCGTAGCTGGGAAGGAGAGATCTCGAGCTTCCTCAAAGAGACCAGTGGCCACTGAACATGGCCGCTCAGCACTAAAAATGGCCCACTAACCAATTCAAGTTAGTCAACAGTAGGCGTTTCATTTGTCTCGCCAGTCGCGCCCGTCAGGGTCAAAGCCGTCGCCCACCTTGGTTGGTGACTTTCTTTTCTTCTGGCAAAGAAGCCTTGGAGGCGTTTCCACCTTGAGTTGGGACGCTGCGCATCCGATCATTTCTCCCGAGGTCCCTTCTGTCCACTCTTGCTACTCACGAATCAGTAGTCCCTGTTTGTGATCATCATAAGAAGCATCCTCGGGCATTTTTGCCATCGCAAAAAAAAAAAAAAAGTTGGGGGGGGGGGGAATAAAAACTGTCTGGTGTGTCTCTAGCAACTACAACCCCGGTTATTGTTTGCGTGGTTTGGACTCATGACCACACCACGCCTTGAACCCGCCAAAGCACCGAGTAGAAAACGTATCGATCCAAGGGGCAGGCTGTTTGAAAAGTAGCAGAGATATACAGGGAAGGGAGAAATCGAGAGACCAGGTATCCTTAAATACAATATACTCACAGAGAATGCGTATGCGTATACGGCTGCCCAGCGTGGGGTTCCGCCTCCAACTCCTGTTTTTGGGTCGAATATCCAAGTATCACGAACAGAGTGAGGTGAGAGGGAGGTAGCACTTTCCTCTTAACGGTATATCGGCCAAATCAGGATAACCTCAACACCTTGATTGGATAGCTCTTGCGCTGCTGCTCTCATTACTCTGTCGACATCCATGTTCCTTGGATTCATAATTTTATGCACCAGTAGACCTTTAGCGGCCTCGAGCTCTGCACGCATGGCATGTAGGGCGCAAATCCGATTTCGCAGCAAGTCTCAGCTTCATCAACAACAACCCTCAGCATATCCTCCCAATCTCAGAGCATCTCCATTATAATCGATCAAGTTCGCTCCAGCCAATGACCTTGCATACGAAAACCAAGCATAGGCGTTCCTGACTTACGCGGGCGGGCCTCCAACAGAGCTATAGCTTGATCCAGAGTCAATCTGTTGCGGGGTAGACTGTAGATTCATGGTCGAGCAAAGTGGCTCCTGTTCGCTATTAAATTGTCCGCGGCCCAATCGAAATAGGCAGGCCCTGCGTTAATCCAGATTAGACGACTTGCAGTCTTCTCCAGATGAGAGATATCAAGGTGACAGCCTTGTGAAACAAATGAAAACCAACCAATCCCAGAACTATTGTATATATACATTCATGCCCCGAGAACAGAAACCAGCGCCATCAAACACCAAACACCAAACACGCCTTCACACATGTCTCCCCAGTCCCAATTCAACTGGAAATCAATCATCAACCGGAAACGCAACATCATTCCCCACATTCTCCGTTACCGCAAGCCCCTCCCCACCCAGACACCAACAAGTCCCCGGCGTCTGCGTGCCCGTCCCGGCAACATTATACGTCGCACCAACGTCCGTGCGGTCCTGGAAGTAGTTCATCGTGTTGCAGAGGGCAAGGCACTCGTCAAAGGAATCCACGACGATCGAGGATAGTGTGATTTTGCCGCTGCCGCCGATGTCCGAGTCGCAGTGGATCCGGTAGCGGATTGAGCCGAGGGAGGGGGCTGTTATGGTGTTGTTTGCGCTGGGGCAGGGGGAGGAGGGGGACGATGTTGAGGATGGGGACGAGATTGTGCGGGTTACTGTTGTTGTGTATGTTTCTGCCCCTGCTTCGTTCGAGGAAGGTGTTGTTGCGGACGGCGATGGCGAGGAGGTAGAGTCCGAGTTTGAGTCTGGATCTTGGGACGCCGACGTCGCAGAGGACGCTGCATCCGAAGCTTTCCACGCCGTCCAGGGTCAGCACGCAACATCTCCAACCCAACTCAGTACTCCTTGATGTATCTCACCATGCCCGCGACTCAATCCAACCCCCAATCCCACCGCGAGTCCGATAACAGCAAGACCCAAGATTCCCACGGCAATGAACAGCCATAAATTGACTCTTCGCTTCTCCGGAACAGGCACCGGCTTCTCCAACTGTGGTACAGGCTGCACTGCGTAGGTGACGTCATGCGGCGGGTGGTAGACGGCTTCAAGACCCGGCTGGAAGGAGTGGTTCCGGTTCGTGACCTCCTTGAAGGAGTCGGTGGTTATTGTTTGTGTTGAGGTCATTGCGACAATGTTGTAATAGGAGAAGACGAGGGGCAGAAGGGGAGAGAAGAGAAGGAAAGAGAGAACAGAGGGAAATGGGCTTTCGGCGGTTACTCAGTGTATGCATGGTGGCACATTGCTTCACTAACCGCCAGTTCCCTTCTCTCCGCCAATGTGTTACACGGCTTGGCTTCTGGACTCCAGCAAAATAATAACGAACCTCTTTATCTCGGATAGGCCGCGGTATGTTGTGAAACAGGGACCGTGGTGTTGCCATTGGTGGCGGTGGCTGCTAAGCGCCGGCCAACAGCGGGATGCGGATCTCGTTGGATAGCCTCATGTAGCCTATTTTTGGACTGGGCGATCTGAGTCTTGGCGGCGATACGCGCTGCTTTTTCGAACCTGTCTCATGGATTTAAAGGTAAAAAAGAAAAACTACCGCGCCTGTTGAGGGAGGACTGGGGAAAGATCCTGTCCCTCACCTCCAACACTTCTGCCTCCTTCGACGGTAACCCTAAACAGCCTCGAAGGGCAAGCACAATAAGCTGAGTGTACTTTTCAGTCCCGACCAAAATTGGTCAGCTCACTGACACTCGTTCCTAAACAGAGTTCATCCTTTGGCCGGGATGGTGCGATCCAGCGGGTTGTTCCTGCCTCCTAGACCTGCTCGTGGTCGTTTCCCCGATCGCGCCTTCCCAATCTATACCCCTCTCCGCACGAGACGAGAACTGATCAATACCTAGGTAGCTCCCTCGTAATGCCGAGCTGAGCCGCAATCAATTCTACGTACCTACACCGTGCCCCGGTGTGATATCTGCAAGTTACAAGGAAAGTGCGACTGGGGTTGCTCCTTGCTGCTCAGGAGAGTATCGTGCATCGTGCCTTCCTAAGCAATATTGCTCTCCATCAGGAAGGTGCCGCGTCGGTCTCACCTGCCCCATTTTAAGAGTTTCTATACAGCAACGGGCAAGGAAGGTGCGAAGCCTGGAGGAACGCAAGGTCGCTCCTTCCAAGTATGGGGCCTGCATTCGAACAGCGGAGGAGTTTAACAACACTGGAAAACACATTCTCGGGTCTAACTAGCTCTGCGGAGCAATCGACTCGGAAAATGGCTAAGTGAGAGAGAGCCCTTGACTGATGATCGGCTTGTATTGTGAGGCTCTATCAGTCTTCGAATCAAGCCCCTTTGGTTGTGCTTTTCGTTTTGTGGTGACAGTGGCAAGGCCTCTTCATAGTCAATAACCCTATCACACCCTGCTAGGACTCGTAGTAATCACATTCATACTAGCCACAAGGACACTGTCCAAATGCTGTATGCTCTATACCCCGTCAAAATGTCCTGCTCTTTTAGCGGCGGTGTCCCAGGGTGGCCATCCGCTATGGATAGGTCATTGGAATCCTTAGCAGTGCACGAACAGGCACTGGTAATTGTCATTATGTTTCGCTTCAGTCTCGGGATATCGCTCTACCGAGGGTAGGCCACACTACTCCGGATATTGTGGGACTGAATAATCTGCCAGTGCCAACCACGGCGGCGCTGCATATTTTGGATCTGTACTATAGATAGCTTGGGATGTGATGGTATACTATCCTACTCTCGAGCAATAGAAACTAAGCTACGAAGCCAAGTCAAGCTGCCAAACGCATAGTCTCTCAAAGCTACCTGGTCCGAAACGTAATTATACTCGAGAATCGGCGGCGGAGAAGGAGTTTGAGAGGGAGGGGGCGGATCCGAGCAGGAGGCAGAGTTGGCTTTGGCGAGTATGTTCTCCAAGGGGCCGACTTCTCGGTCAAAGCCGCACACCGTCAAATCCTTGGTACATATCCTTCCTCCTAGATCCTCGCACCGGGCATATCTGTATTAGAGATGAAACAGTGTCTTCGGCTCTCCGACGATGAGCATTAGGCTAAACTGAGCGCAAGAAGACGTGAAACATGCCGAGAGAACCTAGAAGGATTCATGTTTGAGAGAACAGTGGCAGTTTTGTGACGCGGAAAAGTATACTCCTAGCGGTAGAACTGTAAGATAGCAGAGTGTATGAGCCTGTGCAGACTATTAGGTGTCACATTTGATTTCGAATCTCTTGCCTTTGCTGTGTGAATATAGAACAGGGTTATGTCTACGTACTCCGTACTCAGGCCTGTGGTCCCAACTTTCTCCACTGGCAGATCTGCATCAGATCTACCCGCACGGTAATAGATATCCAGGAGCATATGGAAGCTTTGCCTCAAGAGCATGGATACAGCCAAAACACCTTGAGCCCTTTCGGGATGTGGACTAGAGCAGAGTCGGCATACTTTTCGGCATCCCTGGATTGGCAACCTAGGTGGTGAGCAAGATGGACTATGGACCAGCCAAGTAAGAGGCATAATAGCACAGGTGAGTATAGAGAGAAGGGGCGACCTGCATTATACCTTCCTCGCTGTACTGAAAAACCAGTTTGAGGAAGTATTATCCAGTACCATGGACCCGTCGTGGACGCGCCGTAGGAATGCATCCTTGGATGACATATCCACAAGAACAGCCTTGATATAAACAGCAGGCTTATACCCGCAAGGTAAAACTTTTCCAAACCTTGAATGCACTAGAATCCGGTTGCGGGATTCGGCCCTGGCGAGGCGCCAAGGTCGTTACGTCAATGAGTCTTGGTGCTGGTGCTATCGGATATGATTCGGCACCGCTCATGGAGTAGGTATGGCACAGATCTTCAGCAGATTAAGGTGCGAGACTACCGGGGACTCAAGGAATCTCTCGGCCATTAACAATCTAGCTAATGAGGTGCTCACCACCTATGCCCGGTCTCAAGATCGAACAGAAGTATCAGGCCACCTTCCATATGACTCCAAACGAGCGAAACATTCATATAATGCGGACAAATTCCTGGAGCACCATCGTTTCAGAGTTGGGTGATCTATACCAACAAACTCTCGATTTTGATAATCATCAGATTAAATGGCTGCAGAGTGCTCAAGGACCGATCCTATGGCTATTTGAAGAGGATCATTTAGTGACAATCCTGACTTTCCCTCCGAAAAGTATCGAAAGCGACTGATCCTCTGCTGTGACGGCACATGGAACGACAGTATCAGCACGGATTCCCCTCTCACGAATGTCTCTCGCATCACACGATGTATCCCTGCAGTTGGCGATTCCGGTATACCGCAGATAGTGTTGTACTATAGCGGCGTTGGCTCAGGCACATCAAAACTCGGCAGAGTGGTTGACGGGATGACTGGGAGAGGTTTGTGTCTATTTCAGTCCTGAGTTACGCCCCTTGCTTGATTTGAGAATTGAGCTAATATTGCAACTACTTATGTCTAGGCATATCTGCAATCGTCCGTGACGCATACACGTTCATCTGCCATAATTACTTGGGTGAACAGGACGAGATAATCCTGATAGGATTCTCAAGAGGTGCATTCGCTGTGCGATGTGTAGCAGCCTTCATTACGGAGATTGGCCTGCTTCGCAAAACAGGACTGAACTACCTCACCAAACTGTACAGACTGTGGTCCAAGCAGCGAAAAATGGACTTACCGCCCGAGGAAATCTTCACGATCTCGGCTTCGCGGCCCAGCAAAGAGATTTCCCATACCTCCTCGTTAGCATCGTTGAGGGCGGAGACCTCGAGAGCGGAATCCTTGGAATCCCTGCAGAGACGCCTATGCAAGGATGGCAGGCTTCACAAAGATGTCCGTATTAAGGTCTGCGCAGTGTGGGATACTGTGGGTTCTCTGGGCCTTCCCATGCCAGGCCCTATACCGCAGAAAACGTCCAAAACGTTATGTTTTGTGGATTCAACTTTGCCTGAAAAGATCGAATTTGCTATCCAAGCGCTTGCTTTGAACGAGCGCCGCAAGCACTTCCAACCAACTATCTGGCAGGATAATGGGGTCACTGAACTCAAGCAGTGCTGGTTCTTGGGGGCTCATAGCAATGTTGGTGGCGGGTATGAAGATACCGGACTTGCGAACCTCGCATTAGTCTGGTTTATAGCTCAACTGGAGAAATATATATGCTTCGACCACACGGCGTTGCTTCAGATGAGTTCTTCTCATCGGACTGTGGGGGAGAGTGTGGCCATAAAAGAGTTCAGAACATCCAGTATAAAATCAGCTGTTGGTCCGGCTTCTTTGGGCCATCCAAGCGCCAATGCGTCTGCCTCGGACTATCCAAGTCCTGAGCCAACTAGGATGCAAAGGGCGAAAGATTCGCTGAAAACCGTCAACAGTCGTGTCATTCTAGTCTGTTGACTAAGCTCGCACGCAGGTACAATCATAAATTCTCTCCGGGGTCCGTACTGGTTTGGTGGATTGAAACGGCGAAAACCTGGGCAGTATCTCATGAATACTCGCGGGCTGTATCGCAATAGCAAAGCTGCTCCGACGCCAACCAACGAATATATCCACTGGACGGTCCGGAAGTTGTACGACAAACATCCCTGGCATTGTCAGGCCCTGAAGGATTATCCGATGAGTTTCGACAATTTCGGCAGAGCGTCATGGAATCTCCGCTCAAAGGGTGCTGAGACTGCCATCCGGCTGCCCGAGGAATCGCCCTGCAAGCTGGAGCAGGATTTATTGCTCTCATGGATGAAAGAAGAGATGGGAGTAGAGAAGCGAAACAAAGGGGAGAATGCAAGCCGTTCATCTACTACGGACGCAGAGACGTGGCCTCTCTTTGATATTCTAGAGCCGTACCTGAAAAGTCTGCAACAACCTTTATAATATCGTCCTGGACAGGCTTCTACGGGTGGAGGAAATGCACTGTTGGAGACAACGGCCAGTTTTGTTGTTTTTATATCTGATAGTGACATATGAGGGACTCATCTAAATTATGTCCTGACATTCCATCTCCAGCTTTTCCTTGATAGTCACCTTCGCACTCTTGATGCTGTAGAGCAGAACATTTCTTTTATTCATGTCCGGTCCCAGCTCCTCGTAAGAGCCCCCTTGGCAACCTCTGTTAACTGGCCAAGCCCGCTATTTGAGAAACGATCGCAGTATCCAGGAAGTGCTGGCAAGACCAGCTCACTGCTGGCATGGGCCACTGTTGGACCAAGGGGAATGGAACGATCCGGGTTCGTTGAGGCGGCACTCCCCAACGACTAGTTTCACGTGGACCACCTGTGCTCCTCGTAGACCCTTCTTGCCTTTTCCGCGTGCTTCGCACCATGTTCGATGAGCAGTTCCATCACTTGTCTATCCTCACGATCGCCTGCAATGACACACGGAGTGCGGTCTGCCACCGTAGTCCCCCCCTCCACATCCGCTCCGCTGTCCAGCAAGAGCTTTGCCATTTCCACGTTCCAGTGCACCCGATGCAGCGGCGTCTTTCCATCCTTGTCCTTGGCATTGACGTCTGCACCCTGCTCAATCAATATCTTCGCAATATCATGCTGGCTCCGCTCAGCGGCAATATGGAGCGCTGTTTCGCCCTGATAACCAAGGCTGGAGATGATGTCCGGGTTGTGCTTGAGCAGGAGCCTGCAGATGGCTGGTCGGTCGTAGTATGTTGCTGCGTGCAGCGGCTGGTACCGCGTGTGCCGTTCGTCCCTGTAGCAATGCCAGGCCTGGTCGTTGGTCACTCCGGACACCATGGCCGTGGCCCCTTCGCCCAAGAGCGACTTGACCAGCGCCAGTTTATTTGAGCAGATGGCGCCCAGGAGGGCTCCCAGCAGACCCGCTGCTCGCAGGCTACTGTCATCCGGCGGCAGGAGCATCGCGAGGGCCTGGCGGTCATCTGCGCGGCCGGCCGCGTAGCACGCATCTTGCATTATCCGGGCCCTCAGGGCCTCCATCTGCGCCTCGCTCGCGTCAGGATGAATCTCGGTGCACCGGGGTACATCTGCGTCTGCATCGTCAGACTCGCCGCCGCCCTGAAAGGGGATGCCATAATAGGTCAAGAGACACCGCAGACTCGGTCCATCGCCCCGTCGCACCGCGGCCTCGAGCGCCTGCCGGATATTGAAACTGTACTTGGCCCGCGCAGGGTATCCCAGAAGCAACTTGACAATGCCCACCGCGCCGACTTGAACCGCTGCCTCAATCAGAGCACCCCACCCGTTCCACGACCCCTCGGATGGCAGCCGATCACCGACGCCAGTGCCACGGGCTTCAAGAAAGACCCTCCGGCCCATCCTTTCCAGCAGGAGCCTCACTGTCGCCTCGCGCCCATTCTCCACCGCAACCCGCACCGCCATCTTCCCCACATCGTCTGTCGCGAGCACACCTGCCCCGCGCCACTCCCACCCCCCTCTCTGCTCCTCAACCAGCAAGGCCGCAATCGTCCCGTCATGCCCGCCCGCTGCAGCAAGATGCAGCAGGGGCGAACCGCGATGGCCGTTCCGAAAATGCGCCCTTGGACCCGCGCCCCGCTCGGCCAGGGTCCGCAGTGTCTCGGTGCTCCCGTGCTGCGCGGCGATGGCGATCGCCGTGTGGCCGCAGTGAGCTTCACATGTACTCCGGTACTTCCAGCCGCATGGTTCACAGGCCACGGGCAGTGTCTGGTCTATCGGGGCGCCTGCGTCGAGGAGGAGTGCCGCCATGGCGGGGTCGTTGACCTCTGCGGCCGTGTGCAGCGCCGTCGTCCAGACAGCGGGAGCGGGGCGGGGACGGCGCCTGGTCGAGGGAAACTGGAAGGGAAACGGGATATGCCACCGCTGCTGCCGTCGCTGCCGGCTCAGGAGGAGCGCTGCGATGGAGTGGTGGTGATGGCGGACGGCGAGGTGCAGCGGCGTGGGCGTTGTATCGAGGTAAGGGCCTGCCGAGGCGCCTTTGCGCAAGAGGTATTTTACCAGTTCCTCGTGCCCGGCCTCGGCCGCGAAGAGGAGGGCTTTGTTCGTGATGGATTGACGGTCGGGTCTGCTTGTGGCTTCTAGGACTGACTTGACTTGCTCAATGTCGCCGCTTGCGGCGGCCCTTGCGATGGGGGTGTCCCGGCGGACGTTGAGCCTGGATGTCGGTGTCATTGCTGGCGCGGTCGCTGTTGAGGGTCCGTTGGTTCATGGCTGGTTCTTTCTGGGGCTTTTCTGAGACTGGTGTTCTGGGATTGCTGGTGCTCTTTATGTTCGTTGTTCGATGGCCCTGGCTGTGGCGGAGCGACATTGAATACGAGACACTGCCTCTTGCGAGTCAGCAGGAAAATACTCGACAGCAGACATGTGAACGCCAAGGGAGGTTTGCGGTTAATCTTTGCATGCCCTATAATGCAGTTGATCAGTGCTATACATACATGCTTGATTCGTATATCAACGAGGCGTCCCGACCTAATAGCTCTAGTAATCCACCGCTCTAAATCGAGTCTATATTCTATCAAGTCCATCAAACTTGAAGCCTCCATGCTAGATTTGGTGTCCACCCTATACCGAGAACCCACGACCAGGCTCTCTCACCTCATCGCTGCTGCGCAACCCAAACCCCATGCCCCGCAAGCAACGTACTAACAACCATCGCGATCCCAATCTGCAGCCCCGTCACCGGAACCCAACCGATAAACGAGCCAGGAAGAGTCAGGTCACAGGCATCGATGACAATCCGCTGGACGAGCGCCGATTTCGCCCGACCATCTGCGACGCGAGTCTCGCCCTTTTCCGTCTCACTCTTGCGTGGCGACGAAGAGGTGAAAAGGAGCTCCCATGTCGCGCGCGTGATGGAGAGCACGAGCGCGTAGAACCAGAATTTGTTCGCTTCTGTCAGGAGTGGTCTGTACCAGGAGACGTGGTGGACGTTCATGTCGTGGAGCTGGGGTTTGCATTAATTTTGGGGCGAAGTAAAGGGGCTAGTAGCAGGGAGGACGCACGATGGTCAAATTCTCCAGGAGAAGATACAGTCCTAGAAACGTATACTCGGCCATCTCCATCGTCCGCAGGATCATCCCCCGCGACGACGACGATCCCGACGACGTCAAGGCGTGCGCGCGCTCGAAGCAGCCGTAGAAATCCAGCAGGCGGAAGTATCGTCTCCCTAGACATCAAACATCAGTCTGACCGCGTTTCAGGTAACCGTCTACAAAAGGAAACACCAACCAAGCGCCAACTGATCCCGAGCCGTCAGCCATTGCCTCGCAACGCCCTTGTCATGGCTCAGCTCGCCGACGACCTGGCTGGTCGCTTGGATTAGCCGCAGGGTCTTTTCCAGGCCGGCGGTTTGGCTGGTGAATGTGGCGAGTTGCTTTATGGGGGATGTCACGAGGGCCATTTTTGATATTGTTGTTGTGTCAGTGGTGGGACTCGTATACTCTGGGGGAACAGGGGGTGGTCAGTGGTCAGTGGTCAGTGGTTGTGAGGGGAAAAGACTGAGTTTTCGCCGGCGGCGCGGAACGAGGTGCTCCGCTCGGGCGGGCGCTTATCTGGACTGTGGCCTTGGAGAGCAATCGCATCAACATATCATGATAGACTCTCGGCTATATCAAACATGACAAGATACGAGATAGTGTTTCCCGCGGAAAATGAAATGTCCAGATTGAGTTCGCCACCAAGCCACCGACAGCGCCCTGGGCTGCAATCTGGCTGAATCCTGACACCCGAAGAGTCAATCAACCCCGCATTCTGCGCGGCTCCACAGCCATGAGCGCAGTGGAACTTATGCGCCCTATCAAGGTTGGATTCCTCGTGTGGGGGGTTATCCTTCCTGCGACAGCAAATCATGGACTGGATGGGAAGCCACAATGAAACGCTACCTTGCCCCTTCCGGACACGAGCGGCATGCTCTTATCAGCTCCTTGACATGAGAATGTCCCTTGAGACCTCTCATACGGTAGAATACGAGATAACCAAGAGTTTGGGTCACTAAAATAGCAAGATATTCGTTCGCTTGGCTGACTGGAGATGGTGACTGTTACCTTGTGATAAGTCGAGTGACGTCCAGGCTTGTTTAAAACACGAGCACCCTCTCTCATTCCCCCAGTTGTCATCGCCAATATTCTGGCAAAAACAGCAGCAATGGATACATTAAGTCAACGCAAGAAATCCACGGATAATCCCCCTGGCGATGCGGATGCGGACCACAAGGGGCCCGAGGCTGCCATGTCTGGCGAGCTGATTTCCGCTGGGTCGCAGCATCTGCATCGGAAGTTGGGAGGCAAGGAGATTCAGCTGTTTGCTGTTGGCGGTGCTATTGGGACTTGTATGCTTTCCATCCCTCTGAAATAGGAAAGTAATGCTGATGCACGCGGTTTAGCCCTCTATGTGCAGATGGGAGCGTCACTCCCCAAGGGCGGACCAGCCGGCCTGTTTCTGGGGTTTGTTCTCTACGGAACTATTGTCCTTGCAGTCAATCAGTGTTTCGGTAAGTTGGATGTTCGAAGAGTTGAGCATTTCTGACGACAGCAGCTGAAATGGTCACCTACCTACCCATCGCCTCGCCCTTTGTGCGTCTCGCCGGATTCTGGGTTGATGATGCACTCAGCTTTGCTATGGGCTGGAACTACTTCTTCCTCATGGGTATGGCCGCCCTCAGAGTTCGGAATATCGTGGCTAAATATTACAGCCTTCAACATTCCCTACGAAATCACCGCAATCCACGTTCTACTCACCTACTGGACGGATAAAATACACGTTGGCGTCGTCGTTGCTGTTTGTCTGGTCATTTACGCGTAGGCTCACCTCACCTGCAAACCTACCGAAGCAATTCTAATATTTAGGTCTAGTGTCCTCAACGGCCTGACGGTGAAGTACTTTGGCATCTCGGAATTCTACATGTCCATCTTCAAGATCTTCCTCATGCTCGGGCTGATGATGTACACCTTTGTCACGATGGTCGGTGGGAATCCGGATCGGGATCCGTATGGGTTTCGGTACTGGAGGGATCCTGTACGTCGATCATGCGGTCCCATCTACTGCTGGATTTTCATCCAAATGCGGTTGATAACTAACGTACCGACCAGGGCTCCTTCGTCGAATACCTCGTCCCCGGCGACACCGGCCGCTTCCTCGGTCTACTCTCCTGCATGATCCAGGGATCTTTTACGTACGCCCTCTTTCTTTGAACTACCCACCATCTCCTCTGTCGAGGTACAATACTGATAACATGGTAGAATGGTCGGCCCTGAATTCATCTCCATGGCCGCCGGGGAAGCCGAAAACCCGCGCCGCCTGATGGGCAAGGCCTTTTCCTCCTTCGTCTGGCGATTGATGTTCTTCTTCATCGGCGGCGCCCTGTGCGTCGGGATCGTCATCCCCTACGACGACCAGATGCTTGCAGATGTCATCTCGGGAGATCGAGAGGGGAGCGGGACTGGTGCTGCGTATGTCGTCCACTCCAAGATCAACGTATCGCGCCGCCCCAGAACACGGAAGCTGACATGCAATGAAACAGGTCCCCCTACGTAATCTCCATGGTCAAATTCGGCATAAACGGCGTCCCCTCGCTCGTCAACGCGCTCATCATGACCTCCGTCCTGTCCGCCGGAAACAACGTCATCTTCTCCGCAGCACGCACCCTCCACGGCATGGCCCTCGACGGCAAAGCCCCGGCCTTTTTCGCAAAATGCAACAAGTACGGACTCCCCTACTACGCCGTCATCGCCGCGCTCTCCTTCTGCCTCCTTTCCCTCCTGCAGATCGGCGAGTCGTCCGCAACGGTACTCAACTGGTTCGTCGGGATCTGCACGGCGAGCTATCTGCTGAATTATTTCGGCACGGTTATCACCTATCTCCATTTTTACTACACGATGAAGAAACAGGGAATGGACCGTTCTACCCTCCCGTATCGCGGGTACTTGCAGCCCTACGCGGCGTGGTACGCTCTTGCCGGAACATTCCTCATGACGCTGGTCCTGGGCTACACGGTCTTCATCGACGGGAACTGGGACACGACGACGTTCTTCACGAGTTATACGATGGTCGGGTTTTTTATCGTCGCGTTTGTGTTTTGGAAGGTCGTCCGCCGGACACGCTATGTTCGGCTCGGCGAGGCGGATTTGAAACTCGGGTCCACCAAGGACGATATTGATCTGTATGAGGCGCTTTATGAGAAGCCGGTCCGAGGAAAAGTCGGAAGTTATTTTAATGGGTGGTTTGAGTAGCGGAATATTTCCTTTTTCCTTGTTCTCTTCTTTCTTTTTGTTGTTGAGTCTGGCTTGTTTGGAGGATGGTTCGGTTGTCGATTGCGGGAGGAGGTCTGCATTCATTTCTTCTACTCGGTAGGGCATGGCCTTCTACTGACTACCTACCAAAGGCACGGGACTTTGGATTATTGGTACCTAGTAGAAATCGGATTTTACCTACCAAATACCCAAATCAAAGCCCCATGGGTCATGTCATGTCCACGGGGTAACTCCTTCGGCTGCCATTGAACTTCCTCCGTCCTGGTATCGCACAGTAATTCTTACAAAACATTACTACATACTATTTTGTTCTGCACATTGAATTGACAAGTACTGGCCGTAGACATCATTTAGCTAGAAGATACCGCAGAGAAAAACTCGTCCAATGCCATCCACCCCCTTCATTTCGCATAGGAAACTAAACCGCATCATCCGCATTAAGCACCAACGTCGCGAAAAACACGGGCTCGCGCACAAACTCGCTCGCACGTATAAACTCGTCGACCGTATGCGCGCGGTTCAGATTCTCCACGAGATTGATCGGCGTGAACCGGTAGATGTTGGCGCTCAGCGCCCAGAAGAACTTTGTGTCTGTGTTTGCGGGCATTAGATACGGTGTTACGATTAGGTCTTCTTCAGTGGGGTCCAGTGGGCGCAGGGTTCGTTTTATGGTTCCACTGAGGATGGAGAATGGTTCTGTTTCCGCGGTTGTTGGGGAGACGGGCGCTGGTTCGAGGGCGTCGATGGCGGATAGGGAGATTCTTCGGGGGGTTGTGGGGGTGGTGAGGTTCTGCGAGGGGTTGAAGCCGTCGAGGGTCATATTGTGCTTGCGTGCGATGGGAGATATCAAGGACTCGTAGTGCGCCTGCACGGCGGATACAGACGTCTCCACGGCCAGACGGAGGTTGACCATCGCAGAGGCCAGTTCCGGGATCGCGTTGATCTTCAACCCGCCGGCGATCTTGCCCACAGACTGGCTGGTCCGGAAATAGTACCGCAGACTGTCGAGTTCGGCCGCGAGGTCCTGCTCGGCTTTCGCATCCCCACTCGCAATCCGAGCGAGATGTGCGCGGATGGAGTCTGGAAAGCTAGACGCGGGCGCATGCACGGCCGCGCAGGAGAGAAAGTCGAACATCGGGTTCGCGGGCGTGACTTTGCCCGCGAAGGGATTCTTCTCGATCGCAGTGATGATCTCGGACAGGATGCCGATGGTATTATGCGCCGGGGGGTTCGACGCGTGGCCGCCCGTCGCGGAGACGTCGATACCCACATCGAGGTACCCCTTTTCCGCGACGCTGACCATGGCAAATGACCGGTTGAACTCGCGCTGGATACCGACAGACCCTTCGTCGATGATCAGGTATATCCCGTCGTCGCCGTATCGGCCATGCAGGAACTGGGAGACTGGACGCCCGCAGTTCTCGCCGCTGATTTCCTCGTCGCAGCCAAAGGCAACAATGACTGTGCGTTTTGGTTTGAATCCCGACGAGATAAGCAGGTCGAGGCTCTCCAGCAGCGAAATCATATACCCCTTGTCATCCGTCGCGCCCCGTCCCCAGATAATCTCCCCGTCAAAGTATCCCTCGTACGGCGGATGCGTCCACTCGGTGACTGTCTCGGGTAGGACGGGGACGACGTCCTGGTGCGCGAGCATGAGGATCGGCTTCGCCTGCGATGCAGGGATACTCCCCTCCCAGGTGAGTATGAGGCCATGGGTATTCGCGTGGTCGAGCGTGACGGTTTCAAAGACAGCGGGGTACTCTTTCTTGATGTACTCCTCGATAGAGTAGAAGATGTCCCAGCGAGGATCGGTGCCGATGGGGCCTAGGTCATCGTAGCTTTCAGAGGGGATTTGGATTAGGCCGGTGAGTTTGGTGATTATGCTCTTGTGGTAGGTTGGCGAGGAGGTTTTTGCGAGGATGGATTGTTCGATTTCGTGGCTCTTCGGGGAGAGCGCGGGGACTTGGGGGCAGATTGATGGGTTCTGAGGGGTGTATGGGCCTGGATCTGAGGTTTTGGATTTGAAGAGGATGAGACCGAGTGGTGTGTCGAGGAATGTATAGAGGACCGCTGCGAATGCGACGAGGAGGGTGCTCAGCAGGAGCCTGACTCCGGGGCCTGCCATTGCTCTCTGGCACAAAGATGGCGTCGTTGGAGGACGCCCAGTGTCTGTTCGCTGCGTCTACTTCTTTATCGTATGTCTACCCCGGTCCGTGTTGCGACCTTTCTTGTGCCTCTCGTCTCATGCAACTGCATCAACCTCGCTTGAAACAGCCTACTGCTCCAACTTTCTCTATCAAGTGACTTGGGTAAGCCGTGGCCTGGACTCATCAATCCTTCATCAATTACGTACGATGCCCCCTCCACCGTTTCTCCCTTTCATCTCTGTTGGAGATATCTCCGGAAATGCAACAAGTATGAGTGGTGGACCAGATACGAGGATCTCCACCTGCTTATCAGCTGTGGATGCGGGGGTGGGAATCCTCCGCGCCGCCCGCCATGCCGCGCCGCGCCGTGGGGAATGCTTATTGCGCCGAGGCGGGTCGTGTATTTGCTATACGGGCGTATTAATCATGGTGGTTTCATGATGGAGTTGGAGATGCAATCTCATCTCCGCGGTGTGAATCGGCGTGAAGGAACCAAGTTGACTTCGGCCGATCGACAACCCGACTTCTGGTGCTCCAGGAATAGGAAGCAGATCCTCCTCAACTCATCGTCCCCAACCAGGCAACAAAGCAACCAACAGCACATCAACCAAAATAACGACCAAAATGTCCCTCTCCCCGGCCCACAATGACTTCCGCAGCGACACCTTCACAACTCCAACCCCCTCAATGCTGCAGGCAATGACATCCGCCACCTTCGGCGACGACGTCTACACCGAAGACGCCACCACCAACGAATTCCAATCCGAGATCGCGCGCCTCACAGGAAAGGACGCCGCCCTCTTCACCCTCTCGGGAACAATGGGCAACCAGCTGGGAATCCGCATCCACCTCGGCTCGCCGCCGCACAGTGTCCTCTGCGACTACCGCGCGCACGTCTATGCCGAGGAAGGGAGTGGGCTCGCGGTGCTTTCGCAGGCGATGGTTACGCCGGTGCATCCGAGGAATGGGCTGTATTTGACCCGTGGGGATGTGGAGCGGTGGGTAGTCCTCGGGGACGATGTGCATGTTGCGCCGACGAGGGTTGTTAGTCTCGAAGTCACGATGGGGGGCGTTGTTACGCCGATTGAAGAGATCAGGGCGATTGCCGAGTTTGCGTGGGGGCATGGGATTAAAGTCCATTGTGACGGGGCGCGCTTGTGGAATGCGTGTGCGGCGACGGGGATCTCGATGCAGGAGTATTGTCGGTGGTTTGATAGTGTGTCCATGTGCGTGTCCAAAGGGCTGGGAGCGCCGATCGGTGGTGTGTTGGCTACAACAGTGGAGGGGATCAAGAAGGCGCGGTGGCTGAGGAAGCAGATTGGAGGTGGAATCCGACAAGCTGGGATCTTGACCGCTGCGGCGTTGGTTGGCGTGCGAGAAATCTGGCCGACGATGGCGGAGACGCATGCAAAGACGAAGGAGCTGGAGGCTGATTTGAAAGAGATGGGCGTTGTCCCGCAGATTCCGGTGGATACGAATTTCTTCTTTATTGATGCGGACAGGTCGGGGATTGATATGGGGGTGTTGCTGGAGCAGTGCGACAAATTTGGGGTGAGGTTGATGGATGAGAGGATTGCGATGCATCATCAGATTAGCGAGCAGGCGATGAAGAATCTCAAGCAGGCCATCGTCGAGGCTGTGAGACTGAGCAAGGAGTTGCCCGAGGGGTATGTGTCCAAGGTCAAGAAGGGGGGGTATGGGAGTACCTCGAAGATGAATGAATATAGTTAAGTCACAGGGTGTATATAACTAGAGGAATATCTCGGCTAACGGTCGAGCAAGCCTAAATCTGGAGCGTAAGTACTGTTCCAAGTAAACGGGAGATACTAGTAGTGTATGATCTGCCTGGGATAAGCATAGTCTCTCAGTGCAAACGGGGTGCAGACTGCAAGCCTACAAACGCAGGAGCCTTTCCAAGCTTCCGTTTCCAAAGGACTTGCAAGGAATCAATTCCATCCTCCTTTCTACTCAACTGCCCAGTCCTTCAGCAACCATCCCACACTGCTGACCACTTTCCAAAATGAGCAGCCTTTCTACAATCCTCGTCGAGCTCCAGCGGCTGATCCTTCAGGAGAGCGACATTTCCACCTGCCACTCCCTCGCCTCCACGTCCAGGTCCATCCGACCGGTCGCTACTGAATACCTCTACCGCACGATCGACGGCTCCATTGGCATAGCAGGCTGGTGGACCTGTCGAGACGTCCAGCTTCTCCTCCGAAACATCACTGAGAACCCACCACTCGCCTCACTGATCTTGACTGTAAATTGGACTCCCACTTACAATCCAGACGGTGGAATGATTGGAACGGGATACCTGGCCGGGATGAAGTTTAAGGATGCCGACGTGGAGATACACGACCAGGCCATGGGATTGCTGCAGAGGATGCAGATGAGCGATCTGGACTCGTGGTCTGAGGACTTGAAGTCGGACTCTTTGGATCCCAGGATTGCCCTTCTGATTTCGCAGTTTCGGTGTCTGCAGGAGCTGACCCTCGTGCCGCGCCTGCTCCACAGATCAGAGTATATGGGCCGGGTTTTCACGCACCTGGTGAAACCGGGTTCGGGGTACTTTACGCGGCAGCGCTCGGTGAAGTTTGGGGAGAACCGCTGCGCTTTTGAGATGGCGGGCCTGGACACCAGTGATGAGATCATTATGCCATTGCTGTACCTTCCAGCGGTGGAAAGTCTGAACCTGACTTCGCATATGCCTTGTATAGCGACGTGACCGATAAGCGGACTCTTGCCGTCACTAAGTCTCTCATGCTTTGCCAGTTCAAACGTCACAGAATAAGACGTGGACGCCCTGCTTAGCCTGACGCCGAATCTGAAGGAGTTCCAGTGCGGCTTTCTGCGAGAAAGGGGAAACAGGCCGGGCAGCGACCGGGTCGACTTTAGCAAGCTGTGTTCAGCCTTGAGGTGTGTGTCCGGGACCCTCGAGAGCCTCAAACTCGATATATGATGGGTTGAAATGGATAGCCCACTTGCTCCGGAACCTCGTTGGGTGAACCCGAGTGACCTGATGGCGACGTCGCTTGGGCTCTCCCTGGCGGGCTTTGACGTCCTGAGGCACCTTGATGTTCCCTTTGAGTTCCTGACCGGCCGACCCCCCTTCTACGACGTCGAACTGGCCACGATCATTCCAACAGGCCTCCGAACCCTGGTGTTATGGGATCCCCTCGTCGTCTGGGGAGACAGGCGGAACCGTTCCCCGGTGCAATATACAAATTTACTGTCAGACTTCTTAAAGGACTGGCAGACCAATGCTCCTTTTTTCCACCATGTCTTCATCGATCTCACGCGGGGGTTTCCATTCGAGTGGGTTCGTCTCTGTGAGAGATCCGCTGCGGAAGAAGACCATCCGCCCGAGGCCGTGCAACTGGCAGCGCTTGCTTGGGGGAGTGGTGTTACTTTTGTCGTGCAGTATACCATGGAGCTTGATGCCAGGCTGTTTTATGTACGCGCTCATGGGAAAGTGGATGATGGGACTACCGAACTTCCAGCTGCCATCAATCGGGCCCTCGCCTTCTTTAGGGTGCCGTTGATCGGTAATTACTTTGTAGAGCAGGCGGCAATGGCGGTTTACAGAATTGACGGTTGTAACAGATGAAATGAGGCTAGATCAGACTAGTTATCCAAGACATCACGGGAATTGAACATGGTTTACTGAACTTGACACCGGATCGAGTACGTCTATTTGCAGCATCTTTGCCAATCCCTCAGCTGCCACATCATAGGACACGATATCGAGAGCGCATCCGCTGCGGGGCAAAACCCCATCAACCTCACCTCACCTCACCTCACCATCTCGCGTCCACGAAATGGCCACCCTCCCTGCCCTCCCAACCGAGCTCCATCGCATGATTCTAAGAGAATGCGACTTTAAAGCATATCTCTCTCTCTCACTTGTTACCAAAGCAATCCACTCGATCGCCATACCGTACCTGTACCGCGAGATCCACTGGGGTTGTTATCCAGGCCACCTCACAAAATGGTCAAGCAAGAACCTGCAGCATCTCGTCCGGAGTCTGATAGAAAACCCCAGGCTGGCAGCGCACGTTCGGAGCCTCAATCTCTACATCGACTACGAATACGATTTCGACTACGAGGAGGAGTACCTCGAGAGCTACCCGATCTCCCAGGCTGATTTCAATATCCATGCGCAATCGATGGTCCTGCTGCGGAGTCTTGAGTTTGATGACGACTCGGCGGGGTGGTCCGATGCCCTCGAGGCAGGAAATCCAGATGCCTGGATTGCGCTGCTGCTCTCTCAGTTGGGGGCCCTGCGGTCTCTGGCGCTCAATGCGCCCCTGCTGCACCATTCAACGTATATTACCACGGCTTTCAACCAACTCGCTAGAATCGGACACTTCAAGCACCTCCGGCGCGTCGTCTTCGGCGAGAATTTGCCGGGGTACGAAATGGCTGGATTGCGCATTCCGAACGAGCTGGTCATCCCCCTATTCAGTCTCCCTTCACTCGACGAGTTGGAGCTGACTCTCACCGATCCGATGGTCAAAACGTGGGAGCTCGATTCAAAAAAAGCATCGAAGTCACTGACAAAGTTACGGTTGTACCGCTCCCATATAACTGGAGACGACGTCGATGGTTTACTTTCGCTCACCCCGGCCCTCCGGGAGGTGTACTGTGGCTTCCTGCGCGATGAGCGCGAAGCCGACATCACGGACAAGATTGATTACAGCCTGCTACATGGCGCGTTGAGCCGTGTATCTGGAACCCTCGAGATCCTTGCGATTGACGTTCGCTGGAATAACAAGAGCTGTGACGCTTTTGGCGTTGACCTTGGGACACTCGGACAGCTTCCTATGCCGCCACTGACGGAGTTTCGTGCCCTGAAACGACTGGAGATTCCAGGGGATCTCCTTCTCGGCAAGAAACCGTGGACTAGTCGCAGTCTAGTCGATACACTTCCCCCGAACCTGCAGTCTCTCACTCTCAAGGACGAAAGCGCAACGTGGAGAATGCCCTGGGGAACAATGTCTGAGCAAACTCGCTCGCGCGACAACGCCATGCAGGGTATTATTGACCGGATCGGCCAGTATCTCGAACACCCGGCGCGAAGTACTATGCTCGAGTCGCTGACCGTGGACCTTGCTAATGGACCGAGGTTTTCTGGCGACTTGGTTGACCCGCTGACAGATCGCTACTACTCTGTCCAGGTAGAGCAGCTGCGCAAGCTTGCAGAGACTGCCTGCGTGGCGCTTTCGGTGGCATTTGCTCGCGATACTGGCAGTTACACGTCCAGCGCCATGTTGGTTGTCTACGACCCAGTAGACCCGGGGATGCCCGCTGTTGAACAGGGCGTCGTCTGTACGAAATGAGCAAAATTGGTGAATTACGACTGCGGAGAAACTAGCTAAGCCGCCTGCGTGGGATCCCCCAAGGCCGCTGCAGACTGGTACTCGCTAAAGTCATACTCGACCTCGTAATCGTCGGCATTCTCGTCCCCGTCCGAAAGCTCAATGTCGCGGATATTCTCGCCTTCGTCCTCTTCTTCGCTCGTGAACCCGTAATCCTCCTTGCGGATCTTCTTCCAAGCAGCGAGCGTCTGCTTCCTGGTCAGGCAAAACGGGAGCTTCGACAAACTCACGCAGCCATCCTCGGTCACCTCGACCGTCTGTCCAACCGAACTCGCCGTATCCGTCGCCTTGTCCATGAGGATGATGTGAATAAAGAACACCATCCCCTTTTTCGCAATCACATCCTGCCCGCGCACAAACATTGGAAAATCCATCCACGTCGGTGAAAATGTAGCACCCAGTGAGTATCCACACGAGTTGAACCGCTGGTCGCGGAACCCGTTCTCGTCCGCAACCCGCGCATACGCCTCGAAGACATCCCCAATCGGTTTGCCCGGCTTCAGCGCCTCCATCGCAGCCTTCATCTGCAACACATTCACCTCGTGCATCCGGCGCGCCAGCTTCGTCACACCCCCGATCGGGATCGTCCGCATCAAGCACGCATGGTAGTGCTTGTAGACAGCCGCATGCTCCGCCGTCAGCTGTCTCTCAATCGTATCCTTCCCAGCGGAATACCGCGTCAGCACAGCCTTGTTCCCGGAGACAAGAATATTCTCATTGGCAGGATCGTCCCCGCCACCCTCGTACACGGTCCCCGTGATCTCGCGCCACAGATCGCCCTCGTACGCGCCCGGCTTTGCGAGCTTCAGCGTCCGCACGAGCGCAAAATCCGCCAGATACGCCGCCTTGCGCACCTTGCGCATCTCCGCCTCGGTCTTGACGATCCGCAGCTCCCGCGTGAACAAGTCACTGTGGTCCACAAGCGTACAGACACCCCGAACAGCCTCCTCCAGCGCCTTGCCCAGCCGATGCGTAAGCGAGCACGAGTCCGGCTCATACCCGATCCTCTTCGTTTCGTCATCGATCCCAAACCCCCGCAGCACCGTGGGCACAAGCGAGACGGGGTTGCTCCCCGCGTCATCCGACCGGATGAGGATATCCTTCTGCTCGAGGACGGAGGTGAAGAGCGCCTGTCGGAGATCGGGGATGCGCGTGATGAGCTTCATCGACCCATCGCGGTGCATGTACATGGCCTGGAAGAAGACGTAGCCAAAGGTGTCGAAACCCGTGAAGTAGTAGAGGGACTCTTGTTTCGTCATGAGGAACCCGTCGAGGTTTTCGCGCTTCATGAGGGCGAGCGCGTTTGCGCGGCGGGCAGCGTACTCGGATTCGGGGAACCAGAGGGCCTTTTTGAACGGGTGGATTTTTTTAGGCGCCATTCTGGTGGTATCCGTTTTGTCTTGTCTTGATTAGAGTTTGTTTTGAGAGAGGAAGGAGGTGGAAAGAGATCAAGAACCAGATAAACTGTGGTTGTATGGAAGGTGTGGGTTGCTCAGTCTGCTGTTGTACGCATCTTTATACTTTGAGCGGGCGCATCTCGCTCCTCCTGTCTTCACCACTCCTCCTCCACCCCCGCTGATAGTCACCTGTCACCGAGATAGTTGGAGAGCCCAAACGCTAGTAATCATATCGTGTACGGCCCTAGTAAGACCGTACCAACTCCTCTCCGCGCCGAGCGGAGATACGAGCCGCCGCGGCCGCGGCGGGAACTTGGCTACGTATCCAATAGATAGTGGCAATCAAGCAGGCGCTTTGATGCAGCGCGCTTTATCACCGATGGATCCCGCGGGAAATGAGCATTGAGATCGGCGTGCGATGAGTCTAGGCTGTTGGAGACGGGTGTCGCGTGGAGACCTATCTCGGTCTCGACGTCGCTTTCAGAGCGTCAGGTGGTTTCATGCTCGTGCTGTTTATGTCCATCACAGTGGGTTGTCGGCCGGTGAAAGCTTGGCCTCTTACTGAGAATCTTATTCCTGATCGCGTGATATGCAGATGTTGAGTTCAGATGTTGATCGCATTCTCCATGTAGACGCGGGGTAGGTAGGGGCTCGGCGGAGGTACGATAGGACAAAGAAAGCCGCATGTAAACGATAGAAAGAAATCATGAGATAGAGAATAGCATCTTTAATAAATCAAAGTAATAACAAAGCGACATTAAAACCAAAGGAATCCACCCTCAACCTCTGTATCCGTCTCTGGCGTCGCAACTTTACACCTCCATCACTGCTCCTTCCTTGCCGTGACAATACATCACCTGTCCCTCTACACATCACTCACCCTCGCGACGTCCTTCTAAATGTTCCGAATACAATTCTTGTGGTCCACGGAAAAGCATAGGTAGCTGCGAGATACTTTCCAACACAGCTTCAACTGCGTGTCGCTGTTAGCGCCTCATTGTTAACCCGGGCACCCAACGTGGATCCTAGCCCTGCTCTAAACGGATCGCCCTAGCCCCCTTGGTCACCTCCCTCAACTCCGAAATTGTACGCCTGCCCAAAGAACAGAGTAGTACCAAGGCGACGATGAGGGCGGCACCTACGTGCGCGGTGTTGGCGGCCAGTTCGTAGCCTAGCCTGGTGGAGGTCGGTTCCAAGTTCAGCAAGGGGCGTTTTGGTCCCCAAGAAGTGCGGGTGCTGGGTATTCGGTTCTTGGGCGTGCGATGTACAATGCTGATTTTAAATGCACGAGGCTGGAAAGTTATTGAGGGGTCGCTGGAGTAGAATCTCCTACATCCGGAGTATATACCCCCAGGGTCCTCAATGAACCAACTACGGGGGGTGATCCATCGTTCACATTGTCCGTCAGGTAAGCGCCTTGAACATGCTCGGGCCACTGATGGAATTAGCAATATCGTGGTATTTTAGGCATCGCTTGCGTCGGGTTGATAGACGCGGATAAAGTGCAAACACGTCAATTTCATCTATCTCGTAGGAGTAGTGACGGCCTAGAAGGAGCTAACGGTCTCAGACAAAGCCCGCTTCTATCTCAAAAGTATATGATTTGACTCTTGGCCGCCGCCCCTTACCGGTATCTATTAACCCATATTGTTGTGGTTGTGGGAGGCATAGAGGCAATGATTGGGAAGTCGGACGCTATGGGAATCCCGGACGACAACCAAACCTTGTTATCTCCAGTCTGCAAGATTTTGGTGGTTAGACTCTACCTAAACCAACTCCAAGCTCCCGGGGTTCCCATTTCAATAACATGACCGAGTGCTATGACATCCAGGGACAGTAGCTCCTGCACCGGCGTACAATAAGCGAGCCATGCTGAGGCTCAACCTGTCAGGCTTGCCATAACGAGACCTAGTCCAGTCCACTTGGTTTAACTTCTTGCCGACAAGTCCACAACGCGATACGTGCGCGCGCCTGATCCAGCTGGCGTGTATCAGCAAATCACAGCTTTCCGCAACTTGAAGCGGCTCTGAGACAATCGTTTGTGTTAGCCGCGCTTTGTCCGAGCCTGGTCTCTCAAGGAACCTCATTGAGTGTTTTGCCGCTCTTTGTTCTGTTGAAGCCAACTCGGGATCGACTTGGTCCCAAGGACTGAAGAACCGAGTCGCGAACAAAGAACCGTGTCTCATTGTCAAAGCAAGTCGGTTTCGGGAGACAAGGCTCGAGGAGCCTGGATGTTGTCATGATGGCATTATTAGCTGCCCCTGTGTCTGAAAGAGGAAAGTACCTAGCTTTAATCCGCGAGTATCAGGTTCCCTTGTTGCGGCTTCCTCCAGCTGCCATGTCAACCGCCTGCCTCAACCTTGCGAATAAAGCGACCCGAGTTGAAGGAGTTTCAAGCTCCTCGTCAATGTCTTCTTTCTCCTCACGCTGTTCCTCGAGTCTCCCTAGCTCATCATATGATTTTACGACGCTATTCTTAGCTATACAACCTTTGACCGTTTGTTTCTTCATCTCCTGAGATACCTTCACAATGGACAAGCTCATTTCTTTGCAAGACACGGCCTCCGTCTATCCAGGCCGATGTTTACATAAATCGAGGCATCCGTCAAAAGTTGACGGTCTCATTTTGATGACTCTATCCAAGTTTATTCTCACAACTATTACGAAACCTATATACATTGATTTCCTTTATCGTTATTGCAACCTAATATACGACAAAAATGGTCAACACTCGGTCCCAGAGCATGGCCCCGAGCATGGCCCCGAGCGAGGCCCCGAGCGAGGCTCCAAGTGAAGCCAGCACAGTGAGCCGGACAGCGGGCGAACTCCTAAAACTGCAAATCAGCGACAAGAAGAAGGGGAAGAAGAACGGTACTGCAGGCAGTGCCGTTGCCGCCAGAAATGCGGCACACCGGGCTGCTGCCAGCGACGGCGTCTCGACCCGGGCTCGGAGGGCGACGTCCAACACGCCGCTTTTTGCGCTGCCGATGGACCCGGTGAGAAGACCGAGTACTGCTGCGTCGACTGCCAGTTCTACGAGCACGGTTCGTCCGACCGAGGGCGTCTCGACCAGGGCTTCGACGGCGAGAACCGGGGCACCACTTGCTATGCTTCCGCCGGCCCCGCCAAGGAGAGCTTCCACTGCCAACAGACCAAGGCCGATGTCCATCATGGAGGCTTACGAGAGACGGCAGAGCGAGATTGCTGCCAATGCGGCTGCTCAAGTGCAAGTCCCTCAGAGCAACCTTGCGACCCCTGCTGCGCATGCGATGTTGCGTAGGGCTGCTGCCAATGGGCGGGTGAGCACTACGCCCGCGGCCTCCGGTGGTGCTTCGACTACAGCGGATTCGCGCAGCCATGGAGCTGGTAGTGTTGCTGCTGCAGGTGCTTCGGGCGCTGGTGGTGGAGCAGCTTCTGGTGGCTCCGCTCCGCCGCCACCTCCTCCTCCCCGGCCCTTGGGAGGCGGCTCTGGGCATGGTGATGATAATGATGTGGTCATGGGGGACGATGACGAAGAGGTGGAGGAAGAGGAAGAGGCAGAAGAAGAGGGAGCGGGCGAGGGAGAGGAGCAATCCGACCAACCGTTCGTTCGAGGGACCCGATTGACTGCAGCTCAACTTGCCGGCCTGGCGCCTCGACCTCCCATCACTTATTGGGGAAGAGCCATGCCTCTAAACAAGAACAGTCGTACGCTACCACAACAGGCGTACTCGCTACCAACAAAGGACCAGTTGGCGCGGATTGTGGACAATTTCTACAAGCACATCCCCAGGAGCAAAATGTCCTATGACAGATGCAACAATTGCTGGCTCGGATTCCGCGAGTGGCTTCAGCAGACGGGACTCTGGGATGGACAGTCAGTGTGGCCGGAGACGCAGTATGATGAGCTGGTCCGGATTTCGGGAATAAAGGCCTCACGCGTCACCGCCAGAGGAGGCCGTAACTGCGATCGGTGTGTGGTGAGTACTGCAACCCCTCGACCCGCGGAAGATGGGCAGTTGGCTAACAAGACTGGAATCTGTAGTCGGTGGGACGCACCAGGTGCGGCCTACAGCAAGACAATGCGTGTGAGGTGTGCATCAGGGCCGGGTGGCCCTGCACCTTCACGGATACCGACGGCGCCACAACGTACCAGAATGGAACAGGCAACCTGGAGAACATGAGCGGCGGCTACCGGGTGACTCGGGGCTTTCCAGGACAGCAGCTGGCCACCATCCAACTGCCCCAGCCTCTGGATCCCTGGCTGCCCCCTACGGACCTGCCAGTCCAAGTGGGAAGTTATAGACATCACCGCGACCTTCAGGCAGCGCAGGGGCCCCGAAGAGCCCGACCCGCCCCTAAGGTTGCAGTGCCAGCCCAGCCACCCAGATGGGCCGACGACGAGTACGGCTTCAGCGACCTAAGCGGCTCCGACGACTCGGGGAACCTGGAGAACGAGGCCGAGGAATTCAGAGACGCCACGCCACTCGCCAACGGGAAACGGGCCAAGAACACCAGCCTTGACTTTTCCCTGCGCGCGACGACCGCGCTGCCGCCCGCCTTCTTCCCGGTTCTCTCCAGGAGGCAGATGCACAGGATCCTGGTCTGGTGGAGCCAGAACCACGCACAGGGGCTGAAGCAGTGGACCCGCCACCGAAGAATGTTCTTTGCGTACGCGCAGTGGGCGTTTGCGAATGGCTGGTATGACCCCGCGACACAGCGGTTCGAGGTCCACTTCAACGTCCTGTACGCAACCATGGGAGGGGGTCGTAGACAGAGAGTGAGCACGAATTGCGATCGATGCATTGCGCATCACTCGGAGATTAGGTGCCAAGGGGATCAAGTCAACGCGTGTCTGCCATGTATCGCCGCCGAAGTCCCATGTACGGTGACCAACTACCCGGCGAGGCACACCCTCTACCTCAACGGGGCGGGCCATGTCCCCGCAGGCAGTCAGCTCAGAGTCACCCCGGCCGGCCAGAACATCAGCTACGTCAACATGCGAGTCCCCCGCGAGCTGATCGTCGGCCTCTTCCCTCCCAACACAGCGAAAAAGTACCTCAAGGCCACCTCGGCACCGGCGCTTCCTCCTCTGGGAAACCAGCCCCAGTTGCCTGTTGCGCCACCTGGCCCTCCTCCCGGGGGTCCTCCCCCTGGTCCGCGTCCGATTGCCCCCGCTGGTCCTCCTCCGGGCTATATGCCGGCCCAGCCCTGGCAGTCGGCGCTCCCACAGCAGCAGGAGCAGCAGGCACTCCAACCAACCCAGACGGAACAAGGGTACATATATCCCCCAGTGCCAACAGACCAGGAGCCATGGGAGCAGCAGATGCCACCCCAGCAACAGGAGCTAGTGGCCGGCGTCGGCCAGGCAGGCCAATCGGTCCATGAGCAGGTGACTGCCTGGGGAGCGCAACAACTGCACTGGAGCAATCTGTACATGCAATCCCAGCAAAGGCAGACGGCACTCAGAATGACGCTTTTCGGGCTCGGCGTCAGCCCTGACGTTGGATCCCTTATGACCCCCCTACCGCCGGCCCTTCCACAATTCGATCCTGTCGCCAACGCCCAACGGCAGGCGCAACAGGAGCTGGCCAGGTTGCAACAGTCAGAGGCGGAAAACGTCCGCCTTCGGGCGGTGATTGACGCCACTAGCAACGCCCAGCCGAGTTCTGTGATGTCGCTGGACCCAGCGCTAGCTCAGCCGTCTCCTTTTGCGCAGCCGCCTCGTGCTCAGCAACCGTTTGTTCAGCAGCCCTTTGTCCAACAACCCTTTGCTCCACAGACCCCTCAGCAACAAACAGCATTCCCACAAGGACAAGGAAACTGGCAAATGACAGAGTTCCAACAGAGTTTCTACCAACCCCTCAACCAGCAGACCGCACAGGCAGCTCCGGCTCCAGCTCCCGTCAACCCATTTGCCCCCATGGGTCTTGATGTTAGGCCCGGCCAACCACAGAGCTCTACCGGCAACCCGAACCAGAGAAACACAGCAAGGCCTCAGCGCCAGCCGAATACACTCACTCTGGGAAACACTCGTCTGCATGAACCAATGCATAGACGCGTGATGGGTCAGCAGACTACCAGCCAGCCCGAACAGGGCAATACCGGCGCGACACCCACGACCCAGGGGACTGCGGGCCAAGCCATCACGATTCAGGCACCGACAGGCCAAACTGTCGCGACGTCGACAAACACGCGCACCACAACCGCCCGCCCAAAGGCCTCCACCAGAAAGCCTCCTGCGTCACGGACCGCAACCGGGCGAGTCACGAAACCGAAGAATAAGCTTCCCACCACCACGGTGCTACAGCAGCCGCCAGCGAGTGCCATAAATCACCCCTCAATGAAGGAGCTAAAGAGGCGTCGAAAGGAACTGAAAGCAATGAAGGCATCGGGCGAGTTGGACGACGAGAATATACCGATCCCTGTAGATATCACGTTGCTGTGGGGTATCTATGCGCCCACAGGCGAGGAGGTCACTAGCGGCAGTGAGGACGAGGGTGCCGACTCTGGTGCTGCGGTTGCCAGCGCTGTTGGAAGTGGAACTGGCAACGCTGAAGGGTTTTCCAACGTGGCGGCGCAAAACACTGGATTCTCCACTGGGACCGATAACGCCAACTACAACGCCGGGCAGCCCAGCAACATGGGTTTCCAAAATACCGGAGGTGAATATTACGACAATTCCAACGTCTACAATGCTGGAAGTAGCAATATGGGCGTCCAGAATCCTGGCTTTGTCTCTGGCAACAACAACAACAATACTACCTTCTACAACACGGGAGGACCTACAAACATGGGCGCCCAGAACGCCCGATTTGTCCCAGGCAATGATGCCAACATGTACAACAGTGGTGGCTTTACCAACATGGATGTCCAGAATCCTGGGTTCGTCGCCGGCACTGACAACACCAACGCCTACACCTCCACTCAACCCGCAACCATGGACCCCCAGGACCTCCTATACACAAATACGGACGTCAACCCCCGCACCCACTACCGCCAAGACCAATTCAATGCTGGCGAAGAGAGTTTCATGGACTTGCTCGGAGATGATGCAGCAGGTATGTTCAGCTACGATAACGACATCAACTTTTATGGAGGACAACAGCCTGACCAGGATGAGGACTTTGATATGGGCGGCTAGCTCAATGGCGCGCCCTAGCCACAGTGATCTGAGTGCATCTATCTGTTTCATTGGGCGTTCAGGATGAGGTGCATAAGATGGAGTTTGGGTTTCTCATGATATCGCTTGGAGAATGCCGGCATTCTCTTTTGGGTTTCTTATGTCGGCGCTTATGCGTTGGTTTTTCTCATCTCTGAATCTGTACATGTGTCTAAGACTCTTTTTGTTTTCTTCCATTTTTTTTCTCCTTCCGGTTTAGTGGTTTTATCATGGGGATAGAGGATAGAGAGGGGATACATCATACACTTCTAGACTATCTAATCAATTATGTTTAATCGTTTAATAAATGGATAATCCAACTGTGTCCAATACCCATAATCTTATCATCCTCAATTTGATATACATCAACTTCGATTACCATCTTGTCAAGACAGGTAACTGGTGGAAGGAACTTGCTAATTGGGTACCTCTGCCTACCCTATGTTTAATGCTCATATATAGCAACGGTTTGCTTTGGTATTACCCTAAAAGTCTGAGCTTTCAGAAGATGGACGGACTGAACTGCAATTGTTAGCCGCCGCCAGGGCGATGCGGTGTTGTATCAGGTGTGGCTGTTGATTTAAACAAGCAAGCCATCGTGGATAGGAATAGCAGTGGCGTCTCTATTTTCCGCAGACAGTAAATATAATCTCACCAAGGAAAAGAGTCATACTAGTATACGAATTGGGCATGTATCAACAAGTAACGAGAACGTCGCATGAGTATGACCTACAGCGTGTGGCCCTTGGGTATGCCGAGGTGGAGTGACCTTGTTTGTATTAGATGGGGATTTTGTGCGTTGAGGATGGTAAAGTGTTTCGACAAGTGATGCTATATTTATGTGCGATAGTAACTCCCCTTGGATACAAGGTGGAAAAAGGTAGAGAACCACAGCACTTGCTGTGAAGAATGTGCACTCATCATAAAGCTTGCAATCAAACATGTATACCGCCGCTAGCAGTATGATTCCCCTCTTAATTCCACCCGATAGAATAGGCATCGAGAAAAGACCTCCTCCTAGTCGAACAAGGGCAAGACGCCTGTGTGCTGGTTGGGCAAGTAGTATACACGCACCTCCATCTCCAACAGCAGTCAATTATGCACTGCGCCCACATACCAAGATATCTACCGAACGCGTGCACAACCCTTCCTTTGAGATCAAATACGCATGTTGAGTATTCCTCGGCTCGATCCCAGCCCATAGGGCGGACTTGGCGGGGCGCTGGGCGTGCGGCGGGGGTTCTTGGCTCGCGAAGCGAGATTGAGACCTCAGACGGCGTTTTCAGCCGCGGGCGTTTGCTTTGCGATATCATGGTTGCCCCTAACCAGTCTCATCGCGGAACGTCTTTGTGGATGAATACGTGTGCCAGCATGAATCGACCCCCTGTCTCTTCTGGCGGTGGACCAGCACGCGGCGCCTTGTGTCGCCAGCGTGAGCTCGGCGCTGATGCCCATGTCCTGCCGCCTGAGGGCTCGTGTTTCGACGACAGGTCAATGTCAAGTACCGAGTTCCTCCCTCTATCCAAACGCGACTCTGAGAACTGCGAAGAGTCCCACGTCGTTCCCCGTCTACGCCACAGCCCTGCCGGCCCACCAGCCAACGGCACCTCCCCCAACACAGACACAGACACACAGCTCCTTCACCAAGTGGTTAAACACCCCCGCCGACTCCCCCATCCCTCAATATGGCCCCTCCCCAACGACACCCTGCACTTCCCCACCCTAGCCGCCAAATCACTCGACCTACAAACCCGCGAAATGTTCAACGCAAGCCTCTGCAGCGTCCTCATCCCCGAAACCTACGCGGCCTTCTCCAAGCGCCTCGACCAAGACATCGTCGCCTTTGTCCGCGACGACCAGCGCGCGCAGTGCCCGCCCATCCAGTGGGCGGTCCGGTGCTACGCAAGCTGGCACCTCGCAACGCTGCACTCGGACGCCGACCTCCTCGCGCAGAGTCGATACATCTACGGGATTCTGATTCGGTATCTGCAGTCCGCACTCGGGGATCCACGACGGTCCACGTCGCAGACTACACTCACCGTCGCTGTGCTCATGGGCATCTACGAGGTCTTTGACGGGAGTAGTCCCGACGCGTGGCTCGTGCATATCCGTGGTGCGAAGGAGATCCTCAAGAGGCGTGGGGCCGCGGCGCACTCTAGTGGGTTTGCGAGGACGATTGTGTTTTCGTGTCGGGCGTTCTTTATTGTCGAGGCCTTGATTAGTTGCGAGGAGTGTTTTTTGGCCGAGCAAGAATGGGCAAGCGTTAATGCGAGGGCGTTTGAGAGGGAGGATCGGCAGGGACGAGGGTGTAGGCTTGTGACTTTGATGGATCGGACGTATCGCGAGGTTGTCCGGGTGCCGGGGCTGGTGGCGCGGACGAAGGCGGTTCTTGGAACGGACACAAACAAGGGAGGTGAGGGTCTGATGGCGGGTGGGAAGGTGGGTGACGATGCAGGTGCGGCAATGGCGTCAAGGGAGGAGTTGAGGATCCAGATCCAGCGCAGTCAGACGACGCTACGGAGGCTGGGGCGGGGTCTATCAAGTCTTTCACCAGAGGAAACAATGCCGAAAGATCAGCATGGGGAATATATCGTTGATTCGAGGTTTGTCTCCCCAATCATTCGACATAACCTTTATGCGGCTTCTGCTGTTGAGGAGTCGCTCGGTCGATTATCTGCCATGCTGGCCGATTCCAAGGAGCCAGATCCCACCTTCAAGGAGCCAAGACTGGTCGAGATACCCTCAGAGTCTCAGACTCTTACCTCCGATATTATGTCACCATCTCTCGCCTCGCGTGGCAGCACTGGTCTAGATTTTCTCTTCCTGTCACTGGGGGTCAGGGCGTTATAATAGCATAATATCTCCTCCGCATAACAGACATATATACATGTGCTTGTACCCCACTGGGCCTTGCGTATATCCCTTATCGTCCGTGTTTCTAAAGCCCTTCACGGATTCTGCTAGAGCATAATGTCCAGCTCGGCATCACAATCCCCAGCGCCAAGTACAGCTAACCCAGACTAGACGTCAAGGGACCGTGCCGAGACATTGCATGCTTGGCTGGATCGTCAACACGAGAACCGGTCATGGCGCGAGTTCCAATTGGCCAAACCGGCGGGAGCATGGCATGTACATAGTGTAAGTCTGTGAAGAGTGGAAGTCATGGCTGGTCTCTCAGGATTATCATAGTTGAAGATGGCCCTGAGATCTATACCTTGGAAACTTTCTTCAACCACACAATGGCTCGAGTAAAGCCCAGACAGGTTCCCAGTGAAGCAGCAGCTAACTCACCTGACCCGGATGGTTGTCGGCGAGAGCGGGTATGGATTTATAGATTCCTCAATCAAGACAAGGCACCGACAACGTTGCACTTTACTCATTGGTCCCTTTCCGGCTCTATGCTACTAGTGGTCATCCATAGTTCCTTCCTAAATAGGCCGATGGTGTGCAGAGCGGCACGGTAGGGAAGAGCAGCACGAAGTGGGAAGTGTGCTCCCATGGGAGTCCTTCTGCATCCTGCCTCTCTCTAGGTGCCCCAGTTCCTCAACTGGAATTTGCACTAGGCAATGTTGATCGCAGATAGAAATATGGGGAAAAAAAAAAGGGGGGTGTTGATGGTGAGGAGAGGCAAACGGCGGACATCTTGGCCTAACCTGGCCCGTCGAAGTTGCCCAGGGCTGGCCGGTTGGCGGCTGTCGTTTCTGGCGCTTGGGCCTTTGCGGGTCAACAGACTCGAGGAGATATTCCCGACATTTGAAGTCAGTTAATTCCGTCAAGACAAGAGTCCAAATCGGCCCTGACGAGGTCAGACAGACAAATGAACAGCACGAGGTTTATGATGCGTTTCTGGCCAAGATAAAACCGGACGACGCCGATAAAGTGTATAAGCCACCGTTGATTCTTGGAATGAGTGCCATTATCAAGGTGAAGAAGCAGTACGTCTCCTCTCTGTGGAGCCCAAGCAATATCACTGATTCGGGCAGACTGGAACCCTGGAGTAACAAAAGTGATTACGCCAAATGCAGCAATGAGATCAACCGCGAAATTCACAATCTCACGGTCCTAACAGATGCTGGCTGCTAGAATACGCCCAGGCTTATCGATTGGTCTATCAGAAGGCAGACTGACTATGACGCGCTGCCAGGCGGGTATATTGCCTACATTGTCATGGAGAGAGTTCCGGGGAAGAATCTTGGTGAATATGATCAGATGGAAATATCTGAGTAGTGCCGCGTACAGCTTGCTTTCCTTGAGGCAATATCGTATGCCTTCTTTTGTTTTTTTTTTTATGCCTTTGACTGATTGGTCTTCTGAACTTTTATTAATGACAGACAGGAGTTTCAGGAAATGCCAACTTATCCACTGGGACCCTCGCCTTCCCAACTTGATCTGGGACCCTAATCTTGGGAAGTGGTAAGACCCATCCCTCTTGATCAATGAGACTGTCCTGACTTTTAGTACAGGTATATTGTGGATCTTGAAGACGCCGAGCACGACACCAATATGGCAGCCGAGGGCTTCTCCATGGATCCATGGGTGGAACTTATGACTTGGCAACTGACAAGGACATTTAATCGCCCCTTGGTGCACATTAGCCATAAGGAGGAATTCATCGAGTATTGGAAGGAACATATGGACGAGCAATAGACACGCACATTATATCCTATAGTTGATTGCCCGCCGTGAGAACAGCACTGCAAACGTTTTGTAGGAGACGCCTGCAAATTACTCCATCTGTTCTCTCCTGTTTCCGGTTAAGGCGTTTAGTATTATCCGGAAAGCCTACTTTGCCTTGGTCTTGCCGGGGCTTAGACCTACTACCCTGAAAGAACGCTGCTTCTAGCATCAAGTCTCAACTAGGGTCAGGGGACTATGACGAGAAACCCAACTCAACTCGCCGACGCCAGGCCCAGATGGATTATTGACCTATTTCAGCATTCTGGGTAAGGGGGAATGGATGGCGGAAAATGCGCAGACCACCATTGGCGACATGTAACCCCGGACTACCTCCTGAGTACAGGCACAGCGAAAATCCTCGAGGCCAAAAAGTTCTCCTTGGTAGTACGACTTTCACACACGGACTTGAGTACAAAGCCTTCCCGGTGCTTGGTATAGTCTGCAGAGGGGAGATTGGTAGTGGGGGATTTCTGAGATGAGCCATTGGAGAAACCAGCCCGCGTTTCGTGCAAAGTATGGGCCCAGATTGCCCCATACATAACCCGCTTCTGCCGCCTGATTAGTGCAATCGCTCAGGAACAGAAGCAATCGCAAGAAGCGGGTGGCTTTGGGTGCGGGGAACGTCGGGTGTAGCAACATTTCCTACCGCGGTAGCCAGGAAGCGTCAAAGAAAGAGTCCTCCAACCGTCGGTAGGGTTTGCGTACAAGTGGCCAAATAAGTGGTCAAGTCCACTTACAGCGGTGGTGGTGTTGGTTGCCGTAGTAGCTGTGGGTCATTCGGGTTGGCCCGGTGGACCAATCTGGGGGTGACGTCACGTGGAGTCTCGCCGCATACGTCCGTACCAGCCACAACAATCTGGACACGACACTATCCATCCAAAATCAATTGAAGTTTGGGTTATCCTTGTGGCAGTACCCTATCTTGTGACTTACAATTGCGTCCTCCAGTTATATGCGCTGCCGACTCTTCAGCTCTACCTGCGACGCTAAATCCTTGGTTGTTTGTCATCGATTCACGTGACTCAATCAGAGTTTTCCTCCACTCCGTGTTTTGGTCTCGACCCTTCCAACGTCCCCATTTGCGTGGTCAATCACTCAACAACTATATCAAAATGAAATTCCCGCGTAGTGCGCTGCGCCTGGCCTCGTGCCGCCCCGCTTTCCGCTCGCAAATATACCACGCGTGGTTACGCCCAGTTGTTCTCCAGCGTTTTCAGAGCTCGATCCCGCCGGAACAGACTCCTTGGAACCTGGAAACCCCAGCCCCCAGGCCTTCCACTGCGGCAGTAGGCGTGGTCTCTCAGTCTGCGGGGTCGGAGGATCCTGTTGCTGTATCTGAGACAGTCGACGTATCTCTGGACTCTCCGCCGGTTGACTCGGAAGTTTCCGTGGAAGTCTACGATTTTGACGAGGAGTTGGGTGAATCCTCGGACGATATCCCCGGATTAGTCGAGGACGAGGCTTATGTGCACAGAGCATCGGAAGACATTCCCGATCTCTCACCAGACCCCACCGGCTTGAGTGGCAGAGTCATCGCGTTTATGGAGCGTTTCCACCTCGAACTCGAGAATCCCGACCTGCTTGTCAGAGCCCTAAGATGCAGGAGTCTCAGAGCAACGGACGACGCCCGCTCGTTATCCTTTGTCGGAGACGCTGTTTTCAGACTGTATGCCGCGACTCTGGGGCAAGAGAAGGGCCATTCCGTCGGTATGCTAGCGTTTATACCACCGAAGGGCTGCCTGGCCATCCATGCTAACAGAGTCATGTAGGCCAAGTCGCGGCGTTGACCAAAGTACTGTATTCAAACAAAGCGCTCGCCCGCCAGGCGTGGAGACTGCGCCTTGACGAGACCGCTAACCTACGCCACATCCTGGCCACCTCGGCTGACTACAAGAAAGATACCTTGGAAATCTTGCTTGCGACTACCCTGGAGGCGGTCGTCGGCGCTGTCTTTATCGATAAAAAGCACAGCCTCCATGATACAATCCCTTTCCTTACTGCGCTGGGTTTGAATATCTCGGAGAAGAACACGCCCAAATTGTATGTACTACCATTCTGCACTTGCCCGCTGCCACCTCACCCATAACAGCCCTTTATCTTCCCTGATCCACTCCTAATACTAACTCAACTCGTATAGTATATCAAAGATTCCGGGGAATCGACCGTGAATGCTATGTATGTCCTGGACCCCACACATTCTACACCCTGTACAGTACCCACCCCACTACAAATAAGTACTAATACCGATACAGACCCTAGGTAGCAAAGTTCAGGAGGTCAGACCATACACCGTCCGAGCCTGTCGAAAGACGCGTCATGGACCCATCTCAGGCCACAGAGCATACGTGCAGACCTGACTATCTGGCTCTACTGCCGCGAACCTGTCTGTCGGCTAATTAACTGCTTCAAATTTGTCTGCGCAGGGATTAGCAGGCGTGACATTGTTCGATTTGTATTACCACCCACTACCCATAATTCTTAGCAGCCTTTAGCACCTACTACTCTCTGTCCAATAACAATGACAATAATAAATGCTGATTTCGGATTCCAGGGTCCGTCTTTCTTTCCTTCTTTCACAAGATTATCCTGTAGACCAATAACTCCTACACTGGCCTTTGTGTAATCCATGGATGCGAACCAAGGTCTGTAGGAGATTCGGAAAGGACAAACTACGGGACAACGGGGATGAGACGAAACCTACAAAGAATATCCGGCCAAGAAACGCCACACCCCTCGAGGATCGTCTCATGTAAACAAAGCGCATATCCAAGGCGTTGTCTGGAGGCGCGAAACAAAGCCCATCAGGAAGACAAGCAAGGCCGGGGTATAAATCCCACGAGCATTCCAGCAGACATAGCACTCTTTGCCAATTACCACCCTCGTCTACTTTCAGCCTTTTCATCTTCTAGGTCATCTTTTACATCTCTTCTTCAACGTTCAATCACATCCCTTTCGCCATGAGCTCACAGCCATCACACACGACGGTGGCCGAGGCCGTCAAGCAAGGCAACCCCAGCAACGAAATCTCAGACGCTGAGCGTCTGAAGGAACTCTCAGCCCACTGGAACTCCCTAAAGGACCCGCGTCCGAAACCAGGGGGGTACCATCGCGGGATCTACATCCCACCCAATGGACCGCCCGGCACTTTCTACATTGGATACGGAACCGTCGTCGAGACCGGACTCAATTCGCAGGGGGGCATCTACGTTTGGGTGATGCCCCCGGCATCGGAAGAATGCAAGCGGTCGAAACTCTACCAGTTCAGAAATCCTCTTAATAAGGAACGGGATTGCCTGGATCCGGATCATCGGCCCATCATCCCCGCGCATTACGACATGATCGATTATGGTTCTCGTTGGTGGCCGCCCGCGGTGCCCCCGCCAAACCTCGAAGAGCTCGAGAAGCGGATGGGAGCCGTGAGTGTGGGCGACGAGGGTGTTGGGATCTACCGTTCCTACACACAACAGCACTATAAAGGATTGGGCCGTGTTGTACAGGACAGCAATGTCGAGGGCGAGCCACGGTGGCTTGAAGAGGTGCACGTCATCCCGATACCTGGTCGGCAGGGTTCAGGTGACTATCGGTTCTTCCGCACGTTTAGCGAAGACGAAATCCCCTACATGGAACTACCCAGCCCGGTGAAGCTAACCTCGGCCCAGAGGAAACGGTGGCGCCGCAGTATCCGCAACAGGAAGCCCGGTCACTCCTCAGGGTTCGGGGAGAAAAACAGCGGACCCCGTCCGGGGTTCCCGGAATTGGGCGCAGAGGCTCGTGGTGCGTACTTGGCACCAGACGGGCAGTGGTATTCGGGGCGTGGCAAGGCAGTTGCATTTGGTATCGGCAATTATGCTCGGGAATATACCTTGGTGGAGCCTATACCGGGGAAGGAAGGAGGTGAGTATGACTTCTTTCATCCTGTGACGAAAGAGTACATGCCCAAATTCCCGGATTTCCCAACAGCAGCACATATATATCCTTGGCGTGAACATTTCAAAAGGCCCCTGAGCGAGCTTGTTCCGGGGCTTGAGGACGCGTTTGTTGAAGGGGAGGGGGAAGCCCGCAGATAGTTTAGTTAGCCAGGAGCATCTGGTTCAAGGTGTAAGGTCAATTATGGTCTATTCAGAAACTAGTCTATCATTCGAGTCTCACATTTCTGCGTATACAGGTGGTAATGGTCGGAAGGGCGCCATGCGAAACCAAATTCGCTCTCGGCTCGCCTACTTTGGTGGTTCCAGGCCAAAATCGGCGTAGATGGAAGGGGCCGATGCGTAGAAGTGTATTACCCTCTGCAGATGCACCTGGCAATTGGCGTATTCTGGCAGCACAACCAACGGAAGGCGTTCTCTATCCCGCAGAATCATCCCCATTCTCGTCTGCTTGTCCTTTCTGGCCTTGATGGCTCCCAGGCCTGAATGAAACTCAACATTCCTGTGCGAGTAAAGCCTGAAGGCGAGGTATGCAGCTTCGTGGGATAGCACGTTGGGTCCGACGTTCTTGTGCTTGATACATCTGTCAACGTCGGATATCACCCCCGCGGATGGTTCGCCTCGCATGCCGCCTTTGATCCAGCGATCGTATTTCTCCAGTTGTGAATCCTGGTAAAGCACTCGGAGATCGTGGTGGCCACGCAGATGCTCGTTGATCGCACAAAGGCAGTGGCACACCGCTTGGGCGTAGTCGCCAATGTAGGCGAGGAAGCGCAGCCAGCGGAGTTCTTTGAGGACCTTATCAAGCGCGTCTGTTCCGGTTTCGTCCAAGGCGCAGTTCTGTCCTTCCCTTCTGCTGGCGCTGAGAGCGTCGGATACGATTGTCAAGTGGTCTGCGTCGCTTTGGAGATTTGACTGTACGTCGGGAACCGGTATATCTGATCCGTCGTCGTCGGTCAGGACTGACAGGCGCTCTGCGACACCATGCGAATTTGGCGCCGCAGAGTCAGGCGTGGGTATGTTCGGATTGCGGTTGCCGAGTGCTGTGCCGTTCTCTGGATTCAACCAGCACAGACGCTCCTTCAGCGGATCGCCCGGCTGGCTCATGTGGGAGAGACGTGTATAGATGGGATCAGAGTCGGGTGTTGTTGTTTGTTCCGTGGAAGTTCCAGCACTTTCCTCAACCCGTAGCGGGTTTCGGGGAGGCTGACGGAGGGAGTTGTTAGGCGCCCAGTCGCGGGCTGAAGGGGAGCTTTGCTGAGGCAGGGGTGTCGCTGGGAGACTAGGGCATGAGTCCGCTCGGTAGTGACCTTTTCGGCGTTGGTTGCGACGTTTTACCACCTCGAAAGGGTTGCCATTGTCGGCGTCGGGGGTGCTCATTCTGGATATCAACGACGATCGCAGGAGAAGGGGTGTTCGGGCTACCCCCCCCAGAGCACAGCGACGCATCCTTACTTTTATCCCCAGCCGAACAAAGAACGATACAGAGTTCCCCTGCGACATGATGTCTCTGGTGGTCAATGGATGTTGAAACGGACGTGGCCTCATGTCTCTACGTCGTGGCTGAAGCTGGCCCGAATCGCCTGTTCGCATCGTGTAATCGTAGGATCATTCTGCGTCTCCTGGGCACTGGCTTTGCAAATTCAGAGCCGTACCTGATGTGCTCGTTCATCCCGTGATGAAGAAGCGAAAGCGAAGGCCGGGTTCGGGACGCTTGTTGTGCTTCGAAAGTAGGGCATCATCGGATCGGATTGGGGAGCAGATCCCCCACGATCAGCAGAACCACAGTGGAAGATCGTTTAGAATGAAAAACGGTTCGCCAGAGATGCGGGAGATTGTCACAGGGAGCTCTGATGGTCCGTTTTCCTGACAGGACGGTTCCCAGAATCCCCTACCCACACGGGAAATGGCAAGGCTCGCTGCTGCACAAGACGCCACAAAACCGCAGACTGCTTCTAAGTCGCTATATAAAGCTCCAATATGAGCTTCGCTAATTTCTTCTAAAACTTTATGATGACCTATTCATTTTGATTGGCCGGCGAGGACATTGTCAAACCAGTTTGAGCGCCACATTTCGCGGGATTGGCCTTGTTTGGCCACTGCCTGTTCGTCACCCTATTTGAGTTTCCTCATCTCCCGAACCGCTGAAGAACTGCTATTCCCCCCTGAGAATTCACCGTCAGGTTCTGGCTCAGGCATACTCAAATGAAGATCAAGGCGGAGGGTCCTTGCCACGGAGAATACGTAGAGCTCCCCGCTCGTTCGTGCGCTGACTAGGCCTAGCTTCTTTCATGTCGATGAAGCATTTTCCTGCGCCGCCACAGGCTAAGACATCTGCAGACAGAGATGGTTTGACTGTGCGTCGCTAACCTTGTCCCATTTTGTCTACTTTCGCTTCAGCCCAGCGTTGGACAGCGAGTCATTTCCCCAAGACTACCTTCCTTGAGTTCAGCTTGGCAATGATGGTGCAGATACTGCATTGATTCTCCTGCCATGAATATTCTCCGGTCCATCATGCGGCGATGACGCCGTTTACCCCGGCACAAGATCTGCGCTGATCCCACTCCTCTCCTGGTAGGGCCGAGGGCCGTTGATGCCGCCCTAATGATCTGTGTCGTGCGTCACTCAGGCCACGCTTGTTACTAACATTCCATCTTAGGATTAGAGCTTGTTGATAGATGGAATTCCAAAATCCTACTCTCTCTCCCTCTGTCTCTCTTCGCAGGAACATATAGGAGAGAAAGAAAATCCAGATCCTCCTCCATCAGATTCCCGTCCGGTCCCTGTCGCATACTACCCGTACAAACACGAAAGGTACCACTCTTAACATCCCTAAGCAATCATATACACCGACTTCCACCTGCAGAGTCGGATCCAGATCCAGACATGGCCCAACATTCTCCGTTAACCCTACCCAAGACAAAGCCCGCAATGGCGGGCCCAAATGGCCACATGCCAACCGTAAGGAAATCTCCGATGTCGGGCGCTGTGAATGTGACGTCGTACGGTGTGGTAACTACCGAGCTAAAAGATGGAAAAGTAGGAGCAGAAATGATAGCCTCATTCGGGGAAGTATGTGTAAAGACCTCCGTCGCCCTCGTGGATTCTCAGAGAGTGCGGAGTCGGACTCCCCGAGGTGGCAGGCTCCGGTGGAGGAGGATGCTATGGGTCGACGAATGCCAAGTACGAGGACCTAGTATTGTCTCAAGCTCTGATGGTCGACACCGGGAAGAATGGGATGACTGGTACATAGGAGCGTCGACAAATGATCGCAGGTCTCAACATGCGTCGTCCGTGAACTCACAAACAACCCCTGTATTTACAGTCCCATGCGCAGCTACGTCGCCCTCGACGCTCAGTTGACGTTGGTAGATGATCGGCTTGGTGTTTCCTTACCTCCCCGTCGTGAAGACGGCCCGGAGATGTGATTTTAAAGAGGACTGATTGAAAGTGTTTATCTGCGTATACACCCGTGGACATTATGTAGGTAGGGTGATATCGTAAAGAAGTATTAGAAGACAGTTATTAGAGGCGCGGAGCGCGATATCTAGAGATGTTAGTGGGGTTATACACTATTGGTACTATACCCAGGTACGATCTTAGTGGTCGTGCATGGAATTGCAGAGCTGTAAGACCATAGTTCTAGCAAGAACAGGTTACGCATGTTAAACACCGCAAGTAGTTCGCGTACGGTGAAGCGGGAATGGGATGGTGGTACAGCGTTAGCTTCTCCCGGCCTGGAAAGCTGCCTTGATCTTCGTCCCCATTGGGGTGCAGCCTGAGAACCTTGAACGCGGGGACATTCCGCGCTTCCATTCACCTCCACGGCCTCTGCACTTCTTTCCACTCCCCCAGTTTCTGGTCTAGGTATGATCCGCTGAGAGCGAGTTTCTCGCGCCCGTGCGACACTGTCGCCGTGAGCTCTCGCAGGGCAATGGAGTGCTTGATTAGTGTGCAAAGAGCACGAGGAGTGCCGGATGCTGTGCAAGGGTGAGGGGTCGGCGTTGGATCCCCATGTGCCCCGTAAGGTGGAGGGGGCGTTGGATGTCGCGCTGGTGGCGGTGCAGGTAATCGCGTGGTCCGAGAATAGAGCGTGGCACACAAGTGGATATTTCCCAACCCAAGTCAGACCGAGGATGTCGATGGTCTTTCTGTGCGGTTTCCCTGCTTACGCTGTCCTATGAAACTGGTTCTCCAATCCACATCGCTGTTCGGCGGGTCACCACATGCTTGAAACAAATACTAGTTAGTAGGAAGTAGGTCTGTGGGTAGAAGACAAGGTTGGTAATGATCCTTTGTAATAGGCCATGTTCTAAGTGCAATAAACATTATAAAATACATTCACCCTATAAATATCGGAGCCTTCTGAGGTAAATACTTAGATACTATACTAGTACTAGGTATGGCTAAGGGGTACTAACATGGCGTGTGGACTTATGGCCTCGTTGGGTTGAACTAGTCGAATATCTTGCCATACAGTCTAGGTTAAGGATACGATTAGCCTCAACTAAACTAATTCACAAGACACTCGATATTGGGTCCAGAGCCCGACGATACTACCTCTAAGGTTCTACATCTATAGTAGAAACTATGTCAAATGTCCTATAACTTATCCAGCAGTTACTTTGGCGCTGCTAAAGTTAATACAGTACTGTATGCGTCCAGTCCTTGTTTTTGTAGTATTTCAAAGATGTACTAGCTTACGCCCCTTTTAGCTTGAGTAAAACTAAGCATCTGGAATGAGTATCTTAGACTGGAGAGTGGGGGCGGTAGACTTATCTCAAACACCAACTCGCGCGCAAAGACCACGCGTCGGCAGCCCATCATGCTTCGTCTTGGACTTAATCTCATCCTTGCCAGCGAGATTTACTTCTTGCGATCGAGGATGTGCCTACAGAACCGCGTGTAGCCCGTGATGCACTGGTCGATGTCCCTCCTCAGCCGCCCGAGTATTGTACTCCGCACCACGCCCTCCATGAAATGAATCTTCATGTACCGATCTGGATTCCGTAGTGCCGGATATTATTCCCGTCCAAAGGAAAAAATGTCAGACTTGGTCAATTCTAGTTGGACTAGACTCGACAAGAGTAAAAACGTGGAAATGACACATCTCCCGCTGCGGAGCCTCGCTTGGAGATTCTCAAACCACTAAATCTCGCTTAGATGCTACGTGGAGTTTCCCAGCCAATGATGGCCCTCTAATGATGGATCTCGATCTTGCATTGCTTGTTTATCTTAAACATGGCGCACCATGTGGCGATTATCCAGGATGTGCTATCAGCCTCTGGCTTTGTGACCATGCTTTAGTCTTGGCTCCTGCTCACCTCGCTTAAGTGGTGTTGGGAATAGCATCGAGCTTACTCGCTCTTTGAGTCTTTATTCGAGACTCGGTGGCTGTTGAATTTGCCGTGCAGGGCAGCCACCGTTTCGGATCAATCATCTTGAGATGCATCTTCTGTCTACAGGATCAATACATCGAGGTTGCCCTTCAAGAAAATGTCTATAAATGTCGGGTTGCTCTCAGTATGAATCTTGCACAAGGCAGAGCCTCTTCGATCATTACTTTGTTCTCTTTCTCTTCTCTCCTTTACTGCATCCAGATTCATTGACTGAATCTGCGGTTACTCTCCTTTCTTCCATTCATTACACAAACCGCGCTGCGCGCTCCTTACAACCATACACCATGTCCCTCCCCCTTCTTCGCCTCACAGCGCTCCTCGGAACAGCCACCTCCGTCCTGGGCCACGGCTACGTCACCAGCATCGACGTCGACGGCACCACCTACGGCGGCTACCTGATCGACACCTACTACTACGAGTCCAACCCTCCCGAGATAATCGCCTGGTCCACAACCGCCACCGACACGGGCTACGTCGCGCCCACCGCTTACGACGACCCCGACATCATCTGCCACCGTGGCGCGGAGCCCGGTGCCCTCTCTGCAGAGATTGCCCCCGGGGGGTCTGTCACCTTGTACTGGAGTACGTGGCCGACGGACCACCATGGGCCGGTGATCAGCTATCTGGCTGAATGTGGGGGTGACTGTGCGTCTGTCGACAAGACAACGTTGGAGTTCTTCAAGATCGACGAAGGCGGTTTGGTCGATAACTCTGCTGTCCCGGGCACCTGGGCTTCTGATGAGTTGATTGCGGCAAACTTCAGTCGGACGATCACGATCCCGTCGGATATCAAGAGTGGGAATTACGTGCTGCGCCATGAGATCATCGCCCTGCATGGCGCGGGGACGCTCGATGCCGCGCAGAACTACCCGCAGTGCGTGAATCTCAAGGTTACTGGGAGTGGAACGGCCACGCCAGCGGGCACGCTGGGAACTGAGCTGTACAAGGACACGGATGCCGGGATTCTTGTGAATATCTGGAATGCGCTGAGTAGTTATGAGATTCCGGGACCGGCGCTGTATACCGCTGGTTCGGGTACGGCGACTTCTTCCTCATCCTCTTCTTCTACTTCTGCTGCGACTGTCACGTCGACTTCTACCACGACATCGAGCTCCTCGACAATCTCTTCAACCGTAGAAGCGACTACCACACTGACCACTCCGGATACCAACGAGCAACTTGCGACAAGCACCCAAGACCCAGTCGCAACACCCACTGGGGATACTGACCCGACATCTACACTCCCTGCCCAGTCCACTCCACCATCTGATCCCGAATTCCCTTCTGCAACTGAGTCGGTTACTGAACAGACCGGATCCACTTCCTCTGTTCCTTCCACAGTGGCGCCTTCCAGCACACCTTGTGCAGGAACCGGCGCCGACCACGACCACGGCCACCTCGGCGGACACCACAGGGGAGGGAGACGGAAGGGTGGAAAGAAGGCTGGGTTCCGTGGAGCTCATCGGCGACATGCGCGTGATCTTGCTTTCTAGGCCATGTAAGCTATAGATTGATGAGGAGGAGAGGAGGATGTTGAGTAGAGTGGTTAGTAGCGTGGACTCGGATCAGTGTCGGTTGTCTTCTTTTCGGTCAAGATGTTGAAGCTTGACGGGTGATGTTTGCTTGTTCTCCTAGACAATGCGCTCCCCTTTATGCATAAACAGTTGGAGCGGATCTTTATGCCACGCTAAATAGGTAGAACTGCTCAATCTTTGAATACAGCAGATATACATTGGATAGAGTTTCTGAGCTGATATTTTCCGCACCGCTTCCCGCGCGTTCAAGGATAAGCATCTCACTCCAAAGAATCCTTGATCGCGGACTAGACTTGGGTAAATTAGATGATGAACCCCCCATAGTGGGCCAGGCAGCAGGGCGCGTCTATCGTGGTCAAAGTCGACGTCAATGTATCCGAATCGGTCCATTATTTTCGTCTAAGGTTTCTATGTAATTTTCAAACATAAGTCACTTGTCTTGTTTTAAGCCTGCTTTTTGAAAAACACCGACACCGAGTGTCTTTCAGTTCCGCGGCTGCCTCTCCATCTCAACTTGAATCTCTCGTGAGCGAAGAGGAGCGAAGAGCCAACTTTGCCCGTCGTCCTCCGAGAGTCCCCACGTCCATGACCCATCAAACCGGCTATGTAAATCTATCTGTCATCGCCCGTCGTCCATCGTTCGTTCTTTTAGTTGCTGTGTGCAGTCATCATATGTATGACACTACGCTCGTCTTGCTTGTCACCACGAGTCCCATCACCGAACCCGCAACGACGTCGCACAGGAAGCCTACCTCAAGCAACCGTCTAAGGCAGACGCGACTTGCCGGCCCTCCGACTCGCCTCCAGCGCACCAGTGAGCCCGTACTGCGTTGGGATACCGAGGACACGGTGGGTCGAGTTGAGGTTCTTGACGACGACCATCTGGTAGCAGGTCGCGGAGCCCTGGCGCGAGGCGATGACGGACCAGGCGAGGAAGAGTTCCCAGATCTGTACCGTTGGTTAGTTTTGGTTGGTTAATTATCGAAGTGATGTAGGGAAAGAGGGAGGAGAGAAAAGGGAGGAATTGGCGACGCACCCTGTACCATCTCGGACCGTACTTTGCGGTGACGGCTTCGACGTTTCCGACCCAGTTGCGGTACCAGCGCCAGAGGGTGCCGGAGTAGTGGACACCGACGGTGTCGATTCTGGTGATGTTAGTTTTGATCAGCTTGAGGAGATTGCGATGCTCACCCCTTGATTTCAAACCCAGCAGCCTCCAAACACTTGACATAGTACCAAAGCGGAGTTGAAGCGTCCGCGCCACGGAAAATATACTTGTTCAGATACAGCCCCCAGATAAAATCCTCATACTGCCACGCCTGACGCAGCCCCGAGAGCTGCACGTACATGGCGCCATCATCCTTGAGCATATCATAGCACTGGCGAAAGAAGCCCGTCAGCCGACGAATGCCCACATGCTCGCCCATCTCCAGCTGGGTGATCTTGTCGAACTGCTGTTTGGGGATATCGCGGTAGTCCATGCACAGAATGCGGCTCTGGTCCTCGGGGATGCCGGCCTTGCGGAGGGCGTCGTTGCCCCACGCGGTCTGGTTCTCGGCGATGGTGACGCCCGTGACCTTGGCGCCGTAGTTGAGACTGGCGAATTTGGCGAGCGTGCCCCAGCCGCAGCCGATGTCGAGCATGGTTTCGCCGTCCTTCAGCGCGATCTTCTCGCAGACGACGGCCATTTTGTTGTCCTGCATTTCCTCGAGGGATTCTTCGCGCTCGGGGTCGGAGATGATGCCCGAGGTGTAGATCATGCGCGGGCCCAGGAACCAGGCGTAGTGGTCGTTGCCGCTATCGTAGTTGGGCCGGATCTGCTCTTCGTCCTGGGCCTTGGTGTGGAAGACGACGTCGACAAAGAAGGTGCCGACGATGAACTTGAACAGGTCCCAGGTGAAGGCGAACGTCGCCCAATCATGGCGGTACTCCAGCACCTCGAGAACATCGCCGTTAAACTCCACCAGACCGTCCAGGTACATTTCCGCAAAAGTCTGGAGCGGAACCTTGTTGGACCCGTGCCATTTGGCGCGGTGCTCGTCGCGCTTGAAGGTGATGTAGTGCTCGACCGGGCGACCGGGCAACTTGACCTTTTCGTTGGTGCGCGGGCTAAAAGTGGAGGCGTAGGTCCAGAACGCGACGAGGATGGGCAGGGCAGAAAGCAGCGCCAGAAACACAAACGTCTTGAGCCCACCGCCCAGCTTGTACGTGATCACCGCCGGAACCCCGACCAGCACGCCGCCCAGCGCGTAGTTGGAGAAGCTCTCGTTTCCGGGGCCGTCGGCTGCCAGAGGCGGATTGTTGATGGCTGCAGCCTGGAATTAAGGTTAGCAGGGTTTATTGGTTCGTAATGCACTACTACCAAGGTAAGCAGCGAGAGCGACCGGCAGCTCGACTCACATTGGTCGCGGGAATTCCGGACTCGGTGCCCGTGGCGAATTTCGCGGGCGCCGGAGCTGGAGTCTCGATCCAGGTGATGTCGCTGGCCAGCTCGGGGTCCTTTTTGGTGGCGCTCATGGTCAATTGAGCCGGTGTCGAGGAATTGGAGGTGTTTGCGGCGGGGAGCTGGAGGAGAGAAGGGAATCTTGGTGGTCGCGAAAATAACACATCGCCCGTTGATCCCCGCGCACGTGCCCCGAGCCCGAGTCCGCGGGTCCCGGTAAACAATGAACTCGAGGATCTGAGACAACATCAGACATGGATTGGAACGTGTGAGACAGATGTCTCGGGTGTTTCAAATTGTCCGAGGCTTGATTGCTTATCTTGACTTCCCTGTCCCAGAGACTAATGCACCATCAGGACTTCTATCCAAAAAGCTTACGTCATACGTGGAGATATATAAACAAGCCGAGATAGCCACAACACAATTCCCAGCAATATATAACAGTAAGAAAGAGCCTTGACCCTCTTGACGATACTTACCTTACAAAACCTCCTCCTCCCTACTGAACTACATCCTGCAGTAAGAAGTTGACCATCATGGGCTCCTTTCTCGATCGGCGATCTAAAAGTATAAGGTACAGAACGCGAGCTGTTCTCATATCAGTACGCCCTGTTTAGATAAGAGGCAGTTATTTGGTATTATACATGTCTGAACTCACTGGTTACAGTAGCACTTCGCTTCCATGCAAACAACTCCGAGGTCACGGCCACACGAATAGTTTTATTATGAAAAGTAAGCCTTGATAGTAACTGTATATTAAGATATAAGCATCCATTTCCCAGAGATAAGAAGTAATCAATAACAACCACCACCAACCAAGCCAACCCAATATTATCCCTGGGGATAGTCGGCCGCAAATCCACCTGCACCCACCCAAATCGATCACAACACACTCGCACTCTTCAACGCTCCCGGAAACAACTCCTCGAGGCTCTCCCAAAGTGGCTTGCCACCAACCTGCATATCCTCAAACGCCGGACACGCGAGATCCAGCAACGGCGCCGCAAGCGCATCCGTGATAAGCTCCAGAGGAATCGCAAGGGTTTTGTATATTCCCGCCAGCGCATTCGGGCTGAGGAATTTGAGGACCTCGAAGATGAAGCAGAGGAGGTTGTTGTCTTCGAGAAGGGTCGTTACATTCAACACGCCGCCGGTGAGGTCCGATAGGTCGAGGCCTGTGAAGCTATTTACTGTTCCGGTGTTGCCGCCGATGCTGTTGGGTATGGGTGTTAGTGGGGGGTGGTAGGGAGGATGGATGGGAGTGGGACGCACCTTGCGAGCTCGGGGTGCTTGATCGCCCAACCGAGGAGATCGGCGTTGAGGTTGAGGAGGCCCCAGTCTACGGGCGTCTTGTACCAGTTCTCGGGGATCCGCTCCCAGCCCTCTCTGTAGGTGAGATTGCCCTCACTCCCATAGACACCATAGAAGTTCCGTACAATCTCCTTGGCTACCCCACAACATCCAAGGTTAACACCATCCCAAAACTCCACATAATCACAAGGAAAACTCACTCAGAACACCCTCCGGCAATTCACTCGAGTGATTCCGAAACAACCTCGCCGGAAAAAGATACCCAGCATTGCGCGCCAGAAACCCCGTAACGGGCCCGTAGTAGAACTCCGGGTTCGACGCCTTGGTCTGCTCGAACCGGATCGCCGCGCGCTCGGCCATCAGGTCCATCGAGAACGTCCCGTCGACCGACATGTCGTACCATTCCTGGAAGAGCGTCATGTTCATCGTCCACGCGTTGCCCGTTACGTACAGGTCGTCGCGCGTGTTGGACGAGTCAGATTCGATGAAGTTGTGGGAGCCGCGCAGGCCTTGGGGCTCGCCTGTACCTCGTTAGGAATGGGGATGGTTAATGTGTAGTGTGTAGGTGGCTGGTTGTGGTAAGGTAAGGCTTACCGAGTAGGCCGAGGCCGTTGTTGAGGATGTTGTTGGAGCCCGTGTCGCGGCCGCCGATGGAGAAGCCGGGGTTGATGGAGAGCGGGTTTCCGGTCCAGACGGTGCCCATGATGGCGAGGATGAGGGCGAGGTCGACGCCCATTCCGTATACTTTGGCGATTAGTATCTGCGACGTCAGGAGTGCATACAAACTCACCCTTGTTGATCGCAGTAATGACTTGGCCGAACTGAATGAGTGAGAAACAAAGCCAGCCAAAGTTTTAGGAGGTAGCCTTACAGGAGCAATACCGCTACGCGGAATATAGCCATGGTTCGCAAGAGCATTCAGACCAGGACAAGGGCCGCGCTGGTCTCCATTCTCAAAGTCCGGCGGCTGGAATGAATGCTCTCCGGTTACTGCCTGAGTTAGCGAAGATTGCCAAGCACAATATTTGATGACTATACACACTGTCGATGGGCTTGTCCATGGTATCAAAGAGAAAGCGCTTGTCGTGTTGCTTCTCCTTGATTTGGCGCTGGAACTCAGCTTGCATCTCTGCCATGGGGCATCGCTTGTCTATCTTTCTGTGGTTGTGCATGCCCATGTGGTGGAGGTTATCCGCTGATGGGAAACTGGCTGCGCAGGCTGCGAGGCCTAAAATGAGGGTCCATGCCTTCATTGTGAGGCAGGTATTACAGAATGTCGCAGAGAAGAAAGAATACCAAAAATGTAGTTGGGTTTAACAGAAGGAGTGGACGTTGCGGGAAGCAACAGTTTAGACACCAGAAGCAATGCTCAGGGCGAGCGAAAGGAAGGGCCAAAACCAAGAGACAACTAAGAAGTCGCAATAATAATGAGGTTAGTAGGGTAGGGAGAGGTTCGCTTGCATGTCGAACCCGTGGGTTACTAATCTCTATTCTTTGACTTGCCCGGGAATTAATCAGGGGTTCGACGAGCCTCAATGATGAAGATCTACGCTGCTAACCGAACGTACGCAGTTAGGTACGCTGGAGCTCGCAGCCGCTTCCTCGTCTGGACTAAAGGGTTTCCGGTCAGCGATGACGCTGGGAAAGGACAGACAGCGTATATGAGTTCGGCTGGATATATGGAGTATGCTTGTCTCCACAGCACGTACCGAGCCTGCCTTGGCTGCCTTGAGAGTTCAGTTTGATCTCGTAGTCTTCCACAAAGGGAAGGCTGAGCGATGCACAGTTTGCTTCCTTGCCGCGAGGATACGAGCCGTGCAACATGTCATAAGCGCAACTCTAAAGCAGGTCCCTGACTCAAGGCCTCTGAATATACAGTGCACGGTGTGACGGAAACTCGAGTTTGGTCTGGAGAGCTGGGAATCTAGCGCGGCGCTGGAATCCTTTGGGGCGGGACCAGGAGGCCCGAGAGCCCAAGTCTTCCCGGAAACCCAGCGAATCCAAGGTTTGCCAAATAAGCTTGACCCGTGCCGCAGCTAGCTTGGGAGCTTTTTGTCGAGGATTGTTATTAGTCTACTAGATACGTAGCTTCTTCCCTCCTGATAGCGCCTTCCTTGCTGGATTTGCCAAGAGATGCGCACATTCCTGAAAGGGAAGTCGTTGCCACAATTATGGGCTTTGATGCAGGAAGGCTTGCCGCGAAGCTTCTGGCGGATCGAGGTACAAGCCGTGCAGGAGCTTCCTTGTCCCACTCGGAAATCTGTCATGATTATGAGGCTCAGTGGCCCGTTCAACACCCTGCAAAAGCAGCCGGGGCCACTCAATGGGTGTGACGACCCATGGACAGGGTTAGGACTTCTTCTGACCTACAAACCGTTCAACATGAACCCTCGAGGAACAGACGAACCGCTGCACAATTCCTTGACAAAGGAGGCAACCGTTAATATGTCAGAGACAGAAGATCTGGGGTACAAAATGACGGGACGGACTGTATGCCGATCGCAATATTGTGCGAGGGCAGCAGCCCTACTCCTCCGGAAAATGCCCGAGATGGTGTCCAGAACAATCTTGTTGCCGCCCAGCGGACATTATGCATTCGACTAGCGACTCAATGTGGGTATCTTACTAGTCCGGTCCTTCTCCAAGATCCCAACAAAGCTACACCCGGCGGAGATCTGAGTGTTTCCCGTCCGCGCTGGCATACATCGTACCCTATGGCTGCTGGCATGTGGGCTCCGAGTCTTCAGCACGGTTGAAAGCGCGGCCGCGTTGCTGATCGGAATTATTACCATTGCTATTATTGCCGTGGGCCACGAAGAGAGACGCGGAAATCGCCATTTGGTACTTTTGCCACCGTCCACACGTGGTGTCTCAGCCATATCGTGATCAGTCAACTATATCGGAGGGATCACAGGCGAACTTTATCAGACTCTCTACCCCACGAGACCTGCGGTCGGCCTTATCGATTTCACTCCTTTGCTTCTTTCTTTTCATATGTTGCAGTCACTCTTTTGTTCTTCACGAATATAACGCCCCCTGAGATGCGGTGGTACGCGATCCTGGTCTTTGTGGCCCTGTTCTTCGCTGGGCCAGTGAGGGCAAGCTTGGAGGAGTTGGCGGCGGCGCTGCCGTCTTGCGCTGTAAGTCCAAGTGACCGGGAAAAGTTCAATGCTAACATTTTCGCAGCTCCCATGCTTCACAGAGGCCATTTCTCAGTCATCATGCGCACCGACGAACCAAACGTGTATGTGTACGAACGAGGACTTTACAGGGATGGTCGAGCTTTGCGTTCTGAAGTCGTGTAGTATTCGCGAGGCATTAAGTGAGTTTGATTATGCTCATGACTCTGTGTCCAAGAGCGCATCTAACGAACCAGCCACGAAAAATGTCTCGGCGACCAACTGCGGCGCCCCGATCCGAGATCGAACGAAAGCTGTGTCGATTGCAGGTCTTGCGGGCGGCGCATTGGCTCTGTTGGCGTTTTGCTTGAGAATCATCGCTCGGCTGCCGTGCTGTGGAGGCACGATTGGAATGGACGATTGGACGATGGCTCTCACCATGGTATGGACTTTGGATTCAAAGTGACGGGCGCTGCTGACATTCTACAGCTATGCGTCATTCCAATTTCAATACTTTCTTATGTTTGTGGGTGCAGTAGCTCCCTTACCACGATCATGGCTAATAAAGTTAGTGGCCGAAGATGGACTTGGGAAGGACATGTGGGTTGTGCCTTTTGACAATATCACCCACATTCTCTACGTATGCTCCCCTTCGGAGAACATACAGCGACCTGCTAACAAGCTAGATTTACTTCTTCGACGAATGTCTCTATCTCACCGGAATCGCCCTCACCAAAATCTCAATCCTCTGCTTCTATCTCCGAGTCTTCCCCCGTCGCGAGTTCCGCATCCTCGTCTATATCGCCATCGGCATAAACGTTGCCTACATCATTGTATTCGACCTCATCTCAATCTTCCAATGCAGCCCCGTACAAGGGGCCTGGCATCGCTGGGACGAGACGGGCGACTATAAATGCAACAACATCAATGCCCAGGGATGGAGCTCAGCAGCGGTGAATATGGCTCTTGACATCATGGTTATGGCTCTTCCGATCAAAGAGCTCTACGGGTTGAATCTGTCGTGGCGCAGAAAGGTGTTTGTGATGTGCATGTTTAGTCTGGGGATATTGTATGTTTACCATTCTGGGTTCAGGTTCTCAGCAAAGACTAACGGACGCAGCGTCACCCTCGTGAGCATCATCCGTCTGGAATCCCTCATCGTCTTTGCAAACACGACCAACTTGACCTGTAAGCACACCCTCCCCTATCCTCACTACACAAAAACACTCTTAACAACTTCAGGGGACTACGTCCAAATCGGCTACTGGAGCACAATCGAAATCCACGTCGGCGTCATCTGCGCCTGCCTCCCGGCCATCCGCGCGCTCTTCCGCCGCATCTGGCCACGCATGTTTGGCGACACAGACAAGGGGATCTCAAAGGGGTCGCGAAGCCGCTCTGTGGGAACTGGGTCCCGCAACACGGGAATTGGCCTCGCATCGCCGCGCAAACATGCGGACGATCACTTTGTGCCCCTCGTCGACATGGGCGATTCGAGTCAGTTGAACCTGACTAGTGAGTCGGGTCCGCGGCATCAGGGTTGGGCTGCTGCTTAAAATCCTTTGGTTTAGATTTTAGAGAGACCCCGTAATAAAACTTCTCTTGCCGAAGTCGTTGAGCTCTTACGAGAGGAGTCAGTTAAGATTTGTCCTGAGTTTGTGGCGCCTGCGAGTCAAGAATGCAAGCCACCGGAATTGGGACGTTCTTCAAATCCTCGCGTGTTGTGGTTCAGCTCGTGTTTCTGGAGACTCCAACCAGTGGAGCACGGCAGCTGTCATATCCCGGTTGGGCCCGTTGGAGTCAATCAATTTCCCTGCGTGCGCTAGTCAAACACCCAGTAAGCCCCGGGGCCTCCACAACACCCTCCAAGCCGCTCCAGGCCCTTTGTAGTTAACCTTAACAAGCAAGAGCTCGAGGGACAGATCTTCCCTGCCAAGCGACTCCTCCTGAATCCTGCATTTCAACCCCGACCCACCGCGGAAATGCTTCGACCGCTCGACCGCTCGACCGTTGGGGTTGGAGATGGGACGGGACGGGGCGTACTTTTGACGTCCCAGCGTGTTCTGACAGCCGGACTCGGGCTTCTGGGCTTCAGTTCATCAGGGCTAGTTCATACGTGCGATGCGTGGTTGACTCGCACTGGCGGCGTCGACGTGAGTGGTCGTTCGCTAGCTAACCCGGAGAGGAAATCAGCTAGACAGTCGTTATTTGCTTCAGGAGAAGCACATTCTGCGGTGAAGCGAAGCTTTTGGCGCAGGTTGTACGGAGTATAGCTATATTTAGTGGCGGTGGTACGGAGTGAGTGTGAGTACTTACTCCGTCGAGGTAGAAGCTTGTTAGAGAGGATCTCGCTCCTTGTGTGTCCCTCGTTTTCTTTTTTTGCTGTTCTTGTCGTTCCTTGGTATCATTCCACCGTGTATATCGAGCTTGCGTTTACACGATGTTGGTGCTCAAGCGCTTGGGATTCCTATCCCTTCTACCCTCGTTACTATCCTCGTACGTTCCCTCCCATATACGTATCCAGGTTGCCAAAGCTAACCATCATCTCCAGCCCCGCCTCTGCCAGCCACCATGCCCACACCCACAGAAACAACTACGCAAACACAACCACAGAATACGACTACATAGTCGTCGGCTCCGGCGCCGGCGGCGGTCCGCTGGCAGCACGGCTCGCCCGAGGAGGCTACAGCGTCCTTCTCCTCGACGCCGGCGACGACCAGGGCGACGCCCCGCAGCAAATGATCCCGGCCATGCAGCTGCACTCGACCGAGTACGAGCCCATGCGCTGGGACTACTTTGTCAACCACTACGACAATCTGACAAGACAGGAGGAGGACAGTAAGATGGTTTATCGCACGCCTGGGGGGGAGTTGTATACGGGTGCTGCGGATGGGAAGCCGGAGGGGTCTGAGGCCTTGGGAATTTTGTATCCCAGGGCGGGGACGTTGGGGGGTTGTACGGCGCATAATGCGATGATGTGGGCATTCTCTTCTTTTGGTGTTGGTTTCAAGGGGTGGGAGGGAGGCTAATTTCTTTTCTGTAGTGCGATATACCCCTATGAGCGAGACTGGGATGAGCTTGCTGACTTGACAGGGAACGACACCTGGGCCGCATCGAATATGCGGAACTACTTCAAGCGTCTCGAGGATAACCGCTACGCACCCAGCGATATCGTGAGCCACGGTTTCGGCGGATGGCTCCAGACCTCACTAACGCAGCTCACCCTCGTCGTCGAGGACCTCAAGCTCCTTTCCCTGGTCATCGCCGCCGGCACGGCCATGGGCCAGAACCTCGTTGGAAAACTCCTCAACACCGTTACCGGACTGACAGGTATCCTGCTTCGGGATCTGAACACCGGTGCGCCGTGGCGTGATCAACGCGAGGGGCTGTTCCAGGTCCCGCTTGCTGTCAAGGTCCCCGAGTACAGACGGACTGGGCCGAGGGATTTCTTGCTTGATACCGTTGACGACGGGTACAAGCTTGATATTCAGCTCACGACCCTCGTCACGAACGTTATCTTTGATACCGCAGGTTCGACACCCCGCGCAATCGGCGTCGACTACCTCCGCGGCCAGAGTCTTTACCGCGCCGACCCACGCGCAGGGAGTGCCTCAGCAGGCACACCGGGAAAAGCCTTTGCCAAAAAGGAAGTCATCCTCTCAACCGGAACATTCAACACGCCCCAAATTCTCAAGCTAAGCGGCATTGGTCCCCGCGCCGAACTCCAAAAGCACAACATCCCCGTCCTCGTCGACCTCCCCGGCGTCGGCCGCAACATGCAAGACCGCTATGAAACAACCCTCATCGGGAAATCACCGACCGACTTCACATTGACGACAAAGTGCACCTTCCTCGAATCCCTCCCAGACCCCTGCTACGAGGATTGGAAGAACGGCGTCGGTTTCAAGGGCACGTACATGACGAACGGGATCGCCATCGCAATCCTGAAACAGTCCTCTGTCGCCGAGCACGACGAGCCCGATCTGCTTATCTCCGGCGCCCCGGGGAATTTCGCAGGGTATTACCCCGGGTACGCGCACGATGCGCTCAAGGACGCGCAGCACTGGGCGTGGATTGTGCTCAAGGCGCGGAGCCGGAATAATGCGGGGACGGTGGAATTGCGCTCGACGGATCCACGCGATACGCCGGTGATCAATTTCCACTCTTTCGATGAGGGCGTCACGACCGATGCCGCCGACGAGAAGGATCTCCAGGCCGTGTACGAAGCCATGGAGTTCTCGCGCGAGATCTTCGACAACGTTGTCCCGCTGGACGGCGATTTTGACGAGACGTGGCCTGGCGCGAATGTCACCTCCGAGGATGCGATGAAGGACTTCATTAAGCGCGAGGCGTGGGGACACCATGCGTGCTGTACGGCGGCGATTGGAGCGGATGGTGATCCCATGGCGGTGCTGGATGGGGATTTCCGGGTGCGAGGTGTTGATGGACTGAGGGTTGTCGATGCCTCGGTTTTTCCGAAGATCCCCGGATATTATATCGTCTTGCCGGTTTATATGGTTAGTGAGAAGGCCGCGGATGTTATTCTTGCGGATGCGGGGAAGTGGTAGAGCTGGCGGAGCTGCCCACAGGGTGTGTGTGATGTATATTATATTCCTTTCTTTGGCTTAGCCACCATAATACGGAATCTTTCTTTCGCCCACGGCTAGCGGGATTGACCGGTATAGCCCATCACGGTGGTTCGTTGACGTGCATCCCCGGTACATATAGCAAGAGATAGTCTCCACTTTGAACACCGTGGAGTCTGCTTTCATCCAATACTCGCCCTGGCGAAGAGAGGTGCTCAGAACATGGTCATGCTCCATGTCGCACCACTCCCCTACAACACTTGAGGGTTAGTCTCCTCCACAAATGCACCCTCCTTCTGGGTAGCTTGGGGCCTAAACAACTCCCACAGGAAAGCCAAATGGATAACCAAAATCCACCCCCGCCGCCCACCAAGAGCGAGTGTAAGCCCCAATAGACAGGAAACAGGCAAATATTTCATTTAACCAGTCAATCTACTCACTAGATTGTCCGTGTATGGTACGACGGTCAGTCGAGATCCAACGAGCTGCCGGCGTTCAGGATGTAGCGCGTTTCATAGAGTTCTATGGCGAGGATAAGTGTGTATACTGCGATGGCGATTTCGGTCTAGTAAGGAGGGACAAGCCGAGTCAAAAGTTGCAGCTGCTGTGTGAGAATTTTCAGAGTGAAAGGGACAAAAGTGTGCAGGAGCATCTTTGCTGTGTCAAGCCAGAATGTCGGTGTGACAACGTACGCTGGGAAGCTTGGAAGCTTGGAAGCCTAGAACTGGCGGGTCTACGTATGGTTGTCAGAAGAGAGGAACGTTGCACTCACATTGGCCGTCGGCCATGTTGCAGGAGCTTGAAGTGGATGATCAGATAAAAAGTCCGCGTGGAAAAGGCGAGTCGGATGAGTCTACTAATGGCTCTTTATACCTTGGATAGCTTAGGTTGACAACCAGTCATCATCCCCTCAGATAGCACAGGGCGTATGTGGCTTTTCTCAGGTTTGATCCAAAGCACAAACCAAGATTCCGTAGACTCGGGACTTCAAAGTGGAGAGAAAACATTGCGTGGCACCGTCAGCATCCACATCAGATCATCATCCAAGCTGTGTTTTGATTTAAACAGAGGTCTGCGTGTATCTTTAGAGAGAGTGCCTCCTCTACAAGAGAGTTCAGGATAAATGTGTTGACTGGGTTCGTCCGATGCCATTAAATGGACCGTTTGGGGGTTTTGGTTTAGTCCCACCACCCATCGGACAAATGATGCGCGCCGGAAGCTGATATCAAGTTTTCTCAGTAGACATGGATAAGGCTCGGCAGGAATTGCTAAGATTCGACCATCCACCGCAGGCTCGGCTCCCTATCTGCCCTGGGGCTCAGCCTCCAGTGGGGTCCCGGGAAAATCGCAGCAAGATCATTAGGCAGCCACCAAAACCTCCCTTTCGCGTCTACAGCTACGTAGGCCTTTAGCTCTCAGCACCCTTGCGACACTTAAGCCAGCCCCGTGGCAATGGCGGACCCTCATAGGACAGAGCCTGTGCCTTGGGAGAAATCAACGGCGCCCAGCTCCAGCCGCAATTCCCGTCTCACGCACTATCCAGATATCTGGTCGTTTGATACTGGATATTGCCAATTCGCGTCAACCTTGAAGTGAGCTATACTCCATCACATCGTACTATAGCGCACGTTCTCCTCGTTGCAGGACTTCTTTACGCGACCTGACTGAGAGACGAGCGGCTAAGCAGGTGCCAAGGGAAGAGGGCGATCAGGAAGACACGTGGGGCCTATCTTGGCTACAACGCCAGTGAGAAGAACAGGGATCCGGGGGAGAACAATTGAACCGCGGCGTCAATTGGAAAACGAAAGGACTATCGACGTCTAGCTACAGAAAGGAACTACCTATAGTTCTAAGCTTTGCCTGGCAACAGAGATATCCGGCTCCTCCTTGCACCCATCAACGGCTGATCTCGGCTTGTAACTGCATGAAGACCATCAAGACAGCACAGTACCTGTGCGTGATGAGTCGGTAAGTTGAACGAAGAGAAGAGAGAGCAAAAGACGAGAGAGTAAAAGACGAGAGAGCAAAAGANAGACGAGAGAGCAAAAGACGAGAGAGCAAAAGACGAGAGAGTAAAAGACAAGAGAGTAAAAGACGAGAGAGTAAAAGATAAGAGAGCAAAAGACGAGAGAGCAAAAGACGAGAGAGTAAAAGACGAGAGAGCAAAAGAAGAGAGAGCAAAAGAAGAGAGCTTACCCAGCTGTAGCAGCGACCGCTTCCTGTGTCCTGGCATTGCTCACATATGACAGCATCACCAGGAAGAAGGCAGTGAAGACCGTGTTCACCACCAACTTCATGATTGTCATCTCCAGGTACATCAACACCCAGAGTGGGGCGATAAGCATTATGAGGACGAACGAGACGGTGATCAACTTGACGAAACATTTGATCTTGTCGGTGTCGCGGTATTGCACGTTCTCCAAGGTGGGCGAATGGACGAATTTCCGCCATTGTCGAAAAAGTCGAAAGGCTGGCCATCGCTCCAGGAACCGCCGCAGCGGACTGCTCTGCATGGAGACCAGAGCTACCGCATCATCCTGCGAGAGGTACGCCTTCTCCGCATCGTCAATGGCCGAGCCCTGAACGTCGAACCACGCGATGGTATTGTCGACGTGCTTTGGGTCGGCGTCGTGGTGTTGTCGCATCTGGCTGTAATAGTACACATGGCGATCTGGACACCACACGTCGTCAGTACACGTTTCAGGGGAATTGAGCAAGGGTCGGGACGAACAGTAATTTCCCAGCTTCTCGCGAGCTGTGTGGACGAGCGCGCGTCGTCGGGCATTCGTGTCGTTTCGCAGGGTGCCGTTGTTCACATCGTCGCCGGGTTCCGCCGCGGCCGTCTTGTCCACCGCATCCAGGTTTTGCTCCAGGTCGACAATTTCATCCTGCATGGAGAGCATGACGCGAGCGTTCAGTCGGTCAAAGCGGCGGAATATCCAGAAATTATCGGCAGATGCGATTAGTTCCGCGTACCCGGCATACCCTAGAGTGACCGTTAGCATGGGCGCCTAGAGTCCGCCCGGCGGATGCGGGGAGCTGACCGATTTCCTTCCTTGCCCGCTTATCTTTGGCAAGCTTCTCTGCCTTTTCGACGTCCGTGGTGTCTTGTTCACGATTTGGAGACTGGGTTGCGTGCGTGTGGCGGGTATCCATGTTGGGGGAATCGAAACCAGGGCTCATGACGGTGGAAAGTGCTGGAAAGGCGCCCGGAGAAAATGGAGATTGAAGATTTCACGGAGGAGAAAGCCGTCGCAGGCAGGGGAAGGCTGTTGACCCTGACAGACGTTACACGAACCGGCAACGCAACTGAGACCCAGGGCTGAGCAGCCAAAGACCAATTCGTCCAGCGTCACCAAATGTCTTAGAAGGCCACAAAGAGCGCCGGAATGAGAGCCCCTGAGCTTCCATCTTCGCCCTGCTCTCTGTCCTGTTCTTGTCATGCAACAAACACCTTCATCGCCGAGCTGACATTCCACATAGCGTTTCTGCGAGCCTTTCCATCGCCACTGACCTCTCAGGTGCATCTATCACATACGATACCTTTCCCCGGCCGAAGCTCTGTCCGCCACCATGGCATCTGGTATGCTTTTGGCTCCGCCCCCAGCTCCGCCGCACGAACTTTCGGTGACCGCTTCATCGTTCCCATTACACCGACCCGCGCCGAACCCAGCCCACGCCGCCCTATTGACTCAACCCCAATTAGCAGACGCTGCACATGGCCAGAGCGCCAGTGACACGATTCGCGTGACGCCAGGTGTCCCGACTGAAGAACCTACGGATGGAAGGATCGGTGAGGTGGTGCGACAAAAGGACCAAAAGTCTGCGACCAAGAAGCGAGGCACCTCGTTTCCATCACGCGCATCGGACTTCCTTTCTGGGATACTCAAGAGGCGGCAGGAAAAGGACAAAAAGAAAGGAAGTGCTGGTGATGATAACTCGGACTCCGACGAGGGAGACAAGGAACCAGGTACCCCATCGGAGAGGCTCCCAGCGCAGTGGCCATGGGCATGGCGACCACTCCCATCGTTCAAGGAGAGGTTTGCCAATGCCATGCAAAAAGACAAAATCGGGTTGATGTTGGATGCGGATCTGGTTATGCGTGACTTTGGGCCCGATGGATTCACCCCAACAGACTTGGACGATATACGGCAGGGTATTGATCGATATGCCGAGTTTTCTCGCAGTCCGGTAGAGTGGTGGAGGCGAATGCTGGAGCGATAGCTATTTGTTTTGTGTCCGATGCTAGGCAGAGACCTTGGACGCATGACTACAGTTCTTGAATCCCAGTTTGTACCGGTTAAAGAGTTATGACTCACTCATCTTACAGTAGTCTGGGATGCCCAACCTTACTGGGGCTTCTTTGTCGCGAGTGATAATGGCTCTTCTTCTTTCTATGGCAGTGTCTTTAAATCTATCCAAGAGCGTAAGATTGCATACTGGCTGCTTTGTCTCGTCTTTGCCTTTTGTCCCTTTAAGATGGAAGATAAAGAATCCTGCATCCACAGCTATGGTGGTCAAAGCCAGGCGTTCAAAAGAACTCAGAAGCGCGCCTGTTCTTAGACATTTGACAAACAAAGTAAACAAGTGTGTGAAAGACTTGAAAGACACACACATGTCAATTAAACCTTGGACATCTGGTATAAAAAGCCGTAGCATTTCCATCGTTGGAGTCATCATCACATCCACTGCACAACCAAACTCATTACCCCCAAGCTGAAAACCAAAGACCATGTCCAACGAGCAAATCGAGTCTCATCCAAGTGAGGAGTTGGGTCGGAGCTTCCGGGTAGACTTAATCCAGATGGCCCGAGCCCTTAATGAGGCGCAAGTGCGACATCTTGTTTTCGGTTACTCTGCTGTCAGCCTTCTTCCCGATGATCCCGGCCATGATGGGTCTGGCGTCTATCATGTAAGTGCACTCTCCGAGATCCCCATGTTTATATAGGCTAACCTTTATCATTCCAGGAGATCGAGTTGGCCGTCCCTCGTGACAAGACACTGTCGAGCTTCCGCCCGATGATCCTGAACACGACAATCTTGAACACCATGATTCTGAACACGAGTCTGGCAACGATCCAGTAAGTTCACTTTCCAGGATCCCCTTGCCCGTATAGGGCAGCCGTCGCTAACTCTTCTTGTTCCAGATAATCCAGTTCGTCGTCGCCGATGACATGATCCAAGCTGCCACGGATGCCATTGTTGCTTCTGGACACCCGGCTTGTCACGACAGAGAATGCAGTTTTCTCCAGCAACTATTGTATGCCTGTGCGCACTTCCATCCTCCCTCAGAACGCTTTGTTGTACTGCATGCACAGTCTACAGTTCTGTGGTGGCTCCCCGAATTGCCGCCCGTGCGCGCCGCCAACGCCAGCGAAAACAGTCTGGTCTATCCAGTCAAAACGGTAACTGAACGTATTCTGATCGAGGCCTTGTTGTTAATCGTTTCTCGATACCATGGGCCCGTTTCTGATTTGCACGGTAATCTGTGGCTGGAAATGCTTTTCAATGAGCTAGGCTACGCATCAGATGAGAGGCCGTGCATCGAGCTCTCCAAGGAATTTCAATCTTTCTGGGATGAACCCCAAGAGTCATCCTGGGAAGACGCGATGGGACACCTTTGGGAGTCGCTCATCTGGATAGACGGCTTTCCAGCTCACCCGGCATATCCACCTCAAGACTAATTCAAGGTGAGTGGTCTTGTCTCTCTTTCGCATTAGTATGCTGTACGGTCGTTAGTCACTTAGTTCCAACGCAATTGATTCTTTTAACTTTGGATGCAAGCTTTTTCGGTGGCTACCGTAATTTCAATCAATCCTATCATGTACCGTCTTGCGGGGTTCTTCAGGTGCTATTTGTAACTCAGTGGAAACATGTCACTGAATCCCCGTTTCCTCACAGCTCGCGGGTGTGTGGGACTTTCCTAGGCAGAATCCTGCGATGAGATAGTTTGTGTTCGTAAGCATGGGTGGCCGGCCATACAGGACACTATTTATGCCGGCGACAGTGGACCACCAACGTTCGAACAAGACTGGTTCATTATTTCCCGAAATGGGAGGCGAGCATGCCTGAGTCTCCTCGCTCTGAAAGGTGCCGCCTGACGGTGGGCGTATACAGGCAATTATAACCTAAGTCCAGCACCACCGTTTGCCTATGGGCGTTTCAACGCTTCCCTCGCAATATTATGTGGTCATTGGTTCTGGGTCGCCTCAACTATCACCCGGCCATGAACGCCAACAGGTGTTTTGTCTTCCCTAGCCAGTTAAAACAGCTCTGGATCCAATCGATAGGACAACGTATACACTCCTCTCCACCATGCTCACTCCACATCCCCAGCCTCAATCTCCTTCATCATAACCTCCGCATCGCCCGCAACCTTCCTTACAGACTCTGAAACCCTTCCCCCCCTCGCCATGTCCCCAAACCTCTCCCTCCAAAGCCCCCACCGCCCCTTGCAAAACCCATGCTTCCCCTCCCACAACGGCCCGCCTTTCCCGGGCGCGCGATTCCCCCCAGACGGAAACTCCTCCTCCCACTCATAGATCTCCACACCCAGAACCTCAATCCACGCCGCCGCAGCGGGGACCCACGCGTCGAGCGGGTCATGCTCGCTCATCTGGTCGATTGGTGTCTCGAGTGCCTGCCGTAGCGTTACGAGCGCGAACCAGGAGTACGATGCGAACACGGGTTCTTCGGTTGCCATCAGCAGAGCCGCGAAGCGGTTTATGTTTATCCACCGGCGGATTGCGTACGCGCGTTTCTCGGCGCTGCTGTTGGGGTTCACGCTGAAGTTCCACTCGTCGCGGAACGTCCAGCCAAGTGTTGGGAGGTCGCGCCAGACGACCATGTCGTGCAGGGTCAGTGAAGATCCCGGTTCCGACTCGGGCTCGTTCTCGGATTGACCAGTGCCAGTAGATGGTGGATTTTTCTCATCGGGGAGCTCGGAGATGTCGACGAGGACGTCGACGAGTTTATCGTGGTGAGTTAGTGAGTCGGCGGCGAGAGCGATGATCAGGTTCCACAGGCGACCGAGGGCGCCTTCGAGGGTTGTGTCGTCTGCGAGGGTGGCTGAGGCGAGTTGTGCAGCGGCGTCTGGGGCGGAGATCTTGTTGGCGAAGAGGGATTGCAGGATTTCGCGCCGGGAGGCATAGATTTCGTCTGCTATGTCGACCATCTTGGTGGTGGTCGGGGGGTAATTCAATTGTGGTAGCGGGCTGACCCTATGGATGAGGGAGTGGCAAGAATGCTGAGTGAGTCGAATGGTATACGCCACTGGATAGTATCGATATAGTCGGGGGAATAAAATGTCGTGGATGATTGAAGATAAGAGAGTGAGGGGTCAGGGGAGAATCTCAGCTCGAATGCGGGGCACTGCTGATCCCTGCCTGGATCTCAGCACCACGTTACATCCATCGCCACGGCGATAAGCAGGGATATCGACGTCATTATGTACAGAGGCCAAATTATTTTGCGCCTCTGGAGGCGCATGTCGAGTCTCCGCGCCCTGATTTGGCCCCTGGCGAGGCTGATCCTCTCTGTCCAATCACCGGTCAGGATTCAGTCACGCCTCCTTGAACGGCAGGGCACTTCAACGCGAGATCATATTACAACAAGGTCGACTTCGTGGCGACAGGCGTGGTTGATAATCACCATGGTACAGTTCCATCTCTGGACCAGGCAGTGCCTTCCCCTTGTAAAAATCAAAGGGCCGTACTTTGCTACGTCGAAGTATGCGCGTAAAGGCTGTGCTACTCAGAGGAGTTGAGAGCGTACCTAGAATACACTGGACAATCACCCAACACACTCTAGATCTCTATCCATCCAGGGGCCTATTTCCGCTTGAGGCAGGACAATGCGGTAAAGCACGTTGGTATTTGATGCTCCTCAATATAGAACGAAGAACATCATTTCTTACTCTCAGACCCGCCCTCCACCCTCTTATAGATGGCTCTGCCGAGTACATACTCACCCTGTTTATCAACGGCGACAAACCGCCGAGCATGGCACAAATGCCCATCGATCTCCTCAAAGCCCCAGACCTAGTCACCGGTCATTCTCTCAATCGTTGAGCCTTGGAAAAAGAAATCACTGTAGCACACCTGTTCAAGTGTCCACTTCTCTGGCACACTCCAAATAAAGGTATGTACCCAACTCGCCTCTTCAGGAGCACCATCGCCAACAGACCACTTGGACGCCGTCCCATCTTCCAGAATCTCCCCTCGCAAGAACCTCCTCCCTTTTCCATCGGCAACTTCCCTCTTCATCTGGATATCGGGATACACATCGTCGTTGTCGTCCACTGTTCCCGACACAAGTCCAGTGATATGCTTCGACGCCCAAAGACGTAATCGCTATGGTCCTGTTCACTCCAGTCAAGGACATGTAAATGCTTTGTGCCGGCCAAGCCGCCGGTCGCTGTGATCTGGATCTCGATACCAGTTACTGGCGGGGTTCTTTCGCTTTCGGTGGCGGTGCCGTTCGTGGCGTTCGGAGACGCCTTCGGGAACAAGGTCACGTCAAGAGTGACAGTCACCACGCTCACGGCCTTTCGGAGGGCCCAAGGGACGCCTTGCTATTCAGCCGAAGAGTGTCAGTTGTTTCAAGTACTCTTGGACTCAATACGTTTACTGCACGGATCGCCATACGAGCTTGAGGATACCATCTGTGCCGGTTGAGCGGGCTTTGTCCTAGACCGTGTTCAGCTGGTAGTTCCAAATCGAAGCATGGAGTACATTGATCGGAGATGCATACTATAACCCAGCGACCCCGAAATTGCTCCATAGCGATACTGGGATTGAGGGTCGATGATCGGGCGGCGGACCAGGGGTGATGAGCTCAACTTTTGTTTTCTCAAAATCGAGGGAAACAACCCGCGGAAGCGGGCATGGCTTCATAAATAGGACAAGCAGACCGACTCAGGTCGGACAACGTGTCGGAGAAAAGAGGTTGCGTTGCACAAACTATTCAAGGATGCCTGAGCTCATGCATGATGAATTGTACGGTAGGTCGTGTACTACCTAGGCCTTGAGCGACTTCGGCCATGATCGGCGATTGGACAATGGATAGTGCGCTTATTATTGCGAGTACAGTGGACAATTATTGACGATCAATCCTGGTATCGGGCACTTTGTATCAGCTGTGCACAGTTCAAGTTGCTCCATCGTGTTATTTGTATACTGTCTGATCCGGTGGCGAACCCATATTTCGAAGTTGGAGGGCGCTCTAGGCGTTTTAGATGGGATCTATCGCATGCCAAGTGACATAACACGAGAGGAGGCACCATTGGAAGTATCTGACACACGGGGATGTTGCACTGTTTCACTCGTGGCCTGAGTGATAATTTGTTTGTGTCTGACCATTTTCAAGGTCGAATCGGCTGCGTTTGCCGAGGAGATGGCGAGGTGTAGTTGGCTACATGCAGTTTATCTGCTGCCTTGCCTCCAGCTTCAACTCTATCGTGTACTCGGTTCCTGCTCTTAAATGTTGAACTTGGCGCCTCGAAGCCGTATTTAACCAAAGATCTTGGGATCATGCAAAAGACGACCTGAATACTGAAGTTGGCAGCATCTCATCTTGATCGCGGTGGACGGCAATGTCGAATTCATTGTACTCGGCACAGGCCGGAGAGACGCCAATATCCTGCGCAGAGGGGGGCCGTTGTTCGTCCTGGATTTCCCTTTAGGGGTATGGGGTGATGATGGATGCGTTGCGTATTTTGCCCCAAAGGTTGTCCCTTTCCAACTGCCGAGCACCTGCGCACCTGCGACGCACCTTCCTTCCTCAGTCGGGCATCTTCTTGCCACTCCCAAGCGACGTTAATAAGGAAGGAGCCAACAAGTATCGTACCTTCCGCGTCTTACTTTAGGGGAATCCGCCATTGTCGATGCCGCTTCGTATTTCTTCCTCCTACATATCACAAACGAGGACGCGCCCTCCGTGCCTCATTAAATACATTTTCCAGTCGGGCAACAGCGTCCATCGAGATTTGATGATGCAGCACGATTCGCTTCCCATCCAACTTGATTCCGTGCTTCCGCCCGAGCTCATTCCATTCCTCAGTTTTGATGCCTGCCTTTCCCAGGTCGACCCAGACTTGGTTCGTCTCGACCTCGCGCAACAACTCGCCTCCCAACCCCATCCACATCTCCCCGACACGCTTCGCCAAATCGTGGACAGCTTTCAACTTGCTGCGGCTCCCCCAGGGACCGATTCCGAACTGCTCCACAACCGCAAACTGTGCTGCTGCCGCCAGGGGACCGGACTGTCGCATCCCTCCACCGAGACTCTTGCGAATGCGACGAAGCTGTGCGATATCCTTCGCTGAACCGAGAACCATCGCGCCCATAGGCGCTCCGAGGTTCTTACTGAAATCCAAACTGACCAAGTCGCAGAGCGTGCAATAGTCCCAGAGGCTCCCGGCTCCGGTTGCAACCGCTTCGAATAATCTTGCGCCGTCCATGTGCACCTTGATTTCGTTGCTATGCGCCCACTCACTGACTCGTCGAAGCTCTGAGACTGGTACAACACTACCACCAGCAGTGTTCTCGATGCTAATCACTTTAGTTGGGGCCTTGTGGACGTCATCCGTAACGATGGCTCGACTGATGATGTCTTCCAGCACCATGTAACGGCCGTTGGATGGTCGGACAGTTCGCACCGAAGCGCCACTCATGCCAATACCTCCGCCCTCGAAGTGGATTACATGCGCCCGCGCATCGACGAGGATCCCGCATGGAGGCTGTGGTAAAAGGGTCCTGATGGCTAGCTGATTTGCCATGGTCCCCGAGATAACAAATGCGCCGGCTTCGTGTCCGCACTGCGATGCCATGAGCGACTCAAAGCCCGTTGTTGTCTCGTCCTCTTGGAAGACATCGTCTCCAAGACTGGTCGTGGCCATGGCAGCCAGCATTCCAAGCGTCGGCGTTGTTATCACATCACCTAGGCCTGTCAGTTATGTAGGGCAGCGACATGGTTCGCTTACTTCGGAAATCCGACTCCGACCGGTTTGTCTTGCCCCACGCGATGTGGTCCATATCGACCGCTAATGTACCTGGGAAGGAACTGGCTGAGGTCACGTCCCCGTTCATGGTGCAGATTTCTGCTTATTGTGACGCTCCACCGTCACATCGACTTCCCTGCTTTATAGAGGAACGATATAGAGCGAGCTAGAGGCTGTACCTAATCCAGGGGGGGCCGTCCGTCAGGTTGTGCCAATCAGTGACTGGGCTTCGAGACTTTTCTTCACGGGCTCAGCCGATTGCAGGCCAGGGACAGACTTATAATTTTGGTCTACCAATGAGATTTGGCCCTTGCCAGGAAACAAGACTCAGCTCAAATTTTAGCGCCGCCGTCGAACCATCGAGAACTTGCACAATCCTTGCTCGACCCCCTGTAAGAGCGCAGCACATTGCCTAACAAAGCCACCCCATCAGATTCACCATAGCCCAAGCGACATCCCCTGTTTCCCCTGGATAAAATCAGACTCCGTGCACATTGTCAAACTTGGCAGCTGGCGCATTTGGCACTTGTCAGCACAAATATGGGGCCGAAACCGCAGCCTGCAGGGATAGTCAGGGATAAGCTGCAGGTGAGGCTGTACGTCTGCAGAACCAACCCAGACAACTTGAAAGGCCGTTGAATGAGTGGTAGACCGATGGGACCTGCAGGCCTGATCCCTTTGCCATCCCTCGGTCCAGGCCGCTCGGCAAGAGCTGGACATGGTTCTGGCCCCATTCCGGAAGGGGCTCATTTCCCGGCAGCCGTACCTTATTCGCGCCATGGCTACTGCGACCATCTTGCTTACGGCAATACCTCCGCGCCTTGGCTGTGCAACCTTGATCTTGCCCAGATACTGTGCAGCCTCAGCTGAACAAGCCAGCTTGACCTGTGGTTTATAGTCCGGTTAGGACCCCCAGGATGCGGTGATACCGACAACAATCTCCCGCCATGTATCCGAAAATCCTGAAATCGGAAAAGCCAGTGGCCAGCTCATCCACGGTTGCGGTGTTGACAGAAAACATCGTGACAGAGGCACAGCTAACGCGACATGGCCTGGAACTTGAGTCCTCGACTGGCTATATCCGCTGGCGAAAGGAGAGCAAAGACCACCCGCGCAACTGGCCAGTGCTGCGAAAGACATTTGACACCTCACACGTCATGTTTCTCGAGTTTTACACGTGAGTTTGCCGCAGCATTCTTGGACGCCTAAATACTGACTTTAGTCTAGGACAGTTATTAGCACAACGGGAGTGAGTGCACGGCACACCGCCAGTTGGTCGGTTCTAACCGCTGAGAATTAGGCCTCTGCAGCTGAGCTTGCAAAAGCAGATTACAACACAAGCAAAATTACCTTGCTCGTCGCTTTCAGCCTTATGTAAGCCCCAGGTCAGCTGTCGGTAATGTAGCAGCCCGGCTTACGCTCGCCGCAGGTACCAACTGGGCCAAGCCATCGGGGGCCTTATTATTCCGCCCTCATCCGACTTGTTCGGCAGGAGAACGCCTTATCTTGTCTCGTGCGCAGTCTTTAGCGTCTCCTGCCTGATTGTTGGCGTGGTTCCGCATATAAGCGCAGTCTTCATCGGCAGATTCTTCTCAGGCCTCGCCTCGGCTGTGCCTTCTGTCGTGGTCAGTGGTACAGTGGAAGATCAGTTCAACACCGAGCGCCGGGTCTGGGTTGTGTTGTTATGGAACGCCGCGGCAACTGCAGGCCTGGCATTTGGCCCGGTCTATGCATCGTGCATTACGTCGGTGGCTAGCTGGTACGTCTATTCCCGGGTGTTGCATTCTGACTGACCGCTGTAGGCGTTGGATCTTCTACAGCGCGGCTATCGGTACAGCAGCGTGTAACGTGCTGCTTTTCGGCATCAGAGAGAGCCGACCGAGCAAGCTGCTCGCGAAGAAGATTGCATCCCTCCGGGAAGAATGTCCTGGCGTTGAACTAAAATACCACACCACAGATCCGTTTCCGACATTCCGCGTCTTTGTCAAGGTCGTCTTCATTCGCTCAACCGTCATGATGGTCACCGAGCCGATCCTGATCATTGTCTCGAGCATCAGCGCCATATCCTGGGGGCTCATCTACCTGTTTACCGAATCGCTGATCGGAGCCTATACCGCACTTGATCTGACCGAAAGAGAGGCCTCATGGCCATTCCTCGCGCTGATCGTCGGCGTCATCCTCGATGCCGTCCCACACATCTGGGAAGTCCGAACGCTGAAGCAAAAACGCCGTCAGAAAATTCCCATCCACCCCGAAGACAAAATCGGCGGATTCACCTACGGAACAATCGCCCTCGCCGCCGGACTCTGGTGGTTCTACAGCACGACACCGCCAGCCATGTCTGACGCAAACCCCCTCCTGCCAACAGCCTCTCTCGTCCCGATCGGATTCGGTGTGAATGAAATCGCATACACGCTGAGCGGGTATCTCACTGATACATACACGGTGTATGCGGCATCGGCATTCGCGGGTCTCGCGTTCGTTCGGGCTATTGTCGCGGGGATCGCACCGCTTGTGGGGCACGTAGTGTTTGACGGGGAGCAAGGGGTTGTTCCTGGGTATGTCGTCGCTGCGCTGGGGACGGCATTTTGTGCTGTGCCGTTTGTATTCTTCAAGGTCGGACGGTTGTTTCGGCAGAAAAGTGAGTTTGCGCGGTATAGTTTTGAGATGAATCGGTTGACTACGGTCGAGGTTGTGAATGATTTGGGCGAGGTGTAGGGCAGATATATATATGAGGCTGCTCGCGGGCGACTCCGTTCTCGCGGGCAGGTTTCCCAACCTGGAGATGTGCAGCTACATAGTGAGATATAGCCACCCTCTAGAGGTTGTATTCCCTCTCTGGCCATTTCGCAATTTTTCAAATGTGATGAAACGTGGACAGGGGATTGCGTGCTCCGGGCTAACCTGCAAAAGACCCCGATATCGTGCAGCCAACCAGCAGTGGCCGATGACATGAAATCCTCCGCTAAAAAGACCCGCTCTCCCCCGCCAAGACAGTCTTGGCAATCATGTGAACAATCCGCGCCCGCTCACTGGGCTTCAGCACGCGTCAATTCAACCTTAATTTGATCGAATCTTATAAAATGTCGAAACTCCCCCGTTGCGCCTCTCAATGATTCATCCCGCTGCTGCTGTAGCACCGTAGATCAGCCCGGAATCGATAACGCCTACCATTGAGTGGGAGTAAACATGCTCCTCCCAACCCGCACGCACTTCCTCTCCTCTCTCCGTGCGCTGCAGCGGAAACTCCACAGCCACGCCGAAGCAAGCCTCAACTCGCGCAGCGATCATGACGGACCACCTACTCTACCCAGCCGTCTCCTCGACGTCTTCCTACGAACATGGGATCTAGGCTTCACGGCCTTTGGCGGCCCGCCCGTGCATTTCCAGATCCTGCATAAGCGCTTCGTTGAGAAGGAGAAGTGGGTTGATGAGCAGACGGTACGCCTACCCTAATAATAGCGATTTGAGTAAGGGGTGGTTACTGATGGTGAAACGCAGTACCAAGAACTCTTCGCCATCTGCCAGGGCCTCCCTGGTCCCGCGAGCACAAAGATGCTCTTTTGCCTTGCGCTGCTGCATGCGGGGTTTATCCCCGCTATGCTTGTTTTTACGCTTTGGTGGTACGTTCATTCACCCCTAGGACCCCCAATTCCTCACCCATCCCCATTTCCCCAAACCAATACTTACAGAACTCAGCCTCCCCGGCGCAATCGGCATGTACGCCCTGAGCCTCGGCGTCCAACGCATCGACGAAACCCTTCCAAAACCCGTGTACGCGCTCCTCTCCGGGCTGAACGCCTCAACGGTGGGTATCATCGCGCTTGCGGCGGTACAGCTTGCCGAAAAGGCGATCCGCGATCGGATTTCAAGGATTTTGGTGATTTTTGGCGCGTGTGCGGGACTCTGCTATAGTGCGCTTTGGTATTTTCCTGTTCTTATGGTTGCTGGCGGGGCTGCTACGGCGGTGTGGGATGGGTGGGGGTTTGGGGTTGTTCGGAGGGTTAAGAGGGCTTGGAGAGAAAGGCGGATGAGGAGGAGGGCGGTGGCAGAGCAAGGGACAGAAGGGGATGGGGCCGCGGCGGATATAGAGATGGTAGATGAGCCTGCGTCTGCGAAGGGTGTATCCCAGGCGCAGACTCCGGCGCAGGGGAGTGACAGGTTGAGGATGCGCAAGCCGGATGTTGGGGCTGCGACGCTCCCGCAGACTTCGGCGGATGGGTCGAACGACAGTGAGGCTGAACAGCCCCCGCAGGACCATGTCATCCGCGTTCGCGTCGGCGCAGCCATCGTTGTCGTCTTTTTCGGTACCACCCCTCCCTTCTCCAACTCCCACTTGAAAGCGATTTGACTAACTGCTTGCCATACAGCCTCGTTTATTGCAATAATGGTCACCCGCGCGCGCCTCCAATCCCCACCTTTAACCCTCTCCCTCTTCGCAAACATGTACCTAGCCGGGACAGTGATCTTCGGCGGCGGCCCCGTGGTTATTCCCCTACTCCGCAGCTACGTCGTAGACCCGGCTGGGTCTCCTCTCGCGACTTCCTCCTCGGCCTCGCCATCATCCAAGCCTTCCCCGGGCCTAACTTCAACTTCGCCGTCTTCCTCGGCGCCCTCGCCCTGCGCACCACATCCCACGCTACAATCGTCGGCGCACTCCTCGGCGCCGTGGGCATCTTCACCCCGGGCCTATCCCTCGCTGTTGCAATGCAGAGTTTCTGGCGCGTGTTACGGCGGAAGGCGTACGTTATCAACTTTTTACGTGGTGTGAATGCAGCCGCGGTTGGGTTGGTCTTCACGGCTGTTTACCGCCTGTGGGAGATTGGGTACTTGACTCCGAGGGAAAGCGCCGGCGTTAGTTTGGCGCGGGAGCCCTGGTGGGTTGTCGTTGCTGCTGTGACGTATGCAGAGGCCGCTTGGTTTAAAGTCCCCCCTGCCCTCGCGATTATGGTCGGTGCTGTGCTGGGGCTTTGTTGGTTTGGGGTTGTGAAGCCGGGCGGTGGTGCTTGGGATGTTAGTGGTATGGCCTAGAGACAAATGCGTTGAGGGTTGGTGTTTGAGGGGGAATCGGGCGAGGAGGGAAGGAGGGAGTGATGGTTAGGGTGTCGATAAGCGCCAGGAAGGGTTCCCCTATGAGGTACGTCCCTTCAGGGGATTGATACGAGTGGTATCGTCTATCTCTGGTGTTATAGAAAAGTTTCAGTGGAAGAGATCTCACTACGGCCTCGGCCAACTTACGGTATATGAGACATCGAGTTGCCCGGTGACTCGAGCCTTCTTTTCGTGCGCGGTTTCGGGGTGAAACTAGGGTCCTGTGTGTCGAGGCGTTTGAACTACATATAGGCTTGGCTTTCGCCCTGCTAAGTCAGATGGTATGACTTTTAATTAGAACCTCTTCATAATTTGACCGTCATATCATCAATATCGTGCATGAGTTGATTTCGGGCAACCTCCTCATGTAACCACCCTACTCAACAATTCCAAGCCGGGACGAGCGAGAAAGAGGAGCACGGGCGTCTCTGTTCACCGGTAAGCTTTCAGTGGTAGATATTTAGAACAGAGTGCTGTGTACCTGAGCTGTCCGGGAAATGGGTGAGTAGACACAATGCAGACCCTTGGTATATCGCCACCGACCTGCAAAGATTCGTTATCCTCTTAAAGTATTCTAGCCTGTAATTTCCATTTCTACTATAGTGTATACATAAACCCCATTACGGCGGTAGGTCTGCGTTCAGTACCCTCCCTCCTTACAGGGTTGGTGGCCACCCCTGAGCGCAGATAATGTATTCTGCTGAGGGCAACAATGTGCTTCTGCCACGAACGACTCCGTAACACGAAATAGTTGGAACCCTGATGAAGGATTTCATCCGACGGCCCTCAACACGTAGAGGAAGAAATTTCCCCAAACAGTTCTCCTAGTTCAACTCAGCGTTAGAGAGCCAGTACTAGTAGCAAGCCATGACCCGCAGGATCATTGGCATTATGTAGTCAACAGCCAAACACCACGCCGGTTGGAGCATAATGGTTTGTCGCTGCCAAGGTCACCAGTTCGTGTTCACTGTACTGGTGCTAGAAGGCCATCGCCATCGCCGACGCCGATGTGCCCATGCAGACTCCTGTGGATAGAATTAGGTAAGATTGAATGGGAATCATGGCGCCCCACTCCACGTGGAATTCTGCACGATCGGGTGGACCAGCAGGGTATGGATGCCGGCATTATTGTGGTGCTATACGATGCTACATTACCGCTGGTACCGAACTGGATGGAACGGGCAGGTAGTCCTCGTACGAGCACCAGAATATGCCTTGCCTAGGATGGACGGCGGTAGATGAGCTCTCCATTGAGAAAAGGATCCAGCATGGCGCAAACCAAGTCGCTAGGGGTATCGGCGACGAAACAACCATCTTGGTTTTTTTGACTGTTCATCTGCTAGCCAGCTCACCGGCGCTCGTAAACAGTCAGTCACTCAGCCCCTCGGAGGGTGTGGATAGCCTGTCAGCCGGTGAGCATATGGGACTATGGTTTTTGATCGTGGAGGGGCGATGGAAGAAAAAAGCCACGTGGGATCTAATCGTAGATCGGGTTGTTATGCCCGGGACTATTGGGTTCCAGATCTGTTTAGATCCACATTGACCAAGTTGGCGAGCTTTAGATCCAAAGTGTACAGCTTTGTAGCTGGAAACATTGTGGGCTTGCTGTGAGCTCTGGTACCGTCCGGCGCTCATGAAAAGGAGCTTGATCCTTTATCCTTGCGAGATTAGAGTACTCTAGAGTCATAATTCTGCAGTATTGAACGTACGCGAGTCAATCTGAATTGAGATAGGACACCAGAACTTCTACTCAAGTACCACGGAGGGATTTCTGCGATGGCTGACTGGAATCTCGACAACTAAAATAGTCGATGGCCAGGCTGGTACGGAGTACCTTACAGTCATTTCCATCTAAGCCCTCTTGATTGGATGACCAGCCAGTCTCAGCAAAGTTCCAGAAAACTCCTTGAGTGGATACGCTGCTTCATTGGATAAATGCGAATCTGGACCCAGCTGGACGGGCTGGTTCCGAGGTTGTGCCGGACTGGCCGCCCGCGCGGTTCACCTCCTTAAATACTTTCTCAGCTTCCCGGCCCTTTGATGTCACGATCATCATCCTTTCTTCCCAAAATCGCAAATCATGGGCTTCATCCGCGGCGTCTCAGCCGTCACGGCCACGGCCGTGGCCCTTGTCGGTGCGCGGGCTGGTGTCTGCCTGCCCAAGTCCACGACCCCGAGCGTCACGATCGGACAGGGCGTTGTGAACGGGTTCGCTGAGAACAATGCAAACGTCTACCTCGGCATCCCCTTTGCGGAGACCACCGCCGGCGAGAACCGCTGGAAGGCACCCAAGTCTCTGGCCTCGTTCCCCGGGGGTAGCTTCGATGCGACCGCCTACGGCCCCTCGTGCGCGCAGGCCATGTCTGGCAACGCGATCACTGCGCAGAGCGAGGACTGCCTGAACCTGAACATCTGGACCCCGGCTAATGGCAAGGGCAAGGATTTGCCCGTTTTCGTCTACATCTACGGCGGTGCCATGGTGACTGGTGGAAGCAGCAATGCGCAATGGCAGGGATACAACTTTGCGCGCAAGGACGTCATATATGTCAACTTCAACTACCGTGAGAGCCTGTATGCCTCGCCCAATGCACCTGAGCTCGAGGGGCAGTCGCAGAACTTTGGGATCATGGATGTTGAGCTGGCGCTGCAGTGGGTCTATGATAACATTGCGGGTATGTCTCTTCACACCTACCTCACCGGTGCTATACTAATGAATCGCAGCATTCGGCGGAGACAAGTCGCGCATTGTCCTTGGTGGCCACTCGTCTGGCGGCGTCCACGTCGACCACTACCTCTGGACACACCCCGAGACCTTCCTCGCCGGCGCCATCGAAATGTCCGCAAACGCCCAGTCCGGCCCCGCAGTCACCCCCTCTGGCGTCGGCCTCAAGCAAGTCGTCCAGGACATGCTCGACGCCGGCGTCTCCCTCTCCTGCACCGCAGAGGACTACACCCTCGACTGCCTGCGCGCCGCCGACACCTACGCCTTCCAAACAACCTACTTCAACTCCACCTCCAACACCTGGTTCTCCCCCGTCGTCGACGAAATCACCCGGTTCTCCAACTACGCCGACCGCTTCGCCGCAGGCCAGTACCCGACCTCCCTCCCGCTCATCGTCGGAAACTCCGACCAAGAGGGCGCGATCTTCGGATACGTCTACGGCAGCGAGAACACGGATTTCGCATCCTGGATCGGCACCTTTGACGCGGACATTGCCTTCGTTCCCGAGGACCAGCTTCTCAACGCATACGACGCGGCCGACTACGCCTCCGTCTCCGCCATGAGCGGCGCATCCTACGGCGACGCGCGCTTCCTCTGCGCAACGGACTACCTTCTCGACATCCGCGCCGCGCACCAACCAACCTGGATCTACCGCTGGTTCGGCAACTACTCGAACACCCTGCCGATTCCGAACCTTGGTCCCTCTCACGGAAGCGAGGTCCCCTTCCTCCACGGTGGGAATGAATGTTTCGCCGAGCTGAGCGGGGTCACCGACGAGCAGCAGCAGCTCGCGGATTACGTGAATGACTGGTTCGTCGAATGGATTAAGGATCCTGCCGCTGGGCCGGGGTGGGAGAAGGCTCGTCCTGTCAATGGGCCGCTTGCAAGGGTTGGTGTGCCTGGGAGTGAGGAGGAGATTGTTATGAGTACCACGGGCGAGTATAACGCGCGCTGCCAGAGTGTGTTCAAGCCCAATTATCCCAACTATCCCGTTGTCTTGGATCCCGTGGCGCTGGCTGCTAGTTCTTAGAGGGGTGCAGGTCATGTGTGAAGGGGTTTACTTTCCCTATGTGTATAATAATTCCATATAGATTTTTACTTGATAATGCTCTGGATTCACTGGACAAAGGGATGGAGTTCGAACTGTGCTCATTTCCTCTTCAATAGTTGGTCGCTTTGAGTGCGAGCGACCGACTCGTTGTAGGTATACCAGCTGTCTGGGCACGGCAGGCAATACGAGAAGGAACCTGCCAAGGATACTGATTCTCATGTGCTGGTGAGATTTTCGCTAGCTCCAAGCCACGAAGTCCAGAGGTCGCAAATGTGATAGAGTCTGGATCATGCAGTGATAGTAATGCCAATGGGCTTGTCGTCTTGGATTCGTGGGTCAGAGACCAGTGAATTATCAAATGTTTAGTCTCAGACAGCTGCCAGTGTTGATATACCTCGCCCATAGACATAATGCGAATAATGCAGTATAACAATGCATCACCAAATAATCCTCATAAGATCAACAGATCGTCCCTGAGAACTCCGGAGAAATCATTAACGACCGGCCGTAACCCAAAAGCTTGGAAGCACGAGCGACGGCAGAAACTTCTTCATCAGGCAGGCAGCTCGAGTGCAAGTGGAGATTCCCAAGCCCTAACCTGGACCGAGTACGCCAAGTGGGCACCAGCCAAGCGAAATGGGAATCGAATTCTGCAGGACCCGCCCGAGGTTTTACCGGCTCAGCCAACGATCGTTTCGAGAAGGCCGAATTCTCGATCGGCAGTGCGTTCTTGATGGTTTTGGGTTCGCCGAGCCGAGAGGTGGGTATAACTATTTGTGGCTGTGGCACAGTGGTTATGTTGGGTGTGCTTGAAGATGAAACGGCGAGCGTTTTTGAGGAACAGTGACTCGATGGGCATCTACGGGGATGGATTTCTAGATGCACAGATCTGCAATGAAGCCATAACGACTGTATAGATGTATTCAATTGTTCTCGACTGACAGAAGGAGTTTGACAACGGTTGTGTGTATTGCAAGAAAGGGGAGCCCAGCAGGTGGTACAATCGGAGCCTGGTTCCTTGGTTTGAGTCTAATGGCCAAAGTCAATCCATGATCCAGCGCCACCGTTCATGGCACACCTCTGCTCTCTTTGCAGGTTGGGTCAGCTCCTTATAACCATGGGTGGCTGCTATTTGCTCTCCAGGTTTTCATGTCATACCTAAGGGAGTAAGGGTGCTGCAAGGTTCCTTGCTGCGTCCACATCGCCATGGCTCGTCCAGATTTAGGCCAAGTGGTACTGTTTTCCCACGGCGTCGTTTTCCGCGCTTCAAGGATCATTCAAACTGCTAACTTGTGGTCGGTGCTCTAGGTCTCCTGGTACATCTGCACGATCGTCGCCTGCATCTTCCTTGTCGCCCGCCTGGCCGTTCGATGGCAGCTTCTCAAGCGCCTTTATCTCGATGACCTGCTGGTTACGCTGGCGGCCCTGTGCCTGGTGGGAGACCTGGCAATCCAGCACTACATGTTTGACCAGGGTACGGGTTCTCCAATTCCTTGCTTACCGTGTTGACAACCTTGTCACTCTAACAACCAACACCAGGCATGTCCGAAATGGCCAATACAACCACAACCGAGAAGATCAACATGATGAAGGTTCGTTTCGTCACTACAACCCGCGCTTCCCGCCTGCATACAGCGATCGCCCTTTAGCGCTCGCCCGGCCATCCCATCCCGAAGCTAACCCCTCCCGCCTCCTGGTTGTATAGATGATTATCCCAGGCTCCACACTCTATGTCACCTCGCTGTGGCTCATCAAGGCTAGCATGGTCGTCTTCTACAAGCGTCTCGCCGATCGGACGAAATACCAAATGATCTATAACATCACCCTGGGCATTCTCGGCGCGACGTGGTTGGTCCTGTTCTTCGATATTGTCTTCAAGTGCTATCCGCCGAATCGGCAGTGGAGGGGGCTTACAGATCCGGAGCGTCAGTTTGGCTGTTTTATTGGGTCGGATGGGAGTTTTGCTGATGGGTGACGTATAGTGATGTGTCCCGAGAAACCTGCGACGATTAATTATTGGCTTACGATTCTCTGTATGTTCTACCTACCCTTTGGTATTTATTTGACTGCAGCAGCTGACCGGTAACGCAGTCAACATTTTCAGCGACGTCTTCATCATCTGTCTCCCCATCTCTCAAGTCGCGCGGCTGAGAATGCCCAGGAAGCAGAAGTGGGGAGTCATTTCCGTCTTCCTTCTCGGTGGTCTCGTTGTCATTACAAGCAGTACGTCCTGATGATCAGCACTCCCTCCTCCCCTCCCCTCGATCTTCCTCAGCTCCAAAACTAATCCATAATTCCCCTCTAGTAATCCGCGCCGTCTACTCCCACCGCAACGAACAAATGATAACCTGCACCGTCTCCATGATCGAAACCGCGATCGCAATCATCGCCTCCTGCCTCCCCGTCCTGCGCACCCTCTTCTTCGGCGCGCACTCTCGCACGGGCACATACAGCCAACGGCGCGGCTACGAGCTCTCTGGGTCCGCTGGCGGCCCACATACAGGTGGACCCTCGACCAAGGGCCGCACGACCGTCTCGGTCTCGCAGACGGGGACGGGGATAGGACTCGAGAGTCGGATTGGGGGTGGGAGTCGTGCCGAGAGCCGCGATCAGCTGTCGAGGCATGATTCCGAGGATGGGCTTGTTAAGGAACATGGGGATGCGGGTGTGCGCGCGCCGGGGCCCGGGATTGCGGTTACGCATGAGTATTTTGTGTTGGAGGATGAGAGGAGTGTTAGGGGGCGGTCGGGGGGAGTCCTTTGATGGACTGAGGAGGCGAGGGAAGGGTCTGAGCTTGCGGAATTGGATTGGGGATTGAGGTCGAGCAAGACTCACACTGGGGTGTTGTAATGATATATGTGTCGGCGGCCGTACGCCTGTGGTCTAGGTAGCGACACGATATTCACCAGGTTTCGATGCGATAGATAATTAATGACAGGTTATAGAGTATAATGCGTCTAGGCGTGTTATTCAATACTTTATTGATTGGGCCCCGCGACTGGATAATTATGTTCTGACGAGTTTGCCGAAGACATATATATACGAACCACGAATAGCCACAGTCATATCAAGCGCCCTTCCGTATAACAGTGACCGTCTATATACTTACACACTTTCGAGTCCTTTGTCTCTCCTACCTCACTGAGCATTTATCCACACAGTTTTTGCTATCATCTAGAGTTATGTTTAATGAGTACAACTAACTGGGGAGACAAGTGCGCCCGGGTTTACAACCAGGTGAGAGAAATAAGAGACACAGTAATGAACCGTTAATGACAGAAGCAACGATAATACAAAAATATACCATGTGTTGGAATGTTTGCAAGCCTGATTGAGCAGGGCAAATAACCCTGCTTTGTGATTAGAGACAAGAAGCGGGAGCAATAGCTCCATGGTACAGCTGCCCCTACATCCGTTGGCAATTATATATTTTGTTGCGCAATCTTGTGGATTCATGATTGTCCTCTATCAAGACTGGCTCTAAATGCCAATCAGAATAAACATTGACACTTCAAATAGATATTTGCGTGGCCCATCTATGCCCTCACCACAACCGACATGGGCCTCGACATGGTTACAAATACTAGGTATGAACCCTATATTCCCTGCCACGCGGAAGCAGCCACAACACGCAAATACATTCTCGGGAAGCTTATTGCGGTCTCTTTCTAAGCGTTCATCCTATGAGGAGGAACTACTATGTACTTGTGACGTGTCGAAGTATGGCATGGCAGCGTTATTGAACATGTCGGGTGCTTTGGTCTCCTATTTGTCCCCTTCGAAAATGACCAAATCAACATGGTCACTCGTGTATCGTACAGAGAGAGCCAGGTGTCTCCAACAGTCGATCGTTGATTCAAGGACACTCCAGGAAATGCAGTGTACTTTGCCTGGGTGCGCACACCGATGCCCGAGAAAGCCATATGGCTGGACCCGGGAATTCCGGATCTGATAGACATGGTACTGTCAGCCAGTCAGTCGAGCGTGCTGCAGAGCCTGCGGCGACCGTAAAGGCTATTACATACACCGTGGGAGATGGGAAAGCTTGTATTAACATGACAATTGCGGTAAATGATGCGAGCAGGCGCCACCACGGAGCTTGCTGCTAGACTTCCCGCGCCGACCACGCCGTCGTCAGAGAGACATCGGTATGAGCGTCCGGTAAAAGTCAAAAATAACCATTATCCCGTGTTAGGTCTTGTCTGCTGATGGTGTTCCTGAGCGGTTGAGCCTCGACCGCGGTGCGGGCAGGTTTGTTGCGGGTGTGGAGAGTGTCAGGTCGAGACTAGATGAAACGGCCTCATCCATGGATCGCCGACCAAGCCGTGCGTACCTGCGTGATGGCGAGAAGTTAGAGTATTAAGGCTAGGCTTGACATGTACAGAATAGACAATGATCTACAGCGGTCTTTCACGACTTTTACGCTTCAGATGTAGGTAAGAGGGGAGTCAACTCTACAAGGATGGCTGCATGGCGGAACAGAGCCATATTATCAGATACGCCTATGTAGAGGTCCCTTTATTGCCAAGGGGAATTTGGAATCGAGCCTTGGAGTATCCTCGTGTGGTATTTTGACCCTTTGCCCCTAGGGCGATAACTGGGCGCAGAAATTTCTTGCACTGTCTCCCTGAGGCCCGGGTATTGACCGTAGGGGGCGACACCACCGTTGTCACATATCCTACCTAGTAGGTCAATCCTTCTCCTATGGAGAGCCAAAAGTCGATAAGGATGCGAACACACTGTTACAGACCGAGACATATGTGCATGTGCTCGAACACCTGTTTCTAGGCTTACCCCGTTGAGTCGTATATACGCAACCTGGAGGCGGCCGACTCCCGGTGGCATGGCTACTCTGGAGCTAATGATCGAATTAGTTTACAACTGGAGCGATCATAGGGGGAGTCGGCTGTCGGAACTAGTTTGACGGCTAGGCACTCCTCAAACAACTTACCTCACGCTTCGGTGCCTTGAATGGCTCAGGGCTCGACGCTCTACCCACAACTCCCTAAATAGGCACTCGACTGCCAGGGCCGCAAACTGCGCTATACCCGGTTTAGGGATCCAGGTGTCCGAAGCTAGATCAACTGGGGACGAAAGTCTGACATCCGACATCTAGGGTTGGTGCATATTTTGACTGGGAGAGCCCTTGACTCGGTCTATGGAATGGTACACTTTCAACACAACTGGGGTACTTTGACGTTGTTCTTGATGTGGTGGCGTAGAGCACTCGTTCGTTATGAGCATTGAAGTGTCTGTATAACTTTGCAGCTCAAGGCACGATTCGAAGAGTCCGACATCGAATTGTTTAGAAACTCTCGCGGACCTATATTTGGGCTGTCGTCTGAAACGAACAGGGGAAAGTCGAATTTTTGTGGAGATGGTGGAGATGGCTGCGATTCAAGTTCGAACAACAAGAAACAAAGGCTTGTTTTGGGTTCACGGGCAATTCTCCGAACGGAGGCATGTCCGAAGGCACGGCCTTGTTTTGAGGCTTCAAGCATCGACTTTTTCTGTTCCCATAGTTCATCGCTCGAGTATCCCAAGTCTATCTGGGGGATTCCCCCCCCTTGGCTGCAGCAACCCGCAAGGCGCGTGGGCAATTGGGCTCTGATATTCAGGACTCGTTAAGTGCCTTTGACCATGGAAGGATTTATCCGCCGAGTGCTGATAGGCCGTGGTGTCTTTTGGCAGCTCAGGAGTCAGGAGTGTGCAGTTCACGAGTCATGAACCCTGGTTCGTTGGCGCATCTCGATCGCGAACCAGGGGCGATCTTGGCTGATTAGGGTTGGTCTTCGGAGTAGTGCGGCAACCAAGTGTCGCACCATTTCTGCAGCCATTGCTTGGTAGTTTCCAACTCTACCAGACATGCATGTGAAGAGCCCTTGAACTGCATCGAGGCCGGGATGGTTCGCTTCCAGTTCGTTCTTTCGAGTCTCGCCGAGAGCCGGACTCCGGGCATCCCCACTATGAAACATCCTACCACGCGAACTATCCCTACCTCAGCAATTGCTCGCTGGAATAGTGCGGCATGCTTCTATTTCGAGAGCGCCAGATGTAGTAATCGAGTTTTCGCAGGCTGATCTGTCTGTTGTATCTTGCCTTCAGTCAAAACTCGGCTTCTGTGCGTATCCACAGCGAAACATGCTACAACAAGACAGATATGGCTCATATTCCGGCTCGACAGTGTCCCCGAATCGCCTCTATATAAGCCAGCAAGAATACCCAGCATCTTAGGAACTTCATCAACGCCTCATCCGACCTTCTCTCTTCTCTTTCCCTAATTCTTTCGTTCTCACCATTCGCTTCTCGTTTCTCGTTCCATACTCTCGTTCTCGCTAATCTGAGCTGTGCTCACATACAAAACTATACCTACTCTCGTTCCACATTTCGTTTATACCCATACCTAATCAAAAATGAAGGGAGTCGTCGCCCTCACCCTTCTCGCCGGCGCCCTCAGCGCACCGACACCCTCCGACCTGACCGCGAAAGACCGTGCGTCTTCTTCCGTCCACAAACCCCGGACCTTCTTCGGCAGTGGCCTCGGCCTCGGCCTGGGAGGCTCCGCTAGTGCAGAGGGCTCTGCCTCGCTCGGTGCAGACGGGGGCCTCAACCTCCTCGGCGGCCTATTCGGTCTCGGATCTGGATCCGGATCCGCGTCTGCTACTGCTGGTGCTAGTGCATCGGCTAGTGGCTCCGCTGATGTTGGAGCGTCGCTTGGGGGCTCCGCTGGTGTAGGCGGATCTGCTGGTGCTAGCGGCGCCGGTTCCGTTGAAGGCTCTGCTGAAGGCGATGCTGAAGTTGGAGCATCTGGTTCCGCCGGCGGTTCAGTGGGACTTGGAGCTGGGGTCAGTGGCTCCGCTGGCCTTGGTGGCCACGCCGGTCTTGGCGGACACGCAGGCCTTGGAGAATCCGCGGGCGGATCTGTTGGCGGTTCCGCTGACGGAGAAGGAGAAGTTGGCGGATCTGATTCCGCCGGTATTGGCGCTGGTGGTAGCGCGTCTGCTGGCCTTGGAGGTCATGCCGGGCTCGGCGGTTCGCTTGGCCTGGGAGGTTCTGCAGGGCTCGGTGGTTCCGCTGGTATTGGCGGTTCTGGCGAGGCTGGAGGTTCCGTTGGAGGATCAGCTAGCGGTTCCGCCGGCGTTGGAGGTTCCGGAGAAATTGGCGGATCTGCAGGTCTTGGAGGATCTGTTGGTGGATCCGCTGGCGCCGGCGTATCTGGTAGCGCCGGCGGCTCGCCTGGAGTTGAAGGGTCCGCTGGTGCATCTGGTGACCTCGAAGGAGAAGACTGTGTCAATGGAACCGCTGGTGCTGGTGCTGGTGCTGGAGCCTCTGGCGAGGTTGGAGGCTCCGCAGGCCTCGGCGGATCTGGCAGCATCGGCGGTTCAGCTGGTCTAGGTGGATCCGCTGGGATTGGTGGTTCAGCTGGCATCGGAGGATCTGGAAGCGCTTCTGGCGAGGCTGGAGGCTCTGCAGGCGTCGGCGGTTCTGGCAGCGTTGGTGGATCAGCTGGCATTGGAGGTGAAGCTGGTGCCTCTGGTGAACTTGAAGGGTCTGGAAGCGTCAACGGAACCGCAGGCATTGGAGGATCCGCTGGTATTGGAGGTTCTGGAAGTGCTTCCGGCGAGGTTGAAGGCTCTGCAGGTCTAGGTGGTTCTGGCAGCATTGGCGGATCAGCCGGCGGCTCTGCCGAACTTGGTGGTTCCGCCGGCATTGGAGGATCTGGCAGTGTTGGAGGTTCCGCTGGAGGGTCAGCTGGTCTTGGAGGATCTGGACACGTCAATGGAACTGCTTCTCTCGGAGGATCGGCTGGCGCTGGAGTATCTGGCAGTGCCGGCGGATCTGGCAGCGCTGGTCTTGGAGGATCCGGACATGTTAACGGAACTGCTTCGCTTGGAGGATCAGCCGGTGCTGGTGTATCTGGAAGCGCTGGTGCCTCCGCTGGTATTGGTGGTTCCGCCGGTATCGGAGGCTCTGGCAGTGTTGAAGGCTCTGGGAGCGCCTTCGGTTCTGCCGGCATTGGCGGTTCTGCTGGTGTCGGCGGCTCTGGCAATGTCAATGGAACTGCTGGAGCGGGAGTGTCTGGTACTGTTGGAGGATCTGGCAATGCTGGTGGTTCCGCCGGTGCTGGTGTCTCTGGAAGCGCTTCAGGTTCCGGTGATGTGGAAGGCTCTGCCAGTGCTGGAGGATCGGGTAGTGCTGGCGCATCTGGTAGCGTCGAAGGATCGGGCAGCGCTTCAGGCTCAGGTGATGTTGAGGGCTCCGCTGGTGCTGGTATATCTGGCAGTGCTGGGGCTTCTGGTAGCATTGAGGGATCTGGAAGCGCCTCTGGTTCCGGTCATATTGGAGGCTCAGCTGGCGCCGGAGTCTCTGGAAGCGGCTCCGCCTCGGGTGACGTTGAGGGCTCCGCTGGCGCATCTGGCAGTGCAGGAGCTTCCGGTGAAGTCGAGGGCTCTGCCAGTACTGGCGCGTCGCCCACCACTGGCGGATGCACCTGCGCGGAAACTGGAACTTCCAGCGACAACGATTTCGACCTCGATGACCTGTATGACCTCATTGGATCGTCCACTACTACCTCTGCACACGCCTCGTTCTCGACTAGCTGGAGCTGGCCTTAGGTCAGGCGCAGTTGCTCTTCCTGACGCTTTGCTTCGCAGGGCATCCTTCTCTCTGCGCCCTCGTTTGTGAGGCGCTTACGCTCCTTAATGTGCAATGTTTTGTGATAAATATGTTTGTCTTTTTTTGATTTCGACACGTCCTTCCTGACTAATAATCATGTACATCAGTTACTATCTCGTTATCCCATGTCTCCATATAGCCGCAGACCATAATGCAAGGGATACTTTTCCAGATGGATCCTATCCTCACTCAGACATAAAATAATCAGACCCCCTGTACCTATCCATAGCATGCTGTTTGTAGGACGCGAAGTTCGGTTAGACTCGAAAGATAAGGTACCATACATAGATCGTCAACGAAGCCACCTATCCGTAAAGTACCCCGTCACAAACGCGAAAACCGCCTTGTGTAGAATATCAATGATCTGCTCATTAACTGGCCACGTCCTATTGACCCGTCAGTATGTTCTGGCAGCACGCACTTGAAGGCCAACTCACCACGGCGGCGCCCCAACTCCAGTAACATTCTCCAGCGTCTGGTCAATCATCAACCGCACGCATATAAACATGAAATCCGAAAACGGGCCGCGAATGCCATTCGCGCTCATGACCGCCCTGATAATCGCGGCGGCTGCTCCCTGGCCATAGTGCATCGCCATATTCAGTCCAAAGCGCTCGGAATCCGGTCGCTCGGGGAACCCGAGCAGTCGCTCCAGTGTGTGGCCTGGGACGTATGAACTGGGTCTGCCGGTGAAGTACTGCTCGATCTTCTCGCAGACCGTCATTCTAGAGTCTGGTTAGTGTGGAGCTTGGTCAGTCGAGTGAAATGGTGTGTACGTACGCAGCGACGCCGAGCAGTCCTGCTCCACAGCCATAAATTATGCAGCTCCCGAGAGAGACGGGACGACGCGGTTGCTCTGGAATTGTCGTGCGACGAGACATTCTGGAATTATACCTGGTTTAGGCAAGAGTATATGGAATGAAGCGCAGGGAAGACGCGGGGATTTTTGTATAACAAGTTGGAGGTTTAGGGGTGTGTCGTAAAGATGACGCATTCGACCACGACAACGGGAAACCGAACATCATCTTTATTGAGCTCCTAGTACTTCGGATAGGAATCGGATCTACTCTAGACTATCGCTGTATCGATACAGATGACAATGAGGAGCATGTTGTGTCAATGAAGAGGTTCAAGGCGAGGTGAAGCTTTGGAGCGAAATTGAGGCCAGGGGGTCGATCGCGCCTTCTTTAACAGTCCCCCTGAATACTACAATTACACAATCACCATCTACAGTGCCTTGTACTAATAGTCAATGGGAAATCCATATTGGATATTATAGGTCTGGTCGTCTCGAGATATGCTGTTTCGGAACATCACCCAGGCAGGATTGGGCTATGGCGAACTTGTTAGATTCGTCTCCTGAATTGGTACAGCGCATCAGCCAGGGGAAATAACCGTGTCACCCTTCTCTATACATTGTTCTCTCCGGTGTTCCATCCCCGCTGGGGCCTAGCATGATGAGTAGGGTCCCAGGTAGCCGTTGCCGCTTCCCTCCATAGGAGAATTCCCAGCACCAGCGAATGGTCAATCAATCGATGGGCTGGAAAGATTAGAAAGTGACCGTCGTCGAGCCTCATTTTACAACCGACAAGCCAGCAGCACAATGGCACTAATCAGACACCCGTATCGCGATTCCCTCCGCGAGCCTATATTGTAGGGCTCCGCGCACCCGGGGCCAACTCCATGTGAAGCCAGAGACGTCAGCCCTACATGAAAACTGCAGAGGCGTACACCTCAGCTTTTCAGTCCTAAAGCGTCGGACGTCATTCTGCAAGAATAGCCAGACATACAGCTATACACAGGGAATCTGGTGGAAAGAGGATAGCGTCCGAAAGAGCATGAGAGCACGGCGCGAGCGCTAGCAGTACGCCTTTACCATCATTATGTACTCGCATAAGCCCCAGCGCCAGGTGGATTCCTCAGATAAAGACGGACTGTACATTGTCAGCAAACGCTAACCGGGATAGTGCGTATAACTCCATCTCTAATTGATAGGCCTCTCTTGGCATGCATTTGGCGCCGTAGATCCCGAAGCTCGAGCAACAAGCAGGATTCGCGACGCAGGCTCATGGCCCTTGACTCAGGCCCGCGGCAACTTGTGCTACCGAGGCAAGCCTCAGTTCTACTACAACATGCAATGTCTACTTATCGCTTGAGTTGCCTACCTACGCAAGACCTCTTAGCTTGGAACCTCATCCAGCTTTGAGGGGCCCCGGGTTAGTCCTCATGGGCCGAGAATTAGTGCCAGCACGCGAGCAAGTTCGAAACACTGGCCATGCATGGAGTGCCCTTGTGGTGGATATCACGATGAGAGACAATGCATCGCTGTTCTTGGTGGGTTTCTAACATAATACCACCTGTAATAATTAAAAACTGACTTGTATTCATGGGACAGGACGTCAATGACTTGACTTGATAGTTATAGGTTCTTTCGACATTAATTTAGCTCATGAACCCCAGATGCTTGTCAGAGGCTAACATGTGAGACACGGGGAAATCCTTCCGCGGCAAGGGAGTCGCCAGTTTACGTGCACTAGTTGATACTTTATTTCTCTCGTCGACAATTGTGATCCAATGGCACAGGCCAGAATCCCATCCCTGTCGGAAAATTGAAAAAAGCAGATGACAACCATGACGACGACAGGCTCAGATATGTGCCACAACAGGCTGTCCACGCGGGGTTCAGGCACGTTCCAGTTTTCCCAGGAGTAAATATAACCCCGCGATATCAATTTTGTTGTGGGCTCTATTGCTGGAAGTTCCACCTCTTCGGCTGCGAAAATCAGAAATATGAGGTGGAGAGGATTCAGCTTCGGACTCATCATTCTGATTATACTCTACTTGATCATTCGCTCAGTATTCACCCTCCTAGCACTGCTATTCGAAGGTGAATTCAGCGATGGTATTCCGGCAAGAGAGATACGGCCCGCGAACTCCACGAGCACTGGACCGTCGTTGATTCCCAAAATCATTCACCAAACCTACAAGGATAACGATATACCTACTGGCTGGAGGGAGGCTCAGCAAAGCTGTATTGACTTGCATCCGGATTACAAGTATATTGTACGTTCAGCCGCATATGCCCCTCGAAGGAACTACTTTACTGACGACGTTATCCTCAACCTCATAGTTATGGACCGATGATATGGCTCGGACTTTTATTGCAACCCACTACCCCTGGTTTCTTGAGACATTCGAAGGCTACAAGTATCCCATCCAGCGGGCAGACAGTATCCGCTACTTTGTTTTATACCATTACGGAGGGATCTACATAGATCTTGATGACGTAAGTCACACTGACCAACATTCTATACCCAGCGGAGCTCACGGAACCCAAACACTACCAGGGCTGCAACCGCAAAATCGACCCCTTGCTCGTATACCCAGCCGTTCTCCGCCGCACCGTGCCAATCGGAATCTCCAACGACGTGATGGGCTCCATACCACAGCATCCGTTCTTCCACAGCGTCATCCAGAAACTACAGTCGTGCGACCACAGTTTCGTCCTCCCGTATCTAACAGTCCTGTTCTCAACCGGGCCCACATTCCTCTCGATTATGTGGAAGGAGTATACGTGGACGAAGCCGATCGGAACGGATCGTGTGCGCGTCTTGATGATACCCGAATACAAGCATCACTCGTGGAGCTTCTTCCGGCATCATCTGGGGAATAGTTGGCATCAGGGCGATGCGCACCTTGTATTTTGGGTAAGCCAAATTCGCATCTCTCCGCCTGTTTAGTTCAAGTGGGGACGGTACGGAGTATTAACATACTGTATAGATGTGGGCGCACTGGCCACTGGTCACGTTAGCTGGGTTCGCAGTCCTGGGTCTTGTGGGGTTCTGTCTGTGGATTGTATACTCCCGTCTCTTCCTCGCCGGCTCTCGGTATTATCATCGCCGCTACCGATATAGCATGGCTGCTAGGGCTACGCCCCCTCCGTCCCCAATCTGGTGGCCTCGATATCTCAGGCGTGGGCGGAGCTTATCCTGGCTGGCCACCAAGCCGGAGGCTCGAGATGTGTACCTTGATCTTGCCTGACAATTATTATCAAGGTCCGTAGCTATTTATATGACATTGTGGCAAGCTTTCTACTGGCATCTTTCGCTGTGTCTCACCCGTACTCGTTGAACATGGCGGTGGCCTGGTCCGCACCAGTATCAGGAGATGGCTGGGTCAAAGGGAACTAATTGAGCGCCGACGTTCTGTTGGTCTCAGCCTGTATAAATGCTGTCGAGGATGAATCGATTCGAGTCATGGAAATAATGCAAAATCCTTATGTACACTGTTGAGCACATCTCGGCCTATATTTTCGGTGCCGGTGGCGCGCTAAGCAACGAGCTTACGACAACTTACGAAACAGAAACCACGATTGAGGCAATGGAAATGCCGATAGCCGGGACCTGGGCGAATCACAAGTCAGGAACAGGAACCAGCGATCAACATGGGGAAATTTCTTGTCCGAGACCCACAGGAACATCAACACCTTTTGATGTCACGCCCATGCAACCGGGAACAGTTTCTCTGCCCACAACTGTCACCTCTCGACTCGAATTACCCCATGGAAACCCCAGTTCCTTGCGATTTATAGCGTTGCCTGGCAGTTGACTTGGTGTGATTGTTTCTGCCCCCAGACGGTTCGACCCGCGAACCCAAACTCTATCCATTCCTCAAATGAATCCTTCTCAGCCTCCTCCTCCACATGGCTCCGGCCCACGTGAGCAGCCGACGACAACCGAGTCCAGCCAGGGGGAAAATGAAAAGCTCGAATCCAGCCCGCACGACGCTGGTTCAACGACAGCAACATCACTCTTGAGCCGAGAACGATGGCGCGACGCTGCCCGTACTGTCCGCGAGCAAACAGGTCGTCTAGCAGACATTCTCGGACGTCCGGTATCGCACGGCGAATCTGGATTGGGCGCGGCACAGGTCGATCCAGAGAAACTGGGCTCAACAGACGACGACCAGCTCGCTGCAATCTTTCGCAGTAATGACGACGAGAGATCCAATGAGTCGCGGTACAATCTTGCCGTGCAGGCGCAGGCGGAGCGGTTGATGCACGGTCTCCGAGCGGGGACTGAGTCGGTACCTGACTCCGATGCGACGACTCTAGCTGAGATCCCAAGCTCTGATGTCGAGGCGAGGGGGAATCCCCCGCCGCCGCCGATTGCACCGGGTGGTATTCTCTCGGCGCTGCTGCAGTTGCAGAATCATTCGCGGTCGAGTAGCATGTACTCACTGGAGTCGGACCACGAGTCCCAGCCATCGCTGAATCTTGGACCCGGGAGTACTCCTGGCAGGACAAAACCACAGAAATGGTACAACAAGTCTGCGCACACATCTACAGCCTCCTTGGCCCGCGCATCGATGAACATGACGCAGATGGATCTTTCATCTGCCATGGGAAATGCAGGCACCGGATCGGAAGGAGAAGCTAAGAAGGAGGGCATGAAGAAAAAGAAAAGGAACAAGGGCCCCAGGAAGAAATCCAGCAAAGAGGTCAAACTCACTATCCACATTGCAGAAATCATCTTCCGCCAGCGATACATTATGCAGCTTTGTCGCGCGTTTATGCGCTATGGAGCGCCCACCCATCGTTTAGAGGAGTACATGCAGATGACTGCCCGAGTGCTGGATATCAATGCGCAGTTCATGTATCTTCCCGGGTGCATGATCATGTCCTTCGACGACCCGCTTACTCGAACTGCAGAGGTCAAGCTCATTCGGGTACCCCAGGGCCTGGACCTAGGCCGGCTTGGGGACGTCCATCTGTGCTATAAGCGTGTGACGCACGATATGGTCGACATGCAGACGGCAATTGCAGAGCTAACCGAGCTGATGGATCGTAAGCCACGATATAACCGGTGGCTGGTTATTTTCTTGTATGGGCTGGGATCTGCAGCGGTAGGGCCCTTTGGCTTTGGGGCGCGACCGATTGATATGCCCATCATCTTCTTCCTGGGGTGCTGTGTTGGGTTCATGCAGCTGATCCTTGCCCCACGATCACCGCTATATGCAAATGTCTTCGAGGTGTCTGCAGCCATCCTTGTTTCGTTCCTTGCGCGGGCTTTTGGGAGTATTCGACTTCCCGGACACTCCGATCCGATATTCTGCTACGCGTCAATCACCGAGTCATCGATCGCGTTGATTCTCCCTGGATTCTCCGTGTTGAGCAGTAGTCTCGAACTACAATCGCATCAAATGATTGCCGGATCCATTCGCCTTGTCTATACCATCCTCTACTCCCTATTCCTCGGCTACGGCGTGACCGTGGGAACCACCATCTACGGCGCCATTGATTACGATGCCACGAGCGACACCACGTGCGCACGACAGGATGTCTGGGGCAGTCCCTACACGCAACGTTTTCCCTTTGTCGCACTCTACTGCCTCATCGCAGCACTCATCAACCAGTCGAAACTCCGACAAACACCCATCATGATCCTCATTGGGACGGCAGGGTATGTAACCAACTATTTCAGCACGCAGCGTCTGGGTTCCTCCTCCGAAGTGGCAAATACAGTCGGTGCATTCACGATCGGCCTCCTCGCCAATCTGTACAGTCGCCTCTGGCATGGGAATGCAGTTAGTGTGACGATTCCGGGAATCTTCACGCTCGTGCCATCCGGGTTGGCGTCATCGGGTTCGATCCTGTCTGCGATCGAATACTCGGATTCAGTCAAGAACGGGACGGCAAATACATCGGGCGGGACGTCAGGCAGCTCACTGACGAGCTTGGGCTTCGGAATGATTCAGACGGCGATTGGGATTACAGTTGGGTTGTTTGTTGCGGCGTTGATTGTGTATCCGCACGGGAAGAAGCGGAGTGGGCTGTTTTCTCTGTAGCCTACGCAGAATACATACAGAATAGTAGGCTATGATGCGAATAGCGCACGCTATCACTAGGGCCAATACTAGTACACTTCAGGCAGGTCACCTCGCTGACCTCGATAAGCCCGTAGCCAATTATTTAGAGAAAGCTTGGTGGCGGACAAGCCTTCTCCTAGCGACGTAGCATTGCTTATCGTTCCCCGCAGCTTCCATGTGTCTTTTATTGGTGGATATGGCGGTGATAACTCGGCTGCCCCAGTTTTTCCTGATTAATCGCGCAGATCACGACTGTTCCTGTCTCGGGCGCTCGTACGATCCATGCTGATGCGCGCTCAGAGCCTTGAGTGGGTGTAACCTCAATATGAGGACCACGGATCATCGCTCTTATCGCGTGCTTCTCGGCTGATTTGCTTTGCGCGGGCTATAAATTAAGACACACCACCCCCACCTGTGTGAGGGGACAGATACAGCTCTTATCCGCATTATCTCGCGCACGATGAAGTTCGACCTGGTATCCACGGCGGTCCTGGCCCTCGCCCTCAGCGCAGATCCTGGATCTGCTGCTGGCCACGGCCCGTTTGCCCAAAAGGCCCGCGACGCCCTGAACGTGGCCAAGCGTACAACCCAGAATCTCACCGCGTCTGGACACCACCCCAAGGACGACTTTCGTTTCCTCTCAAAGGAGACAAAACGTACGCAACTCCCCAATACTTCCTCCAGATTATCCTGACAGCCCAATAGCCTACCTCGTCGACCACCTGCCTGACGTCCACTTCGACCTGGGAGAACTCTACTCTGGCCTCGTTCCCATCGAGAAGAATAACGACTCCCGTGCTCTGTTCTTCGTTTTTCAGCCTAAGCTCGGCGATCCAGTAGATGAAGTGACTATCTGGCTAAATGGTGGGCCGGGCTGTAGCTCTCTCGAGGGATTCTTCCAGGAGAACGGTCGCTTCCTCTGGCAGGCGGGAACGTACGCGCCCGTTGAGAATCCGTATTCGTGGGTCAATTTGACGAATGTCCTTTGGTATGTGTCGCCTTGTTTACAGTTTCTTTTCTATTTGCTGCTCTGTTTGTTGCATTGAAACATGGCTGATTCGTCGTGCAGGGTGGAACAACCTGTCGGAACAGGATACTCCGTCGGTACGCCGACGGCAATCTCACAGGAGGAGACGGCGGAGGATTTCGTCAAGTTCTTCAAGAATTTCCAGCAGACGTTTGGAATCAAGAACTTCAAGATCTTCGTGACTGGTGAGAGTTACGCGGGACGCTATGTGCCGTACATCTCTGCGGCGATGCTGGATCAGGATGACAAGGAGTATTACGACCTCTCCGGTTAGTCTACTCTCTTCCTGTACTTGGTCAGGAATAAATATACTGACGGTTCAGGTGCCCTCGTCTACGACCCCTGCATCGGGCAACACGACTACGTCCAAGAACAAGTCCCCGCCGTCCCCTTTGTCCTCTCCAACGCCAACATGTTCAACTTCAACGAATCATTCATCTCGACCCTCGAAGACCTGCACAACACCTGCGGCTACGCAGACTTCCTCGACGAATACCTCGTCTTCCCGCCCTCCGCGCAGCAGCCACCCAAATTCTTCAACTACACGACCGACAGCGCCTGTGACGTCTTCGACCTCATCAACAACGAAGCCTTTGCGTCGAATACCTGTTTCGACATCTACGAGATCAACCAGATGTGTCCGCTCAAGTGGGACGTCCTCGCGTTCCCCACAGAACTCGTTTACCAGGCCGAGGGCGCGAGTGTCTACTTTGACCGCGCCGATGTAAAACGTGCGCTGCACGCTCCAGCCGATATAACGTGGTCGCTGTGCTCCAACGACCCGGTTTTCATGGGCGGCGACGCGGGGCCCGAGTCCGAGGGCGACATCTCCGCGAACCCGATCGAGGCCGTCCTGCCGCAGGTCATCGAAGCGACGAACCGCGTTCTCGTTAGCAACGGAGACTTCGACATGATCATCATCACCAACGGGACGTTACTCGCCATCCAGAATATGACGTGGAATGGCGCGCTAGGGTTCCAGGAGCGGCCTGCGGAGCCGATTTATATCGACTTGCCGGATCTGAGCTGGGCCGAGGTCCGGGAACAGAATGGGTTAGACGCTGGGCAGGCGCAGGGGACTATGGGCGTTCAGCATTTTGAGCGTGGGCTTATGTGGGCCGAGACGTACCAGAGTGGGCATATGCAGCCGGAGTATCAGCCACGCGTTGCGTATAGGCATTTGGAGTGGGTGTTGGGGAGGGTCGAGAAGCTTTGAACCAGATATGTATGTGCTGTAGATGGTGCATTTAGTCTCGCTCCAGTTCGTCTGAATAGCTTATGACGGGAATGTCTATGTATCCCGTGCGCGTTATTCCCTATGATGTATTAAAGTGCTCTGGAGTTCTTGGATGTTCCATCATTGCTATACTCGTTTAGGGCACTAGTATTCATCGTCCCATATATTTAGGATACAACCGATGTTACAAAAACAATTGGACAGTGGAAGAATCCTGTAAAACAAAAGAAAAGAAAAAAAAATTGCTTTATTAGTGATTCATGTAACATAGTATCGCCTCCATATATCCATCAACATGTTTGTATGCACTAAACTATGACCACTGCTAGATCAACTTAGTCAAAAGACCCCTCGAGACAAAAGAGAGCAAAGAAAACATATCACTGACCTGACTTCCACAAAACCTTCCCATTATCATCAACCCACCCCTGAACCCTCAACAAATACTTAACCGCCCCATCTTTCCCCCCCTGCTCAACAACCAACTTATCAAACTCCGCCTTCGTAAACTTCTTCACCGGCCCCTCATGAATCAGCGGCTGCACCTTCGGCCTATACCCATCAGTAGTCCCCTTCGGAATGAGGCCCTTACCTTCAAGTTTCTCAAGGAGCGCAAGAACGTACCGCTGACAGTGCTGCGGCTCAACAGCTTCCGCCACCGCAATCACCTGCTTCTCGTCTTCGGCCTTGATGAACGATACCTTGTCCCAGAAGGGGATTTGGACGTGTTCAAAGTGTTTTTCGTGTTCGATGCTTCGTGAGTAGTCGCCGTGCGCGATACATTCGGCGGTGGAGTGGATGAATGTGCATTTCGGATCGCCGGGGGCGCGGAGCATTAAGAGCCAGTGCTCGGGCTGGTCCTGGTGGTTCGTGCGGCCGACGTGGATTTCGAGGGTCTTTTGGGTGGTGGACATTTTGAGATGTTTGACGCTGCGTAATTTGGATGATATTCTTTGAGGTCGATAGCTTGGTCCGATGGTAGGTACATATAGCCATCGTCTTTTCGTTTGATTACTCCATGTTGAATGGCTTTGTGGTGCCTTTGTCCAACGGTAAATAATGCCTACGCCTCTTGAAGCCTTTGTTCTTCTTGTTCATTGTAAATGCTAACAATGCCTTTTACTGTGATGAGATACCTTGGCCATTGAGCATTGGTGTCGGTGGGTCATCTGGCACTCTTGCTGCTATAGAGGCTTTAAAGGGTAATTAATGCCTTATTGTATCCTATGCTTTCTCATATCAAGTCTTTGTGATAGGAGCATACATAGATGGTGTGTTATGTGTGTTATGCTTTCCAGCAGTGTCTCTCAAACGACCAGGGACAACTATATACATTTGTCGCATGAGAAACCATGATATCTATATATCAAACATTGCGGTCATTAAGTGATCATCGCAATACAGCATGCCATCCGGAAGTAATTACTGCAAGCAGCAGATTAAACCTAGCGGCGGGAAACAACCAAGACGTTTGTCAGAAAGATGGGGGGAATTCAAGGTGAACCATAGCTAAGAAACTCCTGCCCGGTGTGTCTATAGTCGCAACCTACAAGACAGTCTTACTTGACCCTTAAGTTCACCGCTAGTGGTGGCTGGACGGAGCCGGAGTTTCTAGTATTGAATCTTCCACCATGTTTACTTTTTCCATGCACCCCTGCGCCGATCATTCCCCTCCATTGGCTGCAGGTCAGATTCGGCAAAATGCCACGAATTCCGCATTCCGCGTTTCTCCCCTCGCCAAACGACATTTCTTTCATCTCTTACTTTCAGGCCGAAGCCAGGACAGTTGATTGTATCATGGCTGAATACAAGACCTCAACCGTCACGCACAGCGTCGGCCAAGACGACACCCCAACCCTAGAAACATCAACCCCGGAGGAAATAAGCCCCTCGGAAACGCGCTGTATCATCCGAAAGTTTGACCTCCATCTCTTGACTCTCTTCACCATAATCAATCTCTTCAGCTTCATTGACCGTGTCAATATCGGGAATGCGCGACTACTCGGTCTACAGAGCGATCTAAATCTGTCGGGAAACCGGTTTAATATTGCGCTGACCTGTCTCCTGGTCACATACTGTGCCGTGGAACTGCCATCGAATATTCTGTGCAAAATCATCGGTGGACATATTTATGTTCCTTGCCTCGTGCTCGGATTTGGACTAGTTACGATGTGTACTGCCCTCGTGCAGAGCCGAGGCGGGTTGTATGCGTGTAGAGTGTTGCTCGGTATCTTTGAGGGAGGGATCTCGCCCGGTTTGGTGTTTATGCTGTCACTGTTGTGAGTACCATGTGCATCTTCAGGTACATTAATTTGGCCTGATACAGGTGTATAGCTATCGTCGTCATGAACTCGGTTTTCGGACTAGTATTTACATCTCTGCCTCCTCGGCCAGTGGGGCATTCGGTGGTTTGCTCGCCATTGGCCTGTCGAAGATTCCCCAATGGGGTCTTATTCACACATGGAAGAATATTTTCTTTTTCGAGGTGAAATATCTCCTGTCCTTTTTCATTTATATCAGTCTAACGCGCGGAATAGGGTCTAGTGTCCATGAGTCTAGCCGGGCTCGCATTCTTCATCATCCCTAGCGGGCCGGGAACTGCCAAGTTTTTGACTGACATGCAGCGCAAGCTCGCAGTCAATAGGCTTCAGAGTGATGAAGCTAGCGCGAGCGAGCATCACCGAACAACCCTTCGGGATGTTCGAGATGGATTGGCCAGCTTACCTGTCGTCGCGTGCGCGATCGGCTTCTTCTTTGGAAAGTACGCACCCACAGCTTCTGTGTACTGGCAATTGAAGCCTTCTGCTAAGTGATATAGTACATGCGCACAATCCTTCTCCCTCTTCTCCCCCTCGATACTCGGCGCCATGGGCTACAGCGGTGAACTTGCCCAGCTTCTGTCCGTCGGACCATATGTAAGCATCCCGTCTCAACAGATCCCGGCTAATGGCCGGAGTTAAAGAAATTATTGACATTTCCCAGGTTGCCGCCTGCATGCTTTCAATCATCACCGGCTACATCTCCGACCACTACCGCACACGCGCATATCCCATCCTTGTTACAGCCCCCCTCGGCATCGCCGGAACAGCCCTCCTCCTCTTCCTCCCCGACTCTGCGCCTGGCGCAAAATACGGCGCGCTCTATCTCGCCGCACCGGGTATCTACGCCTTTCTCCCGCTGTGGATAACATGGGCCGTGAACAATGCGCCCACGCCGACAGGAAAAGCTGTTGCGGCGGGGTTGGTGTTTAGTGTGGGTTCGTTAGGTGGAATTTTGGCGCCGTGGTTTTATCTTTCGAGGGATGCGCCGGGGTATAGGACCGGGCATGCGATTTTGTTTGCATTTTTGGTGGGGAGTTGGGGGGTTGCGGCCGCTTTGGTTGGGTATGTTAAGAGGGCTAATGGGAGAAGACATGCGGACGGTGGGGAGGGATTGAGGTTGGTTATTTAGGGAAGCGTGGCTTTGGTAGGTACATGTCAATATGATATGTTCTTCGCCGGCAGCGGTTCGACTTCCTGTTTCAGATGCCGCCGCTTTTATGAGGGGCTTATGTAATGGAACAGTGCTTGCTCAGTGATTACTCCAGGCACGCACTAAGTAGTCCCAGAACACGCACTAAGTGGTCCAAGGGTACTCCCAGATCACGCTGAGGGTGATTCTAACCATTCTAGGAGTGCTTCCCGAGCACAGCACTAAGTAAGTAACCATAATAAAATCTTAATAAAGAAAATCACGTGATATAATTATTCTACTATACAAGCCATCTAAACTATACCTAGTATATAGTTTAATGTCTAAGAAAGCTTAAAACTACCTATTTAGTAACAGCTTGAAAATAGTTAGGAAAGGAAATTTATAATCTAACTATTTAAAACTTTAAAAATAATAGTTAAACCTAGGCCTCTAATACCATTAGGCTCCTTATTATAAAATATATATAGTATAAGGATAGCTATATTATCCATCTATAGATAAAGTCACCCCCTTCTCTAGCATACTTATTTTATTTTTCTTAATAAATTCTTCTAATAATATTTTTAATAGCATCTTTATCTAAAGATAATAAGAAGCGTGCTAAGCGTTAAGCACTATATAAGAATTACTATTATAATCCTAAAGAATATAAAGAGAAAGACTTAGTGCGATTAAAAGGAAAAGCATCTAAGGAGACTAAGAAGGAATATTAGAAGATAGTTAAGCTATTTATTAAGTATATAAGTGTCAGATAAGTCCAACCGATCCTGCTTAAGGTCCGAACGGGCTTAAGGTATTCTGATATCAAGAGAGAAGACTACTCCTTAATGAACTAAGAAGGTAAACTAGGTTTCTGAAAGGTAGGGTAGCTTTGATTCTGAAAGTAATAGATAGTAGCTAAAACTAATTACAAGTATTTAATAAGTGTCCTTAAATACTAAGTGTCCATTATATCTATCATAGCCTTCGGCTATGCTGTCTATGTTCTCTATTAGAGCCGTTATAGTTAATAGCTTGGATAGCTATGACTGTAACTCTTAGCATCATAGTCAGGGCTATGACCAGTGCGGTACATCGTTCCTCTGTAGTTATCACAGCGCTAGGCTGCGGCATAGTGGATCCATTAGCTAATAATACACGCGTTCTCTAATAATCCCCCTCTTTTAAGGTCTTTGTCCTAAAGACACTAATAAGTAGCGCTTCCCTAGGTGAGTATTATAGCCTGTGGTTCTTAACCCCTTTTAATATTATCACGCTAACTTCTCGTGATGTCTTTAAAATCTAGTATAAATAAAAATAAACTTAAAACCCATCTTAAAGAAGGTGGTTTTAAAATAATCACCCCATGTATCTATTACAGTCGTCTAGGCAAACCATGCGTTAAAGCTAATAACTCGTCTTATTTGTTATGAACCTAGCCAAGCGGTCAGACGTTCTACCGGCAGAACATTCAGCGGTCAGAATATTATCGGGCGGATAATGTTCCTCGACGATAAGG